CCCCCCTTCATTGCCCCTTCCCCCACCTAACAAAAGAAACGGTAGCTTCGTGTCTCCAAGAAGAGGTAGGCAGCAGGATAAAGTTCTCTTGAACAAAACGCTGACTGGTTCATTTTCTATGGTTAAAGATGAAGATGAAGCCTCAGGCTTGGAGTATGCATTTAGGGATAGGTCGCCAACGGTTCCATCCTACATTAAGCAAGATAAGAAGTTCAAGTTTATTAAGGTTGGTAAAGTACAGAAATTTGTCAACTTATTTGAAGAAAAGAAGCCAGAAGACACAGGCACTGGAGGTGTACCTACCCCAAATCTTCTGAGGCAACTGCTGTATAACTCGGTTAGAACACCCAGTAGTCCAGTAAAGAAAGAGCCTACACCTACAGTAGAATAAAAGTAGATAGATAATAATTAATGATAATGATACAGAATTAAGAACTGGACTTATATCTGTAGTATAGTGCCCTAGTACTTCGATTCCCACGTATATAATATAGTAGTTTTCTCAGTGTACAAACGCAAGAACCCAAAATTTGAAAGCGGTGAATTTCTTGATAAGCTCTCATCAGTCTCCAATAATCTTCCGAGATAAGGTGCTCCATTATATGGGAAGTTCACCGAGACATTACTGCCAAGATACCACCCAGAACCTGTGGGAGGTATACCTTGTATTCTAACAATCAAGGAAAGCCAAGCGCTTCCACTCCAGAAATGTACTCATTGGGACTCTGTGTTGAAAACGGATTGGCAGACCTCATAGCATAATCAGCTTGAAGAATTCAGTAGAAGAATCAGCTTGAAAAATTCAGTAGAAGAATTAGCTCCTCAAAGTTCCATCAATCTTTACCCTCTTTCAATCTTCAATTAAGCGATAAATCTATCAAAAGGTAAGCAATGCTCATGCTCTTTGATGAAAAATATAATGATCTGCACTTTGAGCAAAAGATATGGTCCAGAGTGTTCAATGGGGAGCAGAATACAACATGGTGTGTTCTCTTACGCTGTTTGTTCAAACTGGGCTATTTTTGCCGTCAATTCGTTGAATTTTTCATGTGCCAACTTCAACTCCTCACCATCTTCTAGGTCTTCACTTACATTTCCCTGTTTAACTTTTAGTGTTCCCAAACACCATGTTTCCTTTAACCCACGAGTAATTGTAAGCAATTCTTCACATAGCCTAATTATTGTCAGAGCATCAGCTTCTATGGTCAAGGATTCAATGGCCTGGAGCTCTTTAGACTTATCACTGATAATCGCAACTTCGAAAATGTTCAGAAATTTATTGATCAACTGTTCCACAGTGGTGTCAATTTTTTCTACAGATGTTAGTAATGCAGAGATTTTTTTGGTTTCATCTGAGTATACTTACGAAGTAATGCTATGGATTTGGGTTGCATGGCAATTTAACGAATTAATGAGGGACAAATAGAAGATAAGAAGCAAAGGATGGTTGTATTTAGGTGTGTTTTGTCTTCAATTTTTTAGTAAATCGCATTTTGGAACAATTTTCATGTATCGCCCAATTAGGCAGCGTGTGGGTGTGTGGGTGTGTGAATACAGAGGGTTGCATCACTTAGGTGCTCCAATGGAGTACTAGCTGATGCTAGTTTCAATATAATTGTACACTTTACGATTCTACATCAATTCTTTATATTATCCCTTGTTACTTTTTTATTTTTCCTTTTTCATAAAGTCCAGCTTTACTATGTTTTTGGATATGTATCATGCTTGTGCCTTTGTTCATCCAGTAAGCAACCTAATTACCCTATATAGAAACATCACGACTGCTTTAATTATTTTATAACAGTTCACCACTATCCAAATTAATCTTAACAAAATAATTATCATATTTTCAATGAAAGAATATAATATTTGGTAATTGCTATCATTCATCTTCAAGATCTTATCCTTGTGATCATTCATTTCAAAATTGAATCTACTTCCAAATAATGACGAGTTCAACCTATCTATCTTCTCGTTAAATTTCCTCAATTCTAAAGATAATGAGGTATTTATCTCACCAATCAGTCTATCACTGCTACTAAGTAAATTGTCTATCCTTATGGAATAGTCCTCGTTGATATGATGGATTAATGAGTTTATATCATCTAGTAATCCGTTGTAGATTCCTTCGTATGCAGGTAATAATTCGTCGTTTACCTTGACAGAAATGTGGGTAGCCTTGGGAATTTCAACATTTGCCAAGTGAAGTACTTTACTATGGTGGTTGCGCAATAGTTGAGGGAATATATTTCCCACATAATGTGATCTAATATTCAAGAGAGAGTCGAGATACTTGTAATTAAATACAATACTATTAAGGACTGTATCCCGCTCTAACTCAATTTCTTTGCAGTTTACTTCTTCGATATCTTCTTGACCTTTCTCATCGTCTGTCTCCTCAATTTCTTGAACTGCTTGACCATCATCTAATTTAACTTCATCATCTCCACCCAGCAACTCGTCAATATCTTCATAGATCTCGCTTCCCTTTTCGTTGTCTCCATTTGCACCGTCCAAGTACGGTGAGCGTATTGCTTTGATGGGCACATCCTTGACATTAGCCACTTCCACACTGTTACTGCTTTCAAGATCGTCATAAATTCCACGTAGTTCATTTTCATCCACATCTTGCAAGTTGACATACGCACTGTCTTGTTCGCGGCCATCTATACCATCATATTGAGATTGTTCCTCGCTTCGAGGTGGAAGATTTTCAAACAGACTGACTTCATCACTCTCATCGTCTCCTGAAAAGTACACTTCTTGTTGTGGTTGTTCCACATTAGATTCATTAGATGAGTCTGATACCTTTGGGACCTTTTTGAAAAGCCTCTCCTTTAGTAACGAAGGTATATTTGTTGCAGAAGCATTGGCACTTTCCTCGTAATCCGATGGTAGTAGATTCTTCTTGTTTGACTTCCTTCTGTGCTTAATACTATGTTTTAAATTGGTTATATGATAGTCTCCAATCGAACCCGCACCCAGCAGAGAATTTCTCCTTGAATTCAAAGCGGACTTTTCTTCTTCCTCACTATTGAATAACTTATCGTGAAGTCTTCGGCGTACATTCTTATACAGGTGAGATTGTGGGTCTTTATTAGATGATGTCACATCAGGGCCGGGAAGTTGAAGCAGATGCGGCTTTTCGGGGAACCAAAGGTCACCGTTTGATTTAACCAATTCATGCCAATGTTGATGCTGCCATGCCATATCTGAGTACCTCTCGAGTAACTCAACCGCCCATAGCATTTTCCACGGCTCGTCCTTTCTTCGAATATGATGACGATGATGATGCTGCTCTGTTTCTGAGAACTTTTCATTATGAGAACTAAACATATTGCTTGCCAATGGGATGGTCTTAATTGAAAGTGGCTTAGGGTATTCACGGTACTTGTTTCTCAACGCTCTGTTTCTAATAGTCTGAAGTGGATTATAAGTACAATCGACGGGATAATACGAACCTTCGCCTTTGTTGTCGATGGAATCCAAATCAAAGTTTTCTTGATAGGTACAATACTTTTCGTAGTATCTTTCAATGATTAAGTAGTGGAACCGGAACATTAAGTTAACCTTTTCGGCCCTAGCTTTGGTCGCTCTGGATATTTTCAATGGGCTCTTGTAAACACTATCGCTGTCGTAGTTATTGAAGGAATTTCCACTAGCTGAAGCTTGAATAGGAGAGCCCACTCGATCGACGTTCTTTGCGTCTGTTTCCACGATATTGTAGTCAGATCGCATTGCCTTCCTGGTGTCCAAAAGTACAGAGGTGAGGTTCACCGCATTTTTGAGGTAACCTCTATTACTTTCCTTACTTTTGGTCAAGGTATCTTCCCTTTTCTGTTTCACATCGATTTCCTCCAAGAATTCGTCCAAATTTAAATCGGGTTGGAAATCTTCGATGTGTGACTGTACGATAACTTTCTTCTGTGGATGGTTAATTTTGACATTATGGCCATTGTTTCCATTTCCGTGGGTGCTGGGATATTGCGTCTTTGCAGATTGTTTCCTATGCTTTTTGTTACTTGAATTGCTTGTGTCTATTCTTAGGCTAGGTAGTTTATTGTTGTTGGAAGACGAAGAAGACCCAGTCTTCGCTGACTGAGGTATCCGTGGCGAGCGTGGTAGTGATTCCATTGCAGGTTCTCCAGGTGTGACATTTAACAAATTCAAGTTTAAGTTTGAATTCGCATTGGAGTTGGAGTTTGGGTCAGAGTTGGAGTTCGAGTTGGAGTTGGAGTTGGAGTTGGAGTGAGAGTTGGAATTACTATCAGAGTTAGCGTTCGATGCCTTGAAATTAAATGGTGAGTTGTAGCTATTGATATTGGTAATGGAATTCGAGTTAGAATTGAAACCAAAGTTGTTGGCAGGTGATATCCGAAGTGGTGAGAGTGGTGAATTGGGCGACTGCTTCGTCTTTGAAGCCATCAGCTCACGAATATTGGCACCTTTCATGCTTGTATCCAAGATGAACTAGAACGAGGGTCAAAACTACCACTATCAAGTTAGAACAAGGAAAAGAAGAAGAGAAGCCCTAGCACAACCTCTTGTCACCACGCCCTGCTAGCCCATTTCGCTTAGTGTATGACGTACATGCGACACATGATTTGGTGGGTCCTGCATGTAGTTGCAAGGGCGAACTTTGAAAATTCACCACCAAACATTCAAGTCTAGAAAACTAGAGCCTGGGGCTTTAAGGATTGCAGTGTTACCTAGTAGTAGAGTATATTCGAAAATAAACGCACGCGGCAGCACTACTTTTTCTCCTTTGTTTTCAGGCGGCCCTTATTTATATTCTTTTGATTTTAATAATTTTCAGATTATGTCTATCAGTTTCGCATCGTCGACGTCTGATTTCGACGCATACCTTGAACACAACAAATATGTACTTGTTAATTTCACTGCTTCGTGGTGCGGGCCATGTCAAGCAGTAAAGCCAATTTTGGATCAATTCTATACAGACTCTACTGGCAAATACGGTGGGGTCGAATTCATAAGGGTAGACTTAGATTCTCAGAAGTCTTTGGCCTCCAGATACCAGATCACCAGTGTGCCTACATTTATCTTCGTCGAGGACAAAAATGAAGTTTCAAGAGTTAAGGGTGCAAACTTGCCAGAGATATTAAAGGGCTTGGATAAGTTGAATGAAGGAGCCAAAAGAGATAATACCAAGAGAAATGGGTCAGGTTCGTTCGCATCTATGTCTGGTGCTACTGTGGCTGGTTCTCTGTTGCTTAAGGACGTGGAGTCTTTCATCCCCAAGGGATACGAAGTGCTCAATGACTTCATCCACTTTGGCGAATTTGAATCGTTGAACGTTCAAACATACTTCAGAAAGGGCGAAGATGATGATATCAAGTCTGTATTCAAGCCGGCTTCCCCATCGTCCTTGGTGTACACTGATGCTGATTCCCAAGGGTTATTCTACATCCCCTTCATGAATATATCCAAGGTATACTCCATCTTGCTTAAAGTCTCTGAGAGACCTGAAGAGTACGAAAATGCCACATTAGATTCAGACGAACAGACGCAGAAGCCATCTTCTATCAAAATTTGGTTGAACCAGAATTCCATCTTATCGTTCGATGATGCTAACCAAGACAACAACGCACCCCATATTGAAGAGATTACAGAATTCAACGAAAAGGGCTGGTATGAAGTGAAGTTGAAGTTTGTCAGATTCCAGAATGTACAATCATTAAATATCTTCATCGAGGGTGAAGATGAGGACGACCACACTCTTGTTGAAAAGATTATTGTTGTTGGACTCAATGGAGAGCTGAAGGATCAAGGAAAGATTCTGAAACTTGACGATGACGAGTAAGTGTATGTAGGTGTTTGGTTATCTTTTTGGAAATTCAGAAGATTTTCTATTTTCAAACTGACACTTCTTTAGTGGCCTACTTTGACTGTTAAATTAATCCTAGCGAACCAGTCTTCAGGTGGCTTTTTTGGATAAGAGCATACACTTCCAAAATGCTGATAACAGATTCTCAGTCGATATTTTAGTACTGGTCACAGCCAATGTCTCATCTAGGTATACCTGGTTGTTCCAGAGCACCTCCAGGATACTCTACTTGTTGCGTTCCCTTTCTTCACTTAATAGAAATGCTACACAGGGGAACATGGGTTTAATATATAGTAAGAAATAAACTCCTCCTTTCCATTCCTTTTCCCCCTTTTTTTAGCCACTCACTATATTCAAGCACTTTGTGCTCTACCGTGTCACTGTAGCACCATCTCCAAGTTAAAAACTTGTGTATCTGGCGCCTGTACTACGTAATGCTCATCTGGTGTAAGTATAGGACGGTGCCATGCGTGGCTGCGAATATTTTTTCACCGTAACCTTCTTTACCCCAGACCTGTATATAGTGCCAGAGTCAATTCATTTCACGTGTGCTCCATGTAGAGTGGTAGTACACTCTGAGCCAAAGTACCCCAAGGTTAAATATAATGTTCACCCCGGATTTCTTGTAACAGACACCTCTGAGGAAATCAAACTTTTACAGCCTAGTCCATCACAGTTTCCCTTTGAAGAAGTCCCCGAACCAGGGGTTATTCCCGCCATATCCGGATCATAATTTTATCTCCGGATCGTGGTGTATTTCTCTAGTGTGTGTTGCTCAATGTAGCTCCAACGCTCTTGCAACAAATGTCCTGCAGGCGGCTCCCAGTGTATTTTTGTATGCTGAAATTTTTTCCCTTCCCTTTGGCTGTGTGGTAAAAAGGTGGTGGTACTTATTACAGGATATTCGCCTTTTAGCTGAATTATCTTTGTAGAAGCAGCTTTTCGAACCTATACCGTTGTGACTGTGGTATATATATATATCCGTATACATATATAAAGTAGCAAATATGTCTGGAATAATATATAGAAACCAGGCCAATGGGATAAAGCTCATTAGAAGCATCCGAGGAAGCGCTAGCGGTGGTGGCAACTTGACATTGAAATATCTCCATACATGTAAATACCCAAATAATGCCAACATCCCCTTGATAAGGTCTATGGCTAAGACCTTCGTTAGGTTGAGCAGCAATAGCACCAAGGTAACCAAGGAAGATGGCAAAATCATACCAAAGAACGATGTCCCCACCTCAATCGTAAGCAAGGAAAAATTGGACTCGGAATTGGAGCTTGTCCCAAACAAAAAGGACGAAAAGGAACCCAAAAAGACTTTATGGGAAAAGGTGAAGCATGAACTTAACCATTACTGGGACGGTACCAAATTATTGGGTTACGAAATCAAGGTATCTACCAAGTTACTTTTCAAAGTGGCTGCTGGATATGGGTTATCTAGAAGAGAAACTAACCAATTACAGAGAACCATTGGAGATGTGATCAGATTGGTACCCTTTTCCATGTTTTTGATTATCCCATTCGCTGAGTTATTGCTTCCGGTGGCACTCAAGATCTTCCCTAACTTATTACCATCCACTTACGAACTGAAACTGGACCAAAATAAAAAGAAACTCAAGTTGTCTAAAACTAGATCATCCACTTCTGAATTCATTAAGAAAACAATTGAGGAAGGAAGAGGTTTGAAGTTGAGTAAGAAGATCACCGAGGAAGAAAAGGAAGCGTTTGTCTCCTTTTTCGACACCATCTCCATTGGAAAGAACCCTACTAGGGACCACTTGATTAAGGTAGCCCGTTTGTTTAAGAACGATCAAGTTTTGGATAATTTATCCAGACTGCAGTTGGTGGCTATGGCTAAGTACATGTCATTAAGACCATTTGGAACTGATTCCATCTTGAGATATCAAATCAGACATCGTCTTCTTACCATTATCAAGGACGACAAGGCAATTGATTATGAAGGTGTTGACAGCTTGACCATCCCTGAATTGCAAATGGCTTGTCTGCAAAGAGGTATTAAAACTGTGGATGTTTCTCCGGCAAGACTTAGAGATGACTTAAGTACCTGGTTAGATCTTAGGTTGAGACAAAAGATCCCATCTACCTTGTTATTGTTGTCCTCCACTTACACTTATGGAGACAATAGCCATTCTATTGAGACTTACTATGATGCTCTTTTGGCTGTATTGTCGTCGATTCCAGATGAAGTGTATAATGTAGCCAAGTTAGAATTGAGCGACGATTCTAAGTTGAAGTTGAATATCTTGAAGGAGCAAGACGAGTTGATTCAAGAAGAAAACTTGAGAGAAAAGGGTACTGTCAACCAAGTTAAGGATAACATTAAGTTAGATGAGTACGAAGAAACTGCAAATGAAGGTATGAAGATTGAACAGGAACAAGAAGATTCTGAAAAATCTGAAAAATCTGAAGAAACAGAGAAAGCTGAGAGTGAAGGAAAGTCTGAAGAACCAAAGGAAGCCAAGAGTGCAGAAAAAACTGAAGAGCCAAAGAAAGAGCCAAAAAGCGATGGCGAGAAGGAAGTCAACGTCAAGAATGCTGAAGCGTTAAAGAACAAGGCTACCTAGATCTTAAGGTGATGAAGCATGTAGTGCATGGATTGATGAGTAATAATTACGTAACTACATGGAATTAGAAATTCCAAAACTAAAATGTTATCAAAAAAAAAAAAAAAATAAAAAGAATGATAAAGTAAATGATTCAATATCAAAAAGAAGAACAGAACAAATTCTTAAAATACTAAATAGACATAGTTCACTATTTATACTGTATATACAATGAGATAAATCAAGAAATTTGTGTAGTTGAAGCTAAAAAATTGATATGCAGACTTTTTCCAAGATGGACTTGAGCGTGTTTCCTACTAGCGCTTACATCTACTCGCTTTGGTATCGAGCACATAAGCTTAATAAATGGATCTCTCCTTCACTCATACTGTTCATTTCTCTATTATACACTCTATTTACCAGTGGAACCAAATCCACCTTCACCCCTTTCAGTAGTTACTAATTCTTCTTGGGTGATTTCTCTGATTTCAGCGTTAACTATCTTCTCCAAAACCAATTGGGCAATTCTATCTCCCTTCTTGATTTCGAAGTCTTTCTTACTGTGGTTGAAAAGTGCAACCTTGACTTCACCTCTGTAGTCTGCATCAATGACACCGGCACCAGTGGAAATTCCGTGTTTGACGGTCAATCCTGATCTTGGTGCTACTCTACCGTAAGTGCCCACAGGGACAATGATAGATATATCAGTGGAAACTAATGCTTGACCCTGTCCAGGAACAATAGAATCTTCAGCTGAGTAGATATCATATCCTGCAGCTAAAGCTGAACCTCTGGTTGGTAAGGTAGCTTTATCGGAACGCAAGAAAACTTTTAAGCTTTCTTCAATCTTTTGTTTCTTGATGGCTTGATCTGACATTGTACTGACTTATATATAAATATATGTATGTACGTGTGTATGTATAACGATATTATCTAATTCAAGAAGAAGAACATAGATGGTGAAGTGAAAAATCCAAAATGAAAAATAAAAAACGTCTACAACGCGCGTTTCTCCATTTTGGGGTTTTCGCGTCCGTGTCTCACAGTAGTTGCATCTCACGAGTGATGAGGTTGCAGAATGGGTGCAAAAAGTTAGAATAGGAACTACCTTGTAGCGAAAAAGATCAGGCTATCTTCATTGGATGTGAGCTTGTGGGAGCCTCTTGTATCCTGATAAAGTGACAGAGAGGGTCTTGAAAGTTTCATTTAACTCTGTTCCTCATTCAAGTGTACATTGCATTAGCGTGCATGTATTTATTCGTGTCTATTCACTATATGTATTTACATTAACCTACCCTTTTCCATCGTTCCTTACTCTCCATATCTTCCTTCCAGTCATAGCTAGCGTCTACGCCTTCAACCCCACCAACTTCAAAAATGTAGCTCATGGTTATCTCAACTTTCTGTTGTAGTCGGCCATGGACATACTCTAAGGAGTTCGGGTTGATATCTCGTTTATATGGTGCTTTCTCTTCTGGTGATAATTCTCTCCAAAGCTCACCTGCTTTGCTAACAAGTTTCCTATAGGGCAATAAAGAATTTGAATCTTCTTTCTTTAGCTGCCGTACGAATTGCATAAACGGCAGGATCGGACTACTTGTTAGGCGATTTTTCTCTAGGTGGTTTAGTCTTCTCAAGTGTCTCGCCTCATATTGCAATTTCTCCAGTGCGCTCAACTTGGCGTAGCCAGATGCCGTCTTTGCATCAGTATCGTCTCGATACATGTCATTTATACATCTAGATCTTCCACTGAAGGCTTCATATATGAGACGATCGTAGTAGTCGGCTTCAAACTCAAACAACTCCTGATATTTTCTGCCCAGTATCAACTTGTCAGTAATTACTTCCCATGGGTAAAGACCCAGATACGGGAATGGATTGAATTTACTATGGGCGTCGGCATCAAAGTTGCCGTTTTTCAAATATTCTACAATTTCCCATCCTTCCCATTGTCTGACCAACTCTCTATGAGCCTTCTCTATAAAATTTGCATCCTTAGTATAAGTTTCACGGCCCTTATTGGATAAGCGCAGCCATCGCACATCTGCAGTCTTCTTACTTCTTATATGTTTATTCAATGCACGGAACAAATTGTACCCCAGACTCAACTCTGGCTTTGGACTGGTATATTTGTGTTCACCTTGTGATACCATATTTACATATTTAGATCGCTCATATAAGTTTAAATCTGCCCAGGACTGTTCATCGTTTCCTTCTTTGATGAAGTAATCTAAAGGGCTCAATTTCTCGCTGGGGAAAACATCATTTCTTATACGACCAATTGCTTCTTGATTAAATCCTCGAGGATATCCTATACGAAATGGTTCTCTTATATAAGCGCTACTGTACCTTCTGAAACTGACATATAAACTACGATTTAAGCTACGATACATCTACAGACAAAGAATAGTGTATACTAGAAAGAAGAAGAAACAAGAGAGTTTGAAATTTTCGATATCGCAGGTGGAGAGCAGCACTGCGATATTAAGTAAGCAGAGTTGCAACCTCATAACCTTATGGCAGAGATGTAGTTACTTGTATGATCAAGTCATCACTATGTAAGAAGATGATACACTTCACAGCGACGAGAAGTTTACACGAAGCACAGTCGAGAAGTAGTTACTTTGTACGAACCAATTCGTTGTTATTAATAATTGTTTCAGTATATCTATCTACGTATAACCCATGACTTATAAACCAAAATGCACCAGGATAATGAAATCACATAAACTACCGACTCGTCTACACCGTAAACGATTCCCACTCAAACAATTCGAACAACTTTACCAGTAAAATTGTCGGTATCTCCTCGATACATTCCAGCTGTACTTCTCGCTGTGTGTCTGTTTCTTCTTCTACGTTCGAAGGTAATTCGCCAAGCAAGCACAATGTACTGTCATCGTCTTCTTTAAGCTTCCTGCCGAGAGGAGAAACCGTCGACTGGTGGTAAATACATTGGAATAATACTAATTGTACGAACAAAATCAATACATTAGTAAACAATAAGCCAGGGAGCCCCAACATGCCTGCTCTTTTGAAGAAGTTGGGTTCCGAGCTTACGTTCTTAGGAGTGGTTTCGCCAATGAACGATATAAACCACCAAGTACCAGTCTGAAACTGGTCCAAGTCATCATTCATTGCAAAGGGCATCAACCAAAGGCATACAAAAAGTATGTGGTATATCGATACGAGAATGAACTTGATATATATGAACGAGCAGATTCTTTTCACCCATGTTACTACATGCCGACGTGAAGATTCGGTCAGTTCAGGATGCTGGCCCGTATCTACATTTCTGTGACGTCTTGACCTATGCCTTCTTCTTCCGTTTAGGTGCAGCAGTGGCTGTATATGTGAATGCTGGTGACCTTCAGGCTGCGGGTCTGGTGAAGATCTGGCTGAGCTTCTATTGCTTGACGGATGATTAATGTTGCTGCTGTTGTTGTTGTTGTTGTTGTTGTTGTTGTTGTTATTATCGGTATTCTGCCTTGTCTGGAGTGAACTGTGTGATGTATTTATCAACGCAATCATTCCATATAATAGCGTCGTTCTCGGTCTACCGTGAATGTAACTTTCTACACTAAGTAGCTTTTGAGTGAGTACATGGAGTACTACAGGAAACAACGCCGCAGAGTAGCAAAATTTCACGAACTGTAGTCCTATCAATATATATGCTATGCTCTCCAAGCTCTGGATCAAATTTCTCTGGTTCTGTGTCTTTATATTAAATAGGTGGCGTCTGGTGAACTTTCGCCTATTGTCAAGCTCCAATACTGAAGAGGCACTGCCATCTGCAGATCCTTCTTCGTAGTGGGCCCGTGTCACTGACGACAATGGTACATCATTGATGCTTTCGTCTATGCTGGGATAGGTCCCAGGCATCATACTTGAGAAGGTAATTGCTGTAGAGTAGGAAGACTAAGGAGATACTCGTTTGAGGTTGGCTAGCTTTGGGGTAGATGGATATGTTTGCTGTATGCAGGATTGGAAATTGCCTTCGAAGGATGAAGCAGGACGATGGAGGTGGTGGTTGGGGACGACAAGGGTGTGGTGTTGTGCAAGCTATTTCTCTGCTATTCCAGTATTTAGATGCGCAACTGGATACCTTGAAGCGAATGGTAATATCTTGAAGCAGGAATGAAGTGAAGAAAGGAGTGGAAGAGAAGCAGTGCTGAAAGGATTGTGATGCCATCGCATTGAATGGCTGCGAATTTTTCAAAAGTGAGCTCGACCAGGAAGAGCGCTTGGCTATGAATGGGAAATAGACGAGCTACGTTGTAGAAATATTACGACTCTTTGGCTAGCCCGAACAGTAGCAAGAGGGTGCCTTTTGTTCCAATGGGGCTCTTTTACTTACAGTTTGTCTTCCTCATTGTGTTTATTTAGGATTAAGCATACACAGACATGTGCTATATAAAAAATAAGTGTCAAAATGGCCTTGCCATTTTAATTCCTACCTTTTGTAATCTCCACAAGCCTCTGGCTAGTGAAGATAAAAGTTTTTTTCTATTCTACATTTAAGCAAACAAAGTACCAATGTCAGCAGGCATTTCTTCGATTTGAGTGGAGTAGAATTGTTCAATTTCTCTCATCATTCCAACATCTTCGTCAGTGACGAAGTTGATGGCAACACCCTTTCTACCGAAACGACCACCTCTACCAATTCTATGGATGTAGTTTTCCTTGTTGGATGGTAAATCGTAGTTAATAACTAAGGAAACTTGTTGGACATCAATACCTCTGGCCAATAAATCGGTAGAGATCAAGATTCTTGAGGAACCAGATCTGAATTCGTTCATGATGGTGTCTCTGTCAGCTTGAGGTAAATCAGCATGGATGGCAGAAACGGTAAAGTTTTCAGCCTTTAACTTGGTGGTCAAGAATTCAACCTTGGATCTGGTGTTACAGAAGATAACAGCTTGGGTAACAGAGATGGAATCGTATAAATCACACAAACAGTCAAACTTGTAGTTTTCCTTTTCAACGTTAATGTAGAATTGCTTGATACCTTCTAAGGTCAATTCATCCTTCTTAACCAAGATTCTGACTGGGTTGTTCATGAACTTGGTGGTGACTTCTAAGACATCTTGAGGCATGGTAGCAGAAAGTAAGACAACTTGGGTGGTTTCAGGTAATAATCTGAAAATGTTGTAGATTTGTTCCTTGAAACCAGATGAAAGCATTTCATCGGCTTCATCTAAGATGAACATCTTGACCTTTTCGGTCTTGAAGAAACGACGTTCAATCATATCGTAAACTCTACCTGGAGTACCAACAACGATTTGAACACCTGATCTGAAAGCTTCAATATCGTCCTTCATGGAGGTACCACCAATGGAAGCATGGACAGTGACGTTCAAGTACAAACCAATGTGGGTGATAACGTTTTGGATTTGTAAGGCCAATTCTCTGGTTGGGGCCAAGATCAAAGCTTGGGTAGCCTTTTCGTTTTCATCAATTCTTTGCAAAGCAGAGATGGTGAAAGTAGCAGTCTTACCGGTACCGGATTGAGCTTGAGCTAAGACGTCTCTGGCTTCAGTGATTGGTAAAATGGCTCTTTGTTGAATGGCTGATGGCGATTCATAACCGTAACCGAAGATACCTCTAACGATAGCTGGCTTCAAGTTCAAGTCATCGAATGAGTAGACAACGTTATCGTAGTTGGTTTCGATCAAACCGGAGTCGATTTCAGTAATTCCTTCAGACATATTGGATATGTGTGTATATATAAGTGTATATAGTTGGGGGTGAAGAGAAGAAGAAGAAGAAAGGAAAAGAATTACCAGAAGAGAAGGAGCCAAAAAAAGTTAAAGGAAAATTTTTAGGGCGAAAATTTTTTTTTTTTTTTTTTTTTTTTTAGCATTTTCTGATTTTCTGAATTTTCACCGTATTTTGGCGGTGGCGGTCGAAACTTTTGTAGCAGAGTCTGCGATTTGTAGGTGGAGGAGGTAGGGTGGTGATGAGGTCCGGGTAACCCAAGCAATGTTTCCATGCAAGTTGCTACAGTAGCGTCGGAGTGTCTCAAAGGTGTAGCATGTTGTGGAAAGAAAAAATGAGAGAGGAAAATGTTGACTGTGATGGAATCCAATGGAAGAAAAACAACTTGAGGAATGGGCTGAACTGAGGTCATCTCTTCTTTGTATACAGCTGACCTGACCAAGTCTCTTGTTCCTTTTTCTTTTCACTCTACTGTGATGGTTGATCTAGGACCCGCACGACTTTCACGCAGATCTAATTTGCAACCATTTCACAACCAGCGCGCACGCGCCGCGGAGTTAATGGTACGCGGAACGCAAGGGGCCATTGAATACTGAACTTGATGAACGAGTGCAACTCAAGAATTGGCGGTTACAGGTCACGAAATGGGAAGAGAAGGCAAGGCATACCATAAACCCCTATTTCTTACGTTTGCTTTCACTTTCATCGGCACTTCCCCTGAAAGTATAGTCCGTCTCGTCGACACATTACTCTACTGTATTTCTCCTCTTGCTTTTCTTCTCTTTTTTTGGGTGCAAATTCTCCACTCATTCCTACAAAGATATGGATCTGAATACTACAATTACATCTGATGAAAAGCTAACAAAAACTAGTTTACGATACGGACTCCTACAAAGGTATGAATATTAGAACGACATCTGATGTAAAGCTAACAAAAACTAGTCTATTGAAGCTAGCTAGTTTCCCACACCAGTGTTTTATGCCCAGTAGGGATTCCTACAAAGATATGAATATAAAAATGACATGTAATGTAAAGCTAACAAAAACTATTCTATTGGAATTAGATAGGTTCCCACACCAGCATGGGAATCTAATAACTTTTTTCTTCTCTTTTCTTATCCTCACTCTAATGAATCTTTAAGGATCTGTAGGGGCTCTGCTACTTTTCCTTAATCATATGAATCGTCAAATGATCTCTCCGGTTGTGCAGATCTGCCTCTAAACTCCCAAGGGAATATCTTATTATAGTTGTGCACCGGTCCATGACCCAACTCTTCCCCTTGTTCTTCCCAATCCTCCTCCTCAATATCGGCTATATTCTCCTCCTCTTCCTCGTCTAATGCATTTTCCTCTTCGTCCTGCTCTACTTCTAAATCCCGAACCTTCTGTAAAATCGTCGGAAATTCTACGGGATCATCGTAAAATACTCTTTCAGGTTCAAAGTACTCTCTCTCGTTAGTGGCTGGAATTGGCACGATCTCGGGCCTTGGAGTCGGTTTGTAAATCTCAGCGGTCACCGGCTCTGGCTCTGCGGCTGCTTGTTCTTCTTCTTCTTCTTCTTCAATCAACTCTTCAACTGACTTCGATTCAACTTCCTTGTGCTCTTCATCAGCATTGCCATCCCAGATATTCTGGAAACTCCTCATTTCCTCCTCCATTTGCACTGGTGCTTCCTTAGGAGTATCAGATGCTTTGGGGGGTTCTTCTTTAGTAGCATCCCAGGAACTATCCTCAGTGGGCTCTATATTGGATGGGAGCAATTGGTAACTAGTTGGGTCACATAATGAGTCTGGGTCAGACACTGAGGGTTGTGAAATTTCTTGATAAGGTTCACTATCAGCATGACTTTCTTCTACCGTTTCCGTACCTTCTTCAACATTGTGGACGTTTCCGAGCCGTTTTCCAGCTTCCTTCCCTTTAGCATAATATAATTCACTGGTATTATTCGAGTGATCCCCTAAAGCTTTCTCCCAGAATGCAATTGCATCGATCAGCAGTGTCTTTCCATAATAGTTTTCCCATAAATCCCACCACTTCTGATGAAGTGGATGTTTTGTCTCGGTAAACCACGGTTTGTAAGGGCCAATAAAATGAGTCAATTTGATTTGATTCCCACCTTTGAAGTAATTGCTAGCTGTAAAGTTGTACGAGTTTAACGCAGCATTGGTAGATGAGAGCAATTCATCTTTACCTGCTCCAGCAAATCCGCCAGTCAATGGTTCCCCATCTATTCCATAATCCTCGCCACTTCCTCCTACACCTTCAGTAAAATACTTGTACGCCGGTAAGTACTCATACTGACTGCTTGGGGTGACATTATACAAGAATGGAAGCTTAATCCAGTTTGAGCTTTTAACCACTTCCGCATTGGCAACATCTTTCTCTGAAAAGCTCTTCAGTTTGGTACTGGTCGATTCCTGTACATTATCATCGTCATTCAACAAATCTGTCACCCAGTTGGGCTGCGGGTTAAAATACTGGTTCAATAGCCCCTGGTCCGCACCATCAAATGAAATGGATTTTCCGGTAAGCTCTGAGTCTATGATGAGCCCAATTAACTGCTCATAATCTGTAATATTAGGCTGCAACACGAACACACCAGAATTGAAAATATCCGGAAATCCAGAGTCTGGCACTGCCAAAATCTTATTCTGGGGAAATTTCAATTTGAACAAATCAAGCACCGTACTATCGCCCTTAGCATGCCATTCTGGTACAGTATCCGAATCCAAGTACAACACCTTATCGTACCTACTCAATCCCCAAAGCGCAACTTTTGTGAAAGTTTTGGCCAATTCCGGTCTTCCCAAATCGTTCTCCAATTTATCCTCTAAGGTCGAAGTCAATGTCTGCACTGGAATTAAGGTATCATACAACTCTAACAATAAGTCCAATTGATACTTTGTGAATTTCAGCTCGTCAATTAAGATTGCCAATTCGACTTCCAACGCAGACAGAGATACTAGTTTGCGTAGTGCCACCCCTAGTACCAACGAACCAGGAAGGTATGAGGGGTCGTACAACAACGTTACAGCGGCAAGTTTCATTAATACTGTGGAATGGTAGATGTGGGATATTATAATAATGAAAAGAACCTTACCTCAAAGAATAAAATTAACACTTTCTATGCTTTATCTATAAATTCAAGGTCCAACCCCTCCCACAACACAAATAATGAGAAAATAAATGATGGGTTGGTAGCCTTCCCGCTTAATTACAAAAAACACCCCACCAAGAATGCAACATCTCGAGAATTTTATGCATGATGTACTTTATTTTATTTTTTCCATTCACTGAAGTGTGGGTCGTATGCAACAAGTGCATACAAACTATTAAAGGGGATGCCGATAACAAGGTAAAAATAGCCAGGGGTGTAAATATTACCTGAGACAAGCATAAGGTGTGCAAATTAGTAAGAGGAAAGAGGTAGACATGTTGTTCTGTTTAACTGAGTTTGTTTATTTAATCGTCACTTTTAAGAATTTCCGGAAAGTGGGGGGATAAGGGCGGGCAGGTCCATGACTGACTAAGAGGCTGGATCGGAAAATTTCGTCCAGCTACTCCAACATTTTGGGGGAGGTAAACGATTACACTTTCCGGGACTGCATTCAAGGAAACATCATTAGGTTCCGCAATCGGTGCATTAGGAAGTTCACACACTGAGCCGGGGTGTCTTGAAACACACGGTTGGGTTGGAACTGCATTTGGCTACATTTAAGCTTATGCGCTCTACGTCTTACAGACCAAAAAAGCAAAAAAAAAAGAAAAGAGGAGGATTATGAGGATGTACTCAACAGTATTGTTGTATTAGTGGCTTGTCTACGTAACTCCTCTAGATCTTCCCTCTCTTACTTGCTTTCAGCTATTTAGTTTTTCACGTTTATAATGATTAGATTACACACAATATTTATATATATTTACATATATAATATGTTTAACGGGAGTAAGACCAGACGTTCTTTAATAAACCGTCTTGTTGAGCTAATCTGTTTAAAGAATCGTCAGCTTCACCTCTACCTCTGACGTAACCACATAAAGCGTAGGTGGTGTTGTTACCAGCGATGGCTCTTCCTTCTTCATCGACGTTAGCGATGTTGATTTGAACGGAAGCATGGTCCTTGGCCTTGATGATTCTGTTGGTGGCAGAACACTTTCTTGGGACGTATAATTCGACCTAAAAGATGTATGTTAGTATATTGAAAAAAAAAAATATGTATATGTAATTATGGGACAGTTCATACTGTCACGCGCAGTTCACATCTATCTGAAAGTGGAAGAACTGTAGTAAAAGAAGGAGTAACGAGAATGGAATGGGTCTATTTAATGTGTGTAGGGCCATACGCGATGTTTGTTGAAAAATTATATCCTCACATATCCATCTAGATTCGTCACAAAGTACCCTGAAGTTCTCTTAGATCATGTATCACTACATTCAAATTTGTTTCAGAATTGTCCTTAGTTGTTGGTAATCGATTTAGGAACAAGTGGTGGCCGTTATATGTTGAAATATCTATATCGGATGTCCAGACATTGGGCATTCATTCCTCTCTTCCATTCCATTCACTTTCTACAATTTTTGATACGCCTGTCAGCCATCCAAATCTATCTCATCCTGGTTCTCAGTCTATATCTCTTCTTATTTTCTTCTTTAAATTATCTACATGGTTCTCCTCTAACAGCACTGCTTGATCTAGCTGTACTTACTAATTGACCTTTATCGTTTTCCATTTTGACGGTTGTATTTGTGATGAATAGAATGTATTACTAGTAGTTTATCTTCTGTTAACAACAAAATTTTTCATTAGCTTCAGTCGCACTGGAGAAAAAAAAGTCTCTTTTGTGTAACGTGATGGATTTTTGGAGAGTGCACGATCACTAGGGTTGTAGCCCTAGGCATTAGATGAGCGGTACTTGAGTTATAGCCAACCCTGCCTTCAAATCGTATGAGAGAGTATACTGCTTGCCAATAAATAATTCAGTTTCATTGCAAACGTAAGTGCACTTCAAACAAGGTTCAATTTGTTTACTACGGTCTTCAGCTAATTGATTTATGTGCATTGGTGCTACTTATTTACAGATACTATGGGTGTGCTAGACCAACTACTTTTTCAGACCATGTGCAGGACGTGATGAAGTGCTGCTTAAGCGAAAAAGCAAAGAACAATTTGCAGCCATTAAGTAACGTTACTATTCTTCTAAGTTAGTGGCATATATCTCTGAGCACAAGTTGGCTTTCCTACTCTTTTAAGGTCAATACTGCAATACTTTCAACATGATGTGTCTGCGGGAAAAAATCGAACCCTTTAATGCTTTCAACAATGTACTTGCTTCCGTTCTTGGTATTGTTGATAAACCAATCCACATCGCGAGCCTGTGAATGAACGTTGCAACTAATATACACAACTTTTCTGGGATTATACTCAGAAAGTTGATTCAAAAAGACGTCATCACACCCCTTTCTTGGAGGGTCAAGGATAACTGAAGTTCTTGAGGCTGGAGTATCGATTTCGCCAAAGATCTGCTCTGCCTTACCATGAATGAATCTAGCATTCTCAATATTGTTCGCCTTGGCATTACGTTCTGCAAATTTAACAGAATCTGCACTAACTTCGACACCAATTACCTTGGACACACCGGTAGAGCAAGTAATGGAAAAGAGCCCAGATCCACAGTAAGCATCGACCAAATAGTTTGGTTCTCCTTCTTTGGAGTTCGGTATCGTTAAGTTTTCCTTAACATAATTGGTAACTGCAGGAAGGATAGAATTGTTATTCTGGAAGAATTCTCCCGCTGAGAACTCAAATGTGTAGCCGTTGACGTACTCAGTGACGATTTGTCTTGGGTCAGTTACACAAGATTTGACAAGCTTTACAGCACCCTCATCAAGTTCAACTTCCACTTTCGATATTTCACCTTCTGGGGTTCTGGATGCACTGATAATTTCCTCACCTTCCTTCTTGGTATCTTCTCTAAGCAAGATGGTAGCACCCTTTTTGTACTTTTTATAGTCCTTATGGAAGACAGCTCTCTCATTTTTCATCCCCAAGTTGATAATTTCCGTCCCTATCGAACATTCTTCAATATCGAGAACTGAATAATCTCCCCCTTTAGCCTTATCTCCTCTCCATGTTGGTCTCCCCTTTGCTCCAAATCCTAACATGGGTGCAGGATAGTCTCCCTTTGGTAATTTATAAGGTAAGTTGAAATGAGGGGTCAACTTTGTTCTATAGCTGTATTGCAATGGTGAAGGCTCGGTAGCACTGACTGCTGGAAGGGCATCCTTAGTGCCTGACAACTGAGGTGCTAAATGCTTATATGCATTCTCTATGGTTTGTCTCTTGAAAATCAACTGTTGCTCATAGTCAACGCTTTGGAACTGACAACCTGAACACTTCCCAAAGTATTTACAGTTGATTTTTGAATCGTCTCTGAAATCAGAAGGCTTGATTACTTCTAATAAATCCGATTCAACGTAGGTAGGGTGTGATTTGAACACTTTAATCGAAACAACATCTCCTGGTAAACCAAACGGAACTATTGCGATTTGTTTTTTCTCCTGGGTGTGGGGATGTGGAATTAATGCTAATCCATCACCGCTAGAAGATAAGCTCACGATCTCTACATCACGTTCAATTCTGTGTGATTTCTGTTCGAATTCCTTATCATTAAGGATCAACTTCATGTCGTTAGATATATCATCCTGCGTCAAGTTATTTTGTGCTAATATATCGTTTATATGCTGTTGTAATACTCCCATTGGAGATGTGGAATCTAATTCTTTCACTTTATATTTTCTTCTGATGACTTTGGGTTTCTTAGCGGTCACCGTCATGGTTCCATTCTTATTGTCACCGGCACTCTTGGAAACTACGTCATCTGGACCCCTCTTTTTATCTTCTTCTATAGACATTTTGTATATTGGATATTAATCTAGCCTACCTTAGCTTTGGTTTAGTAAACCTTTAAATATTTTTCAAAAGTAATTTTGATTACTTCTGTCTGCTTTCCTATTCGCACTCATCGCAGAGCAGACCAAAAAGAAAAAAAATATACGATAGTGAATACAGATGAGCTTGTGTCTCACGTGACATGGCTGCAAAAAGAATAGGAACCTCAGACCCTCATATTAGCAGTGGACTTCATAACCTCAAGTTAGCAGTGGGGAACCTGTGCACGTACATGCTTGGTATGTTCGAAGATAGCCAGACTAGTGGGCGTTTCTTTTTGGCACCAGTGTCTGTGACATATTCTCTTCTCTTCTCTAAGTCTTGAATAACTTGTAGTTCCGGGATTCCCTTCTTAATGCCAAACTCTATTGCGGTAAAGATCGCCTTCCTCCTTGCGTAGGTACGCATTTCAGTAGGATATCTCCAGCTGGATCCAAATTTTTTCTCCAAGTCTCTCAAAGAAGGATTTACGGAGGTACCGTAGTTGAATTCTCTCCAAATTTCGGCAACAGTGTGTACCTTCGCAAGGCGGTACTTTGGAATTGTTTCGTACGATGCTTTACCTTGGTCCTGTGAGTAAGATGGGATATGGCTATGCACTACAGGAGGAGCAGGTGGTGGGGGTACAACAGGAGCTGGGGCAGTTAGTGGAAGTGGGGCGGGAGTTGAGTGGGAAGGTGGAGAAGGTAGATCTGTGGCAGAGTGCCCAGGAACGGGAGTAGCAACCGTGGCAGATTGAGCATCAATAGATGTAGCGGCAGTGGCACTAGAAGGAACGCTGTACCGTGGAGAAAACTGAGCAGAGTGGAGCGAACTAGCTGCTGAATCAGTTACAGCTCCTGGAAACGGCTTATCTACCACCTGACAGTCATCGTACAAATGTCGCGGCTCCAACGTAGGCATTCTAAAGCCAGCCGGCATGCAAAACATATTCCTTCTGTCGTTCTCCTGGATCAACTGCATTATGTCGCACTTCCTCTTCAACTCGCCTAATTCTCTTTCATATTTGCGATGTTGCAAGTCCAAGTTCAGTCTTAATTTATCGATCTCGTTGTATAGCTCATTGACACCAACAAACATTGTGAAAAAAATTGTGTCTTATATTGCTTATCTCTTGATATGAATTGATTGTATATTAGATTTCCCTCTATTCTTCTATATATCCTTGAATTTACACTATATTTATCTGCCACTTTCACTTCTTCAAGGAGGTTACTCATTAACTTAAATTGGTGAATTCTGTTGCAACTGTAAATCCCCACGTAGCAAATGTGGCCACTCCTGCATACACAATAAGTCTACCAACTATCTCTACATCATACCTAGGTCTAAACACACCACTCAATACCGGTGATGGAGAGTTTGGAACAATGTCGGGTTCGTCGAAATCCATCAGCTTTCTCCTTTCCTTTTCGTAATCTAACATTTCATACACATCAATGTCATTTTCAGGTCCAATGTCATCTCTTTTTCCATGCGTGTGAATGAAATCTCCATTCTTCTCTTGACGGTTCATGTTCAGAAGTGATTGCGATCTGATTTGTCTCGTAGTCTTTGTCAGAAATGCAGTGGCCTCAAAATTTCTTCTTGGTAGATAAACTCCCACTGTTTTATATACCGGCGGTAAAATGGTGAAAATAATTGGCTTCAGAATTGCCTTCCATGTGGCTACCAATACAATCCCTAATATCACTCTCAAGCATGTCTTAAGAATACCCAATTCCGCAAAATTGAACGGAATTGCGTAAATTTCTCCACCCAAGTACCCACTGCGTACAAACCACCAATGAGATGTATCCAACCCAATTAAGACCCCAATGAATGCTACAGAGTCGTCAAAGCACGGACAGTCATCTACGGGCTCTGAGTGGAAATGAATCAACAGAACATATCCAACAATAATTAATATTGGACTGAACCATCCCAAGGTGCTTAATTGCAAATTATCAAATGTAGTACCAAAATAGGTCCTAAATAAAAATAACACTATCCCTAGTACTGCTCCAGTAATAACATCGAAAAATCCATGCATTCCGCAATAAATTCTACCAAAAATCAACGATACATAATAAATGGCCAATATCACATACAAGATTATTTTTCCAAGACCACTAATTTGCTCCGTATTCATTATATGGTGGAAGAAGACTAATGTAACTGCAGTTGCATTTGCACTATGCAGGGATGGGAAACCATATTCCTGTGCTGTGTAAGTGGACATGGTAATTCTATGCAATGGGGGAGATCTTGGTCTTGGAAGGCACAAGTAGTCTTTCAAGTTACCTGTGAAGAATATGCCTAGTCCCAAGACATGCACCAAGTCTCTCGCAAGCTTGCCACCTCCGAACCAAAGAGGAATTGGAAGCATTAGCACATAAAACGTATGGGAAGCCAAATTCGCGGTCCACGCGAAATACAAATCAAGCCAAGGGTTCCTCAAGTTGGTCTGTACAGATAGTAAGATATCATTCTCAGCTCTGATGAGAGGGAGGCATTTCGATCTCAACGTGTATCTAAATGGAGACAATTTGCTTTTGTAATGATTATTGGATCCTGTCCCAGCTTCCGGAGTACTGTCCTTCACATATGAATCTGTGTGCGTTGGTGTGGGGGGTGGTATCTTAGTAGCCCGTTTTGAAATAGTCTCAGAGCCTTCATGCATCCTCAGACCAGACGAAGATTGCATCTTTTAGGTGTGTGGTATGGAAATTTCGCTATACGTGACTCCACTGGCTACAAAGTCAAGTGGTAAAGCTGCTACAAGGCTGAGTGAGAAAGACCTTGAACCAAAGAAAGCATAGAGTACTGACAATAGCGAAATTCGAAAATGAAAATAAATAAAAAAAAATAAAAAAATTAAAAATGCATAGAAAATCAAAAATCTGCGATTGGAAGAATAAGACGGTAGCCCCAACTTTCTCTTCGACCAGCAAATTGACGACAAAATTTACAAGACTACTTCGGATTTCGGAAGAATTACAGTGGTGGTGGCAAATCGCTCTTTCGAATTAGCTCGTCTTCTTCATTTGTATTTTGTAACTGGTACTATCTGTCAAATGTAATATGCAACTCAAATTCGTTGTATGTACCGTTTAGGTAAGTCACATGACTGATAATTAGATCATGCTGCAACCAACGTGCCAGTAGCCGGGTTCATGGTGTCTGTCGGTGCAAAATAGCTCTAGAAGTATATTACTAGAGTCAAGGTGCGATAATGACGAGTTGAAAGGGTGTTTGACATAGAAATTGCACCTCTCGTGTTGTAGAGCAATATATTTACGAAGTAGGCTTCCTAAGTAACATTTACTGAACTGCTATAAGTACTGGCCACATGATAGTATCTTACATAGTACATGAGATTAATCTATATCTATTAAAGTGATTCGTACACATAATTCATCCTATTCAACTGAAAACCAACAGGTCTCTAGTCTAAATCAAGAAGAGCCCCTACCTCTCCAACGTAGTCAAATATTCACATGCTAGGGAAGAGGGAAGTCTTGGGGAATGCTTCATTTTTCCTTCATCGGTCATCTTATTCTCTGATCTCTCCTATCTTTCCCTCCGTACATTACATCCTTCCGCATTTCTTTACAAAATCACACATTTTCTCTTCTTTTTCTTCTTCTTAGTCTCTCTAGTAAATGCGAGTTCCTCTTCATTATAACGCAGTTGAGGTTGCTGCTGGTGAGGACTTTGCTCTCCCCCAAAGTTTCCGTATGGATTTCTTACGTAGGTGTCTTCCTCTAACGGTTGATCCAACAACAAAGCTGAGTCATACGAAGCGTTTTTAAAGTGGCCCTTCTTTTGACTGTTAGATGATGCATGGCGCGAGTGAGTGGCATAATCCCGAGATCCAGACCCAGAACCCAAGTGCTTGGAGAATCTCTTTTTCAGGGATCTCTCCAATTGCTCTTCCTGCTCTCTCTTTCTCATATAATTATTTATGGCAAAATTAAAGACAGTCTTAATGTTAAACATCTTTTTAGCAGAACACTGAATAAACCCGATTGCATTGATCTCCGTAGCCAACTGTATGGGTAAATCGGGATCCAAGTCTGTAGGGAGATCGGATTTAGTTCCAACCAAAACAATAGGAATTCCAGGGCAGAAGTGGGACACCTCAGGGAACCATGTGTCTTTGACGTTTTGTAACGAAGTCAAACTTTCCAACGAAAAGCATACCAAAAGGACATCCACGTCTGGGTATGATAAAGGTCTTAACCTATCATATTCCTCCTGGCCAGCGGTATCCCAGAGGGCCAATTCAATAAGTTTCCCTTCAGGAGTCAAGACATTAGTGACATAATTTTCAAATACAGTAGGGACATAGATTTCCGGGAACTTTCCCTGTGCGTACGACACAAGCAAGCAAGTCTTACCACAGCCACCATCACCTACAACCACAATTTTCATATTATGTGAGGAGGATTTTTTGAATGTTTTCTGGATCGGATAATCTGGTATCACTGGGTCATCATTGATGATAATCTTGGGGGCATTGTGCCTTTGGAAGTACTCCTTACGTTGTTTATCTATGACGCTTTGACGTTTAACATCTTCGTAAGGATTGGAGAAGGTCTCCAGAACCTCGGTTCTAGGTGACCAAGAAAACGACTGGTGTTTAGAATTTCTGTTAGACATGTATACGAAAGGAACGCCGATATACTATGTGCTAAGTTTGAACAACTTATCTGATAAAAGAAGCTCCAAACTAAAGGTGAATGTAGCGAGTGAGTGGCTCTCTTTTTGTTTGTTTTGTGTTTTTTTTTTTTCCCGATTTTGTCGTTTGGACTTTCCAAATTTTTAGGTGAAAAGGAAAGAAGTTCAATTTAGCAGGGGAAATCCAAACGGGAAAGGGAATAGTTTGTGTTCAGTTTCCAGGTTTATGTTTATTTTTCTAGCGGGGCTGCTTTCAGCGATTTTTTTGGTTTCGTAATTCAATGATTTGCTCGTTTTGCTGGCTATACTGTAGGCGTTTGATTTTCTCCTCAGCTTGGCTAACTCTCGAAGCACTTGCTTGCCATTTGCTCGCATTTATGTAGCAGATCGATCTTTCATGGACAGTTGCGTTACACAAAATCAGATTTGAGTTTAAAAATAGTATAATTTCTATTTTTGTCACATTAAGGAATTGATGACTTGGGAATTCGGCGAACATCTATTGTGCGTGTTTGATGAAAAGAATGAAGTGAAAATGAGTAGGGGAAGAAGGAATATGAGAGGAATTCGTGAGAGCTGTTTCAGAGTTTATCTTAACGAGGATGAGAAAAGCACTTAGGCAGAAGCTGCAGCAGCTCGGGCTGATAGCGTACTGCCATGTGTTATATGCAGGAACTGTCAGCTCTTCCTTCTTCGTTTTTGTTAGCACGTATAAAAGGACGGGATTTGATTGTTGCATAGTGGTAGCAATCTTGCTCATGCTGATGGATGTATTGCATGCTTTGCGCGATTTGCTCGATTTGATTTCCCTATAGAAGACTATTCGTCCTTCTCACCTTGTATAAATATATGTATGTGTGTTGCACAGAAAATCTTAGAGGATGTATCATGATTCTTCGGTGATTTGGTGAGTACTGCATATATTGATACCAGGTTCACCATGCAGATAAGGAACCGTCTCCCACTAACAAATGAACATACTCTACAATTGTTTACTACAGTATTTTTTTCTTTATTGACGTTCATAATCTTATAAATTTTGGGACATCCAATACATCAAGCATATGGAAATTACTTCCCCTAGAACGTAGGAATAATGTTCCTAGGGCATCTCCACTTTTCAAATCTCGTTAGATTTGGTTTGCCACTTCTGCAACATAAATATGCACCACTGAAAAAATAAAGGAAAATAAAAATAATCTCCTCCCATTTGCAAAATATGCTTTCTACATTGATAGGTGACTCATCCGATGAGCTTTGAAGAATGAAACTTGGGGTACATCGATGATGTCAATTTTTCTACATCATTGTACATAATTCCTGAGCCTTTCACGAAAAGTTTGTGCAATTTGCACACGCATTCATAATAGGTTAAATTGTAAGCACATATTGAAAATATAGCAATTAACTCTTTAAAGGTGATCATTCATGATAATATAACCCCATTGTCTCTAATGTACTACCGTAATTGGAATCTTTGTAGTAGTAATCTTACCATTCAGGATCTCAAGTTTTAGTTCAACGTAGTAGATTCTCCCCATAAAGCAATTTTGAAAACTTGGAACTATGTTATATTTGTCAAAAGATGGAGTAGATGAATAAGCTGACATTGATCCTCGTAGTTGAGCACTTGTTAGTACCGCTGAGATATTTAATGTTTTACTGATTGCAGCAGTTCTCGAAAGATCAAGATTTACCATAACATTCTTATCTTGAGTTGCATTCAAATAATCCGCAGTCCAAGGAATGGCACTGGAATTTAATTTAGTTGTGTTCATTATATTGCAGCTGTGGATATCAAAAGCTACCTTTTTCGTTCTACAGCTTAATATTGCTCTTAAGTTTTCCAACAACTTAGTATCAACAGCATATTCGGGATTGTCCTGAGTATGCTTAAGTTGTTCCAAGATCTCATTGTAATATTTGCGATATGGCTCAAATACTAATGACTCGAAATTTCCACCAGTATCATTGTTGAAGATCATATCGAAGTCAATCTCTATAGGATATTTATACTTCTCTGATATATATGAAAAACTTTCTAAAGTTGCAGTAACGTTAGTGATTTCTGGCAACTTATCGTTCGACATGGGTATGTATTTCATATGAATTGGGATATTTATTGTCCAACTCGCTAAATCCTGGGCCGAAATTTCGGTGCTTCTGAAGCTGACAGTTGGAATGTACTTTATCTCATGATGTGAAGTTGAAACAGACATTTCCAAAACACCAGATGCTTTGGATGTCCTGTTAAAGGTTTTCCTACTAATAGGAATTGTTAAACAATGAATAGGTGACGAGCCGATATTTGGCTCGTAATATGGAGGTGGTGGTGCACTAACTCCAGTGTTGTAGCTAAGGTTTTCTCTCTTACTGTCCTCGTCTCTTGGAATCAAGTTTCTTACTTGTTTACCTAACTTAATTGCATCTTTTGCTCTTTCTCGTAGTTGTAGATCTATCTCCTTGACTTCTTCTCTATACTGTAACGTCGTAGGTATGTCTAGAGATCTAGGAATTATTTCAATATTCCTAGAGGTATCTTTTAACACAACGTAAGAATTTGTATCATGATTTTTCCCAACAAATATTGCTTCAATGGAGTATTCAACAGTAGCGTTGAAGAATGACATATTCTCTGAATTTATTGAGTCTACTGAAGGAGGTAGTTCTGACTGTCTCATTAAGCCTTCCTTCTCACAGTAGTAGTCAAGTAACTTATAAGGAACTTGAAATGAAAAATACCTCTTGTATTTAATTCCCGGATACATAATTCGATCTTCACTGAAAGCCAAGTGCGTATCATCAATAGGATCGTAGTTTAAAACTCTTCTTGATTCGGAATAATTAGAACTTGCACATAGATCAACACTTTGCAAGAAGTTTTTGGTACTAGCAGGCTTGTTTTTCATCTTTGTAAATATGTTCTTTGACAAATACATGTTTCCTTCAAATAAAACATAAAACATACTAAAAGGAATTGGCTCCTTGGTCGTATTTTCAGAGATTACAAACCCATATATATGGTCACCATTAGTATGGAACTTTTCAGTCTCAGAATTTATCAAATTGGGGATTGTGCCTGGAATAGCGGCGTCTGACGTGAAATGGATAGACATATCTATCGCATTGTAAGACAAGCTGCTCGTTTGTCGAATGTTATGATGGAAATTCAAAATGCTATTCCCAATTTCTGGTGTTACATAAGAAAATCCTGAGTCATCACCATCACCTTGGGTAGTTGTCATGCTGAGATTTGAAGTCCATGGATCTATTGCTTGAGAGTCATCTTGAGAACTTGCACTCTCTGGAACAGAAGAGAAGAATGATTGCAAATTAGTAGAAGCATTGCTCGGGGCATATAGATAATTGCTACTTTGTGTTTCCCTACTCTCAAAGTAGGGATCGGCTGTAGTTAGGTTCAATCCTTCTAGTCTATCTTGCAAATCATGGTCTCTTGGTACCTGGCTCTCATCGTATTTTGGAACCTGCTGGTTTGAATCGGGAGAAAATTCCAAAGATTTTGCAACAATTGCTTGGTGCATTTGATATGAAGGAAGAATACTATACAGTAGACGGTCAAGTGGTACCAGACCTGGGTCATCGGTCTCATGTTCAGAAGAGACTGAAGCGCCAGATTGACCAGAAGCACGGCTATTGTCTTGAGAACTATTTATCATTATTATAGGATACTAATTAAATAAAAGGGAGAGGTTAAGTGCACGACATTCTACTATGCATGTAATGAGGTAAATACTCCAGTTTATATAAAAAATTGATCACTGCTTCAATTGCCCTCGACCTAACCCTCGATCTAGTATGATAGCGAGTCACACCTAAGGAAATAAAATGCAGTACTTGTCATAATCACCCTATTTGCCATCAAGTCCAAACTCACAATGAACTTAAAAATAAATACCTGATGAAGTGAAAAATTCACGGTGCATATCCGCACGCTAAAAAATAAAATAAGTGATCAAACTTCTCGCAGAAGGGAAGAGGTGAAAAATCTAGCTATATTGGCTGCTAAATTACCAATTGCTCAATTCAAACGTCAATTCCTCTACAGGTTCATTGACAGCCACACTTGAAGCTATCTACACTTCAAATAATACCATAATCGGCTCAATTTGTATATTAGAAAAGAAGTTGTAGTTATTTGCCTCGAGTGAGGCTAGAATGGTTCCTACATGTGCGGCTGAGAGAATTGTGCATATATTCAAGACGTCAACTTAGCCTTTTGCCTTCGCAATTGGCCCTTTAAAATCTAATCCAGCGATCTTAGTAAGCAGGGCAAAGGCGTCTTCTTAGACCTTTTCAATACAACCGTTGAATTGCAGAGTGGGTCAATTGGCGGTAATCCAAAACCGTCTTAAAACATAAAATTAAATAATCCCGCGCCACTATGTGATGTCGTATGTATAGTGACAAAAATTAGCGCTGCAACGGCTATCTTTTATCACTTATTTCCGGTTTAGTTTTTATTTAGTTTTTATTCCATATTAGACGGCATATTCAAAATTTCCTCACTTCTAATTGGTTATAGTGATAGGTATTCTGGTAGTGGTTGCAATTCCCTGCGGGAATTCAAGTGCAAGCTTTAAACAATACATTCTTCCTATAAAACAATTCTGAAAACTGGGAACTATGTTGTATGTGTCGAATGATCTGAGTGTGGATGCATCACTCATTGAATCTCTTAAAAATGCGCTAGCAAGGTCTATATTAATATTAATGTCTTTACGCTTGCTATTACGTCTTGGTTCATTAAAATATTCAGTGTTCTCAGTTGAAGATGGCAATTCTTCCCTATCCTCTTTCCAAGGCAATGATTTAGAATTCAACTTCGATGAGCTATCAATTGTAATATCTCCGATGCTTAGAGTAGATTTCTTGGTCTTGATTGTTGAGATTGCTCTTAAATCTTCAAGCAAGCTTGCCACAACGCTGAAGTCTTGGCGATTATGAACCTCTCGAAGCTGTTCACATAAGTCATAATTTAATCTCTTAAATGTTTTTATTAGTATAGTTGGAAGCTCTTCACCGGTTTCATTATTGAACAAATAGTCGAAATCTATTTCAATGGGAAGCTTAAATTTATCATTTACATATGTGACACATTCTAATGATGCAGAAATATTGGTAATCTCGGGAAATTTACCATCAGAATTTGGTAGATATCTCAAACTTACTGGAATATTTATCTTCCATGAGTCTAGGTCTTTCTGCAATATTTCTGTCTTTCTAAGTCCAATGGGTGCAATAAACTTCACTTCCTTGTGTATAGTCAGAACAAAGACGTCTAAAAGTCCAAGTTCGTTGGAAGTTCCGCCAAATAATTTTTTTGTTCTTATCGGAAGCTTTGAAAGGTGATTCGGTGATTGCATAAACTCAGTCACATTATTACCTTGAGAATTCGGGAAGCTTGTTCTATCAATACCATTCTGTAACTTACCTTTAGAGCTCTCTTCAATTGGCATTAGTTTCCTTATTTGTTTTCCCAATTTGATAAAATATTCTGCTTCAGCTTTTATTGAGTTAGTAATTGCTTTAGCCTCTTCCCTGTGGTACGGGTTCATTGCTTCTTTTGTGGTCTGGGGAATAATTATTACATTTCTAGAGCAATCTTTGAAGGTAAAAAAATTATTCTGGTGTACCTCTTGTCCCACTAATTTCGCTATAATGGAATATTCAATCTTGTTATCATTGAATGACAAAGTCTCGAATGATTCAGGATCTAATGAAGGTGGTAATTGAGTTTGCATGATTAATCCATCTTCTTTACTATGATAATCAATCAACTTCTGAGGAACCTTGAACGAAAAGTATCTTTTGTACCTAACTCCAGGCTCCAAAATCCTTCCTCTGCTAAAAAACAACTGAGTATTATCAATAGGATCAAACTTCAACCCTTCTTCCACGCTGTAATTGAAACTTGCAGATAGGTCAACGCTTTGCAAAAAGTTGATAACTTTATGTGGCTTTGTTTTAGTCGTTTTATACATGCTATCAGCCCGAATTATATTTCCTTCTAATAAAACATGAAACATACTAAAAGGCAAGTCTGTTGAAGTTAAATTCTCACATAGAACAAAGCCATGAATATCATCTCCAGTTGTATAGTAGTTGGATACCTCTGGGGATAGAAATTTGGGACTCTTTCCTGGAATGCAAGCTTCGGCAGTTAGGTACACTGCTATAGATATTGAATCAGAAGGAAATCTGCTGGATAAAGGTTCAAGTTGATGGTTCAAAGCGCTGTCATGTGGATTGTGGATTTCTGTGGCGGGACTCCATGCATACATTGATGATCTCTCTGAATTTGATCTATAGGAAGAGGAAAAACATGAATTTGAGCTGCACGAGGTTTCACCACTTGTACCGACCAAGTCCTCGTGACTACTACCATACCTAGCACCGACATATTCTTGGCCCATACTCTGAACTATTCCATGGGAGCCAGGGCTATTTACTTCACCATACGCGGGCAATTCCTGGGTCACTTGGTTGGGGTTGGGCGGAGGATTTGAAAGAATGGCCTGATGCATTTGATAGGAGGGAAGAATGTTGTACTGATCATGTGTTGTAACTATTGGAACAGTCTTATTAGTCTTTGATGATGTTGATGATGAGCTCAATTTCTGAAAGTTCGTATTATTGAGGGACTCATAGTTTAACATTTTAGTGGTGTCTTACTCTTTGGGTGGTCCTGGCGAAATGTCTACTCTTTGGATAGTTATGATGCAATTGTTGCTGTTATCTGTGACTTATATATTCCTTTATACTTGTTAGTCACCAATGCTGACTAAATCTAAGCCTTCTGGAACCAATGTTCTCTTAAAGTTTAAATAGTTCCAGTGCTCTTGGCCAGTAAAAATTCGATGAGATAGCATAAGGCGGGCGTTGCTTCTTCGATATCGATCGTCGTTTGGGAGTCCCGGAACAAACTATGTTCCGAAGTTTATCCAGCATCATAACTTTGCATTGATAATGCCTGAAATTGGCGTTCCAATTGCACAAATAGACGCCGAGGAGTATCTACAATGTGCAGCTTGCCATCTTAGCACCACACAGGCAGCTTTTGCTCTATTACTCCAGCTACAACTGAAAAGCTGCTTAGCCTCCAAACTGTGGCCTACTATCATCCTCCCTACAGCCGGACGGCTGAATGGAAGCTGCGAACAGTGTGCGAATGATTTTGATAAGAGAAAAAGTAAAATAAGCTTTTACATCTAGGTGCGAATTCCGCTGACTAAGTATTCCGCATCAGGAAGCACGGCGTAGCAGTTGTAGCAAATGAAGCTCGACCTGGGCTTAATTAGACTTTAACGATCATTGGTTTATCGAGCGAGTCTCTTTTAAGTGGCAAACAGTAAAGAGAAATGGCTTTGATTGTGCTTCCCCACCAAATCAGGAAGTACGGGGTAGCAGGTGTAGCAAATGAAGCTCGACCTGGGCGCAATTAGACTTTAACGATCATTGGCAAACAGGAAATAGGATTGACATTAAGGGTCCTTCCCCACGAAATCAAGAAGTGATGAGTTGTCTGTAGCCCTTATTCCAAGATACCATGGGACATGTCTCTGTAGTAGATCATATTTGTAATCACTTTGTCTGTCTTACTCTGGTTAGTAGGAATTCGAAAGAGGATTGACTTTGAAGGTCCTTCCCCACGAAATCAAGAAGTGATGGGTCGTCTGTAGCCCTTATTCCAAGATATCATGGGTCCTGTCTTTGTAGCTATATTTAGAACCACTTTGTTTGTCTCAGATTATGCAATTAAGCTTCCTCTAGACCCTCGCTGACTAAGTGCGTCATTAAGTCCATATGAAACTTGCTATTGCAATTTATCTTCATTCTTCAAGAACGCAATAAAAAATATGTTATACCAGAAAGTGTAATATACAGAAACAGAATAACAGGAATGGAGATCAAAGGTGGAGTCATTCTTACAGAAGAGAGAGTGGTGCAATACTATTACCAAGGATAGAGGCGACATATTATTATTCGTCTTACATGATCGTTTTGCTGGCTATATCTCTCTGCCATTCTCAGCTAGACACCATAGGCAATATGAACCATCGTATTTTTTCGGTGCTTTCTTCGCATTCATTTCAGAGAGTTAGATACTAAGTACATTCGATGTGAAATGCGTGCGTAGCCTTTCCTTTTTCTCATATCTAGTGCCTAACCACTGCTAGTTAATGCCGCTCGTAGTTGGCCCTTATGATTCAAGAGATGACTATTTTTCCATGTGCGGTGTAGAGATCGATCCGAGAGAGTAAAAAAAGAAAAAAAAACCGTTTTCTGCAGTTGGGTGCAGGAATTACGGGAAACTCTACATCAAATTTGCTCTTGATCACACCAGCTAGCTTCAGATCTAGACACAGTACCAGCCACGCAATATATTTCATCAATTTTGAGACATAGTAGCCTTGTTTGATACTTCATCAACTTCAAATTTGAGGCATAATAGCCTTGTTTGGAAGATACCTAATAGGGGATCAGCACATAAGGATACGCTGACGGACCTAGACGACATTGATTCACATTGTTTTAAATTCTCTTGATCATCGAATAAATGCAATGCAGAGTCCTACCTGCGTTCTGGACTCTAGTGGTAAATAATAAAAAGTAATGTAGTCTCAAAGTGGTGATTCTAGGTGTCAACACCAAGTCACTGAAACACCGAACCAATTACAAGACAGCTTCAACTATTGTTTTAGTATGTGCAGGTGCGTTTTGCTTAGAATTCAAATGCCGTAGTCGCAACTTGCAGTCATACGTAGGAGGTGGACCGGAAGTCGTCCTATACAATGAAGCTCATCAGAAACCAAATGATCCTCACGGCTTCTGCAGCTGTGACTACCCTTTCTTGCGTATTACATTAGTCTAGTTCGTTAAATAGTAGCTGGCAACAAGAACAAGAAAAGAAAAAAAAAAAGAGGTGCAGAGCTGTGCACCTTCACGAAAAGAAGTTGCAGAGAACTGCATAGACGCAAGGCTGCTTAAAATTGTTTTGACTTGTTTGATGGTCGTGCCCACAACCAAGTTCCATGTCTCACTGTTGGCATTGAATTTTTCCTCTTCCTCAATTTTTCCACCTTTGCCCGCGCGATTCGTGTTTCAAAAAAAAATAGCGAATTCATAAGGAAAGGGGGGAATTAGAGGCGTAGAAGGGTATGCTAGACGACAACACACTACACTATCGTCGAGTTTATTAATAGTTTCGTTTTGAAATTGTAACGACGTCCAGTCAAAAATAACCCTTACAACTTTTTGTCATTAAACCAGCCTATATGTGTGTCTGGTAGAGCGCTGCTAACATGTATGTCATGATATAATCCGATGTCTGAATTATTTATTTTTTATGTTATTTTTCTTCTGTAATCAGCCTACAGATATCAGATACGCTGGTAATTTTGCTTAATAAGGATGATTTTTGGCCCTTTTTGGCCAATTAAACGATTCTGCGCGGGTTTTTTTATGTAAACAAAAATAAACCTCAAGCAAAAAATTGATCAAAACAGCCCGGAACTGCTGAGAAAACAAGCAACACGTGACTACACCTCACCAAAACTCACACTTCCGAACCCTCGGAGCCAAGGTATTTTCTACAATTTTGGCGCGAGATTTGTAGCCTGTGGACACTACCTGCCTACATGTGTCTTATGCAAGCCTTGCTGCAGACGAAAAGCCCAGCTTGTCAGATGTGCCTTGTCAGTGTCTCGACTTCTTTTTTTTTTTATTATTTTTTTCCACTCCTACTAATAATACTGGTATCCTTCTGTTTTTTTTTTTGATTGACTTGCTTTTTCTTTCTTTTCCTTTCTTTAGTTCATTACTACAAAGTTTTCCAACTCAAAGTCATTCCTTTCAATAGCACTCACCCTATACATTCCTTAAATATAGACAAATAAGGTTGTTGGTTATCATTTCGTCAAAAAAAATCATAACAACAAACATCCTTCCCGACTAAATTTTGACCGGATTTTGACACCTATATTTATAACAAAACTAATATCATTGTAGATTCAAAAAGGAAAATGCAAATCTTTGTTCCAACAGTCTTCGCTGCACTTGTAGCTGCTGTCTCAGCCAGCTGTGAAGAAGTATCAGGAAACTACTACTGTTCATTAACCACCAAAGTGACTTATGAAGGTATAGGATTCTCAGGATCTTATAACGATGTCACCAACATGGACGAATCTACTGGTGAATGTACCTCGTCTTCATTGTCATTCTCAGGTAATTTGAGTCCTCTTGACGAAGAATTATCTGTCCACTTCAGAGGTCCTATCAAGTTGTTGCAATTCGGTGTATACTACCCAAGTTCCTCATCTTCCAGCTCCAAGAAGAAGAGAGCTGAAGAAGACTGTGAAGTTCACGCTCACCACAAGCACAAGAGAGCTACTGCTATCGAAGTCGAAACCCAAACCGTGTACGTTGACGGTAATGGCCAACTTCAAACCAGTACTGCCGCAGCCACCCCAGCTGCTGTTGAAGTATCTGCTTCAGCCAGCGTTGGAATTTCAGTTGGTACCGACGTTGCATCCACTTCAACCTCATCTTCAGCCAACTCCGCCAGCTCTTCTACTTCATCAGCTTCCGCTGGTGACTGGGTAAGAGCCTCTTACTACACCCCAGGTTCTGCTGATAACTGTACCTTCTTGAACTACTACGGTGGTTCTGGATCCGGTACTTGGTCCTCAACCTTTGGTAACTCTTTATCATACGCCAACTCTGACGCCTCTGGTGGCTCATCAAGTGCTGTTGCCCTTGAGGAATGTACAGTTGCCTCAGATGTTGAATTCATCATCTTCTCCGGCTCTGAATGTGATGGAGACTGTGGATACTACAGAGCTGATACTCCAGCTTACCACGGGTTTGGAGGTAAAGAAAAGATTCTTGTTTTCGAATTTGAAATGCCAACTGCTACTGACTCTGCCACTAACAACTACGATATGCCAGCTGTTTGGTTATTGAACGCCAAGATCCCAAGAACTTTACAATACGGTGACGCTTCTTGTTCATGTTGGTCTACTGGATGTGGTGAATTAGATTTATTTGAAATCTTGTCATCAGGTTCATCTAAGTTAATCTCCCACTTACACGATGGTCAAGGTGATGCTGGTACCACTTACGGTGGTGGTGGTTCATCCGATTACTTTGCTAGACCAACTTCTGGTTCCTTAAAGGCTGCTGTTGTTTTCGACGGTGAAAACATCAGTATCGTAGAAGTTGACGATGACTTCTCCTCAGTCTTATCTTCCGACACTGTCCAAGGATGGGTTGACCAATCTGGATCCGTTGCAACTCTTGTTTAATAATGGTCTTGCTATAGTTTGCTTTTATTTCTTGTTTATTTGATTTTCTTATACAAAAATCGTTGTTTTTGAATAAAAATTTATTGAAAAAAGATTCGCCCAAGGCATTCCTGTAGTTACTGATGCTTTTCGTCCAGACGCCAACCTTGTAGCAGGGATAGATGATCCTACGTCTTGAATAGTTAGTGTACGTTGAATCTTGATTTTGCTTACTTAGTTTGTCACAAGTAATGGGCATGTTTGATGCTTGTCATTGACATTGACCACACTTCCACGCTTTATTTTATTTTATTTTAATTTATTTTATTTTTTTTGATTACATGCATAAAATATAAAAGTTTAAATTTCTTTGCGTCTCAATCGGTGTGGAATAGTTGCTAAATATACTAAACCTGATTGCTCTTTCATTTTTGGTAGTGAGCTCATTGATGTCGTATATAGGCGTTGATATAGGAACAAGCTCCGTAAGGTCGTACTTGATTGATTCAGTTGGCCATGAATTCACTGCTACGAAGGACATAACAAGGAAAGCTCATTCCAAGCACACTTCACACATCACGCAATCATCAGCTGAAATATTCGATGCTGTGAAAAACACTGTACTTACAACTATTTCAAAGGCTGGTATAAGGCACGTAGATGGAATATCGTTCACGGCCACTTGCTCAATGGTTGTTTATGAGGTTGTAGGTGATGGTGATGAATATAAGCCGTATCCATGTGATTACGACAAGAAAGACTACAAACAAAATATAATTCTTTGGATGGATTCAAGATCCATCGCACAGCTGAAGTTTATAAATGAAACTATCGATAAAAGTGAACTAAACAAAGTAGGGGGAAGTTTCATACCTGAGATGGGGTTACCTAAGTTGAAATGGTTAAGTGATAATAAGAACGAATCTGTAGAGTTGATAGCTTTCGAGTTACATGATTGGATCACTTGGATGTTCACAAAGAATGGCCAGTTAGACAGAAAATGTTTGGAATCTAACTATAAAAAACTACGGTATGGTTCGTTTGATGGATCTTTCAAGGGGATTGATCCCAAGCATGTAGAGGCGCTAAATATTAGCAGAGTTCAGATTGGAAGCAGTGAGAATATGGATAAAGTATTTCCTGTTGGCACACCTATTGGCAAAATAGACAGTCAACTAGGTATAGAGTTAGGTTTGGCCGATAATGACACTATCGTTGCCGTAGGATGTATTGATTGCTATGCTGGGTGGCTATCAACCATTTCGAATCTGGTGCCTAATCCAATTTATATGATAGCTGGTACTTCTACATGCTTTTTGTTCCCAATTAAACTGGAAGCCAGTAAATCAGAAAGTATTGGAGGAGTGTGGGGTCCGTATAAACTTTTACCAGATGTCGAATTGTATGAAAGTGGACAACCCGCAACTGGGAAATTGTATGAGTGCTTATTCAATGAATATGAGACTGTAATCCAGAAGGAAGTTGGAAGTTCAGTCAGCAATTCGCAGATATTTTCTTGGCTCGAACGGGAGACCAGTTCGTTATGCAAAGAATATGGTACACTGATTCACTTTATAATCAAGAATTATTTTTACTACGGAGACCAGTTTGGTAATAGGTCCCCCTTTAACAATTCAGATATGTCCACAATGATTATCGATGGTCCACCGTTTGATGGATTGCCGTCTCTATTAGACCGGAGTTCAAAGATCAGCCTCACTATTAGGTATAACTTGATATTGGAATTCCTAAGTTTTCAGACGTTAGACCTAATTGAGAGCTTTTCATCTTCGAACTCGATTGAGAGCATTGTAATTAGCGGTTCACAAGCTCAGAATGAGAGATTCTCAAAGATTTTGAAGATGGTTACGGATAGAAGAGTATTCGTATGCGACAAGAATGATAGTTGTGGGGTTGCAAAGGGTGCCGCAGATCTAGCTGCAATGACATCGCTTAGCTATACAGGCAAGAATGCAGAATTACGAGAAGTTTTTGTTGGTACAGATGATTATGCCGAAAACAGACCACTTCTCGTACGCAAGCAGCAGCTTAATAAGGAAATGGCTGAATTTCAATTGAAGTTTCGAAACATAATGGGTTGTACCTAGCCAAAAAAAAAAAGAAATGAAAAAAAGAAAGGCTTCTAGAAATCGTTGTGTTGACGTGGTTGCGGGGTGCATAAATTTTAAGATTGCAAAAGTATCGAACAAAGTTCATTAGAAATGCGCAGGGTCTAACGAAATGGTAGACCAGTAACAATTTCGCCAGAAAAGCTATGAGATCGGGATTGACGGCACCTCTTGACTCCCTGTTAACCCTCCAGTACTCAGGACCACTTATAACCATTATCAGGACCAAGGGTAATTTCCTATGAGTTACAGGTGCTCCATTAAAGGCGGTATACCCTAAAAAATAATCCAAAAAAATAATTGAAACAATTCTCGGTCACTGAATTAATTGAGAACAAACTAAAGGTATGCCACACAGGTTATGCTCTAGTTCGCACACCCCCTAAACAAATGTGCGCTACCAAAGCCTTGTCCCAGCTCATCGTGTACCAGTAGTAGTAACAGATTTGTGCCTCTTCTAACTTACTGCCCTAAAGTCAGTGGTGCATCTCAGTTGCAACCACACTAGTTCGTTAAAGCTTAATAATCTCCCCAGTTATTTCCGACGTCAGTTCGTCCTTTCTTTTTTTTTTTTTTTTTTTTTTTTTTTGTTTAACTTTTTGCGGGACTAAACATAAAACACCAACTTGATCACTTCATCGACAGTTCATTGCACAGCAGATCAAGAGACCCACATAGCAGCCCATGTTACCCTCAGCCTTACGCACAGGGGACGACCTGAAGTCCATCGCTTCACGGCAGAGCCATAGAGCCTGTGATGCTTGCGCAGTGAGGAAGGTTAAATGTGGACCAGTGTTTCCGTGTTTCCGTTGTGTCTCAAAGAAGTTAGATTGTACTCATCTAAGACAAAAAAAGAAAAGTGGACCCAAGAACTTGCATAAGAAGACCCTACAGAGCATAAGCGAGTTTACCCAGAAGAACCTAGAGCACACACTGCTGCTGAATGGGGCCGTTCCCGACAATCTGGGGACTGGTCTTCCCAGCCCTCCGAAGACCCTCACCAATGCGGGCCCCATAAATAATGACGTTATAGATCTCCTCTCTTTGATCAAAGAGGTTGGTGTGCTTACTGAAATCATAGAATCGTTGACGGTACTGTCGCTTTCAGCAAACCACGAGGATTTCATTAACGTGGTGCGAGAAGTCATATCGATGCCCGTTTCTCCACCCTCTCATAAACCAGGCTCGGTACTGCCACCCCCTACTACTCCATATCCAATAGCGTATCTTTCCAAACTTTGTGTATCATACACGTTGTGTCTCTTGACCTTGGAAACCATATTAAACATGATCGAGTTGAACCAGATGGAATTCAAACTCTCAAAGCCAATCGAAGACTACATGTATCTCCAGACAGACTTGGTTATCAAGGTAAACGAGTATACGATTTTGATAGATGCAGAGATTCGATCCTCTTCTCATGCCATGGACGAAGCCATCTTTTATCATCATTCACTCACATATCTCCACTTATACAATTACTATCAAGTATGTCTCATTCGACTTCCACAACATCGGAAGCACAATAAATTCTTGACTCTCAGACAGGCGGTGAATTATTTCCAACTTTTGGATCTGTCGCAGCAGCTGCGAGATACCGATGAGCAAGAACCAGTTTCCATGGTGAAGAGATATGAGGTATACGAGATTCTTTTCATTATAGAAAGACTAAACTACTTCCTACTAGACATGAACTGTATAATGAATAATAACATGGTTTTGTTGTTGAATGAGAGGGACTTCGGATGGAAGAATATGCAAATAAAAAAGAGAATCTTGGATGGAAAGAACCAATTATCAGGATTATTGAAGACAACCTTAGAGAATAGAGAATACTTGGGGATGTTTAAATTCTTCAATGACTTCCTGCTTCTTAAGGATCAAATTCCGAACCAAACTGTTAATGAGTCAGGAGAGGTGTTTAAACTAAACGAATTCCTTCAATATTGTGCTGACTCAAATATCACTGCTCCTGAGTTGAGTAAATTAATACTTGATTTGGACACTTTAGAAGTTAGATCAGAAACAATATACTCATCGTTTATGCGTATTTTCACAATATTGATTATTTTCAAAGTGGATATGGCCAGGACGATCATAGCAGAGCAAAAGGTGACCTGCAATCAAAGGTTTCTCAGTCAACTTATTCAAAACTTGATGACCATTTTAGACGGTACAGATGAGAGGATATTTAAAATTAAATGTCATAACTATCAATTGATTCCCCAATTTTTGACGATGTTAAAGTTAGGAATAGAAAGTTTAGACCAATCAAGTGACAACAACATTTATTCGCTGGAGTCATTGGGAACTGCACAATTTAAAGCCTTATTATTTAGCTTTCTGTGCTTATTACTCACATTGTCTCCCAGAGGATATAATCTTAACCAATACATCATTGGCAGCAAAACTTTGAGCATTTGGTTTGGAAGCATGCAACAGCAACTGCAACAACAGGACGGTGAACTCAAAATTAAAGAAGAAAATATTAATGGAGAGTATTTGAACATAATGAACAATTCACAGGGAGGAGGTATACTTTATCACGACAATAATAATGAGAACATCAATCAGTATACACCTAATCTTACGGATGGGACTGAAACGTTCGGAGACGTAGAAACTCCAAAAGTAAGACTTTCAGAAAGTTCGAAAGACTTATTGGACTATTTATACTCTAAAAATAGAGAAGACCTTGAAAATTCGAAGGCAAAGACTGCAAGCTGGTCCGATTTCATGTACTACTCGCCGCCAACTGGGGCATAGAATAAAATCCATACAGAGTATACAAGAGAGATTTATACGGGGTACTTACTGTTTTCGTATTTTCATACATGGTTTCATATGGTTGGCTCGAACAGCGTTTGAAACTGAGATGAGTGATCAAGAGTGTATCATGAGATATATGAGCTATTTAGGTCCTTCATAATGTTAATTTATACCATATTAAATAGACAAACATAGGAAACTATGTGCACCTGCTACTTGTAGAATCATGTGCCAATTGTACAGCGTCCTAAAGGCGAAACTCACTGGCAAGTGTCGATGAAACGTGAATGCTAGTTCTGTCCTTTGAGTGAGTGTGATTACTTGCAGGAGAATCGAGCACAGTACGCACAGCAGTACCGTTCATAGACGGCCATAGAAGTTCATAGACCTATGGTCAACACATGGGATCAGATCATCTGACACACATGTATGCAGCATTACCATTCTACGGCATACGGTAGTCATTACGTATGGTCGTGCGGTAACCAAAGGGTGGGCAGTCTCCCTCAGCAAAGCAACCAGATCGAAAAAAAAAATAATAAATGGCTGCTTCTTCGATGCTGCCGTCGTTGTTGCATTCTCCCTAAGGAATGTACCTAGCAATGAATACAGCAGAAACATAAACACAGTGTACCGTATACCATACGCAACCCATTTATAAATCAGCAGCTCTCTCCAGCTCTCTGTATTCTTCTGTTACCGCCCTTCTCATTCAGTCCCTCTCTTCCATTCCGCCAATTGGTCCATCTATCCCCTTCTACTGTTAACCCTTCTCTCCCATTCATTGCTTTTATTGTTCGCTCACTTTAGCGGATCCCTTGACCTGCTAGCGAATTTTGGTCGCCCCTCACGCCCGATAAAGCGCACACTTGCGAACCAAAACTGAAAAAAAATCGAAATTGACCAAAAAAAAAAAAAAATTAAAAAAGTGGGTGAACAACACACACAAAGTTGGTTTTTCCTTTTTCTCCCTTGGGTGGTATTTTTTATTCCCTTTCAAGAACAAACGGAGCTGAAACACATCAATCAGCGTAGTTTATTATAGGCAGATCGTAGGCAGAGAGAGGAAATAACCAACTGCTGGCCGGGAAAAAATACAATTTAACAGCTAGAAAATAATCAAAGCAAGTTCGAGTCCAAACGTAAAAGAAGCCGATTTCTTTTTGACATTTCCAGTTCGACTCTCCTTTCCTTTTCTTTTATACAGTTAATTTTATTTGATAGATCAGGGACTCATTGACCCTCTACTCAAGTCACACGTACACGTACATACACACACACACACACATCCGAGCCAACAAGCATTGCATAATACACACATAATAAGCTATGGACTTAGATACGGATGTCCCAATGGAAGACGTTAGCGAAGAACAACAGCAGCTGTTGAACCAATCTTTTGACCAAGGTTCCAGCACCGCCGCCGGTGGTGCCAACACAAGCGCCAATGGAGCCACTGGCTCTGGCTCTCACAAGACTGAATTGAACCCCTCTTCTATCAGTCAATTGGATGGATGGTTAGATAAATTAAGCAAGTGTGAGCCCTTGAGCGAGGAGGATGTGAAAAAGCTTTGTGATATGGCAATTGATGTCTTACAATTTGAAGAAAACGTCCAACCGGTGCAAGTACCTGTCACTATATGTGGAGATGTCCACGGTCAATTCCATGACTTGATGGAGTTGTTCAAGATCGGTGGACCCTGCCCGGACACTAACTACCTTTTCATGGGAGATTACGTCGATAGAGGTTACTATTCTGTGGAAACGGTCTCGTATTTGGTATGTATGAAGGTTAGATTTCCTAACAGAATCACTATATTAAGAGGGAACCACGAATCCAGACAAATCACCCAAGTCTACGGGTTCTATGACGAATGTTTAAGAAAATATGGATCGGCCACAGTATGGAAATTATTCACTGATTTGTTTGACTATTTCCCGATCACCGCTCTTGTTGATAACAAGGTATTCTGCTTACATGGTGGATTGTCGCCAATGATTGAAACGATTGATCAAGTTAGAGAACTTAATAGAATCCAGGAAGTCCCACATGAAGGACCCATGTGTGATTTACTCTGGTCAGATCCAGATGACAGAGGTGGATGGGGGATTTCACCAAGAGGTGCCGGTTTCACTTTTGGTCAAGACATATCAGAACAGTTCAATCATACAAATGACTTACTGTTAATCGCAAGAGCACATCAATTGGTTATGGAAGGGTATCTGTGGTCACATCAAGAATCGGTGGTAACTATATTCTCGGCACCAAACTATTGTTATAGATGTGGTAACCAAGCTGCTATAATGGAAGTTGACGAGCAGCACAATAGGCAATTTTTGCAGTACGATCCATCGGTTAGACCTGGTGAACCAACAGTTACGAGAAAGACCCCAGATTACTTCTTGTAGGGTTACGACGAAATAAAGTAAAAAGAAGAAAGAAAATGAAGAAAAATGAGAAAAAGAAGAAAAAAATAGGAAAATGAAAATGATTATGAATATGGATTTGGCTATGGATACCGAGTAAGAAAGGGAGGGAGACCGGCATCATGAAAACTAGAGATCTAGAAGGGAGAATGAGAGAAGAGAGAAGAGAGAAGAGAGAAGAAAGGAAGCAGACCTGAGAGACCTGAAACGATGGGAAATAAAATATGGATAGGAGAATTAGGGTTCTGACTGATTAATTTTGTTGTATCGCCATTCTTATGTTGATATTGTATTCGTTTTTAATTGTATAATCTATATTGCTTTATGGAAGAAGCTTAGTAGTAGGCATGAATGTGTCGAGAAATTGTAAGAAGGAAGATCGTGGAAGAATTTAAATAAGTAGACGATACAACAGGAGATGAAACGGAGATGAGAACAGAAACTATCTCGATACCAGTGATCTCGTAATGTATGGTTTCGAAATCGAAGGTTGGTCGGAGTAAGACATGCGAAACAGCTCTGAAACAGCTCTGAAGCAGAACCGAAACCACCACTTGGGCACTCGTCAGGACTTCTGTATATATAAATACAGTTAACAATGGCCTGTCTAGAGTAGTATCGATCCGGAAATAAGCAATAAGTACAAATATACATACTTATATACAACTAACGACGTACATGCACATTACAGTCTCCTCAGCCTCCTCTTTGCCAGCTTTTGCACCCATTGGGCCCCACACTAAGGAACAGCAAATACAGGGAAGCCAAAAATATCCAGTTTCCCTCTTTTTCCTTCCTTTTTGATTTCCCACCTATAAGTAAACAAACAGAATACTTTGTTCTCATTGCTCGAGAGCTCTAATGCCCCCTCCTTTTCACCTTTGCCATGATCTACCTACCCTCTTATCTTCCACCCTCTTCATCTGCAACATCCCGACCTTTCACTCAACCGTGTCCTGCATACACAAAGTCGTGCGTACTCCACCATTTGAGCCAACCAGATTCCTCAATTATCAAATTACAGAAAAACACAGACAGAACGGAAAAAAATGTAAAAAATCACTGCCAAAGGGAGTAGATTGACGACTCAGCTACAAGACATTATATTTACTATGTTGAGATCTATTAAGCCATCCGCTGGTCCACTTTTGCGCGGTTCAAGATCCATATACACTTCAGTGTTGGACTCGGACGTAAACATTACTAGAAATGGGAAGGTAAACCAGGCCGTAGGTGCAGGAGGACGTTCATCCAGAACTGGCTACACTGCCACTGTTTTCGGGGCCACTGGGTTTTTGGGTCGTTACTTGACATCTAAATTGGCCAGACACGGTACCATCACAATTGTGCCATTCAGAGATGCCATGAGCAAGAGATTCTTAAAAGTCACCGGTGACTTGGGGGTTGTAAACTTCGTTGAGATCGATGCCAGAAACCTCCAATCCATTCAAGATTCCGTTGCACACTCTGATATAGTGTTCAACTGTATCGGTGCAGACTACAATACGAAGAACTTTTCAATGGCCGATGTGAACATTGGTTTAACTGAGAGAATCACCCAGGCTGTGAAGGATGCTGGTGTACCCAGATTAGTTCACGTCTCTTCGTACAACGCCAACCCGGAAAGTGACTCTGTATTCTATGCCACCAAGGGTGTTGGTGAACAAGTGGTTAGATCCATTGTTCCAGATGCCACTATTGTAAGGCCAGCCCCAATGTTTGGTCGTGAAGATCAATTATTGAACTACTTGGGACCAAAGTTGAAGATGTGGACTCCAAATAGAAACGCAAAGGAAATTTACCCAGTTCACGTCACTGATGTTGCCCGTGGTTTAGAGGCCATTGGCTTTGACGATTCCACTGTTGGCCAAACCTTTGAATTATACGGCCCAGAAAAGATGTCCTTTTTGGAAATTAGACAAATGATTGCTGGTATCACTCAAGATTACTCACAAGTTGGTCCAATAGATTATAGATTTGCTGATTACCAAATCCCTCTTCAATTTGCCAAATTAGTTGCTGAAATTAAACAATTAGCTTGGTGGAAAATGACCAACCCAGATCAAATCCAAAGACACATCATTGACCAAACTATTGATCCTAATGCAAAGACTTTCAAAGACCTTGGAATCACTGAAATTGACCAATTGGCCAATGTCTTGTTCACTTATGTTAAACAATGGAGACATCCGTTGATCCATCAAATGACTCCTCCATCAGCCAAGGAATTGAAGAGATTGAGAGAAATCCAACATTTCTACTAATCCATCGAAAAGACTTTTATATCTTTCCGTTTTTACTGAGTTGGAAGAGGGGTTTCGTAGGAGATGATGGTGTTTCGCCTTATATTCAAGGACATAAACACACAAAACAAAAAGGTACCATAGATTGCATAATACATAAATAAAATGAAAAATAAATATAAAAAGTTCATATAAAGGATATGGATAAGACCATCCCATTGTAGATGATTGGCTTAGTTTAAGATGACAAAAGTATAAAAGTATATTTTTCTTGATTGATTGTATAGAGATGTACCTACAACTTACAATTAACAGTTCGAATCAATTTTTCTCTTTCTTTTAAACGTTTATATAAACAATTAGTCTAATATTATATCAAGTTTTCTTTTAAATATTCTTTTGTTATTTTAAATGAGCGTGATAAGACATCTACTCAGATGCTTCAGCAAATCTTTCACTGATGTTAGTCAATAATTCACCGTATTCCTTTTCAGCTTCCTTTTCACCTCTGGATGGTTCAAAGAACTTTGTAGATGAAACGGCATGCTTGATATCAGAGGTCTTTTCAGATAACTTAGACCATTGAGCACCATTGGCAACAGCCTTTTGAGCCTCGTCATGGTAAGCCATGAATGCTCTCATCATATCGAAAGTCTTCCAAATTGGGCAGAAGGCATCATAAGTAGAGTAACCGTTTTGTTGTAAGAAATCTTCCTTGATTAAAGAAGCGACATCCAAAGTAATCTTATCAGAGTCAGATAAGGCAGACTTACCAACTAATTGAACAACTTGTTCCAATTCTTCAGCGTTGGACAATATTTCTCTGATTCTGTCTCTCAAAGTAGGGAATTCAGGGTACTCTTCATCGTAATACTTGTTAAGAACATTGGTATATTTAGAATATGAAACTGATGTGTTAATAGATGGGAAATGTTTTCTTTGAGCTAACTTCTTGTCCAAACCCCAGAAAACTTGAGTAATACCCAAGGTAGCGGTAGTAACTGGATCAGAGAAATCACCACCAGCTGGTGAAACAGCGGCGACAATAGAAACTGAACCAATTCTGTCAGGAGAACCTAATGCTATAGCCTTACCAGCTCTTTCGTAGAAAGAAGCCAACTTAGCACCCAAATAAGCAGGGAAACCTTGATCAGCAGGCATTTCACCCAATCTACCGGAAAGTTCTCTCAAAGCTTCAGCCCATCTAGATGATGAATCAGCAATCATAGAAACGTTCTTACCTTGATCTCTGAAATATTCGGCTAATGTGATACCAGTATAAATGGAAGCCTCTCTGGCAGCGACTGGCATATTAGAAGTATTAGCAACTAAAGTAGTACGCTTCATAATTGGTTCCTTTCTACCATTAATCTCTGTGAATAATTCAGGGAATTCCATCAAGACTTCGGCCATCTCATTACCTCTTTCTCCACAACCAACGTAGATGATGACATCTGAGTTGGAATACTTAGATAATGATTGAGAGATAACAGTTTTACCACAACCGAAAGCACCAGGAATACAGGTGGTACCACCTTGAACACATGGGAAAATGGCATCCAAAACTCTTTGACCGGTAAGTAATGGGTAATCAGCAGCCAACTTTTCAGTGACAGGTCTTGGAACTCTGACAGGCCATGTGTGCATCATAGAGTAGTTGTGCTTCTTACCATCGAATTCAACTTCCAAAACTGTGTCTTCAACGTTGTAAGAACCAGCTTCAGCGATAGAAGTAATAGTACCTCTAGCTCTAGGAGGTAATAAGATCTTATGATCATCAAACAAAGAGTTTTCAAAGATAGAACCAAAGATATCACCACCGGAAATATGGTCTCCAACTTTCAATTGACCTGGCTTGAAGTCGTAGTTGACTTCTCTACTCAATGATGGAGCATCAATACCTCTTGGAATATAGATAGACTGAGATAAATCCTTAATTGCCTTCAATGGTCTTTGAATACCATCATAAATAGTTTCCATAAGACCAGGACCCAATTCGACAGATAATGGTTTACCAGTTCTTAAGACTGGGTCACCAACAGTAACACCGGCAGTTTCTTCGTAAACTTGGATACTGGCCTTGTCACCGTTAATTCTAATGACTTCACCGACCAAGTTTTGGTGACCAACCTTGACTAATTCGTACATAGCACAACCAATCATGTTTTCGGCAACGATAACTGGACCAGAAACAGAGAAAATCTGACCATATTGAGACTCGTCCTGGTCTTCCAAAGAAAGACGTTTAATTTCTTTTCTTGCGTTCTCCAAAGCACCAGCCTATACGATGTTAGTAACCATACAACAGTTAAGCATGAAAGGAAATTATTTCAAAATAGAAAAATAATATAATAAAAAAAAAAAAGTAAACGAAAATGGCAATGAAATGAAAAAGGGGAGCCAGTGAGGCAATGGCAAACCAAGATAAGGGACTAAACGTATCAGGTCCAAGTTCCCTAGTCTACCTCTACTGTAGCCCACACAGAAGTAATGGTCCCGTTACAAGTCTGTTTGGAAGAAGTAATTCCAACGGGCACAGTGTCAAGCTAAACTTCGTAGTTGGCCGGCTGCCATCCAAAGGAGAGCTACCCGCCTTCCAGAAGCGTCATTCAATTGATAGTGAATGAGCTCTTTTTCCTTCCCAATTTTCGTGCCCCTCGTTTATTCGTAGAAACATACCATTTTGAACTATTCTATATCACAATTAGGTTATAATACGTGTGTTATATTCAACTGTAAGAGTTCCCTTGTTACATGAACGGGGGGTTTATCAGTAGAAATTAATCGCTGGACGATATATTAAAGTGCGTGCGAAACCCAATAATGCGAAATTCGAAGGTGCTATGTGCAGGCCTGTCACATAGATAAGTGGAGGTGTTGTGAGCTTGTTAGTGTGTATTACATGGGTAACCGTTCGGTATACCAAATACCAAGCATGGCTCCGGGGAATTACAGTTTCTTGCTCGTATATCAAACAGTTCGTTGACATCTGTCTTAATTTATTTTCACTTGTATATTTGTTACTAGTTCAGTCTACAGCCCTGTTCTCCTTACATGTACCTTTTGTCTCTATTTCCACTAATTTGCACCCGCAATTCGCATGCTGATGTCAGCTACAAACAACACTGGGTTAGAAAGGGGTATTGCTACATATATTATTACTTCGACTTGAAATTCAGCAGCTGGTGTATGTCTTGCGTAGACTAGCACTCAAAACTTAGAAAAATTCGAAAGGATGTCTCATTCAATATTCTATACATAGGGCTTTCTTCTTAATGCATTTTTACTTGGGTTACAATTTCGCACCCAATTTACTTGCTCTGTCCAAGGCAATGTCACACATAGCGTTAAAAGCATCTTCTCTTTCCAACTCTATATCGTTTCTTTCAATCCTTTCTATCATATTTTGCATCACGGTTGGTCTACTTCTGCCATTTACAAACACGACGTACCGTAAACCGGGGAATGTTTGTTCGTATTTTTCATTCAACTCTACTAATTTTGCTTGTTCTTCGGGGCTCCCCTGTAACGATTTCTGTTCAGCAGATGAATGCTCAGATAATGTTTCCGCGACCTTCCCAGGCTTGGGGGCACCTAATCGAGGATGTGCTGCGATAATTTTAGATATTCTTGGATCGCTACCATTCTTACTTTCTGATAAAAACTTCAACAATTCCTTACGAGATGCTTCTATAAATTCTCTATAGGATTGGAAATTTGCTAGGAACACTTTAGGCAATAAGAATGCTTGGAGTGTGGAGCATGGCTCGAACAAATGATCTAAAACCTCTATTTTCTTAGAATCTGATAATTCTGGTAATGATTTGACCGAAGGCAAGCTGAATGTCATTTTTTATAATATAATTGAAGAAAAGAAGGTAGACATTGAAAGTATCATGAATCACCTAAAACTTTTATGAAGATAAGAATCGGAGATCGCCGATACTGCATATTGAAAACTGTGAGTACCAAATAGGTAATACCTGCACACAAGTTGCTGCATTTTCAGTTCTTAGTTGGTGTACTTCCTTGGATTATTCTGTCGGCTCACTGGCATCTTATGGAAGAGATACAAGTCCAGCTAGTCTGTATGAAATTTGTTAAGAAGTTTTCATTTACCCCAATTAAATTCATTGTCTCATCGTCTTCGTATTCTGTTTGTTGAACTCTTCTTGCAGATGTACTACAGTCTTGATTTCTCTTTTCGAAATTCAATTCGAAGTTCTTGTATGGAATCGCTTCTGGCGTGTAGGATAGTTGCTTGGCTGATTGTGGTTCAGCGCTAATAAACTGCTTGGGGGAGTTTCTTTCTATAACGAGCGAATCTGAAGTATGTGGCTGGATCTTCTTCATGAAATTTGAAAAATTATACGTCCAACTAGCTGTTTGCTGCTGGAAGATTGGGAGAATGTGAGAGTCTGGGTCAGGAATGGGAGCAATGGAGCTAGTATTGTCGTTCTTAGTCTTCCACCATTCTTTTATATTGACGAAGAAGGGGACTGCAACCATTGAATTTGTATCTCTATTCGCAAAATGCCTAATTTGGTAGGGATGCTGCCCATTCATTGTAGCATCGACACTCTGGTGAGAGTCTGACGGTCTCCATCTGGTCAATCTTTCTTCCATAATCAGTTGAAAATAGCTAGTGGGTGATGGTGAATGATGTTGCGATCTGTTGAGAATCACAGCTTCTCTGATTGATCTACCAAAGCTAGTTCTATAGTCCGTGTGATCATTGGCGGTTGAATTGTAGTATGGAGGGGAATGAGGTCGTGGGCTCAAGTCGTACGGGAATTCCAGCGACATGATACTGGCTGTAGATTCAGCACCAGGAGGGGATACTAGTGACGATGATCCAGCAGGCAATGTGATCAAGTCTACCTGATCATCTTGTTTGCAGCCATTTTCAATGGTGCACGATTTGCTCTTATGCACAATTACAGTATCGAAATCGGTACTATTCATCAATGGAGCTGAATTTGCATAACCCAATGAATGGGAGGTGGTGGTAGTTATGGTACAAGGTGCCTTACAATTGACAGATATTAACGGCTGCGGTGCATGCTCAACAATTTTTAACTTTGAGGCACCATTAAGAAATGATGTATCTAAGTTTTTGCCAATATTCTCCAGCAATTGAGCCATACTACTAAAATGAAGTTGAATTACAAGCGCTCTACAAGAAGAACTACGAGTTACACTGGGATTTCTACCAACTTCGCTATGCAGATTTTCTACATACCTATTTCTCTTGTACAAAGAATCAAGTGCAAAGAAGTTTGTGTACAAGGGCTCTTTCTTCGTAAAATCTAAATAGTTTATACCCACTTCACTTTCCAAAGTCCCAGACTACACGCTGTAACATATACATGCCATTCTTTAGAAAAGTGGTATTCCTGCACTATTAGCGGAACTTCTCTATTAATTAATTCAGTGTAAATAAAAAAAATTCTCCACACAGTCAATCCGAAATTTTTCACTATGGCTCGATTTTTCAGTAAGTGAAAAATTACTTCACTAAGAAGCTTCCAGTTAACTGTCAGTTGGCCATTTAACATGAATCACTGAATACCGGTCTGAAGTCGGACCCACTGACCAATTGCTACATGAACTCTACAATATTGAACTTATTTTATATACTGCCTTAAAAAAGGCGTGTACATTGCTTTATATATACGGACATTCATTTGATTTTACAAATGGAAACGATTTCGAAAAGAACTAGAAAAGCCTAAGACTAACTCTCCCTCCCGTAAAGATATACCTCAATCAGCAACATTTTCCTATCAAAACTGATATAACACCTAAAAATTACAAAACCAACAGCAACAAAGTTATCATTAATCATCATTAAAAAGCATCATTATCCGAATTTTTCAAGGATAAGAAATTATTGAAGTTCAATTTACATCAATACAGACTGGAAAGCTTAATTAGTCTGTGTCCGCTTATTTGGATCTAGCTCTAACCTTCCGTCTCTTTCTCTTAAGTCTTCTGACTCTCTTCTTTCTCCACTTATTTCTCATTTTTAAGGATAATTAGTGTGTAAGGAGGAAAAAAAAGGTTACAAGAATATTTGTTAAGAAGGAATAGTGAATGAATTTATAATACCCACTGGAACTGGAGGAGTTTCGTCGAGGTTTGGAGAAAGTTTACTGTGACTGCATATACCGAGGTTGCTGATTTTACACGACTTGAAAATGTATGAGAATTAGGTTTAGAGTCACGAGGGTGTGACTGTCATTTACTGCACCCAGGTTATATGTAGGATATGTCACTTAATTATGAGTCTATGCAGGATGCATGATCCCAAAATGGTTGCACGAACCAAGCTTAAGCTTAAGCTGTGACAGCAATGACTTCTGTGGAGTACATGAGGGCTAGTTTTGTCTAAATCTTGTAGCTTCGTTACATTCTTAGTTCAATTGCTTCTCACTATGCTTTTTCTGAACAAAAACAAAAAAAAAAAAAGAGGAGAGAGTGGGGAGAAGGGTAGCAGAGACCTTGGCAACAGGCGTATATACAATGAGAGGGGCTTACTAGCCCTCTGCCCTAATTTATACGTACCAAGTTGAAGTTAAGCAGAGCTACTAATATTCCGAAAAATTTATAAGATATTTCAAGGGCTCCATTTTCTTTACTTCCCTCTACATAGTAGTATGCTGGAACTCGTAGTAGTTAGCTTTGCATTCACGCCTTGTCTTTCCTTCCTAAGCAACTGAGTATGGCTGCGAAATTAAAGATACAACCGAATTAGGAAGTATATGGCCGATCGAGGTACTATGCCCACAAGCTACTTGTTGAAGTAAGAGAAGGTTCTTTCCAGTTGAAATTCAAAAAATAGCAAGTTGATAGCACTGAAGATCAATCATGGATATTAAAACCCCAGGTCTTCGTGCACCAAGTTGGTTAGAGCCAGTACAACTAACTCTTTGAGCGTGGCCCGTAATTTTTCACCCGCGTATGCCTACAGAGTGACTATAGATCATTATCAACTTCGTTAAGAGGGTGACTCTACACTATTATTAACTTCGTTAAGAGGATGACTCTACACTCTTATCAACTTCGTTAAGAGGGCGACTCTACGCTATTATCAACTTCGTTAAGAGGTTGACTCTACACTATTTTCAGCTTCGTTAAGAGGGTTATTCTTCTATGTACAAGCCCTCAATTTATTCTAATAGTTTTGCAGTTATTTCTTGCCCTTTCGTCGGTCAGGTGTCTTTTCAATGAATTGAAAATCTTCACTTCCGTGAGCTGTCAGGTACCTTTGCACACCTTAACGCACCGAGAGTCTCTAAGATTTAGCTTAATCTACCTCATCTCTCGTTTACATTTACTTGCTTTTCCAGTATTGTAAGACACCTCACTCAATCTCATCTTTGATTTTCATATCCTTTTCCAACTTTGCAATCTCTTGTTTCAATGCCTTCAATAAATCTTCTTTCAATTGAGGCAACTCTAACTTACTACACAAAGTATCAATAATTTCCTTGGTAATAATAACCCTTTCTTCCTCTTGTACACTTTCCACTTCAAGTTCTTTCAGCGTGTTACCAAGCTTATATATGGAATCCATGTAAAGGTTTCGTTCAAAGGCGACGTGATCAGTATTAGAAACGTCATCATTCCTCGTATTACCAGCAATACCTTTCCTTTCCAACAAGTAATCTAAATGCTTTACTCCAACCAAAGCCTTGATGTTACAATATAATCTATAGGACAAGTAAAGACCTGGGACGTTGGGGATAACTGGGATCAAGGCAAACGGTAAACTCAATGGAACACCAATCGCACAGAGTCCAGCATATTTCAAGTGTTTCGACCTTGCGTCGTTTCTAAAATCATGCAACTGTGATAAAATCGTAGAGGGCTTTTGGAATGATGGGTGATAGAATGGGATAGGCTTCAATTGGTCCGTGGCGATCTGCTCTTCTTCGATTTGTGATGGAATCAACGCTCTTGCCTTGTCGGTACTTTCCTCGTTTATTTCTCTAATCATAGTGGATTGTGATGGGAACAGCTTGAGACAACTTTCCTCGTATGGGATAGTGTTTAGTAGACGTTTGACTAGTTTGATGATTCTCTTGTTCACGGTTAAGTTGGAGGAGTTCATCTTGTCCCAGCCTTTGGTGGCTAGGGACACAAGCTTGTTTTCAAGTTTGGCAACAACGGGGTATCTGTTTAGCTGAGTTTTGTCTAGAAGTGATTTATTGTGGTTCATGTAGATGTACGATCGGTGAGTAGTGACTGGAATTGATATCACATAAATGGAATTCAGATTCAATGATCGAGTAAACGTCACCGCTGGCGACAAGCGAAGTGGCAGTGCGACTGTAGATCGAAGCATATTGGTCTGGTACCACTGAGGGATCGAAATTTACTTCTAGTTGGCAATAGGCTACTCAGGGTATCTCTGAAACTACAGTTTGTGTCGGCCTAGTGGCAAAACGTTACCGCTGATAATCGATCAGAATGAGTGAGACAGCAAGCTGCGGCGGGGTGGAAAAATCAACATGGGCTAAGAAATGTATGGAAGATAGCAAGATCGAGCATGGGCCCTGAAGGGTACGAGGAGGGGGCAGCATTATATCTTCGGTAATGCAGTTTTTCGAGCACCTTTTGTGGCTAGATTTGTCTAATTGAGAGTCTAGATCCGATTTCTTTTTAAACGAAGGCCATATCTCTTCAAACAGCGATGTTGTATGCTCTCTTCTCTCCACCTCTTCTCATCCATCACAGGTTCCACGCTGCCTGAGTTCCACGCACTAGATAAACAATCTGCAGGGAAGCCCCCGGAACATGTGCGAAATTTCACTTACACAGCAATTTCTTCACTGTGCACTGCTACAAAAGCAATTGCGAAAAACGAAAAGCAATCAGAAGAAAAATGGTTGGAGTGTAAACAGTAGAGTGTTCCCCATAGACATCGAGGACCTTTTTTCGTCAAATTGCTTCAGACTCCCTCTCATTAGCGTCAGATCACCGAGAAGAGCATACGTTACACACAAAAAAAGTTCATATTACGTACCAATTGCACAGTATCCATACCATGGAGCCTGATCCTACAATCACAGATGATAGGAACGGCCTCAACCGTAAGACCCTGGACGTGCAATTACAATATAACAACCACAACAACCCCCTCGTTGATCCCTTCGACAAAAGAAACCCATTTGAAAATGCCAGCGTCAAAACATACAGCCACAATGCAAACATAATACCCCCCTATGTCTTGGACAAGCTTTCTCAAGTGCACTACAAAGAACAGTTGGTGAACTCAAATACAAACAACGTCAGCTCTGAGGCAAGCAATATTGTCCACTCAGATACTGTTTCACCCTTGATAAAATCGACTGTTAGACACTCGCGTGCGTCGTCCAATTCGGATGACGACAAGCAGTACCAGTCGTTCGCAAACGATGCCTTTATAAAGTCCATGGGTAACAATTGGCACAACTTCTTGCATACGGTTCAGCAACCGAACACCTACACGCCGGATATGATGGCATACGACCAAAAATTCAATGCAGACTGGGACCTAAACGGAACTTGGGGCGGAGAAGAAAGATTGAAAAATGCATTACTAGGGAGTCCGTTAAGCGGAGACGAAGATTCCAGTGACACTTACGAACGTAAGTCGTGGTTTTCTCGAATGTTTTCGAAAACATCCAACTCCAAGACTCAGCAGAAGTCTTCCAAGTTGAACAGTGAACTTCATGAACCAAGAGTGAGATCCAAGGCAGGCTATTGGATGTCTGACGAAAAACGTGCTGATTGGAAACCAACGATAAAGCGAATCTTTATGCAAAATCCATTGATCCCATTATTCCTCAGAGTTTTGATTATTATCTGTTCAGCGTTGTCTTTGGCACTCGCCTGTTCCATATTTGTACTTTCGAGAAATCGTCAAAATCCAGTCCAACAGCAACCTTCTACTATCATGGCTATAATTGTAGAGTGCTTTGCCGTGGCGTACGTATCATATATTTCCTACGATGAGTACCATGGGAAACCCTTGGGTTTGAGAGATCCAGTGGAGAAGATGCAGCTCATTTTATTGGACTTGTTGTTTATTATATTCTCACTGGCAAACATCTCTTTGACCTACAATACTTTATATGATCCTGAGTGGGTTTGTAAAGAATTTGACAATCTGGCAACTACTACGCGCTTGTACCCTACTATTGGCCTGATTTGCCGTAGACAGAGAGCGCTCCTGTCCTTTTTGTTTTTAGCGTTGTGTTTATGGGTCATCACATTTACAATTAGTATCCTCAGAGTGGTGGATAAGGTAACGAGTGCAAACCCAAGGTCTGATTAGCCCGAGCGAAGCCATTGAATAAGACTAAAGCTTACGAACAGTCAACTTACTACCAAGAATCACAAGTACACAGATAATAGCATGGTAATCTGGTTCCACAAGAGAACTGGTTCATAGAAATTACCCAAATGGGACGGTTGCAACATTCTATGCAAGAAAAAATATTTTAATAAATAATAAAAAATCGATCTAAGAAAGAGTAGAGGAAACGCAGTAGACTAGTGGCCCAACATACCTGGGATTTGGCAGCGGCTAGCCCTATTACGAGTATTCAGAAAGTGTGGATGAAGGTAGTATCTAATTCTTCAATCTTTACCGATTATGTTCTCCTTTGTTTTCCTATCGTATTGCCCTTGTTCCATATTGCCAAATACGGCTGGAGCTTCATTATTTTTTTTTTGTTTTATTTTTTATTTTTCACTCGTTTCAGAGCAAAGAAGACGAATACTACTTACTTACTTTGACCTGGTGAAAGAGCTTTTAAATTGAAAAAGAGAGAAGAACTTATCTCGCACATTTCATAAGTCTAGCTATCTATCTTCAAACTTGTTTCTACATTCACCTCTCTTTCTCTCCTACATTAACGATTCCTCTTTCCCCAGCTGGTTCCTGCTGAACTACATTTGTGTGTCCTGCATATAAGCGAAGGATCTCTTTTTCAAACCACACGAGCGGACAAAGCAAACACCACAGAACAAAACTCGTTGTTAAGCTGTTGATCATAGACCTACCTACGGCACTAGGAAAAGAGAATATTAGCATAGACGGGATAGAAAACCAGCATTGATCAGCAATTCTTATAAATACAAATACAGCACAAAACCCACTCTAATCATAAATTTTTTTCAATGTCTGCATCATGTCCTACTGGTAGTGACCTCAATTCGACTTGGTTGTTCGTTCAACCAGGTTTAGAGTTTATATTAGGATCTCATGGGGACCAGGGTGTTAATTCCAAGATGTACATGAACTGTTACACGGCAATTTACAACTATTGTGTAAACAAGTCTAGACATCCGACCCCAGGTGGAGGTTCTTTGTCTGGTCTTGGCTCGTCTGGTGGATCTGACAAATCAGGAAGTCAGGCATATAGCAGTACCAATTCATACTCCTTAGCAGGAGCTGAAATTTACCGTAAGTTGGATGATTATTTGATTCAATACATTTCTTCGTTGAAGAAGGAAGACCAAGAATCCTTTTTGGAGTTCTACGTTAAGAAATGGACAAGGTTCACTATAGGGGCTGGATACATGAATAATGTTTTCGATTATATGAATAGATACTGGGTTCAGAAGGAGAGATCCGATGGTAGAAGGGATGTTTTTGATGTCAACACATTGAGTTTATTGAAGTGGAAAACCCACTTGTTCAATGCCAATGCCAAAAAATTGATTGAAGAGGTTTTAGAGCAGATCACTAAGCAGAGAAATAATGAGATTGTTGATACGAGTTTAATACTGAGCGCCATCAAATCGTTGGTGTTTTTGGGGATTGACGTTCAAGATTTGAAGAAGCCTAATTTGGTAGTTTACATTAAGCATTTTGAAAACATCTTCTTGGAGAAAACGGCGGAATACTATACCAAAGAAAGTAACCAGTTCTTGGAGCAACACAACGTTGTGGATTATATGAAGAAGTGTGAAGTTAGACTTGGTGAAGAAGTTTCTAGGTCGAACAACTACTTAGAAGATCATACTAAAAAGTATTTGTTGGAAACGTTAAACAAAGTCTTGATTGAAGACCATGCACAGATTATGTACAACCAGTTTTTGGATTTACTTGAACAATATCAAATTGGACACATCCAGAGGATGTACAAGTTATTGAGTAGAATCCCCAGCACGTTGGAACCATTAGCCAAGTGTTTGGAATACCATATTAAGGAAGTAGCAGTGAAGGAAATAGAAGAAATCAAGAGAGCAGCGGAAGTTGAGCCTGTTGGAGAAGCATCCTCTGCTACTGGCACTCCAACCCCAGCTGCTCCTGGTGCTGCTCCGGCAGGAAGTCTACTTAGAAGGAAGCCTAATCCTGGTGTAAACCCCAAGACATATATTCATACCCTTCTCCAAGTATACTTCAAATTCAACGAAGTAGTGACTTCTGCATTTAACAGAGACCCGCTCTTCATCAAGGCACTCGACAATGCCTGTCGCCACTTCATAAACAAGAACTCTGTGGCTACACCTACTCCCAAATCACCATGTAGAACACCAGACTTACTTGCTAGGTACTCCGATGCCTTCCTCAAAGCCACATCGAAGGAATCTGACATTTCTGATATGTCCACAGATAATCTTATGATAATTTTCAAATTTATTGAAGATAAAGATTCATTTGAAGAACATTATCGTAGATTGCTTGCCAAAAGATTAATAAACAGCAATACCAAATCTGATGAATTGGAAGAGCTGATCATTCAAAGGTTACAAGAAGAGAATTCTTTAGAATATACTTCTAAAATGACCAAGATGTTCCAAGATATGAAGGCTTCCGAAGACTTGAAGAACAACGTCAAGGAAGAACTTGACCAATCAAGTACAACAGCCGGAGTAAAGGATTTTACTCCATTGATTTTGGCACATTCGATGTGGCCCTTTAAATTTCTGGAAGATTATGACTTAAAATTAGCACCAGAATTATCGCAACCGTTCCAAAAACTAGAAGAGATTTATCACAGAAAGCACAATGGAAGGCAATTACAATGGTTATGGAATCATGGTAAGAGTGAAATTAAAGCCAATTTATCAAGAAAGGGTAAGCCCCCATTTTTATTTACCGTAAGTAATGTCCAATTGATGATATTATTGGCATTTAATAAGAAGTCGACTTATACATTCAAGGAATTAAGTGAATTGGTTGGAGTAGCGAAGCACACTTTAGAATCTCATTTATTACCATTCACTAAGTATAAATTATTAGACCAGAGTCCAACCGGATCACCTGAAGTTCTTGGCCTTCCAGATACTACTTTCACTATTGTGGAAGAGTACAAGTCTAAGAAATTGAAAGTCAATTTTGTTAGTTCAATCAAGACAGAAGTGAAACAAGAAGAAGAAGAAACAAAGAAGGAAATCGATGAAACAAGAAGAAACTACCTTTCTGCATGTATTGTTAGAATCATGAAGGCCAGAAAGACGATTCACCATAATACTTTGGTGAATGAAGTTGCAACGCAAGCTTTATCTAGATTTAGAGCGAAGATAATCGATATAAAGAAGGTGATAGATTATTTGATTGAGAGGGAATACTTGAAAAGAGTTGATAATGATACATATGAATATGTTGCTTGAGGAATGGGACAGTGCATGATTTATTTCTTAGAGTCTTTATATAGGAAACAAGCTAATAAATGAAAAATTAATAGAAACAAACATACCAAGTGATCTATAGGGTTGAAGGTTGCACCCTTTGCACCCTTCCTATGTAAGGCTGATCAAGTACTCTTCGGTATATGCACGACCAGCGATATGGATTTCAACTCTTTCCAAGTAAGAAGCTGGCAGCTGCAACTACTTGAAGTCCCAATGTATTAGCCAGTATTAAAATAAGTATATATGTCTTTGGTCAAGAAGAGAAGGACAGAAAATGGAGTGTCCACAATAGGGAATCAACAGGATGGGAAAATACTCTCCAGCACTGCAGTCGAACTTGTAGGTCATCAAGGTGCCAGTTTGTGTGCGAAGTTTAGTAACAGTGATGGAAACACAGTTGCAACCTCTGGTCAAGATGGATCGATACTATTGTGGAATCTTCCAGTTAAAGGTACCAGTGCGGACGAGGTTAACTATGGCTTGATCTCGGGGCATAAATCTGCAGTTACCTCGATACGATGGTTCTGGGACAATTCAGTAATAGCATCTTCAAGTGCAGATGCCACTGTAGGATTCTGGGATGTGGAAACCGGACAAAGGATAAGGAAATGCGTAGGACATGAATTATGTGTAAATGAAGTGTCGATCTCTAAGCAACTGGACCTAGTTCTAAGTGTTTCCGACGATGGTTGGACATGCATATGGGATAAAAGAGAAAAGCATGCAACAATAGAAATCGAAACTGAATACCCTCTTCTCACTGGGACATTCAACTCTGAAGGATCTGTATTTTATACTTCAGGTATAGAGCCAATAATTAAATCGTACGATATCAGATATACACTGAAACCATTGTGGGAATGTAATTCTTCACCAGTAAATGAATCAATAACATCATTGGCCATAAACAATGACGATTCCTTGTTACTCTCAAGGTCTTTCAATGGATTTATAAATACATATAGCGCCAAGGAGTTTGTTCCTGAAAATATTCCCAGAGCAAATGCTTATCTGTACGTTGGAGCACCTTCCGGGAATGAACAACAGCTTATCAGAGCATGTTTTAGCAATGATAACGTTTCCATAGTTTCTGGATCCGAAGATAAAACAGTAACTACGTGGGACTTGGTTTCAAGAAAGATTCAGAGAAAATTGGATGGCCATCGTAATACCGTGGTATCTGTTGACTATCATCCAGAGGAAAAGATCATAGTCTCCACTTCTTTAGATGGCGCTGTAATTGTGAGGGAAATCTAAAATATAATGTATTTATCTGTGGATAGAAGGTATAACTATGTATATACTGCTTAAATAAAAGTTTAGAATCAGAAGCGTACCTTCTTCCTTTGAGGCTCCTTTTCCGCAATTTCATGTAAATGCTTCTCTGTATCTAACTGCTCATCCGGGTCAATAAACCTACGAACATAGTCCTTTTCTTCGAACTCCTTTCTGATCTTCTGGTTCTTTGTGCTAATCAATTTGACTAGGTTCGAATTAGTAAATAAATTGATATTCCACTGTCTCACATCATGAACAATCCTATCAGAATGATCCAAGAGGGAAGACTCGTCTGGAACATCATCTAAAGACTTACAGAGGGTCAGAGACACTGCAGTCGACCTGAATGGGCTATATTCAACCCCCTCATCACCTTGTGGTAAGAATTTATGCCTTAGAATAAATTCTTGCATACCTGTATCATCTATTACATATTTTTTGGTCGAAGACGATTGAGATGGAGTAGGAGTAATAGATCGACCTTGGATGTCATCCTTTTCTTGCTCCCTGTCATCTGATCTCTTTCTATAAATTTCCTCTTCCAAAGTTCCTTCTAATACTAATGTCTCCACGTACACTTCATTCATTTGTCCAATTCTGTGAGCTCTTTTAATGGCCTGAGCTTCTACAGATCTCTGCCAAACAGGACTCAAAAAGTATACCCTTGTCGCAGCAATTATGTTCAACCCATGTGATGCCAATCGTAAATCCATTATTAACGTAATTCCACCACTATCATAATTACTAAATTCAGTTAGATTAGTTGCTCTTTGGCTAGGTTTTACAAATGTTGCGTAAAGGATATAGTTTACTCCAAGAACATCCAACAGTTCTGTTAAATAGTAAGCGCTGTCTTCAAACTCGAAGAAAACAATAGACTTAACATTTTTCAGTTGATGCTCAAGTAGTCTGCTAGATATATATGAAAGCTTAGCTGAACCAGTTCCAAGAATCTCCGTGTTCCTTGTGCTATCAAATGAAGAATTTCCACTTAATCTACTGTCATGAACATAACTATGATTAATAATTTCTTGTCTTTCGAGGTCTAACTCATGGCCACTGTTTACGCTATCACTCAACTTTCTCTTTTTCTTTGACAGAGAATCGAGTACAATTTCAGGAACCTGAACTGCGTTCTCAATTTGATCATTGCTTACCTTGAATTCTTGGTTCGCATCTTGTTTATTGAACCTTTCCATGTTTCTCTTTGTAGTTTCCCCCCAATATGATTTCCAAAATGGTTTCGAAACTTCAGTCAATTTATTGGTCAAAAGATCCATATTAGACATATCCATAAACCTATTTTTGTAAAAAAATTCTTGAATAGCATTAAGGTGTGGTGCTCCAAAGACACCTACAGGAACCAGGGGATTTAATATTCTATCATCTTCCATTATTCCTGTACCGAAATTCTTTATATAGACTTCGGGAAGTCCAGTTACATAGTAATTCATTTCATGCAAAAGAGCAATTGTTCTCCATCTGGAATTGCTTAGCGCCAGTTTGGCGACTGCCATAGATTCTTTCAAGAGTGTGACATCTTCGTCACTGTAAACTTTTCCTTTCTCGTAATGCTTCTTCAAAGAATTTTGACATATACTAATTAAAGTCTCCACATCCTCTTGTTTGAATCCAGTCCAATGGAAAGTGGCTCTTTGTAAGTTTGTTATCAATCTTCTTAGTTGCTGTCTATTTGTGGGGTGAAACATATAATCTATATCCGTTCTTTCGGAAGATACTGCATTCACGGCTAAAACCGCCGTGAATAGATTTATGGCTAAGATGTTATGGTATGAAGGTTTCAAAAACACAGGAATATGATGCAATTTGGGCAATTTCAAATCTTTGTCGACTTCGGATAGGGAATGCCTGACAACAATATTATTTAAAAGATTGGAAAGTCCTTGTATGGCACCAAATTTATTCTCAGATAATGGCTTAGAAACCAAGGCTGCCCATAACTTAGGTTTCGTATAGTAAGGTTCGACATTGAGAAATGAGCCAACTATAGTGCCTAGCTTTGTTAAATCATCTTTTTCATTGATAGCAGTCTTCACTGAATACTTAGTTCTTTTCAGAGTAGAGCTATTCATATCTTTGACGTCTTCATCTTCGTCCATGTACAATCTTGTTAAACCTGATGTTGGAGTACCGGTTACCGCCCAACGTCTTTCTGATTCAATTTCTTTACAAAGTAAACTAGTTTTTGAATTCTTTGAGCTTGTACTATGACCCTCATCAATGATCAATCTTTTCCAGTATATATTTTTCAATATTTCGATAGACGTAGTGCCTTCTTTTTGCTGCTTTGCGACGAAGGAATGAGATATAATTATGACATCGTATTCCATTAATCTTACAAGATCTCTGGGAATTTCGTTAGTGTACGTAGAATGACTGCTGGCTGTTGAATGTCTGATTTGATTTGTAATAAATAGCTTATTCAAGTAGTCATCTTCTACATGCTTCTTGAGTTCGTTGTTCCACTGATGGAACAAATTTTCGGGCACGAAAATAAGAGTAGTATTACAAAGGTATAACGTTTTGTAATTTATCCTATCTCCATCAATTGAGTTCCTGCTTCGCAAAGAACTTTTTCTCCTATTGTTCTCATCGGAAATATCGCCATCTATTGGCATCTTGAAGCTGCCAGGGTTGTCTACTAGAATTTTCATGACAGATTCTGGTAGATCTTGACTGAAGTATTTCCATGGTAAAGAATTCTGATTGATTTTGTTCTTGCATAATTCGGTAAGTCTCTTCACACTAGCATCAGTATTTAACTTAATCTCCTGTAAGTATTTGAGACTAGTTCTTTGCTTTGCAATGGATTCAGAGTACACTATTTTATCTTCTGGAATAGCAGACATGTCATTTTTTGTCAAACATATCAACCCAAGCGTTATAATCGTCTTGCCCAAACCCATATTTTCCGCTAAAATTCCTCCTCTTGGAAGTTGGTACAATTCAGGCGAAGAACAAAACAGACCCTGATTCAAATCAAAGTAAAACGTGTTGGCACCTATATCTTTCAATTCTAAATAGTAGGGTACAAGCCTCTTCTCAGGAATAGTCTCTTTTTCAAACATTTTCGTCAATGAGTTCAACTGAAATGGATATAGTGTAGTTTTCATACCCTTCAAGGGTGATCCCCTATGTGTAAGAAGTGATGAAATTACATCAAGGGGATCAGTAATCACACTCTTATTATTGTGATTAGACCAAGGACGATCTAAATTCTTAAGCTTCAGAAACTCTGGTGAGGGAATCGAGTTGTATATCTTCAGAAGCTTCTGAACTAAAGTACTCTGCTCTTTTTGATATGCAATAGATGTAGGAACCCTCGAAACTCTTTCCCTGTTCATCCATCTTTTAATGTGAAAATTTAGCACCCTTTGGTCAGGTAATGACTGGTGTACTTTGCCAACGGTGATGCTTTTGTTCTTACAGACAGGAAGTAGTACAATTTGGCTAAATAATTCATTCTGAATCCACTCTTGCAGAAAGTTCCAGCTTTCTTTAGAGAAATCGATGTAACAAAGTAATCTCCACCACGAATGTTTGGCAGCCTTGTCAACAAATAATGATCTCGGTTGGTTGTACCTAAAGGTTTTAAAATATCTAGCACCTTCGATATCAGAAGGGATTGCATAGATTCTTACAGAGCAAATTGAAGTATTGCCATAACCTTGGATTGGTTGACTAAGAGACAATGGAACAACTTTGAAAGACGCAATTGCAAAGCGATTCTTGATCAAGAATCGTAAATCTTCAGCATAGGCACTGAATTGCTTATCAGCGAGTTGAAAATGATATGCTAATATCTCAATATCTAGCCATTTCCATTTGATATTAGTCTGGGCCCCTAGCTCTTTCTGATCATCTATAGGGATCCCATACAAATCAGTTATATCCGTTGGGAGGTCATAAAAGAATAGTGTGCCTACAAGTATTAAGTTCAGAAGATCGTTTGAAGTTTCAGTTACGCATTGAATTATTTTGTAGTCCGACCTTGGCATCAACTTCGAATACTAATAATATAGCCTCTGTAGCTATGTTTTACTTAAACTTTCAATGGATTATTGTTGCCTATGATATCAGAAGAACATCTCATTGAGTACTGCATACAATAACATATGCGTACTTGATTAGCAGTTCACTGTTTGTTCAACTTGCAGAAGAAGACTTAGGTATCTGAGGTGATGATAAGATTAGTCCTGTTCAAGTTATTCATTTAGGGCTTTCTTGGTAAGTGCTACCCTCTCTTCTAAAAGTCTAGAAAGTGTGAACCTCCTCACTGATATATTACAGAGTAAGTCTATTTAATATTGTCTTTCCACTTTTTGTAAATTGCTACCAAAATTAGAAACTAAATTAAGAATAAGGACGCAAATTCTATTATCTCCAAAAATAAGATCCACAGTTTTTGATCTAGGTTTGGACCAGCTAATTTTATTCAAACGTGTTTCCGATAGGGTGTGACAACATACTGGCGATAGCCACCATTCAACTGACAGATCGTAAATGTTCTCTTCCCCGTATATCATCCTGCACACAACTTCGGAGAAGTGTTAGTCTTAACTTCTAAGCTCGGTGATAGAAGTTAGTCATGGATCTACATACACTCCCTGCATAATCACCGAACAAGTGAAGGCTCTAACCGCTTACATACAAGAATTATTGCGCACAACAATCACCAGGGCCCTTCAAGAACAGAGCCGTGCGTTGATGACGGTAGAAAATATCTGCTGCCCTTAGGATAAGGTTGCTTTATCGTAGAAGAGCCATCTATAATGAAAACTAACTCCGAAACGTAGAGAATGGGCTTGAGTCACTGTGGTTCATACTTCTTTCCACCCGAGATGTCGAGATACTCGAATGTAATGTTCAGATAGTTGTATATAAAAGCAGCTTCATCAGCAAAGTTTAATTCATAAAAGACTCTACTATCATTAAAAAAGTATGCAACAAATATATCAGTACGACCTCGATATTGAGAAATCAATATTTGGCACTGCAGTCAGTTCCAATAGGACTATCTGTAATCAGTCAATATTGGAGCCCTTGTGTTCTCCATCAGAAAATTACCCAAATCCTTCATTTGTGGCTCTTGTAATAGCCATAACGAATATAATATTTACGATATTCATACTATTTCAGCTTTCGCAGTTGCTTTGGAACAATTGGTACGGACCATTTCGAATTAAGTACGGGTTTGGCAGTATTTTATCAAAACAAAACCTTGGCTTAGCAAACGCATGCAAAGTCTTTACATTAACAGTTCAAGTCGTATTGGCATCGTTCCTTTTGGGATTAAATTATGAAAGTTACCATGATATAAACTCTATTTCGCTAGTTACTTTAGTGGTAGCTATTTTATTTGCAGCCGTGCCGCTTCACTTAAGTGAGCCTGCAAGAATTCTCACTCCACTGGCATCCTTATTATTATTTTGGTGTGTCCAAATAATTGTTAGTGGTGCATGGACACTTCAGGAACTATTGACTCCATATAAAATATTCAATTCTACGGTGTCTTCCACTGTGAGTATTTTCATGTTTGCAAATTCAATCAATATACTCCTTTTAGAAATAATCTATTACAAGCCTACAAAGGAACTTCTTGATTATTTTGAACTAAACGAGTTAGATATTTCTTTTTCAAGGAATATCTTTTCGGAGCTTTTTATCAGCTGGTTGGACCCTACCATCAAAGAAGTTTACAATGCAGATGAATTAGACGAATCAAAGATCTCCCTTCCCAGTTTACCAATGGAATTACGCTCTGATTTCGTACAGAGAGAGTTCCAGGAGTATTGGGATATTGAAAAGAAAAAGAGCAACCCTTCATTATTCGCTACCATAGTTCGTGCAAATTTAGGTACACTTATTGTCATGTACATCTTCAGTTTAGGAGAAGTTTTAATTTCATTCACTCAGCCCTTTTTACTTCAGAAATTAATTGTTTTCTTCTCTGTTAAAACTTCACCTTCAACTGGTTCAAATACACCTCTTATTACAGGTATTGCAATTGTCATTCTTATATTTTTGGTGTCTGTTTTAAGGTCGATCTTAATTAATAGAACCGATATTCAACTATTTAAAATGATCTTCAAAGTTCAAGGTTCGATTTCTTCCATAGCATACGAGAAAGCACTTAAACTATCTCCAGAAGTAAGGAAATCAAAAACTAGTGGAGATATTATTAATCACTTTTCAACGGACATAAGTACAATTGAAGATGTTGCAACAAGATTCTCTGAAGTTATAAATAACATTTTAAGGATTGGAATCAGTTTGTTTTCATTATTTAAAGTTATTGGAAATGGTACCTGGGCTGGGCTCACTGTTGCATTAATTCTTGTTCCAATTAGTAGCAAGATAAGTACGTCAGTTTTCCCACTTTACAGTGCAACAGTAAAGTACAAGGATGCCAGAATCAGATTGACCAGCGAAATCTTATCATCAATTAGAAGCGTGAAGTTATACTCATGGGAGAAGCCTATCTTAAAAAGATTAGATACGGTTAGGAATGACCAGGAATTATATACGAACAAAAGAATTGGGGTATTTAATGCATTTTCAACATTTTTGTTTTCTTGCATTCCCTTCTTTATTTCATTTTCAAGTTTTCTTCTCTGCGTTTATATCTCAGATGTACCTTTGACGCCAGAGAGAGTGTTTCCAGCTTTAGCTTTGTTCGATATGCTAGCAAGTCCAATTTTGATGCTTCCGTACATGTTTTCCAGTATGCTTGAAATTAAAGTTTCCATGGATAGGTTAAGACAATTTCTCATATCAGAAGAGTTGGAAAAGAAAGGCTTGCAAAGAACCTATAAACCTTTGAAAAGTAATGAAATTTCGGTCACTATTGAGAATTCTTCATTTATCTGGAGTACAAAAGAGCAGCCTGTTGAAACCTCCAAACTGAATATTGCCCTTAGTGACATAAACTTTACTGCCAGGAAGAGTCAGTTAACTTGCATAGTTGGGAAAGTGGGGAGCGGGAAAACGACACTTATCAAAAGTATTCTAGGAGAAATCCCAAGGGTCGAAGATAAGACTTCAAAACTACATGTCAATGGAACGATAGCCTACTGTTCTCAAGCACCTTGGATATTAAATGCCACAGTGAAAGAGAATATTTTGTTCGGTAATAGGTTTGAAAAAGAATTCTATGACATAGTTATTGGAGCTTGTGAACTCATAAGTGATTTAGATTCTTTGCCTGATGGTGATGAGACCGTGGTAGGGGAAAAGGGAATTTCATTAAGTGGGGGCCAGAAAGCTAGAGTCTCGTTGGCAAGGGCAGTTTATGCTAGAGCAGATGTTTATTTGTTGGATGATATACTTTCAGCTGTAGATGCTCATGTCGGAAAGAATATAATTCACAAAGTGCTTAGTGCAAATGGTGTTTTGGCTACAAAGACAAAGATTTTAGCTACTAATTCTGTTGGAGTTCTTTCTGAAGCTCACGAAATACTTTTGTTGGAAGATGGTGGTATTGTTGAGCGTGGAACATTTCGAAGCATTATGGATAAAAATAAATCTAAGTTGTATGATTTAATTAAGGAATATGGCAGACAAGATGAAGTAGAACTTGCTTTAACTATTAGCCAGAGTCAAGATTTGGCCTCTGAAGCCGTCTCATTGGACTCGTTAGATGAAGTAAAAGACTACCAACCTGATTCAACCAATACTGGCCGCTCCAGAAGAGGCACTATTGGAGCCGCTACAATATTACCATTTGGTCAAGAAAATGAAATTGTTTTGGATTCTGTAGAACAAGTTGGCGAAGACGGATTACCTATTCAAAAGAAAACGGAACATGTTAAGGAGGAAGTAGGCAAGGGCAGAGTCAAGCTCTCGGTATTCCTAGAGTACATAAGAGCTTGCAACTACCCGTACGCTTTGTTGTACTTATTATTAACTACAACATCTATTGGTTCAATGGTATATGGGAAGTATTTGCTCAAAACATGGTCTGAAATAAATGAACGAAATGGAGCTAACACAGACCCATTGAAATATTTAGGTTACTATGCTACTTCTGGTGTAGTTGCGGGCGGATTAACCTTTATATCAGCAATTATTGCCTGGACATACTGTGTCATATGTGGTTCAAAGTATTTCCATGATAAGATGGTTCAGCGAGTGTTAAGATCTCCCATGTCTTTCTTTGATACTACGCCGATTGGTAGAATTCTAAACAGATTTTCTCAAGATATCGGTTTAATTGATGCACTTTTGGCTTGGATAATCATAGACCTTTTGGGAGAGTTATTAAATGCCATCGCTGTTTTCTTTGTGATTGTGGTTAGTTTACCACCAATGGGTGTAATGATACTATTATTAGTTCTTGTTTACAAGGAAATTAAGAATTTTTTTGTACCGGCTTCAAGAGAATTCAAAAGATTGATAAGTGTTAAACTGAGTCCTATATTTTCTCACTTGCAAGAGCTGGTAAATGGGGTTGAATCATTGAGGGCCTATAATCAGCAAGACAGGTTTATCTTCAAAAACAAAGCCTATTTGGATTCAAAAATTAAAGTAAACTATCTATTGAACATGTGCAACAGATGGCTTTCGATCAGATTAAGAGGAATCTCCTCCATTGTTTTACTAACGTCTGCGATGTATATAGTATTGACTATAAATACTAAATTTCAAATTAGTGTTGGTCTTGTTGGGTTTATCATGGTATATGTTTTGCGTATCAATGATATTTTGAATTCAATAATTAGACTTTGGGTTGCACTTGAATCGAAGTCTGTTGCTCTTGAGAGACTTGTTGAATACTGTAACTTGCCTTCAGAAGCCGAAATGGTGATTGAATCAAGTAGACCACCTAAAGACAATTGGCCCAGCAACGCTGCCATTAGCTTTGACAATTATAGTACTAGATACAGAGAAAATTTGGATCCTGTATTGACCAACATTTGCTTAGATTTCAAGCCATCTGAAAAAATAGGTATTGTTGGTAGAACGGGAGCAGGTAAATCTTCATTGACGCTAGCAATTTTCAGAATGATTGAATCCACCACCGGTAATATTAACATAGATGGCATTGATACTAGTAAGATTGGACTTTATGACTTGAGAAGCAAATTAAGTATTATTCCCCAGGACTCTCAAACCATTGAAGGGACTATTAGACAAAATTTAGATCCCTTTGGCAAATACGAAGATTCCGAATTATGGAGAGTATTAGAATTGGCCCACTTGAGGGATCATGTGAAGTCAATGCATACGAATGCTAATGAAGAGTCTAAAACAGATGAAGTTGCTACTGGGCTTGACGCTTTTGTAACTGAAGGGGGCTCCAATCTTTCCTCTGGCCAGAAGCAGTTGTTGTGCTTAGCAAGAGCATTGTTGAACCCTTCAAAGATATTGATTTTGGATGAAGCAACCGCCGCTGTTGATGTTCAAACTGATAAGATCATTCAGGACACAATTCGTAAGGAATTCAATGACAAGACCATATTGACCATTGCCCATAGATTAGAAACCATTATGGACAGTGATAGAGTAGTTGTTTTAGATAAAGGGAAGGTGAAAGAATTTGCAACTGTTCCAGAATTGTTGGATAACAAAGATGGTGAATTCTATCTGTTGTGTGAGAAGGGTGGGTTTTTGAAGAACAAGCAAGAACTGGAAGAACAGTAAAGGTTATAATAAAACCATAGAATGTAAAAAAAAAGAACTAAAGATTTAGAATAAAAAAAAAGCAGCACATGTCTTAATACTCTTAGACAGTTATTTATAAATAAAAACATATTGAATACTTAACATCCATTGTAGTAACAACCTATGAGCCTGTTGCAAAGAGCTTTACCATACCCCGTCGGGTTCCAAATTCGCAGCCATTGATCAAGATTCCTGCACATGGTCGGATCGTGGAGAGGCAAAGTGGAAAATTAGGAGAGCCATTGCTCCTTATCAAAGACTCGAATAGCACTATACTTTTTCTTGTTTTAAAGAGGGCCATCGACTAAAAATGAAGACAAGTTTGCTCTCAATCCCTTCTAAAAAGACAGAGGATGTCAATTGGACAAAACCAATCAACAATTATCTTCTTTCAATTTATGGCAATACATCTGAGTACCAGCAAGATTTGGCCACTTTCAATAGCTTGAGACAAGATATCAAAGGCGGTCTAAATGCTGACGTTAACGGATTAAAGATTTATTACAAGTACTATAGTTTGCTCGAATTATTGGATTTGAGGGTCCCATTTGCTACGCTAAACAAGCACAAGAAGATAAGCTTTACTTGGTTTGATTCTTTCCAACCCAAGCTATCTTACAAGCAATATGCACTACCATTCGAGAAGGCAAGCATTCTCTTTAATATTGGATCACTTATATCAGAGATTGCTCTTAAGAAATATGGTGATTCTTCCATGGACGACGATTCCTATAAGGAGATTCTTCTCTTGTTACAGCAGGCGGCTGGGATTTTCCAATTCCTCGGTGAAAATTTCCTTCATGCTCCTTCAAATGATCTAAACCAGGCCACAATTAAGTTCTTAATTCAATTAATGCTTGCTCAGAGCCAAGAATTGTTTGTATTGAAGGTAATTAGTGGAGATATGGAGCAGAAAAAGAACTCTTTGATATCAAAATTATGCAAGGGAACCGCCAGTTACTACGAGGAATGTTTTAAAATGGTGAGCCACTTGAAGAGTAAAGTTGGAGATGGTGGTTTGGAGGAAAATTATGATGAAGAAGACGAAGAAGATGAAGAAGATGAAGGTAACGGGTATGAAGTTAGAGATACCGCTCTTGATGACTTCGAATACGATCCAGACGCAAATATCGGTGATGATTCCACAGCAGAGGGTGAGAAGATCATCAAAATCAACCTGAATTGGATTTCGATCATAGAATTTAAAAAGATCTATTATTCTTCATTATCCTTATACTTTCATGGATTACAGTGCGAGGCGGGCAAGAAATTTGGAGATGCAATTGCCTATCTTTCCAAGTCTTTAGACATTTTGAATGAAATACACTCTTCCACTTTAAAGCTGATCTCCAAAAGTAGAAGCAGTAGTGTGTATGAGCTTTTAGACAACTACAAGTATCAAAAAGATGCAATTGGCATTAAAATTGCAGAATTGGAGAAAGATAATGATTTCATATACCACGATATAATCCCTCTGAAGGTCACGTTGCCTGAGATTAAGGCAATGGATGGAGTTAAATTAATTCCTATTACCAAGAACGTCATATTCAATGAAATTAACGAGTATAATTACAGTAATTTTTTCACAAACGTTGTACCTATTACAATTCATGAATTGATGAGTTTTTATTCAGAAGAGAAGTCACAATTTTTGAGAAATGAATTGGACTTGTTCGATGTTTCCAATGAAGAATTGAGCTCTGTAATGGAATATTTGAAAATGCCCAAAAGTTTGGTCAATCTTAAGGAAATAATACAAAGTGACAGCAATATTGGCAAGAATGCGTCAGAATTGACAATTCCTCCTTCTATTATCAAGCTTGCTCAAGAAATATCAAACTCATATTCAAACGACCTTTCAAATAAAAGTCAAATCCAAAAGATTAGAGATGAGATTTATTCAATCATTCAAAACAGTGAAAGTAACTCCTCTGAACACAAGGAAGATTTACTCAAGTTGAAGAAGAGTTTTATTGAAGCAAGTAATAGGGACAAGGGAATTTTTGAGCTTATCAAAAGTGATGATATGGCCTTATATAATACCCTAGGTAAGGGCACTGACTCCAAGGATTTTAAGCAATTATTCCTGCCTCACTCAGGAAATGTTAAAACTGGTGCCGAAGATATGAGCTTATTAGACATCGATGATAGGAACGTACCATCTGATACCCTAATCAAGAATAAGATTCACGACCTTGAAGAGATCTTACACGACTTGCATACCATTAAGGTAAATAAGGGCAAAATAATTGACTCATTGAAAAGTGAAATCCACAATGACGATATTTCTGATATTTTAATATTGAATACTAAAGTTAAGTCAACAAATGAAATCAAGAATGTGATATTTCCAGAAGAATTGAGAAAATTTGAAAGATATTCAAAGGAACTTGACTCATTAGTTAGTAAGCAGAAGATTATTCTGGAAAGCTTAGTCACTAAGTGGACACAATTGTCGCAAGATAGTAAGGTGAAGGATATCCAATCATCTTCTAAATTTCAAGAGGAACTATTGAAAGATCAAGAAAGTAGAATTAATGCTTTGTATGGAAACTGGAAGAGATACACTACCGGTTTGAGTAAGGGTGTTGAGTTTTATAATTCGTTACTAGCTTATGCGAAGGATCTTTCTAAGAAGATTAAAGATAAGCACGAGGAAGTACAATTGGAGCAGAGTTTTGGTGGAATGAATATTCATCCAAAATATGGGCCTCTGAATCCTGGATTCAGTCAAAACACTGGACCTCAAGCAAGTCAAAACACAGGATACAGTCAGAGCTCAGGATATCACTCGGCCCAGAATACCGGATATGCATCAAATGTGGGTCTGAATTCGGGATACCAACAACAAGTGCAGCAGCCGCAGCACCTGGGATATTCACTGCTGACTAGTCAACATCAAGGATACAGTCAACAGCCTCAAATATATGGGCAACAGCCAGTATTGCAGAATACCTATAGTGACCAATCGGCTTACAATAGGCCAAGCTACCCTATCTCGAATAGTAGTTACACCAACGCGCCTCTGTTACCCCCGAAGACCCCACACCACCCACAGCGACCTCAGCAGCAGTATCAACAACCTCAGCAGCACCAGCAGCCTGGACCTACAAGCACAGGAAAACCAAACTCTGAGAGTGACTTGATTTATGATCAGCCATCCACATACCAACCGAATATGTACAACTTTTTCTCAAGCAACCAGTAGGAAGGTATTTAAAGTATATACTCCATAATAAAAGTTCTTTCTAGTAATGCCTAACTTGATAGTTTATTGCGAGGTCACAATATTTTCAATTTTTTTTCTTTTCGACGATCCCTTCAAATCAGTACGGGAAGTATATCTAAAGTTAATATCCAGAAAGCTCAGCTTCGACTGTATACTTCACCATACCAATTGCAGCCGTTGACTGTGCAGCACTTTATAACAGGCTCAAGTGGGCTTAGCGTAGTGCACCTTAACCTCGCCAATTCCGCATTTTTTCTGTTCTATATCCGCACTGGCTCATACTGCACCTTCTAATTATAACAGTCGACTAAACTGGAAATATGTCAACAATCAAGGTTATGAAATAAAGAGCAGTGAAGGTCTAGAAAGCGCAAGAGTATAGAGCATGAGCGCAGTGGTTAACGAAGGAAAGGGAGCGGCCGAATCTACAATGTACAAATAAATTAGAGCAGAGAACAATTACACATTCCTCTGATGTTTTTGACGACAATAGTGTGTGCCGAGATCTGCGTACAGTCCATCTACAGGCGTACCCGTAGTGTCTTTTTTTAGCACTGGAGTGAGTAACAACTTGACGGCCCATTCCCCACTGGGGCGAGCCCAGAAACTAAAAAAAAAAGAAACAAAAGCCTTCGAAAATTGCTGCAATCCCAAGGCTCAGTTACTATATGTGCAACAAGAAGTTTGTATCAATGTGCCATTTGTAGCAGGTTCGCAAAGAACATTCTGCCCAGCTTGGTGCATCCTAGACTCAAACACGACGTGAAACCTCCAGAAAGCGGTGCGCAACCTGGCCATACTGGTATCCATTGCTTAGCTGTGCCCTACGCTGTGCCCTCTTCTCGCTCGCTCACTCTTTCGCTCCTGTCAAACTTCTCGTTCCTCACACTGTCGCGCCCACTCCATCCCAACCTGACCTAATTAAAGTTTGCCTGAAATTTTTTCTTCCATTTTTCCTCTTTGGGCGGTCCTGCTAAAAATATAAACACCTTGCAGTGGCACCCGAGCTGAGTTTTCTGGCGGGATCTCGATCTCGATCTCTTTTCTAGTATACTTCTTTCTGGAGGACTCTTTTCTGCAATATTCGCTGATAATACACTCTCTAGAGCTGTCAGCCTGATACCACATTAACCTACACACTCGCTGTTATACAATAGACCTTAAGGAACAAAGCCCGAGGCATAAAATCTGGCAAACAGAAAAATACACACGGGAGAGGAATACAGACTAAGCATGCAGCTCATACCAATTTTCCCGCTCATTGGATACCTTCTTTCCTCACTTTCAACTGTAGAGGCCGCTGATGTCACCTACTGTAACTCAACAGCCAACTGTCCCAAATCTCTACCATGCTGTTCCACATACGGTACGTGTGGTAACGGTAGTTACTGTCTTGGAGGATGTGATGTTAGATACTCATACAACTTAACTGCATGTATGCCCATGCCGATCATGAGCAAGATGAACACCACCTTCGATAGTACAGATCTTCTTTTAGACCAAAGCACTTACTTGGGTAACTCAACGGAATCTGATTGGCTCTACACTGGATACATCGACGACTACGACGACGCTTTAATTATTCAAATGCCTAACGGTACCACAGGTACGGTTGTCTCATCTTCACAATATTTATTCTACGGGAAAGTACTGGCCAAAGTTAAAACTTCAAGAACCCAGGGTGTTATCACTGCGTTCATTTTGTTCTCAGACGTCCAAGATGAAATTGATTATGAATTTGTAGGTTATAACTTAACATCTGCCCAGTCTAACTACTACTCGCAGGGTTATTTGGATTATAACAATGTTTTAGACATTAACACTACCGACACATTCGAAAATTGGCACATATATGAGGTTGACTGGTCTGAGGATGCGGTGAAATGGTCGATTGACGGAGATGTCGTCAGAACTTTAAATAAGAGTGACACTTTTAATGATACAACAAATAGATACAGCTTCCCTCAAACTCCTTCGAGAGTTCAATTATCACTTTGGCCAGGTGGTGCTGCATCGAACGCTATCGGTACTATTGAATGGGCTGGTGGTGAAGTGAACTGGGATTCAGAAGATATCCAAAAACACGGATACTTTTACGCAGAATTAGCGTGGTTATCTGTTGAACCTTACGATACTCCAGGTGGTGTCAAGAAAATTGGTTGTAACGGTACCAGCTGTAATGCTTATTTGTACAATTCCACAGATGGGGACCAGCAAAATGTTACCATGGTTAAAAAGATAACGTATTTAGGAAATGAAGGAGCTACCGGGCTCGATCCTCAAAATGAAGAGGAAGAAATCGTTTCCACATACACATCGGGATCTTCTACATTTACAAGTACAACTACGAAGGGGGTTACAGCCAAGGTCACTGATAAATCTACAACTACTCAAGGAGAAGTCACTCCAAGTGGATACGATCCAACCATGGGATTTGTTCAGAATTCTGATGCAACTGCAACTGGGGATGCCGAAACCACTTCTAGGTCAAATGCTGCCGAAGGACAATTCAGTGCAGTTGGGATTACTGGAATATTAGGAGCGATCGCTATGGGAATCATATCGTTCTTATCATAGGACAACCAAAAAAGAAAAGAACATAGAAAATGGATATTAGAGAAGGGAACTGGGGAATGAAAGGATAATAAGAAGGTTGTGGAATGAGTTGGACTATCTTGAAAGACGTCTTGCATATATATTTAGATAATAAAATGTATTTAATTAATCCAATGTAGAGTATCGGCATTTTAGTTAATATACTAAATAGAATGTGGGTCAGTAGACAAGGCAAAGGGATCTGATATTGGGAGTTCGAATAGAAGAATAGAGTAAGATTGCTAAGATTTTGTTAATCATAAATTCAAATTTCAAAAATGCATGGAAATGTAGAGTAGAATTGGTTTATCTTCTTAGCTACACGGTTCACTAACACCATACATTCACACCATTCATTCATAAGCTTGAAGCACTGAAAATTGCAGCCGCTCCAGCGAAAAATTAGGCGCGTTTCTGCTCAGCTAGGGCAGTCCACCTATTGATCAGGAAGAGCTAAGCAATGTACTACAATGCTACTATAAAGCCTGAGAAGATCACGAGAATATAGCAAAGTGCATAGTGTCAGTTTTCTCACTTCACCACGATAAGAAGAAAAGTATTTTGTGGGACATACGGAGCCCAATGCTACTATTTCACCAATATCGTCTTCTTTCTCTTCCCCATCTTAGCGCCTAATTTTTCACGCTACCCCCAAAATTTCCAGCCTCCGATCTGCTTGTCCCTCCCACACCACCTACCTCCAAGCAGGTCGTGCGCCTTCCAACGAAATCAAAATACACGTAACGGAAAAAATTAAGAAAGGAAATGAAAAATAGAAGACACCATATCACATTTGGAACAACTATAACTTAGGACGAAAATGAAGATGCTTACTAAGTTTGAGTCGAAGTCATCCCGCTCCAAGGGGGTGGCTTTCCATCCAAAAAGACCGTGGGTTCTTGTATCGCTTCACTCTTCAACAATTCAGCTTTGGGACTACCGTATGGGAACGTTGATTGATAGATTTGAAGACCATGAGGGACCAGTAAGATGCGTTGATTTCCATCCAACCCAGCCATTATTTGTTTCTGGAGGTGACGACTATTCCATCAAGGTATGGTCTTTGAACACCAGAAAGTGCATCTTTACCTTGAATGGGCACTTAGATTACCTTCGTACTGTCTTCTTCCACCATGACTTGCCTTGGATTATTTCTTGTTCTGATGATCAAACGATCAGAATCTGGAATTGGCAAAACCGTCAAGAAATTGCCTGTCTTACCGGCCATAACCACTACGTTATGTGCGCTCAATTCCATCCATCTGAGGATTTAATCGTCTCTGCTTCGTTAGATCAAACCGTTAGAGTTTGGGACATCTCGGGCTTGAGAAAGAAGCACTCTGCTCCAACATCCAATTCCGTAAGATCCTTTGAAGATCAATTACAAAGACAGCAATTACCACAGCAGGACATCTTTGGTAACACTGATGCTATTGTGAAGTATGTATTAGAAGGTCACGATAAGGGTGTTAATTGGGCTACTTTCCATCCAACGTTACCTTTAATTGTCTCTGCTGGTGATGATAGACTAGTTAAGTTATGGAGAATGAGTGAGACCAAAGCTTGGGAAGTCGACACCTGCAGAGGTCACACTGGAAATGTGTTGGCTGCAGTCTTCCACCCTCAACAGGACTTGATTCTTTCAGTAAGTGACGACAGAACCATTAGGGTTTGGGATTTAAACAAGAGAACTCCAGTGAAACAGTTCCGTCGTGAGCACGACAGATTTTGGTTGCTTGCATCTCATCCACACATTAACTTGTTTGCCTCTTGTCATGATTCCGGTGTGATGGTTTTCAAGTTGGAAAGAGAAAGACCTGCAAGTTCTATTTTCCAAAACAAGACATTGTTCTACGTTAACCTGGAAAAGCAAGTACAAGCCTACGACTTCCAAAAGCAAGAGCCAACGTTACCTATGTTATCATTGAAAAAGATTGGAAAGACTTGGTCATTTATGAGAACTATGTCGTACAATCAATCCGATAACAGTATATTAGTTACTCATGGTGATGGAAGCGATGGACAATATGCATTAATCTCGTTACCTAAGCACGTTACTGGCGCCATTGAACCAACAGATATTAGACAAGGTGAAGGTAACTTTGCATGCTTCATTTCTAGAAACAGATTTATCAGTTTTGTCAAATCCTCAAAAACTTTATATGTCAAGGATTTGAGCAACAATGTTACCAAGACTATTCAATTGGATTCTTCCGTAATTGATGTGTTGAATGGTAGTGCCGGTAGTGGTAGAGTTCTCTTGATTAAGCAAAACCTGGTTGTTCTGTATGATGTTCAACAAAGAAAGGAAATTGCTGAAACTAGTGCCAATAACGTCAAGTATTGTTCCTGGTCCAACGACGGACAATACGTTGCATTATTAGCTAAACACACTATCACCATTGCCAATAAGGATTTAGAGTTAATCACCTCTATGCACGAGACAATTAGAATTAAGAGTGCAGCTTGGGACGATAACTCAGGTGTCTTACTTTATCTGACATTGAATCACATCAAATATACCTTGCTTAATGGTGACAATGGTATCATTAAGACATTGGAAAACACTTTCTACATTACCAAAGTAACAGGCAATTTGGTTTACTGTTTAAATAGATCTGGTCAAGTTGAAGTTATCAAGATTGATCCTACTGAATACAGATTCAAGAAATCTTTAATTAATAAACACTTCGGTGAAGTGTTAAGAATTATCAAGAATTCGAACTTGGTTGGACAAAACATCATCAGTTACTTACAAAAGAAAGGTTACCCTGAAATTGCTTTACAGTTTGTGGAAGATCCAGAAACAAGATTTGAATTAGCCCTTGAAAGTGGTAATTTAGAGGTTGCATTGGAGCAAGCCAAGAAGTTGAATAATAATGCAATTTGGGAAAAGTTGGGAGATGAGGCCTTAAACCAAGGTAACTTGGATATAGTTGAATTTGTGTACCAACAATTACATTTGTTTGATAAATTGAGTTTCCTTTACCTTTATAAGGGTGATCAAGATAGATTAGGAAAGATGTCAACAATTGCCGAACATCGTGGTGATTTAAGTTCCTTAGTTCAAAACACTTTGTACAACAATGATATTAAGAAGAGATGTCAAGTTTACATCCAGGGAGGTATGTTGCCTTTAGCATACACTTTGGCCAAGCTGAATGGATTGGACGAGTTAGCTGCTCAAATCTTGGAACAAGCTGGTGTTGATGTTAAGGATGTTGAGTTACCAGAATTAGGAGAAGTGGTACCTTTACCTGAACCAATCAGTAACCCAATTGGTAACTGGCCAATTAAGGAAGGCTCTATGAGTTTCTTTGAAAGCGCCCTTTTGACTGGTCAAGTGGAAAACTTGTCCATTGAAGATGAGACACCAGCCTTCACACCAGCTATTTCTAATGACGAAGACGTTGACGACTTTGAAGATGCAGAGGAAGTTGATGATGCTGAAGGTGGTTGGGATTTGGATGATGATGACCTTGATATCGAAGATGTTGCTGTTGAAGAAGATGATTCACCAGCTGTTGCAGTTTCCGCTGATAAGGAAGGTCTTGATGGAGAAATCGGATATTGGTTGCGTAATGCTAAGACTCCAGCCGAATACGTAGCCGCAGGTGTATTTGAGCAAGCATCTTCCTTACTTAATAAGCAATTAGGAGTTGTAAACTTCGAACCATTACGTGCTAGATTCCTCGAGGTTTATCAATCAAACAAGCTTTACTTACCAGGTAATGATGATTTACCAGCAATGAGAACTTATATCAGAGCCGACAATGATGAAGACAATCCACGGAAATTCAAACCATTGATTCCAGGATTTGATTCATTGGAAGATAAGTTAGCCCTTGGATTCAAATTCTTCAAGGAGAATAATTTAGAATCTGCCATTACGACCTTCAGATCCATCATTTACACCATAACAGTTTTAACTGTCTCTGATGCAGACGAAGAAACCAAATGTGTCGAAGTTTTAGACATTTGTCGTGAATACATTCTTGGTTTAACTATTGAATTAGAACGTCGTGCAGTCGCAGCAGCTGGTGACAACAAGAGAAACTTGGAATTGGCAGCTTACTTCACGAGAGCCAATTTACAGCCTGCTCATAAGATAAATGCATTACAAGTTGCAATGACTCAATCGTTCAAGAACAAGAATTATTTATCTGCGTCATATTTCGCCGGCGAATTGTTGAAATTGGTTACCAGTGGTCCTAGGGCTGAAAAGGCAAGTAAATTGAAGGCTACAGCTGATTCATTTGCATCTGATGCTATTGAAATTGACTTTGATCCATATGCTGATTTTGATATCTGTGCGGCCAGCTTGACTCCTATTTACAAGGGCTCTCCATCAGTAACAGAGGCCTTAGTTGGTGCCATATATAAGGTTGGAGAAAGAGGCAATATTTGTAAGATAACTGAAATTACCTCTATTGGGTCACCTGCAAGTGGATTAAGAATTAGGGGATAAATGATGAATACCATATATATATAATAGTACTATAATAGGAAAAGAAAATTTAAAGACTTCAACCAAAATGAATTATATAAAAAAGTAAGTAATACATGATTACATGATAGAAGAGTGTAAGACCTACACCTAATTAGACAAAGGAGTCAATAACAGATGATCCATTGCAATATAGTAACCTCTAGCGGTAATCCTACACCTAAAAAACGGGCCGTTGAACACCAACACCTCAACACCTCTCAGTAGAAGAAAGTTCCATGTAAGCCCGCGGAGCGCTTGAAAAATTCCAAAAAAAAAAAAAAAATTCCAAAAAAGAAACAAAAAAAAAAAGTTATGCAGAACGACTTCCATTGGAAGTGATAAAGAGTCGTTGTTGATAGTGGATATTTCAATCTGTGTAGCAAAGTGCCTATTAAATAGTGAAATGACCACAGCTTTGGAGTACAAGGATCAAGGTAACACCTTGTTGAAGGAAAAGCATTTCAATGAAGCCATTGAAGCGTACACAAAGGCAATAGAGTTGGACAACCAAAATCCTATTTTCTTCAGTAATAGAGCACAAGTCCATATTAGATTGGAGAACTATGGATCAGCTATTCTTGACTGTGATGAGGCGTTGAAGCTCGATCCCAACATGGTAAAGGCCATGTATCGTAAGGGAGTTTCGCAGATGGCTATTTTGAAATATAAAGAGGCACAGGCCAACTTCAAGTTAATCTTGAAGAAGCTACCAAATGATAAGTTGACCTTGGAAAACCACAAGCAGTGTGTTAGTTACTTAAAAAAGCAAGCGTTTGAAAGGGCCATAGCTGGCGATTCTAAGGGTCTTGTTTTGAGCGAAATAGATTACTCGGGAATGATTATAGAGAAGTCCTGGCAGGGCCCAAGTTTGGAAACTTCGTTCCAAAAGAACAACCAGAGGGACAGCGAAGACTCGGAAGAAGGTCTCCCATTCACCATTGACATAAAGGGCCTTGATATCGACTACTTGAAATATGCCATTAAGACATTCAAGGAAGGTGGAAAGTTACCTAAGGCTCATGTTTTTGCCATAGTAGCCAAAGTATACGAATTACTTAGACAAGAACAAACCATGGTTGAAATTGCACTCCCTCATTCCAAATTGACTGCCAATGACTCTGACATAGTAGTCCCCAGTGCTAAGAAACTCACGGTTGTCGGTGATACTCATGGACAATTCTATGATGTGTTGAACTTATTCTCTAAGTTTGGGAAGGTCTCAGATGAACACATATACTTATTCAATGGTGACTTCGTGGACAGAGGGTCATGGTCTTGTGAAGTGGCTCTTTATTTATATATTTTGAAGATCTTGTATCCCAAATCTGTTTTTATCAATAGAGGAAATCACGAGACAAACGATATGAACAAAACATATGGATTTACAGACGAATGTGAACACAAGTACTCCAAGAAGGTATTTGATTGCTTCGCCGAATCTTTTGGTGCATTGCCGTTAGCCACTTTAATCAACCAATCTTACTTGTGTATGCATGGTGGTTTATTCTCTAACGACAAGGTAACCTTGCAAGATATTAAGAAATTTAACAGATTTCCCCTGTCAGGTTCGACACAACCTCCAAGAGAGGGTATCGCCATGGAGTTATTGTGGACTGATCCACAACATTCCAACGGTAGATCGCCTTCAAAGAGAGGTATAGGTATGCAATTCGGACCCGACATCACGGAAAGATTTTGTCTTTCCAATAAGATTAGAAAAATTTTAAGATCCCACGAAGTTAGAATGGAAGGTGTCGAGGAAGAACACAATGGTAGATTAATCACTGTTTTCAGCGCACCAAATTACTGCGACTCCACTGGGAATAAAGGAGGTGTTGTACATTTCACCGAGAATGAACTGTATAAAAAGGAGGACGACGATGGTCAAGGATACAGAGATGTCGACGATAAGAACTGTCCATGGAATTTAGAGACAGAAACATTTGAAGCTGTACCTCATCCAGACCTTAAACCAATGGCTTACTCGAAAAGCGGCTTTGGATTCTAACCAAATTGTAATCAATAACCCCGCTATATAGGATTCTCGTATCCTTTGTATTGAGCATAGTGGACATTCCGAGAATGGTGCAGTTTATAATGTAGATAGTGTCATATAGTAATAGTACAGTAATACTACTTAACCAATCAATATCCCTATTCAATAACAATTCTTTGTTTTGAGCACAGAAATCTTTTCTAGGTGGAGCAGTTCATAATGTATATAGAGATAGCTTTATATACCATTAACACAGTAGCAGTAAAAATTATTAGAAAGTTATCAGACCAATTAAGAGAAACAAAGCTATCCAACTTTTGCACCCATATTGCTCCATTGCAACATTCCTGTATACAGAGCATGCATATATGGAATATCAGCTTTTCATTGACACTGTACACCTCTACTTCTTTCCTTGTAGTTTGTACTCAAGAATCTTTTAATTTAATGTCTACTGTAGATGACGATCAGCCCGATGAGTGGGACCAAAGAATAATCAATACTGGATGCCACGAGGAAAATCTCAAGTTGCAGCTCTGCCATGCAGATACAGGGGACTGGAGAAAGTGCCTTGAAGAAATGGCGGCATTCAGGAAATGCTGGGAAGTGAATAACAACAACGAGAGGACCAAAACAGTAAATAACGAGGAGAAATGGAAATGAGCAATTGACTAATGCCAGTAAAATGAACAAGGAATTGTATGTAAATATAAAGAAACCACTTAATGTACATATCGTAGTAATGTTCTTCTCTCACTATCTCGCCAATGCCAATATTAGTGAGAAGAACCAATACAATGCAATCACCAAAGTTAGCATATAACCTGTAAGAGTCAAGCCCTCTCTATTTTTTTTTTCCATTCAGACGCCTTCCCAAGCACTCACAAGCTCTCCTTTTCAATTTTGGCTTGATACCGTGCCATAATTGGGCCTATGTATTGAATGCTTGCGCCTATCATTCACCTAACTGGTGCATGTCTGTGCAACACAATTTAACTTTTTCGTAAATTTCAATCTCTCGCGTAAACAAACCAAAGTTTTTTAGAGCTCGTTAATGGTGTGTCTCTTTCCCCATAGATACCTAGGTAAGCTGTTGTGTGACTGCTAGGTTACTTCATTCATCGCATTAATATAAAATATTTCCATTTCTTCTTGTTTTTGCTTTAAATTTTTGTTTCTGTTGCTTGCTTTAATAGTATGAATAGACTACATCATGATCAATACCTGTCGCGGCGCTACACTGAGAAACTGATCCCCATAGAGTATTCCGAGGAAGACGACGACTACGTTGTAGAAAATTATAATGAGTTCGAGTATAACCAATCTGAAGGAGAAAGGCATCTGGATATCAAAAAGTTGAAAAAGCAGAGCATTTCCAGATTGCACAATAAATGGAACGATATCTTAGAAAGATACTCTAGGATAGATGATTCGAAGGAAAGTGATGAGATAGATATTATAACGGGTGATATTATCACGGATAATGGTCATTTGAGGTCAATGGGTATCAACCAAGAGAGAAACCCTAACAACCGTAGCTTATCGAATATATGGTCGGTCAACTTTGATTGGGAGAATGATAATTTAAATGCGAAGAGAAAGGAGTCAAGATTGAAGAAGAAGAAGCTGGAATTGAGAGCAAAGTTGAAGGAACAGGACCTCTTTCATGTATACAAGGATACGACGAAAAGAGTGCTTGAAGATCCGAAAAATCGGGAAGTCTGTAATGACAATATGCTATTGTTGACTCCTTCACCAGTGAAAAGAGCAAGGTTGGAGAAAGAGAACGAGAGCAAGGCTCCCCCACCTCCTAAATTGTTCCAGAATGAGCTTAACGGACTAATGCCTAACTTAATGAGAGATTTGGGCTCAAGTAGCTCAAATAATGTAGATTTAATGACGGACTCTGCCACAGAATTGATTGATAATGAGGACTCCGACCCTGGATCGGCATCAGACTCACTCAGTGAAAGGAGTTCCAGCTTTGATGATGAGTATCTGATCGTCTCATCACCATTGCAGCCGAAATCTAAGAGATCAATCTACAATTGCGCATTCGAGAATTGCCACTATTGTACGGGGAACAAGTCGCTATACCAGAGCCACTTGCTAGAGAAGCATTCGGTGACATTAAGAGAGTTGGGTTATCCGGTTAGTCTTGATGGATCAGCGACTCAAAACGACACAATTTCCCTTAGCTCTAAACGCGAATTACTAAGAGACTTTCCATTAGTTTTGGAAGTCCCGCCAATTCCCGACACGTTTAATGGTAGGCCAATAGTATGTGGACACAAAATGCTGAATGGACTTGAGTGTAAGAAATTCTTTCTCGATGATTTACAAGACCACAAATGCTCTCACAAAAGGCAAGTTTTGCTTTGTCCATTACTAGGATGTGGATTCATGACCGATGAGGGATACTTATCATGGAGAAATCACTTTATTGAGGAGGGTCACTGTAGAGAGTACGTGAGCTCTAAATCCATGAACGCATTCAATGGCCAACAAACACATGACGATGGCTACGATTCCATAGAGGAACTATTCAGTGATTAGCTCGCTTCACCCTTTGCATTCAAAACTTTGTACCATAGTTACATGTATTTATAAGATTTAATGAACGATATATTTATTTTAAATAAAAGACTATGTACATTTATATATCATTTCGGCTATTTTCTATTCATCTTTCTTTACTTGATTTTATAAATTTTTGAAGTTTTGTTGTTTCCAATTCATGCACTTGCAGCCTTCGGCTTACCCTTGAAGGCATCACCTTGAATATATTTATCGAATGCATCGTTCCTCTCGGTATATGGTCTAGGTCCAATTAACCTAATCATATCTTCTCTTGTCAAGACTTCCTTTGCAAACAATTCTTCTGCTACTATATCAACTAATTCTTTCTTCTCACTTAAGAGTTTGTGGCATGCGTCATAGGCTTCATCGATAAATCTTTTCACCTCAGTATCAATAGTTCTGGCAGTAGTTTCGGAATAAGTGTTATGAACCTTAAATCCTCCATTTCCCCCCTCTGAGTTTGAATACGTGATACTTCCCAACTTGTTACTCATACCTAAACTGGTAACCATCTGTTGAGCCATTTGAGTTACTTTTTTGAAATCATCAGAAGCTCCAGTGGTGACAGTAGGAAAATGTAATTCCTCACTAACTCTACCACCGAGTGCCATAATCATTCTATGTTTAAATTGTTCCTCAGATACCAAATATTGATCCTTGGGTAAGTATTGAGCGTAACCCAAGGCACCCTGGCCTCTTGGGATAATGGATACTTTAACAAGTGGGTCAGCAAATTCTAAGAACCAGCCACAGATAGCATGTCCTGCCTCGTGAAATGCGACAGTTCTCTTTTCTTCCAAATTCATAACTCTAGATTTTCTTTCTAACCCAGCTACAACTCTTTCGATTGCTTGCTCAAAATGATAAACATCGACAGAGTGAGCATCTTCTCTGGCAGCGATAAGGGCACCTTCATTACAACAATTAGCAATGTCGGCACCAGCGAAGCCAGGAGTCAAAGCACTCAATCTACCAGCCAATTTATCCATTGCATCATTTTTCAATTCTTGATACTTGCTGAATGTTATATCTTTGTTATGAGCTTGAATATCTTCTAAAACTTTCAAGGTTAATTTATTCAAATGAACTTTGAAGATATCCTTTCTACCTTCCACATCAGGATTATCAATAGAGATGTGTCTATCAAATCTACCTGGTCTAAGTAAAGCCTTGTCTAAGATATCAGGACGATTAGTACCTGCCAAGACTACAACATGATCTTGAGATTCAAAACCGTCCATTTCCACTAACAATTGATTCAAGGTATTTTCTCTCTCATCGTTACCACCCATTTTACCGTTTCCTCTTTCTTTACCAATTGCATCAATTTCATCTACAAAGATGATAGCTGGGGCCATATCTCTTGCAGTTTTGAAAAGATCACGCACTCTCGAAGCACCTACACCAACAAACATTTCCACGAATTCGGAACCAGAAACAGACAAGAAAGGAACACCAGCCTCACCTGCAGTGGCTTTGGCCAACAAGGTCTTACCAGTTCCCGGAGGTCCAGAGAGAATGGCACCTCTTGGAATTTTAGCTCCTAATTTTTCATACTTGGTTGGATCTTGTAAAAATTTAACAAATTCCATAATTTCTTCCTTGGATTCGTTACAACCTGCAACATCTTTGAATTTAATTTTTACATCTGTTTCCTGGTTGAAGAGCTTTGCCTTGGATTTACCAATCAGGAACATCCCGCCAGCACCGCCACTACCACCAGCACCACCAGCTCCACCGGCACCCCCACCAGCTCTTCTAATAGTCATGTACCACAACCCACCAATAAGCAAAACGGTTGGCAAAATAGGTAAGATATAATTCAACCACGAGCCTCTTTCCTCATAAGTAATAGATAATCTTTCCTCCAATGGAATCTCTAACTTATCTTGTATTTTCTTCATTTCATCTTCAAAGAATTCCACAGATCCAATAGTGAACACAACCGCAGGATGGCCGGTGGATGTTTGGAATGTCTGATCTGAAACAGCACCCTGAATCAACTCAGCTTCTACAGCAAACTTATTTATCACGATCAACTTGGTGACAAGTCCCTTCTCTAAATATTTCACTTTGAAATCTTGAAAGGAAAGTTGCTCCTGTTGGGTTGAGTTTCCTGTGACAAGCATTGCTGTAACTAGTATGGATAACCCAAGCGAAACCAAAAAGTTTCTGAGCTGAGCATTTCCAATTGTGAAGACCTTGAAGTCTTCATCCTTGACATTAGGGTTGTTTTTCTTGATTCTCTCCTTGAGTTCTTTGATCACTTCTTCTTCTTCCACACTCTTCTTTTTCTTTCCCTCCTTCTTAGTATCTGGTTGTTCTTGCTCTTGTTCTTTTGGTTTTACTTCTTTTTCATCTTCCTTTTCTTCAGGTTTTACTTTGTTATCCTTTTTCTGCTTATCATCTTGTTCTTGAGATAATCTACGGCTAAATTGAAAGGCCAGCCTAGAAGACATCGACAAGTGTCTTTGACCAAGACTAAAACTTGAATTTATGTTGCTCACGCCAACTTTGCTTCCAATGGTTCTGAGACCGATTCCTGAGCTGAAAACAGTACCAGGGTGAGGCCCACGGCCTATCCTCCTCGCTGACAGCACAGCAAAACGTCTAACTAAACTCATTTATTCTCTATTTGCCTTATAAAAGAGGTTAACCTATAGGCTCTAGTACTTTACACCTGCCTACAAAAATGATTCTCACCATTCTGAAATTTTGCCATTGAGTAATATGCAGGACCATATTATACGGAGGAAGTGCAAGTGTTCCAAAGGCTTCTCCAGAGGGAATGATCAATGGCTTTAAATAATATATCTTTGCATCTATTGGTGGTTCTATGTATTATACGTGTGTACTAATAAATTCATCCCAACTTGTCTCGCAAATTTTTAAGAATTTTGCCTTTTCTTGGGAGAGCCAATCTTCCTTTGGGATTATGGAATCAGCTGCTTCACCTTCTATATTATCCTCTGGTGCATTCTCTGCTTTGTCATCTACTTCTTTGTCTTCCTTGTCCTCCTTATCTTCTTTATCTTCCTTGTCCTCCTTATCTTCTTTATCTTCTTTATCTTCCTCATCTTCATTATCCGCCTTCTCTTCTTTGTCCTCATCTTTCTCAGATTCGCTACTCTCTTCTTTGGTCTTTCCCTGAGCAGTCTTGAATATCTTGAAGTTGAACACGCTCTCATTCATTAAGTTAATTGAACCAAATATTTGGCTCTTTGTATTGATTATTAACCGGGAGCTCTTTTCATCGTCTTCGTCGATTGCTGCAGTTTCTGGATCATCGTTGTCATCCTCGCCTCTGGATTGATCCCTATATTTGTATTTATTCTGCATCTCCAAGATTTCTTCTTCGGATACTGGTAACCTATCTTCTCCAGTGCCAGCACCTGCTTGATGGTCAAAATATTCAAATTGTGACGATAAGGGTTGGGCTTGTAATGGTGCGACCCTGGTGTAATCACCGTGGTATACGTCAGTAACTGAGCGACCTGGACCGCCATTTCCACCAGTGTTAACACCTTTAGCATTTAAAGGAGTAGATTGTTGCTGAAATACGTTATGCTGAAACTGATAGCTGGCAGGTGTCGTACTTCCTACCACCGTTGGAATTGGGCCCACAGTTGTTATTGGTTGTGGGTTCTGGTTGTACTGAAGATAATAATGTTGGGGATGCGAGTACTGTCTTGGGAGTTGTCTAACAACTCTTGGGTTAGCCGCGCTGGAATTCGGCAATGGAACTGCTCCCACACCTCCTGGGTATATCGGCTGACCAGGAGTCATTAATCTTTGTCTATAAGGAGAATGAACGTATGCTTGATGCTGCTGAGGTCTAAATCTCTGCTTCTGAATTTGCACACTGGGTTGATAGTATGAGCTAGGGTTGGTAGCTGCCTGTGCCTGTGCCTGAGCTTGTGCTTGAGCCTGAGCCTGAGCCTGAGCCTGAGCTTGCAATTGCAATTGAATCTGGGCTTGGGCATTCGCCTGGGGCTGAAATGCAGTGCCGCCCCTCCTCTGGTACACTGGACGCCCGTATTGATTTCTAAAGGAAATCGATTGTCGTATTGGCGCAGATCTAATGGCCGGTCTATAGTTTGGACTTGAGGAATTATTGGAATGCACGGAAATATTCAAAGGGCTCGGAATGTTATCTCTCTTCAATCTCTTTGCTGTGGTGGGTGTCACTAACTTGTCCAAATTGCCAGTGGCAGGGCCCCCAGCACCAGTATCGTTACTGACCGTGATGTGAACAGGGATGCCTATAGCGGAGGTATTAGCCGAGTTGGAAGATGTGGACGAAAATGATGTGTTTGAAGAGGAATTGGGTCGGGAAACAGGCCCCCCTGCTGTGAACGATGCAGCTGATGCTCCTCCGGACGAATTGCGGTTAGCTATGAGCTGTCTTTGCTGTTGTTCGATTTTTTGGGAAATCTTTACTGTAGTCTTCATCTCTTCATTCAATGGTGGGAGTCCTGGAGAAACGATCCTCAAGGCTACATCACTCTGTTTATCCAATTCCAAGGACGCTGGTCTGTGTCTCTTAGGTGGTGTAGGCGACATCATGAAAGTAACTGTAGTAGTAGGTGAAGTAACGTGATGTGACAAAATCTCTGTACTTTTGTCAAGACAAAAACTGAAAAACTGAAAAACTTAAAGTATGAGCTAAATTCGCTAAGGGTGGAAAATTTCTTGACTGCCAGTTCTATCGATCTGACCTTATCCCTATGTATATATAAGAGAGTGGAATGGAGCAATGACTGGAATATCTTCTTGTTTTTTATACTGTTGGGATTTTGGATTTCCTTTTTCCCTATTTTTATGGAATGTCACCACTTTTATTGTAATCTTTGATTTTAATTAACCTTTTTTTTTTTTTTCTGTCTTTGGCTCTTTTTTTTTTGTCTTCCTCTTAACGCGTCAACCAACCGTTTTTGTACTTCCCACAAGGAATTTACTTTATTTTTTGATTTATTTTTATTTACGTTTGTCTTTTGTTAGCAAATTTTGACCACAAAGAATAAAAAAAAATGACAACAAAAGACCTTGGAGAATGTAAATGTTATTCTTTTACTTCGTCAAAAAAAAAACAAGAAAGAGCTGAAATAATGATGTTGAAAATTGAGAGACTGTGGAGGTGTATTATATACTAAAGAAAGGTTTTATTTAAGTCTCAGCGGCCAGTTTCGAACTTTAATGTGTAAGATCTTACATTAATGTGTTTTACATTTGATGGTACTGTAGAGGTATGTATCTCACTTAAATTTGAAACATTTCGACCCTTTACTTGTTTCAGGTTGGACAAATAACTATAAATTGAGTACGGGTGTAGGGATGTCTCAAAATGAAAAAAAGATAAAAAAACAAAAAAAGTAGAAAATAGAAAGTAGGATGTAGAAAATAAACATAATTGTGTGTGCTGCAGCAAGAGAGTTATAGTGTTTGCAGAAATCTAAAACCATAACAATAACACTCGGAAGAGCAAAAATAGAAAAAAAAAAGTGAAAAAAAAGAGCATGGTAACACTTAGTGACTTCCGAACGAAGGGGATCTAGTGTGTGTAAGTGAGTAGGTTAGAGAGTGTGTGTTTAAGTGGTGCGTGGTGCGTGCGTGGATGTGTTCTTTTGCATAAGCTTACGCTTCCCTCAATATTTCTATTGTGTGTGACAAATTCTATTTGTCACGAGATGGGTGAGAAGAAGGTTTCAAAGTGCAACCCACACCATTATGAAATGTTGCTATCTTTCTTTTTTATGTTGGGCTCGTGGTTTTCCTCACTAATAAGTAGTACGCTTCCTTTATGCTACCTAATTTTGATCCATACGGTCTTTACAGAATTGATCCTATTTTGCTTTTTGCTTCCCATATATGGATATTATGCAATTCCTGCTCATCAACGCCTCAAGAGAACGATCTATAACAAGTGGAAATGGCCCGGGTCGCGTTCATGCAGGACGTAACACTTCATTGGAACTTATTAATACATCAGAGTATGAGATAAAACAAAATAGAGCCAAGCAAGAATGAAAAATTTCCCTTTGGGGGTCTAAATGACGTGGCTATGTTTGAATACGACAAAACAAGATGCTGCCTAAATCCAATCAAGGAAAATGCAAAGAAAAAATGTAGAACCGCCGGCCCGTAAGTTGCGTCAAAATTGATTCATTGATTCTATTTGCAAGATTATTCCGATTCATACACATGCCTGAGACGGTTCCTGCCCTTCTATCGGGTTTCGGGTTAGTAGATGGTGGTATTATGCCATGGTGCATGCTCCGCCACCAAGTACATCGATGTTGTCTTCTTTTCAATGCATTTTCTCTGCATCCGGCTCTATGTTCCATTTAAGCTTCTGTTTCGTTTCGTACCGGGGAGTGCCATGCCTTAAAGCCTCTTGCACTGCACAAAAATTAAATTGTGGGGAATCGGATTTAGAAATTTTAAATTTTGTTGCTCATAGAACATTCCCCAAGGAGATTAGATAAGAAAGTTTAGGTTTGGGATCATCCCATAAAATTGCCCCTCTCTGAGCCGTTGATAAGTGCAGCCCAAATGTAGTGGCTGTTTCTGGTCAATGTTCGTACTCCATTTCCGCCTTTCAGCTTCTTCCCGTACCCCAAACGTCTCCTCCTAGACTCATCTACCCAAAGTAGGTGTACGGATGTTAACTGATGATTATAGCGATCCTAAAAACTTTTTCGATTGTGCTATCGTTCGCGGTAGCACACTTGTCAATTTTAACAATACAGAGAAGATTAGCATTGTCCTTGCATAAAGATGACACGCTTTACAAAGAGATTTACCATTTTTTTTTTACCTTTTTCTTATGATAACGTATTGCTCAGGATCGGTGGTACCGTTTGCTCTCTTTTTTCCATGTAGTGTAGCATAAGAATGGGTAGCCATGTAACTTCTTTCATTTTTATCTCCAGTCGCTAACACAACTTTCATGGTCGCGGGCTCGATTCCCACGTATCGCACAAATTAATACGTATATCTTTTTTCTTACCACACTTCAAGAGAAAATGGCTAAACCATCTTAGCCATAGGAAGTTGACACTAATTGGGGGATACTGGTATGCCAAACCCGTCTTCATTGTTTCCTGACAGCTCCAATTCACTGGAGGTTCAAGATATTCTATTTGGTAGGTCATCCAATCGATCACTTGGAGGGAATTTGCATGATCTATCTGAAGCTCAAATATCAAAACTTATACATTTAAAATTTGATAACAATCCTATAACCTTAATACGACAATTATCTAGTGATTTGACGTCTAAAGAGCGAGATTTGATTTTATTGAGAAAAGAAAAATTTGCTCGAGAGCAATTACTATTGAAACTTTTAAGCGAGTATGGGAATTTGTCCAGCTTAGAAATAGATCAGAAATTAAACACTCTAAAGATAGACAACAATGCGGATAATGTTTTACACGATTTGATTGAGAGTGCTATGGATGAGCACTTGAATCCGGAATCAAATCCTAGTATAAACAATAGAATGAGTATCAAACCTACTGAGCTGTATCGATTGAGGCTGAAACTGGACCAATTGCGGCTGCCACCTGAACGAACCTCTCAAGTGACCTCTCCGATAGAAGTGTTAAGTAATACCAGCAGCAACAGTACTACCCACAACCATAGTCATAATAATAATAGTAATAATAATAATAATAATAATAGATCGTCGTCTTGGTTGGGTAACTGGTTCAACCATAACGATGGTTCCAATGAAAATTTACCAGGTACACAAGGTAGACCACAATCTAAATCCTTCAGTCTACAGATTGGCCCGTTTGGTTCGACAAGTTCGCTTTCTTCAAGTAATACTGGTAATGGCGTTAACTCTGGTGGGGGAAATGGTGCAGAGAGTTCAAAGGTCCCTGTCGAACTTGATAGCATAAAAGTAAGGCGCCCCTACGAAGACAGAACCCCACTTTCAGCTGGCGTTGATAAATTTGGCTTTTTCAATGATATGCCCAAAGAAGCTCAAAAGAGCAATGAATTGCTTAGCGATGAAGAAGAGGGCGAAGAAGAAGAAGAAGAAGAAGATGATGACTATGACGCCAATACCAGTGGTATTTCAGAATCTAAGCCATTTATATCCACATTGGTCGAGACTAATGATCTTGAAGCGAATGGTACTTATTTATCAACTTCGAAAGCGAAGAATACGGTTACAAGTCTTGACACTCTTAAACAATTGAGTAGAATGCATGATGAGAAATCAAAGCAATATGAAGATGAGTGGGAGACATTCTTCAAAAGTTTGCAAAGAGATTACTATTACAGCAGTAATAAGAATAAGGTCAAAATTGAAAATATCCCCGAAAAGGACCAGAACAACACCTTCAACTCTTTATATTCTTCAGCGAATGAAATATTTGGATTGAAAGGTTTGAATTTGATAAAACTTGAGAAGATTATCAACAAGCAACAACCCCACCATCACGTAGGACACGTTCCCTTATCAAGTGATATAAATTCTACTTCCTATTTCAAGAAGCTACATAAGCTAATTCAAAAAATGGGAATCCCCCCTAAATATAGATCACAATTATGGTTCGAGTTATCGGGATCCAAAAATTTGAAAGTTCCTGGAGAATTTGATAGACTCTATAATTTATCGATTTCAAGTGTAAATGATCCACTAATTGAGTCAAACATAAACCAGGTTAACCTTGATTTGCACAGGACAATGCCCTCCAATATTTATTTCAATGATGTTGTTAATTCACAGCCTGGACCCAACTACTATAGGTTACAGAAAATTTTGTATGCATTTGTTGTCTATAAGCCAAAAATTGGCTATTGTCAAGGAATGAATAAAATCATTAGTAATTTATTACTAGGAGGTGGAGCTACAGCGGCTTCCAATAATGAAGAAGACGAGAAATGGAGCGTAAATTTGACAGAAGAGGATATCTTTTGGATCTTTGTTGGCTTCATTGACGAATTATTACCGACGTACCTGAAGGATTTTAAAGATTACAACTTCTTTGATAACAAGTCGTTACTTTATATTGGAATTGATCAAAAAATATTGTCAGATGTGTATTTCCCACGGTTTTTGCCTAACTTAAGAAAACACTTCAAAACTTTGAATATTCAAATTGAGTACATCACTTTGAACTGGTGGGTACTGATATTCACCGAAAATTGCTTGCCGATTGAAATATGGATCAAGTTCTTTGACAATTTTTTGGTAAGTTTAAATGTGGAAATTCTATTCTTTCTGATTAGTCTATCATTATTTAAGAATTTTGAAAAGCTCTTGCTAAGTATTTCAAATGCAGATGATATATATTTGATAATGAAGAACTTAAACCAAAATAACTCCACCAAGAGTAATTTGAAATATTCTGAATTAATGCAATTATCAAAGAGTTTTGAAAAGAAGATAGATGGGCAGGAGATCGAGAGCTTGAGGATGATGTACGGTTAAGCATTCGAAGAGATCGAGACCTGGGATAGTGTATTCGAGAAATTCAGTAAATAATAGATCATAGGCAGAGTCTGATCTAGTATAGAAGTCTACAATGATCCCACTCCTACCAGCAGTCTGCGAGTTTTTAAATTATTTTTCAAGAAAGTCTCGTTCCCCTTAATGTTTAGTTTTGAAAGCACTATGGGGAATATTATTATGTGAAGACTCGTAAATTAGGCTGAATTTCTAGTAAATTTCTAGTACAGATATTTAATAAAGCAGGAGGCTTCGCTAGAGGACCCAGCGTATTTCAAAGGATTGTAGCATAAATAGAAATCATATTTCGTATTTTACTTTCTAGATGGTTTATTTCGTACGATCGTCTGTCGTTTTCTACTCTCTAGTGGTCTTATTATTAGAGGTATCTTCTTCCACATTGGGAGATTGAATGTGTAAAAATAAGATCGTATTTCGTATTCTATTCTTTAGAGGTTTTACTGGAGCTTTCTCTTGTTCGGTAGATGATCAAATGTGTGAAAATGTAATCGTATATCATGTGTATGAAAGGATATAATGGTGTGAGCTTGTGAATAATAGTGTTTGATTATTGGCACTTCCTTTGAATAATATGCTGCGACTTGCCCCCACATCTCTATATTCACCTGGGGTTTCGACCAAGTTCTCCTTACACATTCTTTGTCCACACACATAGAACCTTACGCATGTAATATCTCCAGATAGCGATAGGGTAATGTTCCATCTGTATTATACCTTGTTCGATCGTAAATGGGATTGAAATATATTCATGCATGAACCCGCAGGCGATTACCTACATACGCCATCTGCAGCAGGGCTTCCAAAAAGTGAAGAGGAACTCTGGAAATAAAAAAAGAAAAAGGACACAAGAGCTACTCTCCAAGCTCATCGGAACCAACAACCAGATAAGCGGACAGGCCAAAGGCGCAGCTTACAACAGAAACAAGATACATCACGATAGAACAAGAGTAGGGCCTCCCCATCTAGCAAGATGCGACCGTTTGCGAACAGTGGAAGAATAGCCTGGAGCAAAGAACCGAAATATTTTTTGGGCCACACCAAGATTTTCGACAGAAAATAAAAAAAAAGAAAGAAATGGTGCAGTGTGAGGACACAGTGTACAAATGTTCGCGGGCCAAGTAAACCACATAATGCACAACCAACGCTACAGTACTGGAGTGCAGCGATAGATCCTCACCCATACTCCCAATCCCGATAAACGAGCTTGCACCGAACCTTATCACATTCCAACTATCATTGACACAATTGTGATAAGATTCAACTAAAAATAAGCTTTCTGGCACTGCTGCTCCGGGGGTGACACAACCATAAACAATAAACGATAAACCATAAAAATCATCCATCACCTCGCCAATTTCAATTCCCTGCCTTCTAAAGCTGTACGTTAAATCGCGCGCGTCACGTCTCATTTCTTTTTATTTTCCCACTCTGCGCAGAGGTGTTTTTCGTACTTTCCAAGCAAATTTCACAAAGATTCACTGACTTTTTGAGCTTTACGTGCGTATTGGTGCGTATTTTTCTCACTAATTTTTTCGCACTCACGCTCGCGACTTTTGGAATTTTTTTTTTTTTTTTTCTTTGGTTGGTCTTTTCTCTTCTTGATACGTATATACTTTTCTAGAGTTGACTCTTTTCTTCTTCCTTTCCTTTCTTTCTTTTCCACTATCATTTGGTCCAGATACATTTAGCCATGGCTCCAATGACTAGATCTAATGCAAGAATTGCAAGATTTGCAGTCTTTGCAGTTATTTTGATTATCAGTGGGTTCATCCTTTCTAAGGGATCTTCATACACTGCTGGAAGTGCTTCTCTAGCCCCAGCTGTCCAAAAGGGAACTGTTTCTGATTCTGGAGCTCCAGCCGCCGGTGTCCCTCCTGCTGAAGTTAAGAATGCTGCTGAACCAGGTGCTGTTAAGGCTCCAACTGACAAGGAAATCGCCAAGGACAAGATTTCTGCTACCTTTGTCTCGCTCGCTAGAAACTCCGATATCGACTCCCTTCTTGGTTCCATCAGACAGGTTGAAGACCGTTTCAACAAGAAATTCAAGTACGATTGGGTTTTCTTGAACGATCAACCATTCTCTGAAGAATTCAAGGAAATTACCACCGCTGCTGTCTCTGGTAAAACCAAGTATGGTTTGATTCCTGTTGAACAATGGTCTTACCCAGACCACATTGACCAAGAAAAGGCTGCTTTATCTAGAGAAAAGATGGTTCAAGAAAACGTTATCTATGGTGGATCCGTCTCTTACAGACACATGTGTCGTTACGAGTCCGGATTCTTCTGGAGACACGAGTTAATGATGGATTATGAATACTACTGGAGAGTGGAACCAGATGTCAAGATCTACTGTGACATTGACTACGACATTTTCAAGTGGATGAAGGATAACGACAAGGCTTATGCTTTCACTATCTCTTTACCAGAGTACGACAAGACTATCCCAACTTTATGGCAAGAAACCAAGAAGTTCACTGATGCTAACCCTCAATTCCTCGCTGAAAACAATATGCTTGATTGGATTTCTAACGATAAGGGTCAAACTTACAACGGTTGTCATTTCTGGTCTAATTTCGAAATTGCTTCATTGAAGTTCTGGAGATCCGAAGCTTACACCAAGTACTTCGAACACTTGGATGCTGCTGGTGGATTCTTCTACGAAAGATGGGGAGATGCTCCAGTTCATTCCATTGCTGCTTCCTTATTCTTGAACAGAGATAAGGTTCATTTCTTCGAAGATGTTGGATACTACCACGTTCCTTTCCATAACTGTCCTGTCGACAAGGCTACTAGAATAGCTAAGAACTGTGTCTGTAACCCTAACGAAGATTTCTCTTGGAGACCACACTCATGTACCCCAAGATACTACTCATTGAAGGGATTAAAGAGACCAAGTGGATGGGAAAACTTCAGTTCTTAGGAGAGCTGCTAGAAGCATCGTTACTGATTTATATATATATATTGAATAAACAACAATGATTTAAATGAAGAACAGCAGCATCACAGTAATAGCAAGACGGTATAAACGTGAATGAAAGCACACTCTTTGCTGTATCTACACGGCACGTAGGGCTATATAAGCGCCATTACATATCCATTACATATCCATTACATATCCATTACATATCCATTACATATCCATTACATATCCATTACATATCCATTTAAACATGCATACATACAGATACACATATATATACATATATATAAATATATCCTGCATGTAAACACAGGACTAACGCCCATCAGCATACTACTTCCTTGACGAATGGCCTGGAAACTCCACAATTTCACCCAAATTCATCTGTGTTGTCCATTAACACTCTCTCATAGTACACACACCAAGTCTTAGTTGCAATATTAGCTTCTCTTGGTCTCTCATATATCCATATTCTTACCTTCTTGTTAGTATAGAGAGCCCAAATATTTCACTCCATGTCCTGCATATACACAGTACACTCTCTGCTACAGACTCTCAATTTTTGCCTTCAATTGGTTTAGTAGGAGAAGGAAGATATCCTTTACCTAAGCTTGAATAGATTACAAGAATAATGGTATGTATACTCTTACCTCTATTATGTCATTGAGCTTTACGAAGATGTACTAACGTAATTTTTTTTCTTTAGATTCTCCGTTTCCGATCCAAAGATGGAATGTTCAGATTGAACATAGAGAGCACGGACAGCTTTGCAACGTTGGTCGACCAATTGATGCCCAAAATCAGTGCAACCGACACAGATTCAATCAAAATCACAGATAAGGCGAATGGTGAAGGAGCACAGTATATACTGAAGTTGACTGATAAAACAATCAGTGACTTGGGCTTGAAGAATGGGGACATGTTGTATTTGAATTACGAGAAGCAGCAACCAATGGAGGGCGTAACCAGAGCTACCGGTGGTAGTAGTGAAGCTCCAGACTCATCACAAGTAATTGTCTCCGGTACTGCGTCAGGATCTGTGGCAATAAAGGGTGCCCCTCCTGTGTTACCTGTGAAGACGGCTCGTTCCCAATTACCTATAGATGACCTTCTTGATAAGGAGAAAGGGCTCGTCTCCCGCCCCAGATCGTACATGTGCCGCCATGGTGATAAGGGGATGTGTGAATATTGCTCACCATTACCGCCATGGGACAAAAACTATCAAAAAGAGAAAGGCTACAAGCATTTATCGTTCCACGCCTATGTCAAGGAGATTGATGAGCAGAAGAACAACAAGTATAATTCTACGTCATACATGGCGCCTTTAGAGGAGCCAAATTACTACAGCAAGATGCTTCCCACAGGTGTTAGACAGGGCCCTGCTGTCATCACGTTACAACAACAAAAGTTTAGAATGGTCGATAACGTGGAATTTAGCGATTCTTCCATCATGAATAAATTTATCGATGTGTGGAGAAACACTGGTGTGCAGAGATTCGGATACTTGTATGGTAGGTATGAACAGTACGATGTGGTTCCATTGGGGATTAAAGCTGTTGTGGAAGCGATATATGAGCCGCCACAAGCTGACGAAGTAGATGGAATTACTTTATTACCTTGGGAAGATGAACAATTGGTTGACGAAATTGCATCAAGACTCGGATTGGTTAGAGTTGGGGTCATATTTACAGACTTAACTGATCTGGGGATGAAAAATGGTACAGTGTTGTGTAAAAGGCATAAGGATACATACTTCCTCTCGTGCATTGAGATTATGATGGCAGCTAGAAATCAGATTAAAAATCCAAACGTTACGAAGCACAGCTCAACTGACAGCTTATATCTGTCGAAATTTGTCACTTGTGTGATTAGTGGTGGGTTGAAGGGAGAAATTGAGCCTAGATCTTACCAAGTCTCTGTCGATGCTGAGGCTTTGGTCAGGGCAGACATCATCACATCTACTACACAGCCATCAATGCTTTATGTCAATGAGAGTGAGGCTGGTGGTAGGCTAATTCCAGATATCTATTTCCTGAAGATTAATGAGTATGGATTAGAGGTTAAGACCAACGCCAAGCCTACATTTCCAGTTGAATTTTTGTTGGTTTCACTTTCAGACTCTTTCCCTAAAGAGCCTAATCCTAAATTTAAGTTGAACTTCAACATTGAAAATAGATATTTCATGGGTGACTTACAGGATTTGAAATCTGCTTACAAGTTTTTGAATGGGACTGATGATACTTCCAAATTGATTGATTTCCATTTCATTATATTTTTGTTAAAGATGGACATCTTGGGCAAGGAGGAGAAGGAAATGTTTTTGAAGTTTGCACAGGATGGAGAGTACGAAGATTACTTGAGATTGGTGGAGAGTCCGGGGTGGATGACTTTAGTTACTATCTTAGAGCAATCCAGCTGATCAGATAATAAAGTAAATAAATGGAAATAATTTAAAGGCAAGAGAAAGAGCCACGGAAAAAGAGATACATCAAGTCCAGAAACTAATCTATTTTAGATAATTCAAATAGAAGAGGTGGAATATAATAAAAGACAAATAAATGCATAAACCAGAAGATAAGGAGTTCTAGGTTGTGGGCCACATGGTCAGTTGAACCTAGAACAGCAGACCACTCACCCGGCCAAACCTACTTCCATCAGTTGCTACCACTTCTTACCTCCCACCTCTCACTTCTACCCAGCTAAGATTGCGGTTCGTACTGTAAGCAAGCAGATCAGATGTGCAGCACTTTCCTGTATGCACACCCTCTCGCACACCCAGTGTCGCAACCAGTGCTACACCACCATCTCTCAGCTCATCGCCTCAATTTGTGTGAACAAGCCAGAGAGGGCCCAGTCCAAAGACGCACACCTAAGTTGAGATGTCTCACCAATTACATCAGATCCATTGTAGACCACTTCGCATTGACTCCAGTTACACCATTTTCTAACTGCCCCCGATTTACCTTCCCTTTCTCTGTACTTGCTCCTATGCTTCCATTACCTTCACCTCTGTTCCAGAACGTTCTTTACCTTTGCACGACTCAGCAAAATCTTCCAGTGAAAAAAAAAAAAAAAATTCTTACAAAAATTTCAACCAAGTTATAAGAGAAACGTGAATTACAAAGGAAGGTATTTTTACAACACTCTTTCGTTAGTTATATTAATAATAATTAGAAAAATATGTCCACTCCATTCGGTGTCGATTTCGGTAACGATAACACAGTTATTGCCTGTGCAAGAAACAGAGGTATTGACATTATTGTCAATGAAGTCTCCAACAGATCTACTCCTTCCTTAGTTGGATTTGGAATGAAGAACAGATTTATCGGAGAATCAGCTAAGAATCAACAAACTTCTAACTTGAAGAACACTGTTTCTGACTTGAAGAGAATCTTGGGATTAAACTATGACGATCCAGATTTTGAAATTGAACAAAAATACTTCTCCACTGGATTAGTAAAAAACAAGCACGGTGGTGTTTCCGCCAAGGTTAGATTTGCTGGTGAACAACAAGAATTCACTGCCACTCAATTGACCGCCATGTACATTGCTAAGATCAAGGATATCACTGCCAAGGAAACCAAGGGTAACATTGTTGATATTTGTTTGTCCGTCCCAGTTTGGTACACCGAGAAGCAAAGAAGAGCTGCCTTTGACGCCTGTAAGATTGCTGGTTTAAACCCAGTTAGAATTGTTAACGAAGTTACTGCCGCCGCTGTTGGTTACGGTGTCTTCAAGCAAAACGACTTACCAGAAGATGAACCAAAGAAGGTTGCTTTTATTGATATTGGTCACTCTTCCTTACAAGTTTCCGTTGCTGCCGTCAAGAAAGGTGAATTAAAGATCTTGGGATCTGCCTACGACAAGCACTTCGGTGGAAGAGATTTCGACTATGCCATCGCCAACCACTTCGCTGATGAATTTATCGGTAAGTACAAGATTAACATCAGAGAAAACCCAAAGGCATTCTACAGAGTCTTGACTGCTGCCGAAAAGATCAAGAAGGTCTTATCTGCTAACACTCAAGCTCCATTCAACATTGAGTCATTAATGAACGACATTGATGTCTCATCTTCAATGAACAGAGAAGAATTAGAAGAATACATCCAACCATTATTAAACAGAGTCCACGTTCCAATCGAAACCGCATTGAAGGACGCTGGTTTAACCGTTGATGAAATTGATTCCATTGAAGTTATTGGTGGATGTACCAGAGTTCCATCATTAAAGGCTAAGCTTACCGAAATTTTCGGTGGTAAGCAATTGAGTTTCACCTTGAACCAAGATGAAGCTATTGCCCGTGGTAACGCTTTCATCTGTGCCATGCACTCTCCTACTTTAAGAGTTAGACCATTCAAGTTTGAAGATTTCAACCCATACTCAGTTTCATACTTCTGGGACAAGGAAGATGAAGATGAAGACCACTTGGAAGTTTTCCCAAGAGGTGGATTATTCCCATCAACTAAGATCATCACTTTGTTCAGAAAGGGTGACTTTGAAATTGTAGCTAAGTACTCCAACAGGGACGAATTACCGGTTGGAACCGAACCTGTTGTTGCTAAGTGGAAATTGAGCGGAGTTGTTCCAAGTGAAGGTGAATCTTCAATTGCCACCAAGTTGAAGTTGAGAAATGACCCATCTGGTTTCTACACCATCGAATCTGCCCACACTGTTGAAGAAAAATTAGTCAAGGAATTAGTTGAAAAGCCAGTTGTTGAAGGTGAAGAAGAAGACGAAGAAGCTGAACCAGAATATCGTGAAGTCAAGAAGTTAGTCAAGAAGAACGATTTAACTATTGTCTGTGAATCTGCTGCCTTATCTGAAGAAGAAAGACAAGAATTATTCGAAAAGGAAAATGCTATGATCATGGAAGACAAATTAGTCGCCGACACTGAAGACAGAAAGAATGCCTTAGAAGAATACATTTACGAATTGAGAGGTAAGTTAGATGAGCAATATAAGGATTTCGCCAGCGATGACGAAAAGTCAAGATTAACTGAAAAGTTAGCTAAGGCTGAAGAATGGTTATATGACGATGGATACGATGCATCCAAGGCTAAATACATTGCTAGATACGAAGAATTAGCATCTATTGGTAACATCATTAGAGGACGTTACTTGGCCAAGGAAGAAGAAAAGAAACAAGCTTTGAGAGCCAAACAAGAAGCCAAGCAAGCCAACTTCTTAGCTGAAAAGTTAGCTGCTCAAAGAGCCGCATCTAACAAGAAGGAAGCTGATGGTGATGTTGAAATGGATAAATAAGCAGAATGAATAATGTATATTTATGGGGATATATAGTAATGTATAGAGAATGAAAGAAGTATGAAAGAATATAGATGATTGTAGAGAAAGAGAAGTGGAAAGATGACAGATAAATATAGAGCATGAAGAAAGAAGAATGCACAGAAAACGAAAGAGGTGGGAAAAAGGACTGATGAGAGTAGTTAAGGGTAGAGGTGTAGGTGTGTTGAAGTGGAGAGTGACGCAATATGGATAGAGGTAAAGGCGATAGAATGATAAACTAAGCAAGCATGGAAGGAATGAAAGAAGTATTAAAGAAGATAGCTAAGTGAGAATGTGATATGCAAAACGTCGAAGTGAACTTATATATGGGGCCAATAATGAATACCCACGGTTGCACCACGATTGCACTATAGTGGCTGCTTCTGAGATTTGTAGCACATCAAGTTGCATATCTCTTCTCAACGGTAGACGTTTCTCGGTCAATTCTACTGTTGGCCACTTTACTGTCATTTAACAGTGATTTCGGCCTATGTGGCACACCCTAACCACATTTCTCCTCTCAAAGATATACCAATCTTGGTCAATTCTACTATAGTGCTCTTTCTCTTCTACAGTAACGGCAGTGCAACTCTGTTCTAATGCACTTTTATTCATGCAGTGTCTTCCGTGCATGTGCGCAGAGCACTTTTTCAATTTTTCACTAAACATGTGGGACTCTGCATCAGGTTAACTCCGTAGATTCGTGCCAAAGGAATGGTGACAGAATAAGAAACCTGCAATGTTTAAGATTGACCAGTTAAGGGCCGCGTAGAAAGTTTAATTGGCCTGAGCAGCATGCACCAGTTATAGTACTTGACACAATTTTAAGCATTTAGCCTCTTACAATAACTTTATAGCACCATAGCGTCCAGGGGCGAGAAGCGGAGAGAGGGTGTCAATTTGCACAGTTTGCACAGCTTGCATTTCTGACGCAGTTGGGCCATGATATTTTTCGAGCCTACTTACTCAATTCCAATTCCGTGCTGACAATGCACACACTAAGGTGAGTAGCATGTGGACTGTGTTTCACATCTGCCTAGTGTTCCCCCGCTGGCCCTTACAGGAGCGAATTGGCCACCACCATTGAAAGCATAAAGCATTACCTCAGTTGGCTAGTTCTAGGCTGGGCTGGGCCAGGCTCACTCTCTTGTCATGTCTTTTCTCCGAATGCAACCGTCGCAGGAACCGCTCCCTCGTAGACTCGCAGACTCGCACTCTCGCACTCCCTTGTCCCGCTCCGGCCCACTACTTTTCTCGCTACGCTTCTTCGGCCGCTAATTCTCACGGTGCGTTTTCTTTTTTTTTTTTTTTTTTTTTTTTTTTTTTGATTTTTCTTTCTTAAAATTTTCTGTTTTATTTTTACAGTCTGACACAAGCTAACCAAACAGTACAAGACGGCTCTATCTATAGTAACCGCAGCATATTCCAGTACACAGGCCGAGACAAACACTTATTCAGCAGGTAAATATTCTCCAGTGAAACCGATTTGATGCCAAACTCGCACAAATCCAACTTATCGATAGCCATTCAAAAAGCTGATGGACAAGATCAAACAACAAATATAGATAATCATGGGGGGAAGACCCTGAACCAGCACCAGCACCAGCACCAGCACCAACCACCTACCAGCTTGTACCAGCAGGCCGTGGCCAATTTCAACAATGAGAATATGTCACCATTACCCTCGCTGTTGCTTCCTCAACAGGGGGCACCTACCACCGCCACCACCTCATCATCTGTAGGCAGATCATCGATGAAAAAACCAGAGCTAAACACCATCAGTACAAGTTTTGAGAACGAAGATGTTCCAAAGGAGGACGACGACGAAAGCGACAATGGAGGAAGTAGCGATGACGAAGACGAACCGCTTCATCCCGAAAACGAGGAAGATCTCAAGGATTACGCTCCTGGAGGCTACCACCCTTGTTTCATTGGGGAGACATACAAGAACGGGAAGTATACCTTAGTAAGAAAGTTGGGATGGGGCCATTTCTCCACAGTCTGGCTTGCCAAAGATAACGACAAGCACTGCCATGTAGCCGTAAAGATTGTACGGAGTGCTAAACATTATACCGAGACTGCCATCGATGAGATTAAGCTCTTGGACAAGGTGACCACTTCAGACCTACACCACCCAGGGCACGAACATGTTATTCAGTTATTGGACACATTCACGCATAAGGGTCCTAATGGAGTACACGTGGTTATGGTTTTTGAAGTGTTGGGAGAAAATCTATTGGGGTTGATTCGTAGATACAAGCATAGAGGAATCCCTATTATTTTTGTAAAGCAAATTGCCAAGCAGTTACTTTCTGCGTTGGATTTCTTGCACAGAAAGTGTGGAGTGATTCACACTGATTTAAAGCCGGAAAACATCTTGATAGAAATCGGGGATGTAGAGCAAATTGTTAAGATGGTAGAAGAAGAAGAGTATAATAGTAAGTTGCAAAAGAAGTTGAGGAGAACAAAATCCCAAACCAAGAGCGGCAATTCCAGTTCTGCGAACAGTGACGTGAATTTGGCCAACAAGTCAGGCATTCTTGGTGCTGCAGGAGGTGGTGCTTCTACTCCTCAAAAGAAGATTTTAGAGGAAGACCATGACATTTCTACTCCACTCTCTATGAAGCCAATTAAGTCAAACTCTCCTTCGCTTGGAAGAAACGGTAGAAGATCTAGAAGACAAACATTAATCACCGGTTCCCAGCCGTTACCTTCACCTTTGCGTACATTCAATAAGTCTTTCACATCGGTCCATGGGCTTTCTAACTCGACTGCTAATACTCCAATGAAGCATAATTTTAGCGGTGTTAGACTCTCATCAGGAATTCTGGTGATTAACGATGAATCACCTGTCGATCCGCACAATCCGACTTCAAATGCGCTCAACTCCTCACTCTCGTCTATGTCAATATCTGGTAATAATATCAACTCACCATATCAAAATCCAGACGGGTTGTCTATTCCTGATGGCGATGTTTCATACATGAACAACAATTCCAATGATAATTCACTTGTTATCAACGAAGATGAAATTATTTCTGTCAAGATTGCAGATTTAGGAAACGCCTGCTGGACCACTCATCATTTCACAGACGAAATCCAGACACGCCAATACAGATCTCCTGAAGTTTTGATGGGCTATCACTGGGGTTGTCTGGCGGACTTGTGGTCCTTTGCATGCTTGATATTTGAACTACTTACCGGTGATTATCTTTATGACCCAAGAGAGGGAAATGCCTACAACAAGGACGACGATCATATTGCACAGATTATTGAATTAATTGGGCCATTCCCCAGATCAATGCTCAAAGAAAGTTACTATACTAGAGATTTTTTCAACTCAAGAGGCGAATTACATAGAATTCTGAAATTAAAACCCTGGGGGTTTAAAGATGTCTTAGTTGAGAAATATAAGTTTTCAGTTAATGATGCCTTGGACATTGCGGATTTCTTATTGCCCATGCTCCAATTGCAACCTGAACTTAGAGCTGACGCTGGTGGGATGGTTAACCACCCTTGGCTTAGCGATGCTGTTGGCTTGGAGAATGTTGTATTAGAAAGACCAGTTGGAGGTTCAGGGGAAGATATTCCTGGTTGGTCTAGAGAAATCCTGAAAGAGAGCCAATCGAAAGCAAAGTTTTTTTATAGATAAGAAGGTGGCAAGATCAAGAAGGAAAGGAAGATAAAAAAGAGAAGAGATTCATACTTTCGCTTTGCCCCGCTTCATATTCCTTACCTTAGAAAAAATGCCCTTAATAACACCATTTTTTCCCCATAAAAGAGTTGACAGGATATGAAAGGAAGGGTATTACTTTTCTAGTGGCTCTAGAAGCTGCTACATGCATTCTTTTGTAAAATATGTACATTTATATATAACAATATTAAGAACAAAAAAATAAAAATAAAAAAGTATAAAACTAAAAAGGGTAATGTTAATGTAGATTAAGATTCTATCTGAAAACTCATTTGCTAACGGTTAGAGCTATGGTTTGTTTAGAAATAAACCTAATGCAAATGCATAGTAATGGGTGAGTACTTGGTGGTGTCTACTCGTCTTCGTTCAACCACTTCGACATGAATGGTCCATCCAATTCGTAACCTAATTTAGCATAATAGTTCCTTACACCAACACCAGAAATAACACTTATCTTTTCAGATCCGTGCTCCTCTTTGGCAATTCTTGCAGCTTCTTCCATCAATAACGTACCAAACCCTTGATGTTGGAACTTTCTTGGATCACGAGAGTGAAGAGGAACAACGGAACCATAAACGTGCAATTCTCTCACAATCGATGTGGGCTGCTGGGTGAATTCCTTTCTGTATGTGTACTTCTTTGACGCCTTTCTCAATCTTAACAATCCAATCAAGATATCTTGTTTAGGATCTTCGTATGATAAAAAGGTTTCCCAACCACCGTTGGCATAGTAGTCTCTTCTGATCAATTCTACTTGGTCGGGGACAACCTTATGGTGAACCTCTTGAATCCCTACTTCTCTAGTACGAACATCTCTACAGGAGGTTCCGAAATCTTTCATTCTGGCAAGAGCCAACTCTCTCAAGTTACCATTTTCAACACCACTGGTAACAAGCGGCATGGGAATATCTCTTTGGACTCTATAAATTCTTGTCCAAGGGGGCACAAGGGCCATTATTCTGGCCACCAAATCCACCAATGCATTGGCATTGTAAGACTTGTATAACCCTTGTTTCCACAACTCGTATAACCCTGTCCCTCTGATGACCAACGTTGGGTAAAGCTTCAACCCATCAGTTCTAAAATCGGGATTTTCGAAATATTCCTTGAATTGCTCCAAGTCTCTTTCCATCCCAACGTTAGGCAAATCAGGCATCATATGACTGACAACCTTGTAACCAGCATCCTTAGCAACAGCGAAAGTTTCGCATACTGCCTTCACTGTGTGTCCTCTGTTGGTGTCTCTGGCTACATCTTCGTACACTGACTGTACCCCAACTTCCAATCTCGTGCACCCGTACTTCAACATATCACTCAAATGGGTTTCCGTACAATAGTCAGGTCTGGTTTCAATAGTAATACCTACACACTTGGTCTGCGACTGCTGTGAAAATTTGATGGCTTCGTCGATATCCTTACCATTAAACCCAGTTAGAGCATTATGCAACTCCGTTATGAACGATTCTCTATAGTCAATGGGTAAGGACATGAACGTACCTCCCATGATGATGTATTCCACCTTATCGATGGAGTGCCCCAATTGTCTTAGCTGTTCAATTCTACCTCTGGCTTGTTCATAAGGATCGTAACGAGCTCTAATGGCTCTCATAGAAGTAGGTTCATACCCTGTATATGACTGAGTAGAGTACTCAAAATCAGAATCTGGTCCACCAGGACAGTATACACAAATGTTTCCTGTGTAGGCAATATGGGGACATCTATGAGGCTTACACATCACCGCCACAACGGCGATACCTGAAGCAGTTCTGACTGGTTTGGCTTTTAATTTGGGGATAAGGTACTTCTTGTACTGGTCAGGGATAGACGATATGATATCTGTAAGTCTAGGTTGCTGCTTCAACTTATACTTCTTAGCGTACCTAATGATCAACCCATTCAAGTTGATGTCTTTGGAGTTGTTGAGGGAAGCTACAAGCTCAAGTGAAATGTCCCCGCAACACTGAAGGAAACGTTCCTTCTCAGGTGCAAGCTTCTGCTTAGACTTGACTACCATTATAATGCAATATTTACTTACTAATGGATGATATAGCTACTCTCCTCTTCATTCGATCTCTTTTTGTGCCTTCATCGCAATGGCAGCGATGAGAATAAAAAAATGTAAATGATTACGTAACAGCTGAGTCAGATAATTTTTCACTCATATGGATCATGAAAAAAAAAAATAGAGAAGCTTGAAAGCTGCTAAAGGTAGACTAGTTACCTCACAACATACTTAAATTGATATCTAAAACCGATCTGGACTTGTTTTAATGATGCTTGCTAGATCACACATAACAAAATCGTTTTTAAACAGACAACTGTTGTCCAGTTTGACTTCTGTTTCAAAATTCTCTTCGACCAGTTCCGCAAGTGCCAAAAAGTCAGACAGCGATATCACTAGAATCCCGATCAAGCACTTGGGTGTAATGGCACCATACTATATCCCACCACCAATCTTTTCTTCGCCATTTTCACTGTGGCACAAATTAGTATTAAGAAGATGGGGTCAATTCTTTTACAACACCTATTCCATCTATAAGTTCAAGAGTGACACTGGTAAGGCACCTAAATTTGAAGCTTGGAAGGACTCGGCCATTGCAATTTTCATAAAAACTAATAAGGCCTTTGCTGAAAAGAAAACCCAATTACTCATGGATGAAACAGTTGGTGTGCAAACGTTCAACTCTCTACATGAAAGATCTGAAACAATTCCAAAACACACCAAGTTGGAGTGGGAATTGGTCAAGATTGAAGAAAATCCTAAGGTTGTCTCTTTCAATGCCCTTCCTGATCCCAATGGTGTCACTGGAATGATACAATTTGTCATGAAATTAAGATCTACTCAAAGGGTCACTGTTAAGACTGCTGGAGCTGAGCCTACATCCACTGAAAGAACTTCCACCGACTACTTGGTGTATAGCTTGGACCCTTACTCTGATGAGATGTGTTTGGTGGGATCGCTCTTTGAATGTGATCATTTAAGACCCATTCAACCTGATTTGGAAAGCGTTTCTAACTACAAGCAAATGGTTGCATTCCAAAAGGAGTGTGCTGATATCTTTAGGGAAAAGCCAAAGAGGAATAACTGAGATCTGAATCACATCTGAAACAGGATCTGAAACAAATGTGTAAATAGTATAGAGTCACTAATAGGGCACCCAAAATGTGCTACTGCTGTAGTGCAATTTAATAAATAGCGTCATAATTCCAGACCGTCCCTTCCATAGTATCACCTTCTACACCTAGTGATATTATCATCATTTATTTACTATATAAAAACAAATTATTTCACTTTTCCTTTTTCATTTCTTTTTCTTTAACCAAATTTTTTACCTATATCAATCCACTCAATGGAATGTCTACATATCTAACTGTCTAACCTTGTATTAACCAAATATTCCGCCCTTCCTTAACCATACATTTTATGAGTTTATAAGAGATCCTTGCCATTACTTTTTTTTTTTGAATTTCCTCCGCTTAAAATATTCTATTGCCATACTTTTTCATTAAACCAATTTTGAAAAATACTCATTTAAAAATTACTCTTCTAATTCTTTTACCTGTTTTTTTGATGCTTCATATTTTATTCCATTAAGAAAACATCTTCATGTACTAAGTTTGCTTTTTCTGCTCTTGGGCTTTGAACGTTATTAGAACTACCGGAATCGGTACCAATTTCTACTTCTTCCTGTTCCTCCTTCATGTCATTGAATAATGCCTTTAAATTAGGTCTGACAAGTAATGTACCTGATTGAGATCTGGAATCACGTCTTTGAAGTTCTTGTGGAGTCAATATTAAATCGCTAAGTGATCCAGGAACATAATCTTCCTCACAAAAGAAATCATCTCCAGTTCCTGCAAGCTTGCCGCCAGTACCAGCTGAAACAGTTTCCTTACTTCTAATATCATCTTCATCGTCTGCAATTGCAGAATCGTTCAAGTTTGTAGAGTTATTGTAGTAGTAAGAAGTAGATGAAAATGAAGAATTGGAAGTACCAAGTCTCGAAAATGGTTGTTGAGAAACTTGATAAGAAGATGGTGTGGTTCCTGGTGGTGTTTGGCCAAACGGGGATGAAAGTGGATTGAAGTTGTTAGAGATAGTGATATTGTTACCAGACGAAGGTGGGGAGGTGTTGAAAGAATACGAACGATTCATTGGTGTCTTGACAAAGCTATTTGAGTTTGTATTGGAGAATATACCACCATTCAATCCAGTATTGAAATATTGATCATTCGAACCAAAGGAACCACCTCTAGGGGATAAAGGTTGGGGCAATAAGCTTCCACCAGTAGCCAATTGGCTTCCTTGCATTGAATGTCCTCCTTGTCCGCCTTGACTCCCCTGACTACCTTGAGTCTGAAATGGAGTAAAATTGAGCCCTCCTTGGCCCTGAGACAGGGACTGAGAATGAGAATTCACTTGCTGGTATGGTAAATTTACAAACTTAGCAATTCTGTTGCCTGGAGATGGTAACTCCAGCAAAGTATTCCCAATATCAATTGGCTGAGAGGAAAATGAGTTCCTGTTTCCAGACAGGATGAAGTCATTTTGCTGCTGTGATTGAGGTACGCTCGGTTGGAACTGCTGTGAGGTTGGCGAATGGATAAAGGAACTAGAATTACTATTCGAAAAGCTACCTCCATTGGTACTGTAATAAGTGTTATTCGATCCATACGATGTATTTGGGTTTGCATTAGGAATACCGTTGGGAATGTTACTAATGTTGTTAGCAGCATTATTGTTTGAGTTTTTATTATTCAGGTTGCTGTTTTTCCTATAATTCTGGATAGCCTTAGAGTTAATTCTCGTACCGTCTGGTAAAAAATGGGCCAAAGCACACTTCAATCCAAATTTACAATTTCCCTTCTGGAAATACTTACAGGGAAGCTTATCAGCACCCAATGAGCCATCCAAGTTGTGGGAGAAGGGGCATGAGTTTCCAGCCTGGCATACTCCCTGCTTGAAGAACTTACATGGAACATGACTTAAATTCTTCGAATTTGAAGAGCTCCCACCTGTGGCGACAGTGCCAGGGGGTCCAGTGTTCGGGGGTAATTGATTTTTAAGTGCGGCAAAATCAAATGGGTCTTTTGATCTGGGTTTCCCATTGCCATTGCTGTTGTTGTTGCTGTTGCCTGGATTAAGAGGCATAGATGATGGACCATGTGTTCCCTCACCGTACCCGTCGGAACCGTCGATCATCCCGATTCTTGTTTGAGAATTGGGATGGGAACTGTTTTCAAAAAAGGACGATTTCATCTTGGGGTACTGAGCGATCACTGGCAGGTGCATTCTTTTTTTTTTTTCCTCTGTTCCTTTTTTTTTCTTGCGTTTGTGCGCTGCTTCCTATGACTATTAGTAATGGGAAGAGATGATGGTGGGATAGCAACAAGGATGAAGGATTGTGAGAATGGGGATTCGCTTTATTTGAAGTTAGCCAACAAACCGAATGGTAAGACTAAATAGGTAGAAAGTCAAAAACTGGAAGTGTGGTGGATTGAGTTGTAATTTTTTTTCTTCTTTTCTGATAAGGGAGCTTATCCTGTCAAAAGAGAAAAAAGGTTTACTGAATGTGAATGGGGTAGGTAGGCAATTTACTTGAGTTCTTTCTGCTTTATTGTAGAAGTCTCAATTACCTCACTAGACTGCGCTGTTCTTAGAGTTCTTCTGCTTGTTGTGATATGGACTCTCTCAGACAAATTGTTCTTGTTAACGTCTGTTAAAGTTAAGTGCTTACGTTTGGTTTATCCTAAAAGCAAAGGAAAAAGTCAAATAAAGTAAAGAAAGCTCGGGTGCCGATAAGGATAAAAACTGTGCATAAAGCAAAAACAAAAAAAAAAAAAAAAAAAAAAGGAAAATACTAAAGGTTAAATAAAATTACTATCTTAAATCATATTAGTCTGGGGTTATTTGATCTACTGGGCCGCTCTTACGAGCGTTTGAAATGATTTTACTTTGAGAAAGACTTCTGCTGGCATTGCGTTGATTAGTTTTGTTATTTCTATATGTTTACGTTTGAAAGAGGAACGTTCATCACCTCTCTGCCCCAATACTACGTTCCCATCCAGCTACCAACCGTATTTTATTATTTCTTTTTCTTTTTCCCTTTGCATTGCATAGTGCTGCAATTTCAGTCTAGCAATAGGGACCAGATATGAATTACCCGGACCATGCTTTCCAACTAATTCCATGGATATTTGGCATTTCTTATCTAAGCACAGTGTAGTGGAACTAAATTGTGGTGGGAGTGAGGCTCTTCACCGCGTGATGATATATTTATGTGGTTGTGGATCGATTTGAGATGAGGGGCACGGACGATCCGATACCTGCCAGGATGTAACAGCAGCGCATTCTATGCGTACAGCTTCCAGCGTCCACCATCTAGCGGGGAATTGCAGTCAATACCACTCATACTAGCTGTAGCCGTAGCTAAGTGTATGAACCTTTCTTATGATGCGTTTCTTTAAAGAAGTAGCTCTACTACGTATCGGTTTTGTTCTTTTTTGCGTTACGCTTCCTTTAAGTTGACTTGTCTACTGCATCATGTACGTGTTGATGCACCATGATTATTTTTTATTGTTGAAAACAAAACTTGAAACATTATTCCTACTTTCTTTAGTATTTGGCTCGGGCTGAATAGGTAATGTATACCAATGATTGCAGAGGCCTGCTAGCTAGTCGAGATACTACACGACGTTTCTCTGTTAAAGAAAAAAAAAAAAAAAAAAAAAAAGAAGGAGTTCCAATTTTATGAGTATGTGGTAGAGCGACTTGGGAGAAGTTTGCAGCTTCAGCTGGCACTAACGATGTAGTTCTTGGTGAGTTTTTCCTTCCTTATAACGCTCTCTCTTCTCTTCATTCTTCCTCTGTAAGCATCGAAACCGAGCTCTTTCATCTTACCTTAGTAAAGCACCTTCGAATCACTCTATTCATGACACCCATAATCACTCTCTAATCTGAATTCCTCGCATGGAAACTACTGCAATGTCATGCAACGTTAGTCTTTGCAGGAGACCTGATCACACAGGAACTGACCGACTAACGCTTTCGGGCTAGACATCTTCAGAGGACTTACTTCTTTCATGATCTTTTCGATTGTATGTATTAACTAAATATATCCTTCCATGATAAAAAAATTATAAAAATGCAGAAAACTTAACGACGATCATTAGATCCAATACCACGCTTACCACTGAACAAATGCTTTGGCAACATAGCGGTAGAATGACGATCACCTTCACCTTGTCTGGCCATTCTATTTCTCTCTCTTCTTTGAATCTTGGCCAATCTTTCAGCTTGAGATCTTAATGCACCATCGTTAAGACCATCGTTAAGACGATCGGTTTGTGATACTGGGGCCTTCTTCTTATTGACTCTAGTCTTTGATGAGGAAGCTAATCCTTGGTTTCTCTTCAAGATATCAACTCCTGATAATTCCTTACCGGCAGAAACACTCTTGTTTCTCTTTAAAGCACTGGTATCGTGACCCAAGGAGTACATGTGTTCTTCCATACTTTCAAATGATTTCTTGACTTGATCTCTTGGCATGACTGCTCTATTCTTCAATGCCTTTCTGTATCTTGACTCGTTAATCATCTTCTTTTGTTTGTCTCTTATCCATGCAGCCTTGTCTCTAATATCTTCAAGATCTTCACCATTTTCAATGGCATCCAAGTCGACGTCTTCATCATCATCGTCACTGTCATAAAATCCTTCCTTTTCTAATCTTTCTTCTTCTTCTTCTAATGCTTGCAACTTAGCAGCAATATCTTCGTCAAGGAAATCGTAAACATTCTTACCATCGAGGACTTCTGGCATAACATCATTTTTCCAGTCATCATCTTCCAAAAGGTATTTGTCTTTCAAGTTGATGTTGAAAACACCAGCTCCACCGTTTTCAGCTTCATAATCTCTGGCCAATTGTCTCCTGTTAGGGTCTTCAGCGTCATATTTCTTCATGTTCTTAACAGCATCTGGGATGAAGGCATCTCTACGGACGTCATCTCTAGATTGAGGCTTGGCAACGTGAATCTTGTTCAATACATTGTTCACTCTAGCAGTACCCTTCAATTTTTGTTCAATTCTGGCAGTCAATAACTTTTCACATGCTTGATTTCTGACTTGCATAACGTTGTCTTCTTCAACACAGGAAGCACTCATCACTTCGACACCAGAAACAGCAGAAATGGTTTTCAATAACTCTTGCTTCTCTTCGCTCAAGTCTTCTGGTCTCAAGATATCAGTCTTGTTCATGACAACCATAACACTCTTGTTGGCAAACAATGGCTTTATACTGTGAAATAACTTGACTTGGGCTTCAATAGAGAAACCACACTGTTCAGAAAGATCCATGAAGTACAAAACACAAGATCTCAAATGGGCAATGGCGTAGATCGATTGCATTTCGATGTTGTTCATTTCTTCAGTTGGTCTGTCAAGGATACCTGGAGTATCAATGGCTTGGAATCTCAAGTACTTGTAGTCGAAATGCCCCACGTACAAGGATTTGGTGGTGAACGCGTATGGTTGCACTTCAACGTCAGCCTTGGTGATACACTTTAAGAAAGATGACTTACCAACGTTAGGGTATCCACAGATCAACAAAGTTCTGGTGTTAGGATCAATACTTGGCATTCTTCCTAAATGCTGTCTAACCTGTTCCAAATAAACAAATGGATCCTTCAATTTTTTGACGATTGTGGCCATTCTACCCAAGGCAGCTCTCTTCAATTGCTTACATTGGTACAAAGATTGACCGAATTTCAACAATCTAACGTAATCTCTAGACACTTGTTCAATCAAAGTCTTAGCTCTGGAGACTGCGGCTAAGGAAACCTTATAATGATTCTTCTCATACAACGTATCCATCAAATCTCTGTGAAATGGATGACAGTCATTGATATTTGGGAACCCACTTATAACATCTGAGAACTTTTCAGCGAACCCGTCGGCAGTGAATCTAACCTTTCTCATGTAGAATGCCCTAATACGAGTGATTTTAAAACCTGGTCTAATAACAGTAGGTGTTTTTCTTTGAGTTCTGTTCAAGACAATGTCCAACATGTCGTTGGACGTTGGAACACTAGGGATATCCTTCCAAGAGAGTTGCATCGTGCTTATGGATGGTTATGGATGGGTTACTACTGAAAGAAGGTGGCCTCTACAAATCATTTTTATGTGTGAAATTTTGAAGCTCATCTGAAGAGGAAAAAAAAAAAAAATTCAAGATGAGGTCTATCTGCAGGATTGGTTAACAAAAAAGAAATCCGTGGTGGGCACCTAGGATACAAGGAAGATGGGAGAGGGCAGGAAGGAAAGGCGTGGATGCGATTATAGGTTGAGGTAGTAGCTGATCGAGGAAATCATTCGGGCAGAAGTGCCAGAAATTCTAAGCTGAGTGCACCCGTCTCTACTGTAGGGAATTGGGAGACTCTGTTAGTGATGCACGGGGTATGAGTTTTTGCTATCTGCAGGACCGAAGAGTTTAACCGTATAAAGCTAAAGGGTGAATACATGCTCTGCTAAAGGATGTTCTTCTTAAAATTGCATCTCGCTCCCACGTTGTGAGAAATTGAGTGGAATCCGCTTTTGAAGGAGTATACCTGAGTAGTATACTGTCTTCTTGATACCCCCTATCTCGACCGATGTACGTGACCTGCATATAATATTGCTGCATTTTTCACTCTGGTGGGTGCCCTTGCGTTCACTGTGTTTTCTGCCCACCTGGTCGCTCTACGCTCCTTCCACTCGCTTCGTTTCTTCTACGGTATACTTGTTGTCATTTATATATTGCTAAGGTATCTTTACTAACTTTGTTTTTTCAACTTTCATTGTTTTTTTTTTTTTGCTTTCTTTTTCTATAAATTATTCTGTACTTACTCGTTGTAGTGATAAACCAAGTAGTTAGGCAATCCAAACACCTCGTATCCCAATCTCTTTGCCATCTTCGCGAAACCCTCGGTTTCTATGAGATGGTAGAATGGGAATGATGGGAACATAGCACCATCACGGTGAACATCCGCCTTAACCAAAAGAGCACCACCTCCTACACCGTCCAATGCCATTTCCGTGTTGGCGTCAGCGTTGGCATCATAGAAGTGTGCCATCAATGGTCTATACGTCGCCATTTCAGCGTAACCTTCCACGACGATTTCGTCGTCCTTCAATTGTGATGCTAATTTCAACCCTTCGTCACTTTCTACCCAATTATTAAAGTCATAGGGTCTGATTGCTGGTTTATTGTTCTCATCTGTCCACCTTTGGTATACATTGGCTGAGAGGACTGCCTTATCGTGGGCAATCATGTCTTGCAATAAAGTTGGTGAGGATTCTACAATGTCAGCGTCAAGCCATAAACACCAAGATGTGTAAGGGGAAATGGTAGTGAACACCAAAGAATTTCTGGCCAAAGCCATCATTGATCTTCTTTCTTTTTGCACAGAGAGTGCATGACGGTCTTTCTCCAATTGAGATTTCAAGGAATCGGAATCTTGTCTCAAAATAGTGATCTTCTTCCACTTTTCGGTTTCTTTCAAACTACTCAATTGCTTCTTGATGGCAGATTCCAATTGCTTAAGCACTTGGTCCCCCTCAGTGCTACGAGGGATAATGAAACCCAATTCAATCAAGGAGTGATCGTAGGTTAATTTGTTCAAGTTTTCCCAATATTGAGGCAAGAACTTGGACATGGGGGTCAAAATCAAAACTTGTTCTTTGTTCTCCAACGCGTTAGCACTGGTGGTCAATGCATTCAAGTCGTAATGAGAAATGTGATTTTGGGGTAAGTCTTGTAAGATAATAGAGTCCTTGTTCTTGGAGAACCAGCCCCTACCCTTCTTTTCGTAGCTGTACTTGGTTTTCTTGGATGAGGCCGAAGTCGACGAAGAAGAATCAGATCCACGGAAAAGGAATAAATAAAGGACAAGCAAAAGCGCTATTGGGCCAATCGCAAGCAAGGGTTTCCTTCGTATTTGACGAATGATCATCTGCTTTGAGTACACCATGTCTACTGAAATAATATGCAAATAACACTTACCTCAATACAACACTCTAAGCGCACGTTAACTAGGTGAAAGCTCTTGGGGGTGAACAACTAGACGATTCGTGTTTTTCTTTTTTTTTTTCTCTAGTGTTTTTCGAATTTGATCGACTCTCTTTTGTGTTACATAAATTTTATTCTAGCGCGCGTGCACATTTTGCTTGGGATTGTTTGGAGCTTAGTGGGCCAAGTGCACTGCACGCGCAGGAAGAACAATAGATAGGCACTGGGAATCAGGAATCAGAAACCAGACCAGGAATCAGAAGCCGGGAAATATATGTGAGAGGTGTGTTACGTGTCAATAAGTAGAGGTGTTTGGTTACTCGCGTACTGGAACTGGAAGTGAGGTCGGAAGGAGAGAGAATTGTGGGGCTGGGGGGATTGGTACTGGCGTACACTGGCATCGCTTCATGTTCCACTGTTCTTTGTCCCGCTGCAGCCTAGCGCGAGCTAAAAATTTCCAGGGAGGAACGTTAGGGTGTGAAGAAGAATTGGGCCACAGTGCTGTGCAACAATTAAGTGATGGTGATAAAAAGAATGATATTAGTGAATTGAAGAATCGCTGGTTGTTTGTGTAAAATACATGAGTTGTGGTGAGTGAAGAGTAAGTAGTCACCGGTGATATGGAAGATAGGAGTCTTCGTGTGATTTGATCCCTAGTGATGTGCTTCCTAGCAGACTCGATGAGAGAAATCCCGCGCCGTATATAAATGCACGATAATCACACTTCTTCTTTCTTTTGCTCTTTCTACAATCTTACATGTGTTCTCTCTCATAGTTATATCCTCTTTCTCCTGTATTATTCCTAAATTCTCTATTTGAAAACCTTACCGTCAGCGATTTCTCTGGATTCACCGTTAACGATAACTGGCTTGTCCCATGCTAACATGTTGTCAACGAATTCTCTGGTTTCTGGTGAGTCTTCCAACTTGGTGAATTCATAAGATTCCCAATCTGGAGCAACGTTAACAGCTGGAACAACATCTTGACCTCTGACCAAGAAGAAACCAGTAATACCGTTGTTGTTGTTTTCACCGTAGACAACCAAACAACCGAACATGTACTTGGTGGAAGCTAATAATCTAGCAAAGAAACCTCCGATCAAGTTGTTGGACATGAAGGTTAAAGTTAATTCATCGTTGTACTTGAAGTCAACCTTCCATAATGACCATTCCTTTGGATCGTATTGGTTCTTCCAGAACCATGGGATGGCGGTTTCTCTGGTTTCTTCGTTGGAGTAAACTCTCTTCCACTCATCTAAGGCGGCAGTTGGCTTACCTAAAGCTTCCAATGGGTGCTTTGGCTTTGGGGCTTCAGCTGGGGCAGCTTCTTCTTCAGCTTCCTTCTTAGCAGCTGGAGCCTTTTCCTTCTTGGCGGCTGGAGCAGCTTGCTTCTTTTCCTTCTTTGGTGGAGTGTATTGAACAGCCTTTTCAATGAACTTGTATTCACCAACAACATTCTTAATGATTGGGTGGGAGAAAACAGTCTTGAACCATCTGGCAGTGTTTGGGTTAGCAGCTCTCCATTCCTTGTCGAAAAGGTAGTCGAAACCTCTGACTAAAAGAGTAGCGGCAACAATATCGGCTAAAGTCAATCTTTCACCAACCAAGTAGGTGTAGTTCAATAATCTTTCTTCGAAGACACCGATGGTGACAGCTAAACTCTTTAAAGCTTCGTCAATGTTCTTTTTGTTGTAAGGAGCAGCACCGGTTAAGCCCTTGAAGGCAGTAGAAATGTGAGGAACACCTTCAGAACTAGCGAAAGAGATCCATTTCAAGATTTGAGCGTAGTCTTGAGCGTTCTTACCTAATAACTTGGAGTTTTGTTCACCTAAGTTAACGACTAAAGTAATGTTAGTAACAAAGTTTAAGGAAAGGTAAAAGAAATGTTTGAAATCTTTTCAATTTCCACCTTCTTCAGAAGCACTCATTGGTATTGTTCTCAGCAACTTCCACATTTTGATGCTATGCTTTGTAAATTGGCGATTTCAGATTCAAAAATCTCGACATAATGTATTAAGACAGGGATAACTGTATAAATAAAAAATTTTCTTTCATCATTTAAGCCAGGCTAGAAAAGAGGTGTAATTGTAAAGAGTAGGCTCGCTGTGGTGAGCTTGGTATACATACAGTAAACGGAGATAGCAATAATTTCAGTTAACTTGAATCCCTTTGGACCAATGAAAGCTGGAATCTTGTCCAATGGGAAAGCGGCCTTGTAAGCTGGAGCTTCCTTGTTTTCAATGGCAATATCAAGATTGAAGTGCTTGATAAGAGCTCTTGGAGCAATACCACGGGTTTGTTCAGTAGAGTATAAAGTACCTTGGGACATTTTTCTGTTAGGTAATTGAATGAAGAAAGGAAAGAAAGGAGAACACCTAGCAGAGGAGGTCTTAAAGCAAATCGACAAAGAGCCTCTGCAATTTGCGAAGGAAATGAAAAAAAAAATTTTCCAACGTGCTGATCCGGGTAACGATGGTGAAAAGTAGGGGAGTGGGATCTCGGTTATGGGTTTGGTATATGCAGGGAGAGATCATGTTCCAGAGTTCCTGTGGTAGGTAGTGAGTGGGGCTGTTATACTTCAAAGGGTAGCACTGATGTGTTAATGGGATATGAGACGGGTACACAGTCACACATTTGAAATGTGGACCGTTTGTCCTTTTTGATGTACTTTAACTATTGATAACTATCTTCTTTTTATTTTTGGCTAATATAGATATAGATATATATTGGTTAAATATATATTGGTTATATATATTGGTCATATGTTCTTCTTGTTATTTTGTAACGTACAACTCTTTTTACTCTCCTATTGTCTCCTTACTAATCTTATAATTGATATCTGCGTTTGTTCTATGGCAAGGTGGTTTACCATATTTTTAGTTAAGTATTTCTTTCGTTTGTTTACTAGGAGAGTTTGAATTTTTTTGAGTTGTTTAATTTTGATCAAAACAATGTTTTTCTAAATTTTTGTATAAGGAGACTGGCCTAACTGTATTTTATTTCCATTGCTATTTGCATTCACGGATAATAATTTTTTTTTGCTTTCTCAATTGGCTCGGTCTAAGGCCCAATTGAAGTGAGACTTCCACTTAAACTTCAAGTCGCTTGTGGCAAAAGAATTATGTATTGTGGAAAAGATGGTGCTTAATCTATTACTGGCCATTTCGTTAATCTGTCCATTCTTGGAGCTGGCCAACAATACCAGGTACTCTTGGAGCAAGCTTATAGCTATGCCTCTATCGTTGGTGAATAGTATTGCATCATCCTTCCCAGTACTCATATCTCCTTTCATATTTCCTAGGTTCTCTTGGCTTTCAGTGAAATCATTTAGTTCGAAAGTGGTGAAATCCTTGAATCTGAAACTATAGTCTAGCTTAATCAATCTCCACATCACTTGACGTAATTTGTAAGCTTCAGATTTAAAGGATGTTGCGAAGTTACTCGTAGAAGGTATTGTTCCCACAGGTTTGGATCCAGGTATCATATTGGATAAGCTTCTGCTGCTTGATAAATTGCTGATACTACTAGCCCTGTCAGTCAAATGATTAGAATTCATTTCACTGAAGCTACTTCTTGATGTGTTCGTGGAACTTGCTCCTACACTATCATCCATATTCCTTTCATTCAAGTGGTTATTCTTTTTAAACTGACGAATTTCAAAATTCTGTGGAGCTTGAAGGAATTCAATCTCAAACTGATTCAATCCAGTAGAAGTCACATTTTCCTTTGCTAGCAAAAATTTCAAAATCAAAATCGAATGGAATGATGAAATCAAAAGCAAAGGCGGGCGAATCAACGGTATTGCAGTTGCCAGGTATTGTTTAAGATTGACTTTGCTCATCAACTCGTTGAATAGCTGTATTTGTTGGAAAATAATATCTCGTGACCGATCCAAAGAGAATTGATCTCCTCCACCGTTATCGTTGCGTTCATTGGCATCCATGTTCTTATTATTTTGAAATTTCAAATAAATCCCTAATAATATCAAGACAATGCTAATAGCTACTTTGATAGAGTTGTCATTAGGGAATTGTTCCAGTTCTGAAGATTTCCAAAGTTTCAATTGTCGCTGAAGTAAATTTTCATCAGACATTGGACCATTTATCGAGCAACAGAGTAAACAATCCATCAAGAACGACTGAAAGGAAGCTAAATCGGAACTGATTTTTTTACTGTTGTCTTCTACTGTCTTTAAACAGTAATATGGAATAATTTGCTGCCAAAGACTGATTTCATTGAACAAATCTAAGATCCAATAGTATTTCTGATCCTGAATCAATTCTATAAATGCCTGAAGTTTTGTATCAACGCCAGATATTGAGTCCATAAAGTTGGGAAAATTTGGCGTAATCTCAAACGATGGTGATTCATAATATTCAAGAAGATCAGCAACTTCCACGTCTTGGTCCAGAGCTTCAGCTTCCTCGGGTATTGGAGCCACATCGGGCAATCGAGGTACAAGTGTTGGCACGGACATTGGTGAATGTACTAGTTCTGCTTGTCGCTGAACATCCAAGTGGCTGTTCCAATCAGTAACTCTACCCTGAGGAGGTCTTGTGAATTGGCTATACTGGAATCGATCTTGGCTTATAATTTGATTATTAGAATCATGGGTCTCAATAATTTGGTGCAGATGGCTCGACGATAGATTTAGCGATTCAGGTCCTACGCTCGATCCTCCTCTGACTTGTTCATGCGCTGCTGGGATAGAATGTAATAGATACATCTCTTCTTGGAACATGAATTCTGACTCTCTCAACAGTTCCGATGTGTGTAAGTTCATATACGGTTCATAGTAACTTCTACCTTTTTCATACAATGAAGCTATAGTTATGGACTGATCCAAAAATCGAAATTGATAGTGTCTAGGAAAAGCAGGCAATGGTGGTTTGTTCTCTGGTTTGTAAATGGTATACTGGGTGAAGTTTAATCGTACACCTCTATAGCATTTTCTTTTGGATTTAATACAATTTTTACATACTGGTTGTTGCTCGTCACATTTCATATGTCGATCACGACATGTTAAACATCCTGATCTTGTTCGACTTCGCCTTCCTCCTTTACTCGACCTAGGCATAGAATTGTATAATACTCAATGGAAAAATTACTGACAGATCTTAGTAATGGTGCAAGGTTGATGTTTAAAGTTTGTTTGCAGGGATCAAAATTTTAGCTTGGTACTCGTCCTCGTAAATTTTGACAAGGAACTACTATCACTACTAACTTCTAGGATTCACTTTACACAATACCCTTCCTCTCCTCTTCCGTTTAACACTCGATAGATGTTGTGCTCTTTCTACTTCTCAATGTGGACAATTCAATTGCAAAATTGCAAAATAGCTGAACTTCAAACCTTCGTAAATTTTTTCTACTCCACTATTTTGTGCCCAAGGGAGGATTGGTTTTCTAGCTTTACCTCTAACCACGAGATTAAGAGAATCCAGGTGATTCTTAACTAGAGCGATTCCAGAGCTAATCCTGAATCCTAACGTAGATCTTAAAAAATTAAGAAAAAAATTAGCCAAAAAAAATTACTAAAAAACGTAACAACAATACGAACTAAATAAGCTAGAACTATGCAAGAGGACTTATTCTTATAGTCTAATTTGAGGTTGGCAAATTACCTTCGCAAAGCTCTGAAGTCCCTTTTGTCGCAGATGGAGATGAAAATTAAGTACCAAGTGATCGGATCGACTAATTGTCAAGAAAAAGATCGAATTGGTGTTTCTGTTGAAATCGATTTTGGGTTAAATTTTTGGAAAGTCACAGATCAAATTTGGCTCAAATTGCTGCGATCAGTCTTTTGATAACTTGGGTGGCTCTATTATGATTCGAATTTGGACAGCTTCTGGTCTCCTTTTCAATTGTTCTTATTCTTTTGCTCTTGTTTTGTTGTAAATTCCTTTTTTAATTCAATTTAGACAAAGTTTGTAGGTGGTTTTTGGATACTGGAGAGAGTGGGTCGTTCTGCTGGGTTGTTGATGGGAATGATTTTTTTTTTACGAAATGATGAATTCGCAACTCCAATGCACCTTTTAAATGAACGAATTTACTCTAGCTGTCAAATGTATTAAGAAGCCAATGCTCTGACACTTATCTCTTGTTCAAGTAATGATCTTTTTTTTCAATGCGTATTAACCAGATTACTCCCGGTCCATAAAAATATCGAGCAAAAGTCAAATCAGATGGTACTAAATGAACAGATTGTTTACTGTGAAACTATATAAAATGTAACCAAAAAAATAAAAAAAAAAAAAAAAAAATTCAAAAAATCAAAAAATAACCTAAAAAGAAATCAAAAGAAAGAAAAGAGGAGGAGAGAAGGTTTATTCCAAGCCAATGGGAGTCGAATATACATTGGCAAAGCATTCAAGATGTTGCCTTGACTTTAGTTTCATAATGTCAAGTTTCACATTCGACCATGAGCGTATCTCAGGTACTGAAAAGGCAATTGAACACATGTTAATATAATGACGTTAACAAAATCATCAAGTTTAAACGGGGTCTCCCCCCCTGTGTAGCATAAGAAAAAAAAAAAAAAAAACACTAAAAAATAAGTCTGAAACTTATGCAAGTGCTTCAAAGATTATTGGAAAAAATAAAATTAACCCTGCCAAACTAATGCAACCATTTCTATAGTTGCATGGGCATGGCTTATGGTAGATACATCGGTGTACGTAATTTGGTCTCAGCGAAATATGAAATTTTCTTCAAATTCGGAAGAATTGCACTCAAAACAGAATGGAGAATTCTTACGAGGTGAAAGTATCCGGTATTAGAAAACATGGAATAGAAGAATATCCCTATTTCATTGGAAATGCAAATCTCTGCGAATACTAAAAACTAAGCAGGAAAACGATTTTCTGGCCATAGTAAAGTTCGTTTCTTCGCGCTTCATCACTTTCGCTAAGTTAATCCTGCATCTTCGATGAGCAGCACTGAACCTTGAAGAGCCATTATGAACGTCTGATGTGTGAAAAAGAGACGCATGCATGGAATACATCAACTATATTAGTTAAAATAAAAAGAAGAATGCGACATACTAATGCGCTCACTGATTAAACATGCATAGTATGCATAAGAAGCCTGACAGGTTATTTTAGTTGATCAATTAGATAGGGCTATTGAAAATACAGTTCCAACAATGACTTATTTTGATAACTGAAAACAATAAAGATGTGGTGAGATTCAAAAGCAAAATAGTACACTACAAAAAAGACCTGCATGTTCTATGTGCAAGCCCGAATAGAAAAGATCCGAGTTTAAATTAACCGTTTAGTAAAACTAGGATAAGCTTGGTGAAATATTTAGACTTCAGTAGTTAGGTGGAACACAACAGCGTCATTCCACCCCTTTTAGGTGCCTCTCGGTTTCTGCAAGCTCATGTGAGAACCGATTCTTGACGTTTTTAATGTTTATATGTAAGGGATTTGGCCAATTCAAAGGAAAAGCCCGGGACTCAGATTAGAGACAGTGCGCACGCAGGTCCACCAATTTGAACAAAGCAAAAATTTGAGCTATCTGTGATGAGTAACTCCTCACGCATTCATCACTTCCAGCAGAGTGTTCAAAGTGACCATATAGATGGTCGACAAAAAATGGAAAAGATCAATTAGAGAAAAGAAATAATTAGTGACCTGCAAACAAGACGAGAATAACAATGTGAAGGATTCAATAAGAAAATACATTACTGTGATACTAAATACTTTAAACTACCCCAAAAGTTGATATTTGTGGAATCGTAGCCAAATCAATAGAGCCCTTCACGAGCTTTAACAATCTATGGATTTCCTGCAGGGAGTGCCTACGTTGATCTGTCCAACATCTAGTAGCACCCCAGCTAGGATGCCCTGCTCGCACATCGGCAGTTGCAGGGCGTGAAAATTTTTGTGTGAAAAAAAATTTTGTAACATGTCCAATTCGCCGTATTGATTACTAAAAAGCATAAAGTTTAGTCAGTAACAAAGAAACAATAAACCTGAACGGATAGTCTAATCAGAATCTTTGGATTAGTGCCATTTAGATAAGAGCCCTCGGGACATATGGCCTGGCTTGGATTTCTGATGAATTGTCTTGGCCCTCTACCCTTCTCTTCATCGCAACCAAAAGAGTTAAGGCAAGAAAAGTTTTCTTTTTTTTTCTAGGCTCCAACGGTCAAGGGCGAAAAATAGAAATGCCAAACTTTCGTCTTCACGGCATTGCACCTTGTAAGCCACAATGCTATATTTTCTTCACTCTGCTAGTATCCCATGGGTAAGTGGGATGACATCCACAGTAAGAAACTAAGAAAAGTCTTCATCAAAAAATAGTGGATGAGTCCCTCTTAACCTGGGTATATAAACTGGTCTATGGCACCTCTGGACCCTCTGAATTGGAAAAATCGTAAAAGCCTCTTCCATTCTCTTCGCTACTTCTTCTCTGAGATTTTTGCTGTTTCAACTTGCATAAAAAAAGTTGCAATAGAAGGAAAAATAAAAAATAAAAAGAAACTGAAGGCATCGCACATAAATTGTGGCCCACCTCGAAGCACACGACACACACAGCATATAGAATATATATAAATATATATATATATACAAGGATACATTTATAGTGAGTTCTGGCTTGGTAAATTCTCAACCTAAAATTTCTTCAATTGAACCAATTTAATCTAAGGATGGGTTTTACTGATTTTTATAAGTCGGATAAGTCTGCAAATACCGATACGGTAGACAATATTTCGCTTGAGTCGCAGAATAATGAATCTGATGGATTCAACGCTGTCGTTGAATTGGATCACAACAAAAAGGAAATTGGATTAATATCTGCCACTTCATTATGTCTTAATCGTATGCTTGGTGCCGGTGTGTTTTCCACTGGTTCCACCATTTTTGCCCTTTCAGGTTCTGTGGGGACATCCTTATTGATGTGGGCAGTTGGTTCCCTTATTGCCTTTACTGGGTTGTACACATATATCGAATTTGGACTGGCAATTCCAAGGAATGGAGGTGAAAAGAACTATTTGGAATACATTTACAAGAAACCAAAGTTCTTGGTCACTGCCATGTATGCTGCATACGTATTTTTCCTTGGTTGGGCTGCTGGTAATTCTATCGTTGTTGGTGAATATTTGTTGAATGCTGCTGGAAAAGAGGTTACTCAGTGGAATTCTAGAGGAATTGGTATTGCAGTAATCACTTTCGGCTTCTTGATCAACGCTATAAACGTTAAGGCTGGGTTATTTTTAGGTAACTTTTTGGGTCTTTTTAAAATTGGTATTGTCTTGTTCATTACTGTCACTGGTTGGGTTGCCTTGGGTGGTGGTATTAAGACCAATGATTTCCAACCAACTGGAAACTTCAGGAATGCCTTCTCCGGTGAAGCTCCTACAGGTTTCGGTATTGTCAATGCCTTGTATAACGTTATTTGGTCATATGTTGGTTACTCCAACGTCAACTATGCTTTGGGTGAAGTAAAAAATCCTCAAAAGGTTTTGAAAGTTGCAGCACCATTAGCTTTCTTCTCTTTGGTTGTTATTTACATGTTTGTCAATATTGCATACTTTGCTGTTGTCCCTAAGGAAGAAATTGCTACCTCAGGAAGAATTCTAGCAGCTTCATTCTTCAGATATGCATTCGGCAAGAGAGCAGAAACTGCATCTTCTGTTTTCGTTGCACTTTCTGCGTTAGGTAATGTTATGTCAGTTATCTTCTCGCAAGGTAGAATTATTCAATCCTTAGGAAGAGAAGGTACTTTACCATTCTCAAGATTTTGGGCATCTCAAAAGCCATTGAACTCTCCATTCGCTGGTTTATTCCAACATTGGGTTGTTTGTATTGTCACCATTGTTGCTCCACCACCAGGAGATGCTTACAACTTTATCATGAACTTAATTTCATACCCATTGAACGTTGTTAACTTCTTTGTTGCTATTGGTTTGTTATACTTACATTACCAAAACTACAGAGGTGTTATCGAATGGAAGCCTCCAATTAGAGCTGGTATTCCAGTGATTTTCTTCTTCGCATTATCAAGTTTGTACTTGGTTGTTGCACCATATATCCCTCCAACTGATGGCCAATCTGTTTATAATGATTTGCCATACTGGATTCATGCTGTTGTTGCATGGGGTATTTTTGGAATTGGATTGGTTTACTGGGTATTCTGGGTTAAAGTATTACCACACTTTGGTGGATACAAACTTGTTACCAAGGAAGTTCTCGCAGACGATGGATTCTGGAGAAATAAGATATATAAAGTTTCAGCTGATGAACCATCTGAACAAATTACCAATAGTGATCTTGATGTGAACGTCGAATCCACCACTAAGGAAGAAGAAAAGGAATATTAATCAAGTCATACTCGACTCTTAATAGGAAAATTATAATTCAACAATAATTTTGCAGCCATTTAATAATCTTCAACAATTTATTTTAATTCTATGAGTAGGCAATATTTTTTTTATGTATAATAAAATACCAAGTAATAAGAAGTGAAAGAAAATGTAAGATAACTAAACAGCAAGCATGGATATGGAGCTAGTAAGCTAGCGAACCAGCCAACGGCCAACGAGTCAAGAAGAGAATATTTGACACTGTCCAGAATTTTTCATGTTTCACTTTCTGTACGCACAAGATTTTGAGAAGAAAAAATAATCCATCCTGTTCCACACAACCCAGTTCCATATGGAACGTCCTTCTACGCCATGTTTCACTCTAAAATGTATGCCTTTATTATTACCTATGTACAATAGCCCCATTTTCCCTATCTACTTTTGCAGTTTTGCCTACTTTTATATCTTATGTCTGTCGTTTTTGGCTACGTGCATTGGAGACCAGATTCCTCTCACAGATTCGTTGGTAGACAAAACTTTATGATTCCACTTGAATAATTCAGCACCACTAGCTTGAGAGAATTGGTTTATCTTCTTCAATACGTCCGATGCTTCCATATTTTTAACAGGTATGTCCTTAACGGAGTCATTATTATAATAAAATTCTACAGATGGGTGACCTTGTCTCTTAACCACTTCAAAGAATATGGATTTCTTGGTCAAGCCCAATTGGTTCAATTCACCAGATTTAAGAATTTCACGCACTCCCTTTGAAGAACCACCCCAATTGCAATAGTTAACTCTGATCTTGTGGCAAGGAACAATATATGAACCGAGACCGTTACGGGCTACAGATACTTTAGGAATAGCCTTGACTGGCATTATATGTGAATATATGGGAGTTAAATGAGTGGTAAGTTACAGTAAAACCTATGATGGTTGAGCTAGAGGATCAGTTAAGCTCGTGAAAAATTTTAGTGACTTTTCGGAAGTCGCACAAAACTGAAGAGTTTCTGTGTGCAGGCTTGTAGAAGTGTGGTTAAATTTTGCAGCCTAATTCTCAAGAGCGCAAGCTTGTTGAGTAAGAGGTTGAGAATTAGGCTGAGAGGGGATGATAGTAGTAGTGAATACAAAGAAGAGCGGTTCAGATGTAGAGTAGAAGAAACACTATAATTGATACGCCTGTAGAAGGTAAATGTCAACAAACGAATGAAGGAAGAAAAAAAGATAACATACTTGTTGTAGTGTGTAATAAAATAATAGTAAACATATCTCTTTTGGGACGCAGTGTGCAATTCGAAGAATAAATTTACCAAATAGACGTTGACTTTAGGGATTTCTTCAAAGCCAATTTAGTCCAACTACATAGAATATCCACTTACGAGCTGTAAATGTCCAAATATCCATATTTTCTAACCATAAACTCACAATGATGTGACCGTTCCTGAATCACTTAGTCAGCCCTAGCTCCAGGAGCTATGGGTCCTCTGGAGATAGGTGCTTCTACGCACTAGTTCTCTGCTCTCTGGTTCCCCATGCAGTTTAATAGAAGCATTTCTTTTTTTAAAACTGATCACGTGATCCACACTCTCGCTCTCTCAAACATACGGCACTCTCTCCACACGATCTATAAATCGTAACCAAACGCGACAATTGTCCATTTTAGGTCAATCGCGATGAATTTCCCTCTAAAATCACACTACGGTACATATAAGGAAACCATTAGATGGTTGACTAATCGTCTCTATATGAAAAGTTTTCATTCCTGATTTTTCATTTGTTTGAATCTTCTTCTTCTTCTTGAACAGAGTTAACCTAGATATCAGTTAATTTAAGAAAGAAAGTACTCAGAAAAAATGTCTAGTCTATCATACAAAACTTATCAACAAGTGATAAGCCTTCCAAATTCCAAAGCTAACACAAAAGTCACTCCAGCTCCAGTTAAGAGAAGGACCAAGTCAGGATGCTTAACATGTAGAAAGAGAAAGAAGAAGTGTGATGAGGATGTAGCCGGAGGAAAGTGCCAAGGATGCACCAGAAACTTTTTGGAGTGCTGCTGGCCAGAGGCTACCGCAAAGAAATCTGCACCTGCTGCCACTGCTGCTGCTGCAACAGACTTAGCAGTCGCCAGTACACCAGTGGAATTGCCTATTACCCCAAAGCAGACACCTCAAAGCAGTCCACGTCTTTCTATGGCTACCAAGCCAGAATCTCCATCCTCGAAGGCAAAGGCATACCCATCACCAGAAATGTCACCTGTATTTGAAGGAAAAGAGGAACAGTCAGAAATCCTGACCTTGGAGTTGCCAAAGGCACACTTCAAAGTTACCAAGCCAAAGAAACAAGTTGAGAAAAAGCAACTTGCAAAGAATTTGAATAACTTCCAAACTAAATTTGTGATAACGTCAGTGGAGAAGAGAAGATTAGTACACATTAAATAAATTTAGAACATAAGGGAGATTCAACTTCACTGGATGAAGTTGCGTCTAAGGAATAGGACAGGTTTTGGGATACGCTTTTTTTATGTCTTTTTTAGCACTTTTGCAGTGTGCTACCGTATAATAATAGAAATGATAGTAGGACTAATAATATACGCAGAAGAGTTAGCTATTTACCACTGTAAGACAGGGAACCGTTTCATATATTTCCAAATGTGTCATAGGTTCCCAAATGTAGGGCTTATTTATTTTTTGTTTTGCCATTTGGAACTTAAAGTTGCAACCTCGATGTTGCGGCGGTTAGATGTCGCTATCGGCAAGCAAGAGCGAAAATGAAAAATGGAAAGTTTTCGTTGCGTGAGACGAAAACATTGCAAGACGCTCGGACCTGCATACACCAGAAGGAAAAGTCCGTGCTCTTCTTTCTTCGCAGAATCTACTATGTACAGGTACATCTAGAGAAGAAGATGTTCCATGGATTCAATTTTCACATGCTTATGAATAAAACCCAAAGTTGCAGTACAATACGCATACACTCATGCTTGGGACATGGATCGATACATTGCATGATAGATGTTGAGCCACTGCATTGCAGATCCATCTCGGGAAGAACAAAAGCCTTGTATTCAAAGTATTTTAGTTAAGCTTAGTATGGTTTATTTATCATAGGCTGCGATTATACTTGGCCCTTGCTAACATTATGAGAAAAAAAAAAACACTCGAGCAAAGATTAAGTCACATAGTTCTCACCGTCCCCTGCGTTTAATTCTTCATTTTCAGTACTACGCATCAGCCAGTGTGCCTCAACTTCAAAGACGAACACGGCTAAGCAAAACTTACGCTGCCCAACGAAATTTGCCAGAGATTGCACCAAATTTTCAGATATGGTAAAGGCGGCAGGCAGGCATTATCTCCGTTGTATACAATTTCCTTTCTTTGACAAGACTTCCTCCTATCTTCGTCGCCCTATTGTCGCGTTCTTATTCCCTTTCCTAATCAAAAAAAAAAAAATTGAAAAAAAAATTAAATTTCGATTGCAACCGGAAAATTTCTATTCTATTCAAGTGTGAGTTTGGGCCCAATTATTGAACTCAAAGCAGTTCCCCATTTCCAAGAAATCCGCTGTTCGGAATTGGCATCTTCACAAACTCTAAACGTTGCTAGAACAGAGCAAGAATCGTAGCTTATGGTTAGATTGCGTGATCTGAAAAATCAAACCAGATAAAGAAATAAGAAAATGTTCAAGTGAAGTCTGGGGTGTGCATGAAAACTGTGGATATCTTACATCAGAATTTTGCATTTCTTTTCTTATTTTGAGAATTATTTTTTACGCTTAGCATGTACAAGATCTGTCAACTTAGCATGTCGAGTACATAGGGAACAAGCGAAGCATAGTCGGCACCAAAATTTAATACAAATAAGTGTTTTGCAAAAATCGTTCCTATGCATGGACTCGGCCAGTCGATAAGTCTTTTTTGCTGATCAAATTAAATAAAAATCAATTCTCTTATCTGATGGTATTTTTTGTCGGTTGCATTTATTTCATTACTAATGTGTACCGTAAATGCGAAAATTAGTATGCGATTTGGCCTATTCACGTGAGTAGGCCAAATAGATCCGAAAAATAAAACTGTGGTTGCATATTTGGGGCAATCCACCTACACTAGCTGCTATGTATAAAAGGGGACGAAGAGAAGGCAAATTGCAGAGTTGAAGGAGGTGGATCGAAGTATAAATATCATAAAGAAATTCTAGCCTAGTTAAGTCTGAAAAAAAAAGGCAAAAAAAGCAAGGCAATTCTAAACTATTTACAACTGAACTCAAATCGCATAGCTATAAAAGAAAATGTCTGCTACTACTGGTAACCGTTTTGGTAACTACGATATCCACTTTGTTGAAGGTCAAGATGAAATTGCTGAAGATGGTGTCCTTGTTATTAACAGAAATAACAGAGCTCAATCCAAGTTCCCAGATTTCCTTCCAACTTGGGACCCACAACAAAAGTTTGCTCCATTGAAGTTCTTCAAACACCAAGACCCAGGTGCTCGTGCTGACAAGTCTCTTCCAACTTTATTCCCAAAGGATGGTGAACACAAGTTGAAGAACGTTACACCAAAGTTCGGTACCGAAGTTTTCGGTGTCCAATTATCAGAATTGGACTCTGCTGCTAAGGACGAATTGGCTCTCTTTGTTGCTCAAAGAGGTGTGGTTATCTTCAGAGATCAAGATTTCGCAACCAAGGGTCCAGAATTTGCAGTCAAGTATGGTGAACATTTCGGTCCATTACACATCCACCCAACCTCAGGAGCCCCAAGAGACCACCCGGAACTTCATATCACTTACCGTAGAGCGGATAAGGGTGAGTTCGACAGAGTGTTTTCTAAGCGTACCAACGCTATTGGCTGGCACTCTGATGTTTCCTACGAATTGCAACCTCCAGGAACTACATTTTTCGCTGTCTTAGAAGGTCCAGAAAGTGGTGGAGATACTATCTTCTCCGATACTACTGAAGCTTACAACAGATTATCTCCAGAATTTCAAAAGAGACTTGCTGGACTTCATGTGTTGCACACTTCAGAAGATCAAGCCAAGAACTCCGTAGGACAAGGTGGAATTGAAAGAAGAAAGCCAGTCTCTCACATCCATCCATTGATCAGAGTACACCCTGCTACTGGAAAGAAGAGTATTTTCCTTAACAGACCATTTTCCAGAAAGATTGTGGAATTGAAGGAAGAAGAGAGTGACTTTTTGTTAAATTTCTTATACAACCACATTGAAACTTCTCACGATTTACAATTGAGAGGAAGATGGGAACCAAATTCCGTTGTTATCTGGGATAACAGAAGAACTTGTCATTCCGCTGTCATTGATTGGGATACCCCAGTCTCCAGACACGCTTTCAGAATTACTCCACAAGCTGAAAGACCTGTTGAAAACATTGAAGATTTAAACAAGGAAGATTTCGACTTGGGAGATGTTGAAGCTGCCTTGAACCAGCTTGTGGCATAAGAGGAAAGCTCTTTGATCCACATGTGTGTAAAATATATAAAAAGAATACCCTATAAAATAAAAGGGCAAAAATGGTAATAAATGGAATTGATTTTCAAATAAACATAAAGAATACATATTATTGTAAGACTATTTATATATATATATATATATACAATCATTTAAAATGGAATTTAGGCGTGGTCTAAGAGGAAATTTGTGGCCGCTTGCAAATCCCATCCCTCTTTCTCTAAAGCCTCTAGGGCTGTTTTTTCATCGAATCCCATACCCTTCAATTCTTCCACAAGTCCTTGATCGACAACATTTGCAGCAGAGCCACTTCCTGGGTTACCAAAATTGGGTGTAATCGTTGAGGATGTATGATGCACAGCCACTGGATTGGTTTCTGGAACAGCATTCTGCAATCCAGCGTTTCCAAAACCAGCGAAGAGTTGCTCCCATTCGTCTGTGCCAGCACCAGTAGCGTTTCCACTGGTTACCGGTGCAGATGTAGTTTCAGGAACTCCAAAGTCTGGGAAATCAGATTCATCTTGGTCGTTAGACACAAACTTCTCGTTGAAATCAAAAGTATTATCCATGGCAAATTCATCGTAATCTTCAGGTGCCGCTTCCTGTAATCCATCAAACTCATTACCAAAGAAATCATCCGCGTTAGTTGGAATGTCCGATTGAGGATTGATATCAAGTCTCTCTGGGGATGCAGGTTCCAAGTCTTCAAAAGCACTATCAAAGTTGATTGTAGGATCTGGATGTTGCTCAGCTGTCTTAACTTCTTTCGACACATCACGAGTCGATGGTAATTGGTCGACTGCATCATCGAAGTTATCACGAGATTCGTCTGAACTGCTACTTTCATCGTAATCCAATTCCTTTATTGGTGGAAATTCCTGGTCTATCTCAGTTGGAGAGTCGTTTACAATTGGAGAATTGGAAAGCTTCGAGCCATGTGGTGGGAGTGGTGGAGGGACACTTGAAACAGTTTGAGCATACAGTGGGAGCTCATGGCTTCCATTAAGTTCATCAGCATTGACCATTTCAAATGACTCAACACCTGATGAAATTTTATCACCATCACTTGTGTCTTCATTATTACGCTGTGCTGGAGGATTAATATCCACCTCCTCTGCTACTTCTTTGTTGATGGCTCTACTAGTTGAATTTGATGAAGGAGCTTGTAATTCTCCCTGTTCTCCTTCTTCAAGTGTTTCACGATCACTGATTCCTTCAATATTATCATCTCTGACTGACAATGCTGCATTGTTCTGGACACTTGAAGTCAAAGAATCGGTTCTTTGAACTCCAAATAAAACCCCAGGCATTCCTACCATTCCTCCTACAATTCCGGCATTGGTTCCTTGAGGAAATTGGAATTCAGAATTATTTGGAGATGTGACAGGAGTTTCATTATCTTGATATCCATTGGTAGAAGAAGTAGATGTTGCCGTGGTACTTTCAGGGTGATAATTTGTAGTAACAGCATTGATTTCCTTTTCATAATCTTGAGGTTCTTCATAGGTTGAAGTTGGCTCCTTCAGTTCAGTTTCGATAGACTTGCTCTTAGTCTCAATTTCAGGTGCGACACTAGTTTGCTCATCGGCTTCTTCCCTCTTTTCAACTACAGGTTCAGGTTCAGGTACAGGTTCAGATTCAGATTTATTTTCCCCACCAAATCCAAGTACAGCAACAGTACCAGCAACAGCTCCGCCAACTAAAGCAGCAGCCCCTGTAACAGCGGACCCTGTAACAGCGGACCCTGCGACAGTACTGTCTGTGTGAGGAGCATGTGAAATAGATTTTTCATCAGAGTCTTCCACAAATGCTCCTGGGACACTAAATTCCTGACTACTAGCATGTTCAGGGGCAGCTGCTACTTCTTTGCTAATTTGTTGAACAGGAATTGATTCAGCTTCCTTACTAACTTGTTGAGTTGAAGCTGATTCAACTTCTTTACTTACCGATTGAACTGGGGTTGGCTCAACTTTTTTGGATATAGGAGGTGCCACGGGTTTGTTCCTTTCAGCTTCAAGTTGACGTTGATGCAAGAGCTTTGCTTCCTCCTCCGCTCTTCTTTGTTCTTCCTCAGCAACACGATACTCTTCAGCCAACTTTCTATTGCCTTCTTCAATTTCCAATATTTTGGCTTTTAATTCTTCGTTTTTCACGATGGAAACTTGAACTTGAGACTTCTGTACATTGACTTGGTTAGTTAATCTTTGGTTTTCTGCGGTCAGTTGAGTAATTTGTTTCTCTAGTTCAACAATTTCAGCATTTAAGTAGCCCAATTTTTCTTTCGTTGCAGAATTTTGCTTCTGTAATTCCTCCATTGCAATTTGCTTATCGTTCAATTCTGTTGAAAGATGATTAAACTTAGCTTCGGATATTGAGGATTCTGATCTTAATGCTTCTGTTTCTTCTCTTGCTGTAACAAGATTAGCTTCGACCTGGTCGACTTGTTTTACTTCATTGTCGTAGGAAGATCTTAATTGTTTCAACTTAGCCTCAATTTCTTTCTTTGTGCTTAAAATCTTAGCCAATTCCTGTTCAGCCCGAATTTTCTTTTCTTGCAAACCTGATGTTTGACCTGCAAGAGATTTGATTTGGTTAGAAACGTTAGCAATATCTGAAGTCGCTTGTGACAACTGGCCAGAAACTTCCAGGTCATTGTCAGCCAATAAGTCAGTATTTCCAGCACTTATTGGAGCAAAGCCTTTTTGCTGATATTGTTGTTGTTGTTGGTGTTGTTGTGGCGCACTAGAGTACGTCTGTTGACTTGGAACGGGAGATACAGCTGATTGTCTCGACTGTTGAGAGACGCTCTTCTGGGAAGGTGGAGGAGGAACAGAGCGTAAAGCATCATAGTTTACTGTATGCTGCTTTGGAGCAGGGGTAGCTTCAACAACAGGAGCAGTAGCAGCAGCTGGCGCGTGATCTTCACCAAGCAAGCTTTCTTCTTCTTTTTCTTCACGTGGCGACTCAAGTGGTTGCTTGTGAAGCAAGCTTTGACCAAAAGTTGAAGTTGGCTTAAAGGAGCCAGTCAAATTTTGACGCACTTTTGGAAAGTCACCAGCACTTGGTGGTGGAGTCAAGTCACTACTTGAGGTGGTACGTTGCACCACGCCACTATAAGAGGGTGACGAACTGTTGAGGTTGAAATTAGAAGTAGTCGGGGTCTTTACATTAGGAGATGCATTTCCAGATCCAAAGATGTCTACGAGGTCATCCATTGCAGTTTTTGCCGGTTGAATTGCTTTCTGCTGCACAGGCTGTTGCTGTTGCTGCTGTTGAGGTTGTTGCACCTGTTGTATTTGCTGTGGGCTCAGTGGTTGAATTCCGTTGATGGAATCGATTAACGAATCAGGGACAATATTTGGTAAAGCGCCCCCTGACAATTTCCTGTTGACCAAGTATAAAGCTATAATGAATTCCAATTTAGTGAATATACCAGTATTTTGAATATCTGACAAATCCCAAACAGTGGCTAAATCTTCCTGATTCAACTTGGAAGACATCAAAACTGAGGCAACTTGATCGGAATTTAATTGACCTGATTTGGATTTATCCAAGTTATCGAATATGGCTTCGTATTGTTGCTTGAGGGTAGGTGATATCACCCAAGCGTTAGACACTGATGGTTCACGAGATGGACTCTGCTGAGGATGTCTCACTGTCGTTTGCTGGGAACTCACAGAGGAGTAAGAAGGTTGACGAGAAGAAGGTTGTGGAGGTTCCAAAGTGTTGGCAACTGGCTTTTGCTGCTGCTGATGTTGTTGTTGTGGTGCTGAACCAGACAGGAACGATTCCACAGAAGCCCATACACTTTCAGGCAAGAAAGGTGGTAACTGTTTAATAACCCCACTCAAGACACCATGAATCAAATGCATTGCAATCACGAAGGCGTAAATGTTCAATTTTCCTAAATTGTCTTTATCAACAAGATTCCAAATCTGCCCCAAAGTATTTGTTGGAAGTCTTGCCTTCAAGAAGATATCTTTAGCCTTTGCGCCACCTAATTCACCTTGCGTGGATCCAACTGTCTTCACGAACAATTGCCCAAACTTTTGGTAGTCTGCGAGCGTAACGTTTGTAATTGAATCTTGAGGCAGAGAGTTGAATGTTGCTGTGTTCTGAGGGATAATAGCAGAGGGTTGAGTTTGCATGAAGGATGAGTTATTGGAGGGTTGTGGGTTCAATTGGGTTGGAGTAGCTGTTGGCGATGCAAATGAGAAATTGTTAAACTTTGGTAAAGGACCTGGCTTTTCAGCCAACGCCAATGTTGGATATTTACCAGTTTGAGCTTGCCCAATTAGTCTCATAGCAAGACAAAAGCCGAATTGAGTCAAGAACCCCAAGTTATTGGAGTCAGCAATTTGCCAAATTTCACCTAGAATTGCAGGAGGTAAACCAAACTTTTCAAAAGATCTGGCCTTTTCCCCACTCACGATCCCAGTGTTCTCTGTATCGAGCGACTTGAAGAATTGGGAGTAGAGTTTCTTCTCCTCCGCAGTGAGACCGACTTTGAAAGACAGTGTAGCTAGAGAGTGGTTAGTATAGGAAGATCAAGGGGATACGGACGAGCTCAAATCATTAAAAGAAGGTTACGAAGATTACGAAGGCTGGGGGGTGTGCACACGATAGGGAAGGGGGAATGTGGCAACACACGCCATGCCTTCGTGAGTTCCAAATCGTACTTGCTCAAGTACTGTAGAGGCGAACCTACCCCGAGCATTCGGTATTTTCCAAATTGAAAGAAATGCAACCAATTAAAGGTCCAAAACTAACACCGTTTTGAAGCAGTCTAGTTCTCAGCTCACTTCGGACCTTACGGATTACTAGCGTCGCTCTTCAAACACTCCTAGGGACTCGTAGCCCTCCAATTGAGATGTCCCATGGTTTGTACTTACGCTGTGAGAAACTCATCGTAATGTTGATTTCTCTGACTTGCACTGGATACGATAGTAAGAGTGCCTTGGTATGCTAAGGGCACAGTGTTGTTTTTGCTTTGAATCGAAATCTCCAACTTTGTTTTTCCCAAAAGGAGAGTGCAGGTCGTGGCCCTGGGTAAAGATCAGCAAGTCAAAATGCAGGAAGGCACCACAGCTATTTGAGAAGAGAGGCAGTAAAGGTGGATGAAGTGGGCAGTATACGTGAAGCAGGGAAAAAAAGGGAAAATAAAGGGAAGCGAAAGGGAATTAGAAGAATACAGCAGTGTCAACAAACAGGAAGAATTTCGACCAATTCTTGAAAACATTGGGATACTTACTCTTGCTTTAGCAAGTCTAGTGTGCGAGCTAAATGAATTTTTCAGTGTATTGTATTTTTAGCATGGTATACTTTACGAATTTCCCCTATTAAATCCTGGCTGCGAAAACTCACCTGCTGCTCCACAAAATTCCAGCAAATTGGCAGTGAAGCGAGAATGGGAAGCAGCACTGACTTACGATAAATGTTCTCTTATGTACACTCAAAGCGACTTGATTTGATCGTAACTAGCCATGGCTACCTGAATAATTGTAGAATATCCAAGAAACTGCAAATTCAGGTGTAGCATGTAGAACCTTGCGTTGTGTGCTAAATTTCTTATCGTCCTAGAATTCGTTAAATCACTGGATATCTCCCAGCCAAACTACACTAATTGATGCACCAAATTGCGCCAAACTACGCGAAGTTCTGCTGAGTAGTGCGCTAAATTTCGCTAGTTCTCGCTAGTTTTCGCTAGCATCTGTCCCACCAACTATCTTTTCCGCTCTCTCCCTCCCTCACGCACTCGCGCACCCGCTGCACTCATTCATTCTCAACTCTTAACTCTAAGTGTCCTGCACACAACTCCGACACAAAACCAGCTTCCCTCCCGATGAGTTCACCAATTTTTTTTTCTTTTCTGTGAAATTTTTCAAAACCCCATTCATACAGAAAAGAGGAACACATCTTATCTCTCATATCTGTTGTTTGTCTGTTTGTTATACCCAACCCCCCTTTCGAACGTCATACTAATTAGATAACATCATAATGAACAGAGGTAGAGGAGGATTCAGAGGAGGATCCAGAGGTGGATTCGGTGGTAGAACCGGACCATCCCAATTTCAACAGGGCCCACCAGATTCCGTTTTGGAAATGGGTACCTTTATGCAAGCCTGTGAAGGGGATGTCGTCTGTCGTTCCATAAACCCTAAAATCCCATACTTCAATGCTCCAATCTACTTGGAAAACAAGACCCAAGTGGGTAAGGTGGATGAAATTTTGGGACCATTAAACGAAGTGTTTTTCACTGTTAAGCCATCTGAAGGTGTTCAGGCAACTTCTTTCAAGGATGGTGATAAATTTTATATTGCCCCAGATAAGTTATTACCTTTAGAAAGATTTTTACCAAAGCCACCAGTGTTAGGAGCCAAGCCAAAGAAGAAGTCCGCTGGAGGAGCCGGTGGAGCCAGAGGTGGCTTCGGTGGTAGAGGTGGAAGAGGTGGTGCTAGAGGTGGAGCCAGAGGTGGTTTCGGTGGTAGAGGAGGAGCCAGAGGTGGATTCGGTGGTAGAGGTGGATTCGGTGGTGATAGAGGTGGAAGAGGTGGTGCTAGAGGTGGGTTCAGCTCCAGAGGTGGATCCAGAGGTGGATTCAGTTCCAGAGGTGGCCGTTTCTAAATGATTTCCCTCCCACCACTAAAATCTGTACATCATTTATCATTTTTATATTAATACTGTATATTTGCTTTACTCTAATAAGACGCATTAAGAAGAGAAATTTTTCTAGAGAGGTTGTGTGTGGAGATGTGTAGATCCTACTGTTAATGAATGTAGACTATTGCTGACTATGTTTCTCCTCTGTATTGGGGCAAGACGGCATCTTCCGCCTACTTTTCCTAGATCAATCCACAGCTTTGCAATATGGCACATCGGATCTCCTTATACCCGTATCTCTTTGGAAGGAATGGTGTAGGAACTCCATTGTTGAAGTAGAACCTGGGCAACGTCGGAACCTCTTTCAACCCCGCATCATTGATTACCTCACTGAAATGCTTGATGACCTTCTCATTTGCTTCCTCTATCTTCAGGGCATTGTCCTTGCGGTCTTGAACGCTAAACTTTGCTATATCTCCCCTAGTAAACGTCAGTAATCCCTTAGGGAGCTTGGCCTTAATGACCTGGTCGACTTTAGTGAATATGATATCAAAGGAAACACCTTGGTTCATCAAAAACCCAATCATTTGAGCATCCAATTCACTAACTCCATTGAGACCGTCAATCAATACAAAAACATTCCGCAACAACTTCCGATGCTCTATGTAATCCATCACTGCTTGACCCTGGATCCGCTCACCAAACTGCCCATACCCTGGAGAGTCTACGATCCTGATCTTATTATTGATATTGAAGCAATTCAACGTCTTTGTGTACCCAGCTCTACGGGAAACATATGCGTATTCAGTCAGAGCTCCAGCAGTTTGCGATTCTGCTTTATCCAACAACAACGTATTCACAATGGTGGATTTACCTACATTGGTGTTGCCTAGCAAGAGAACCTCAGGGAGTGGTTTGAGCAAATCCGGTGGTATTCCGAAAGTCTTTTTCGATTTAGATGCTGTTTGATAGTACGTGGACGTTTTGTTGTACGGATCCATCTTTGCAAATTGTTCATCTCTGTCTTTCTTTAGTCTTTCGTATTTAATGTCTGGTATATCCAGGATATTATCGAGAGTCCAGTCGAGTTTGATCTGGGAATTGTTGAAAAATTGCTGCGATCTGGAGATCTGACCGCCCTTGAAAGTGCCCCAGTTCTCGTCATGGAATAGCTTGTTCAATGTGTTGGGTGTAATAATTAATGATGCTGGGTCTGCTGAGGGCACCAGTTTAGATTCACCTGAAGGTGTCGCGAGATGCTTGGGGACATATTCGGTAGATGGTTTCGAGCTGGAAGTCGGTAGCGCAGATAGTAAGTAGTTTAAGGAGGTCTTCGCTGACTTATTTACTTGCTTTACGACAATCGAGGGAAACATGGAGCCTTATATGTAGCCTTTTGTTCCAAGAAGAAACCACCTTCTTCTCGGAGATGAATTTTTCACTCTCCATGATTTTTGAATGGCTGCGAAAAGCGATTTACTGGGGTAGAGATGAGATGAAGCATGGAGCAGATATAACACGTTTGGAGGGGTATAAACGGCTTAGAATTTCGGGAATGATCCAGAAGATAGACATTATTCAATTATTGAGAGTAAAATACCAAAAAGCTACATCGCCCTTACTTGTACCTACTGTTTGGCTACCGTTGCTCTTATCGTTAACTGTGTGAGTATTTTTTTTTTTTTTTTTTTTTTTTTTTTCATGTCTCATTTAAGTAAGGGATCATTTATCCAGACAGAGACTCTTTCCTAGGGTGCTCTTTATCCTATCTGGTTAAATAAGTCACAAAAATGGTTTCTATTCGTATTCCAGTCTTAATAGGTGTGTATCAAAGAGACTTTTGTTTGCAATGAGAGAAGAATTGACTCAATTGTGGACCATTTCAATTGCAATTACTAATTGTTATGTATCTAGCTTTCGTTCTATCCCTTATCGTGGCTGGGTACCTTGGGTTTGCCCTGATTCAGCTAACTAACCACGATAAATTTCTTCATTTCTTAACATTTCTTATCCTAACGGTGGAGTTCTACTTCATTTTTGATACCAACCACAAATCTTTGAAGACTTTAAGGTATATTACTCTATTGGTGTGTACCTTTGCTGGTGCGATTCTTCTGGAAGTGATTCAAAGCTTGGTGAACACAACAAGGGTGTTTGATTCTATGGATATTGTATATAACATAGTAGGTAGCTTTCTTGGAGTCATATTAAGCTCAAGTTATGATGCTTGGATTGTGAAAAGACTGAAAAAGAATAGGCTCAGGCAAGTCAGAGAAGTAGTTATTGAGGACTACGATGACGACGATACTGGAATTGAGCTTGGTGGCGTAACTGGGGGAAGAGATTTGGAGAATGGCTTCGTTTCGATTAACAGGGAAGACTTGCCAGAAAGTAAATAGATAATCAAGAAGAATGAAAGTATATATAATGACGCATGAATTTAAAAGATATGTATACAAGATGTGTAGCTACTATGCTTGTTTAGCTTTGCAGTTTCTGATCTATTATTTTTACCTACCCATATTAGACTACCACAGTAGCTAAAATTTTTAAAAAAGGTGCCCAAGATAGTACTTGACTGACTTCTTAAATCACTCATCAATCATTGTTCTGCGTTATCGACTAGTTTCGTCTAGATGCTTCATCTTTATCTGCACCTATGTTAGCTAACCTATCTGCAGCCTCGTTCCCTTCAATCCCTTGATGTCCTCGGACATGCTCAATGACCAACGATCCCCAGCCTTTCTCAGAATACTTCTTAGATATTATTTTATCCCACTTCAAACACTGTTCAATTAGATCCTTGTTTTGCACCGGTTTGCCAGTAGATGATTTCCAACCATTAGATTCCCAGTTTCTCAGCCATTCTCTAATTGCCTTTATTGAATATTGAGAATCTGATTTGATTGTGAATTTTTCGTTAGAATCTGCCAATGCTACATCTTTGAGAGCATGGAGCATCGCTGCGAGCTCAGCTCTCTGGTTGGTTGCGGGAATATCATCAACAGCAGACATTGGAACCCCGGCATTTCTATCATCATTTGGGCCATAATAAACTCCATATCCAGAAAATGGTCTTGTATGCTTCCCATTTCCACGAGAAGCACCATCGACGTAAATTTCCTTTAAAACCGGTTCGGTATTCGCGATGGCAGAGTCTACTTTATGAGAGCCTGAGCTAGAACTCACTAGCGGTGAGAGGTAAAGGCCACCAGGATGAAGTCCTGGAGTAGTACTTCCAGTCACTGGTTCAGATTTGCCGATAAAAGGACTCTGCGTAGAGCTAACTGAATAGTACCTAGAAGGCATCGAGCTTTTAATAGCTCGAGATGATGAGCTTTTAGGCTTTGAGATGGAGTTCGTCAGCGATCTGTTAGTTGGGGTTGAGACAGAATTATAGCCATCCTTCCCCCTTACAAACGCATTTGCTTCACTGGCTGTACTGAACTTTTTGTAAATAGCTCCACGGTAGCCGCTTACCTGCTCATTGCAAGCATTCCAGGTGTTGTACACACCTTTTGACCTTCCATTTTGGACCGCATAGTAAGGCATTTTAGGCAAAATCGCGGTAAATGGCCGGTTAGCAACGATTTTAAGCAAATTTATGGTATTTTCTTGGCTCAGCTATCTGTATTTACGATTTTGGCCTCGATGGTTATCGAAAGGCACAGACAACTAGACACAAGGTGAAGTTATTAGCTTGCCATGTTTTCATTATCATGTTTGAATTGTGCAGGAATTAAAAATTTCAAGCGCCCTGTAGATTCAGCTGGTCTAGAAGAGGCACCAAATGGACGAAGAAAGATACTAGAGGGACGTTTTTCGAGGAAAAGGGCTCCTAAAAGACAAATAGCCACACTCTTGCTAGTAAATTAAGAAAAAAGGACCTGAAAAAATAAATTATATGTGTATATATATCAGCATGAGCTGGGAAACTAAGACAGCTTTTATACCCTGTGCCAGTAGGAGTGCCGCGGGTCCGCTGAGCACCACATTTGCACCCATTTCAAATGAACCCAACAATAGCACAGCTTTCAGTCAGAAGTCGGAAAGTATGAAACACGATGAAGCCATGTGAAACACCATGTTTCGCAGATCCTAGTAGTAGATCCACCGTACTCACAGCCCTGTGCAACATATCATTTTGGTAATTGCAGCATACTTGTTTCAGTTCATGTGCTCCCATGTGTACCGCCGTCACATCAAGTGAAAAAATAAATGAAATAGCTATGCTAACAGATCTATGAATACACTCCCTCAGTGCCTCACTCATCACTCATCACTCATCTTGACTCCCACATTCCTCAGCAGCACCAATCACACTCCCAGCTGCTCTTGCCCTTGCCACTTTCCACTACCAGCAGAACATTTAACTTTAGAATATGAAGCTTATATGTCCAATGATCATGCCGCATGTACGAGCCGCCCACACAATCACACTCCCTCACTTAAACTCTCGCCCTGCATACTCGCTGCTGCGAATTGCTTCCTTGTCTTCTTCGTTTGCGGAAGTTCAAGAACCTTAAAACGCAAATTAGCAACAATTTCATGTAGGACAAAACAAAAGGGCTCGGTTTAGGACAGGAGTACAGGCTTTTCTTTTTTTTTTTCAGGCACAATTGTATTTATTCTATTCGTCTTTCTTTACCAGTATCCAGCTCAATTGAAGTAAGTCAAGTTTGTTACGATGATCCTGGCTATTTTTGGGAATGGAAATGGCGAAGACGCAAAGAAGAAGGGTGGTGAAAGTAACTCCATTGACCCACGCCAAGAAGAGAAGGAGAACGTCCGACCAGATAACAACGACGATTGGGAAAATGAATTCGAGCATAGAAGCAGAAAGACTGAAGCAGATGACGGGGGCGATAACTTAAGAAATAAAGAATATGAAGAAATTTACCGATCAGTGTCGGCCAGTAATCGCAACGATGACGAAGAAGAAGATAAAAACCCTACCTCTAAGAGAAGACCCAAGAGTAATATAGCGTATAACAATGATGAAACGAAAACAATCGGGAATCCTTGGTCACCATTCAGCTGGTATAACAACTTCGACAAAAAAGAAAAAAGATACGAAAATGATGAAGATGAAGAGCGAGATAGGGAGGATGCTCAACATGCTGCACTCCGAACTGGAGCGGGCCCAAGAGAAGGTCAGCAGAATGGTGATTTTGATGAAGATGACGAGCGCAATGGAGCTTGGAGGAGCGAAACTCCCAACTCTCCTATGGAGGAAAAGCCTCACAATCATTCTTATCGTACTATGTTTGGGAACAATGTGAGCAACGTTCAATCCAACGGAGCAAGACGAAGAAAGACCAAAACTAGGTTCTTTAGAAACAAGGGGAAACAGCATCCCAAGAACAAGAGAAAGCAGTCAGTTTATTATGCTGATGAAGAAGGCAATGACGAAGATACTGCTGCTTATTTCACTGGTTTGAGAGCTCAGCAGTTGGTCGGTTCACTTGCAGCCGGCTCTCCCGCAATTAATATTTTAGCTTCATGCTTACTCGAAGATGAACATGGAATTGCTAGAGCTCCATTGTTGCTTTCATTACTTGGTTTAAAAGTTAGTGATATTTCCAAATCTGTAAACACTAAGAATAGAAAGTTTAGAATAGATTTGGAATATGGAGTGGGTGAAGAAAGATTGCGCTGGAACGTAGAGAAGAGTGCTAGTGACCTTTTATACCTTCACTCAAGGTTTAAATTTGTGAATTGGAGGCATGAAGTTGTCAGGAATAAAAATAGTGAACTTCCTAAGGTTCCGATTCCACCACTTAGGACCAATAATAAAGAGAAGAAACACGCACAAGGTTACACTCATGAAGATGAAGATCATTTAAAAGTCCCAAGCGCTTCACATGGTGGTGGAACTACAGGCAGTCAAAGTAATGCGGATAATTCACCACAAGATAATGAATCAATAGGCAGCGGTGAGCATTTTGCACGCTTGAGGACATATTTAAGTTCAGTGTCTTCAACGGCGTCTTTGCTGCCTGATATTGTGAAATCAAAAATGAAAAAGAATCAGGACTATATCGTTCAAGTGACAAATTATTTGAACGATTTGATTGGTAAGATATCTTTAAAACCTCAGTCCAATAGATTATTTCAATTTTTTGAAATCCTGCCCATATCTTCATTGTTAAGTTACGAGACTGGGTTTCAAGGAAAGCAAGGTATTGTTCATATTGGAGGCACCACAAAGTCTCAAGGATGGAGAGTTGGCCACTTCAAAGCTAATGACTTAAAGGGAATGATTGATAGAAGACAAGAAAAATGGTTACTTATTAGAAATACGTATATCATGTATGTTTCCGATATTAACTCAACGTTACCATTGGAAGTATTCCTTGTTGACCCCAAATTTGAAATAAAATATAAGAAAAGAAAACAGGATGATGATGATGATGAAGAGGAGGAAGAGGTCGTGAACTATGAAGAACTGTCAATTTCACAGAAATTAGCAATAGATAAAGAAAATGGCGATATTTTGTCAAAGAATAATAAGATTTTCAAGCACCTCAAAATTACATTAGTCAACAGTGAAAGGCAATTGGTTATACTTCCGAAGTCAACAAAGGAGCAAAAGCTTTGGATAAAATCTTTGGAGGAAATGAAGAATCAGACTCCATGGTCCGAACCTCATAGATTTGGATCTTTTGCACCAGTCAGAGATAATTGCTTTGCACAGTGGTTTGTAGACGGAAGAGACTACTTTTGGGCCGTGTCTTCTGCTTTAGAAATGGCCAAAGATGTCATTTTTATTCATGATTGGTGGTTATCTCCTGAATTATATCTTCGTAGACCAGCAAATGGGAATCAGCAGTGGAGACTTGATAGGATATTGCAAAGAAAAGCTCAGCAAGGGGTTAAGATTTTTGTGATTGTTTATCGTAATGTCGGTACTACTGTTGCTACTGACTCATTGTATACGAAGCATTCAATTTTATCTTTAGATGAGGAGAATATCCACGTCATTCGTTCACCAAATCAATTACTTCAAAATACTTATTTTTGGGCTCATCATGAAAAGTTATGTATAGTAGATCAAACCGTTGCATTCGTTGGTGGAATTGATTTATGTTATGGAAGGTTTGATACTCCTGATCATGTATTGGTTGATGATTCTAAAGTAACATTCGATTCTTTGCGTGAAAATGGCAGACCCACTACTGAAGAGCATATTAAGTTTCAAACATTCCCAGGGAAAGACTATTCTAACCCGAGAGTAAAAGACTTTTTTGGATTGGATAAACCTTATGAATCGATGTATGACAGAGAGGCCATTCCTAGGATGCCATGGCATGATATTCACATGGTGACACTGGGTAAAATAGCTAGTGATTTAGCAAGACATTTTGTTCAAAGATGGAACTATTTACTTCGTCAAAAGAGACCGCTGAGATTCACTCCATTGTTAACACCACCACCGGACTTTACCGACGAAGAAATACAAGATATGGGGTTGGGAGGTACTTGCGAGGTGCAACTTTTGAGATCATCTTGCAATTGGTCATTAGGGTTGACTGAACACGAACAGAGTATCCAAAATGCCTATTTGAAGCTTATAGAAACATCAGAACATTTCGTTTACATCGAGAATCAGTTTTTTATCACTTCATGTGTAGTTGATGGAACTGAAGTGAGAAATAGAATTGGAGACGCATTGGTCGATAGAATAATACGTGCTCATAAGGAAGGTAAACCTTGGAGAGCAGTTATTGTTATTCCGCTCATGCCAGGTTTTGAAAGTCAAGTGGATGAGCCAGATGGATCTTCTGTAAGAGTTATCATGCAATGCCAATTTTTATCTATTTCTAGAGGTGCAACTTCAATCTTTGCTAAGCTAAAAAAATATGGCATTGAGCCTGATGATTACATTCAGTTCTTCTCGTTGAGAAAATGGGGTATAATTGGTCCAGACAGGACTTTGGTAACTGAACAATTGTATATTCATGCAAAATGTATGATTGTTGACGATAAGGCTGCAATAATTGGTAGCGCAAACATTAACGAAAGATCAATGAGAGGTGTAAGAGATTCTGAGGTTGCTGCTGTTGTTAGAGATAAGGAAACTGTTAAGACCACAATGAACGGAGAACCTTATATTGCAGGTAAATTTGCGCACACGTTAAGAATGAGACTAATGAGAGAACATCTTGGAGTCAGCGTCGATATCTTGGAAATAATTGAAAGAAGATTTTCAAAGTTTGAAAAATATGCCAGCACAGACGCCGGAATAGAAGCTAGCTATACTGGAAAGTTCGAAAAACGTGAAAATAGAATTTTATCGGCAATGGTTGAAATTGCAAGCAGAGACATTTTAAATCAAAAGAAAGGTACGAAGTTGTGGCAAAAATTCAGAAATAAAATAAGTGATTTGAAAGAAGATGAAATATTCGAAGGTGCCGTAAACGAGGAGCTCGAGGCAGAATTAGAAGCCGAAGAAGAAGGACCAACTCCATTGTCATTGCCTATTTCATTCAATAATAGGACCGGTACTTATGAAGCTAATAAGGGAATTCGAGACAAAAAGAAGCACTCATACGATGCAAGAGTTCAACAAAATAGTACACACAAGAAGGATGTTTCAGGATATGGTCCCGACATGTATAAGTTGAAAGTAGCTAAGAGGGCAAGATTGAATAGTGCTAAGTTTTTAAAAGAATTAGCACACAAGGCGATGAAGAAAAACCCTACAGGAATTTTCTTACCAAATCTACATGAAGTTGAGGAATTCTTGGAAAGCGATGATGCAGATTTGTCTTCTGAATTGAGTAAAGAGGAATGTGAATCTATTATTGCAGAGAGAAACAAGGAGAGATGGCTACTTTTGAAGAAGATATCTTACATGCAACGTACGGCTGCAAAAGAAAAGGAACAAAGAGATGAGGAAGTCAAGAAAAGATGTGCAGCTGGCTTGGAAAAGTACCCAGATGTCACTTCCAATGCCAAAACTGAGAATACGAATAACAATGTTTCATACCATGAACATGAAAATGAAAAGGGACACTTAACCGCGAATGGTATCACTGTGCCAAGTGGTGGAGACCACCTTAACTTAGAAAATGGTCCAAAAGTCTCCAAATTCTCGTCAGTTTCAGTACCCCAAAACAACGGCAGCATCCCTGGTACAGGCATTGAAGAATCAGAAGAAGATAAAAATGATGCAGTTCAACCTGCGGGAGGTTCAGTGGAACGTGAAGATATTCCAATTATTTCATTGGATGAACAGGGAGTTGTGGATTTGATGCAAGGAGTCAACCCTAAGGCATATGATAATTTCAGCACTTTTGTTGATCCATACGGGTTTGAGGATCCATTGGATGATGAATTTTATGAAGATTTATGGTTTGAACATGCTAGAAGGAATACTGAAATATATAGAATGATTTTCCACACCCAACCGGATGACTTCGTACCAACATGGAAAGATTATAAGCGTTACTCCAAATTGCAAAGTGCGTTCTTATTAGCTCAGAAGCAGGAAGCAAAATACAAGCGGGACAATTTAGATAGGAGTACTCGTGCGGCAAATGGATATGAAGAAAATTCGGAACTTAGTAGTGCTGACACTTTCAACAGGAAAAGTGTTTCAAGTATCAAGATGCATGAATTTCAAGATGTTGGTTTGTTGGGACACCCACCGCAGAAGGGGCAACCAGGAATAGAATCTTCAGACAGTAAGAGGATTAAATTTGGCAGAAGATTTAGCACCAAGGATGTCATTCCCGAAGAAAATGCTGAAATGAACGGGAATAAAGAAAATGGCCATGTTAAGGAGGAAGATGACAATGAAGAGAATGGCTACTTCGAGAATAAGGAAGATGATGATGATGAAGATGGTATTCTTGTGGACGGAGAGTTGTTACCAAGCAGACGTGAAGAGAGCCAAGCGTCTGAAAGTTCGTCTGACCCAAAGACCAACGAGGAGAGCTTCATTAAAAGTCAAAGGAAGAAGAGAAGAAGAGCAGGTACATTCACTGCTAGAAGAAGAGCCCTCACTGGGGATAGAATATACGACCGTACTACAGCAGAAAGAATTTTGACCGAGATCCAAGGCCATTTAGTGTTCTTCCCAGCAGACTGGTTAATAAGAGAGCTTGAAGGGGGTAATTGGTTTTACAATACAGATAGGATTCCTCCGATAGAAATTTACGATTAGAACTAAAGTCGATGAACAAAATCGAGGAGGAACAAGAATAGAATTTGTTGCATAGATGCTTCTGAGTATTGTATAGAGTTATACCAATAAAAAGTAGAGCATTTCAAGAACAGGTTTATACGTAGAAGTAAGCGCATAATAAGAAGGAGCTAAACAAAGAACCCAAGGGCCTGCTCTCTTCTCTTTATCACCTCTTCTCTCTAGTCTCTTCCTCTCTCTTCCCTCGACCTTTGCTTCCTCACAGTCCTTCACGTCCCCTAGTGTGCCAAATTAACGTGTGCGCGTTTGCCTGCATATAAGACATACACCAGGTACCGATGTCACCACAGCAAGGAAAGGGAAAGGCTATAGAGCAGCTCTTCCTTGGAGAGTCACAGAACCGTTAAAAGAGATATCATATAGCAGTATTGCCATGTTCCTTACAATATTGTCCATTGTAGGAGCCGTCTTGGGATTTGTATTCCTCGTGCTTTCAATTGCATCGGGGCTTTACTATGTGTCTGAGCTTGTTGAGGAACATTCCGAGCCAACGAAACGATTTCTTTCCAAAGTCATATACGGAATCATTGCCACTTTGGTATTGTTATGGCTCTTTGATGGATTCCCATTTGGGTTGACGCTCTTTTCAGTTGTGTCGTACTGGATATATCTTCAGAACTTGAACAAGTTTCCCTACGTCCAATTGACATCGCCGGTATTCTTAACATCATGTGTGTTGGTGATTGCAAACCATTTCCTTTGGTTCAACCATTTCCACCACCCAAAGATTCCTCCATTAGAAATAAGGTTGAGACATGACTACACGCCACCTCACATTCCATCGTTTGTTGAAGTGTGCTCGTTTTTCGGGATTTGTGTGTGGTTTGTTCCCTTCGCCCTCTTCGTGAGTTTGAGTGCTCACGATAACTTGTTACCTCATCATACTGAAGCACCTAGCGAAGTCCAAAGGAAAAAGAATAACGGGTTGGCAAAGGTTGTAGTTGCTACAGTGAGAGATCATGCATATACCTTGGCCAGAACTGTAGGGTGGGAGTTAGACCCAGAACATGGAAGAATTGTGTAAAACAACAAAAGAGGAAGGGGAGGGAATAAGGAAATAGAAGAAAGGTAATGAAGCAAAATGAATTATTATTTAAATAATTGTACTTTTATATACATATATATGTTCACAAATCAAGTATATGGAACATGATAACTTTTAATTTTCCAAAAAGTCCTTCACTGGTGGACCTATATCGTCCAACGACAACAAGAAGGTGTCGTGGCCGTAGTTACTTATCTCTTCACCCAATTCAAAGTATCTAATGTCTCCTCCTTTGCTGACTTCTTTCAAAACGTTAGCAATCTCTCTTTGCTGCCATACTGGGAAAAGTATGTCAGACTCGACTCCGACAACCAAAATATCCTTATGGGCAATTTTCGACAATCCTTTTTTAAGATCATCCAACGATTCTGCTTGTGTGAGGGAGGCAGAGTTTGCCTTTTCTTCGTACGGTTGTTCTGGAACTGTTGTCTTGCTGCTATTCTCTGTGCTTGGACTAGGTTGCTTCCTTGTGCTCTGAGCACGAGATCTGTTCAAGTACCCCAAGTCAAACAAGTCCATGGCCTTCAGCACATATAACAATGAGTTGGCATCGTACTCCATGCAGAACTTCTCACCAGCGTGATCCAAGTATGTCTCAACAAGGAAATCTGGACAGAGCGCTGGTGGTCTAGAACTATCCGCTCTGTTACGTCCAAACCTGTATTCCCACTCAGGACCAGACCTGTACGTCACAGTGGCTATTTCTCTTGCAAGCTTCATCCCCACATGTGGAGGCACCTTACCGTAGTAGAACCCTCTGTTCCAATTGGCATCACTCATTAGCACTTGCCTTTGAGTGTGTCTTAATGCAATCGAGTATGGGTGTGATCTGGCACATCCAGATATGGAAACTACCTTGTTGACCTCATCTTCGAATTCCCAGGCATATGCTAACGATTGCATTCCACCCATTGAAGCTCCAACGCACGCGTGTACCTTGGTGACACCGAACTGCTTATTAACCAATTCTCGTTGGGCTCTGACCATGTCGTTCACTGTTAGGATCGGGAACCTCGTTGCATAATGTTCACCATCAGCTGGATCTCGAGAAGATGGCCCGGTAGATCCGTAGCACCCTCCTAAGACGTTGGTGCATACTACAAAGTATTTATCAGTATCGATATACTTGCCAGGTCCAATGAAGCCCTCCCACCAACCAGGCTTGGTATTTTTAGGCTGTGAGTGTGCATGTGATGAAGCAGATAACCCAGTGTGAATGAGAACCAAGTTAGACTTCTCGCTGTTCAATTCACCCCAACTTTCGTACGCTATCTCGTACTCAGGAAGCACTCCTCCATGATCCAAATGGATTGGTTCCGTAGACTTGAAAAGTTCAAAGCCAGTTTGAACAAATGAGTAGGATGGCTCTGGGCCGGTTTCCAATGAACTCACGTTGTCAGCGTCTATGCCACATGTCTGTAATTTTTCATTTTTGGCCTCTAATTTATCCAAACAGGGGAATGCTAGTTGAGGATTAGAACCTTGAACTGCTGGCTTGGGTGTGGGCGATGGAGTGACATAAAATAAGGCAGATTTTGAAGTAAAGGATCGAGCTGAAAAATTAATATTCTTCAACCTACCGACCCTTATGTTGTTAGGTCTCACTCTGGGTATCATAGCCAACAAAGGTATCGCCTTTTTTTTACGTGTGAGATGGCAATAGTCCTGCTTCCTTGCTGACATACTTAGCGTTTTGCATCTTGCAATGAAAAATTACGGAGTCTGGGGAATTTGATCAAGTCACGTGTAATGATCAAGTCCGGGTTTCATACAGGAAGATTTGGTTGCTTAATAGAGAGAGGAGTTTAGTAAGAGGTTGTTGCAATCTTTGGGGTGATCCTCTTATATCTATGACGCTTAAAGAAGACTTGGGATCTGAAGGGTTCTCAATAAACTGAAAGAATGGTATTTAGCTTACTGTCTGCTATCTGACTACTCTTATTTGAGACTTTGCATGAATGAGAATGGAGCCTTTTACTGAGTAAATTCTGTGCAGTAGAGATTCGCTTTATTGACATAAGACTTTCTGGTTAACATCTTCTTGGAATGCTCCGAGAAGCGGTTGCAGATGATATTACTCCGTGATTACGTACTAATTTCACTGGCTGTACCGACTGTCAGGTTGCAGAATACTTTTGCATCAATCAATATTGTAAGTGTGCAACTTCACGTACTTTACAATTCAGCAATCCCAGCCAATACTGTGCGGTTGCAATCCCGTTGATCAAATTTGCTGAACGAACTAACAGTATTTCATTTGGCGCTATTGCTAGTAGTATCACTTTCTATTCGTCCGACAATGTTCCGGAACAAAAAACACAGAAGCGCTGTCTTTTTTTCTGAAAGCAGGTTACATTCTGGGATGTCTCCCCGTTCCGTTTTTCAAGTCCCAAAAGAGTAACACCGAAATCTTTTAGCCATGAAGAATCGTGCTCAATACAACGAATCAAACTACAAGTGATAAGAAGGTTATGAAGTCACACTTATGTGAGCTGCTTCACTAAGACCAAAGAGATAGTACGATTACTAATTGATTAGTTACTGTGGCCCAAAGTATTCTTGCTACCTTGTAAAACAATATATGAGCAATCTAATGCAGTGTTGTACAACACTGCCAAAGCCTTAGCGCTGAGTTGGATACCAAAGATTATTCTATTATTTCTCTCAACCCTGGAGCAGTTTCCACTGATATGGGTAGAGCTGCCGTTGAAATCATACTGAAGCAATTACTGCCAACACATTGAAAGAGATGCAAGTGACTCCAGAGGATAGTACTAACCAGCAAGAAAATCTTTTTGGTAACTCGACTAGGGCGCACAATGGAAGGCTCTTGAGCTACGACGGAACAGAATCAATTGGCAGTTTTATATTCATTGTGATGATTTTAATATGAAATATGACGACGTACTAATCGTGCGTGTACTAGGTATATAAAAGTAGACAAGATTAGACTTTGTTTAGTTTGTACTTGAACTCTAAAACTTTAGTAGTTGCAACCGTTGTGTGCGGCTTTTGTCAAATTGGATGTGCATTAGGTACCATTTCGAACAAACCCGAAAATATGGAGGGAAGAAAATGGTATCCAATTGATCAGGAATTTTACTAACAGTCTGATCAGCACAATCCCTGCCAGCACAATCAGACTAGTGTTATATCATTAGTATTGCGTGGTTTGCAAATATACTTGCAGGAGCTACCACTGGAATAGTGAATATGTCCGTTCGGGTTCAGACCAAAAGGGGAACTGGTACATTATTTTTTATGATTACGAATCAATGCGCGCCAAAATTAGTAATTACATTCTTTTGCATTCTACATGGAGAAATGAAAACTTCTTACTAATACAAATGACAAATAGTAACTATTAGCGTATGCCTAAAGGAGCCACACGTAGAGCATTAGTACCTCATTTGAGCCGACATATAAAAGGGTGTACAAGTATCCCTTAAAATGTACAATTCTTAGATTTACTAACTAAAAAAGTTTAAATTGATATCTTTTCAGTAAACTACATTTCTCAACCCTACTAAATAAACAAATCAAACGCTAAAATGTCGAAGGTATATTTTATTTCAGGAGCTAACCGTGGTATCGGTTTCAACATTGCCAAAATCTTAGCTCAAAGACCAGATGTCAAGGTTATTGCTACTGCTCGTAATGTCGAGGCTGCAAAAGATCTTGCTGAATTGAAGGCTAGCACTGGTAGAGTTGAAATTCTTCAATTGGACGTTAGTTCTGAAGAAAGCATTGACGCTTTAGATGCTCAATTAAAGAAGGTTGCCGCAGATGGTGTGGACGTTTTTGTTTCAAATGCGGCTATTGCAGATGCGTACTATACAGTATTGGAAGCTCCAACTAAGGTGTGGACTGATCACTATAAGACAAATGTATTAGGTCCAATTTTGCTCTTCCAAGTTTTATATCCTTACTTAGCTAAGAAGAAGACTAGACAAATTGCATTTGTTTCTAGTGTTGCAGGTTCAATTGGTAACTACTTCCCTTTCAGCAGTTCTGCTTATGGTCAGTCCAAGGCAGCTTTGAACTATTCTGTTAAGGAAATCAGTTCTGAATTGGATGCTGAAGAATTCACCGTTATCTCTATCCATCCTGGTGTGGTCACTACTGATATGGGAAATTATGCAGTTGGAAAGATTAGTGATCCAAATGTAATTGGAGCATTAAAGGAATTGGCAATTACTCCCGAGTCAAGTGCCACTCAGCAAGTAGAGGTATTTGATAAGTTGAGCAGAGAATCCAATGGAAAGTTTTTGAACTACGATGGTACTGAATTAGTTTGGTAGTTATAGATTTATAGACATGAATAGATGTTAATGCTGAAAATGTTAAATATGTAGGAATTATGCAGTGTTGCAGCATATTTTTCACATTCGCATCATCATCGGCAAGATGAAAAAGCTAAGCCCAAGCCAAACTAACGCAAATTAAAAGAATATATTGTCAGAGGTCACATATAGTCGATAAGTACTTCTCAGACGGCACACGAAGAAAGTAAATGATGCTATTTGTTAGTCCAATCAGTATTGGATGGGGAAATTACTCTTGAAATTAGTGCTGCTCTGCAACTTCGTTTGTACGATAATTTAACCAGAAATTAGAAGTTTTTTGAACATTGATCATGGTTTAAAGAAAGCTTAATTAAGAATGAATTCATGCATCGATAAGAAGTGTTCCTTGAATTATACGATTGCTCGAGATAGTATGTTGCAATTTTCTGCAGCCAAGAAATTTTATTACTCAATGCATAGCCAAGTAAGATAGGTTAGCTTGGAATAGACAGGCTACGATGAGATAAATGGCGTGGTTCCTAAAAATATTACCACATTTGCATTACCAAAGTTTGGAAGAGGAAATGAAAATCCTAGATACAGCTGTTATCTAATCAACGCAAAAAATTTCATGGAACTTGCTAAAATGTGGTCCTTCCTAAGTGTTGACTTTGGCACATTCAATTCAGATAGGAACTAGTTTGTTTTCTTGTCATATATCTCAGCGAGAGAAGTGTTTCCTATCATATTCTCAGAAGAAGCAGGTTTAGAACAATTCAAATTGAGAGCTGGAACCCTAAGAATTCAGAATTACGCACTTACACATATTCGATAGGTCATTTTCCAACGAGAGCAGTGCCCTCTTTTCACTTATTAATCCCTTTAAAGCATTTAGAAGCTAGTAGAATTGAATAGAAACTAGTCTATCTGACTAATGTTGTATTATTATCACTATTTCAGAATAGTACAACTAGAGAATCTCAAGGAAATTGAAATTTATAATGCTGACAAAAATGCAATGCAGGTTTACAAACATCGTAATTCGATGCGGCTCAAAGTGTATCACAAAACATTTCAGACTAAAGCAAAATAGTTATAGAGAAACTAGGAAAGGTTCAGTAAGTCAGGAATTTCGTGCCAAATTCTAGATTGATATCTACATGATGTCAACCATTCAAGCCAATGTAGCTCTTCATCTTCATCAGAAACAATTTCTGGTGATATCTATTACTAAAAAACTTTACATTGTGCTCTAGCTTTCCCATGACTATGAAAAGAGATTTGAAAAATGTTTGGCTGACCTCACTAATTGGCACGCATAAAAATATTCTGGGGCGCGCGGCTGAAAGTACTTTTGTCAAAGCTCAGCTGGTATCTTTGTCAGATTTGAGGAGTATAAAAGGCGAGGTGGAGGGCCATCAAAATAGTCAATTAAGAGAAGAATCATTAGAAAAGTTTCAATTGAAATCTTTATAATAATAAATATAGAGCAATCCTCTCTCCCCATTTTAACAAATAAACAATAAACAAGAAATGACCAAGGTATATTTCATTTCTGGAGCTAACCGTGGTATCGGTTTCAACATTGCCAAAATCTTAGCTCAAAGACCAGATGTCAAAGTCATTACTACTGCTCGTAATGTCGAGGCTGCAAAGGAGCTTGCTGAATTGAAGGCTAGCACTGGTAAAGTTGAAATTCTTCAATTAGACGTTAGTTCTGAAGAAAGCATTGACGCTTTAGATGCTCAGTTGAAGAAGGTTGCTGAAGACGGTGTGGATGTGTTTATTTCAAATGCCGGAATTTCTGATTCTTACTCTACTGTATTGGAAGCTCCACGTAAGGTATGGACTCATCATTACACCACTAATGCTTTGGGCCCTATCTTACTTTTCCAAGTGCTTTACCCTTATTTGCTCAAGAAGAAGACTAGACAGATTTCTTTTATTTCTACTGGGGCTGCATCAATTGGTGCCTATATTCCTTTCAGTAGCTCTGCTTATGGGCAGTCTAAGGCAGCTTTGAACTATTCTGTTAAGGAAATCAGTTCTGAATTGGATGCTGAAGAATTCACCGTTATCGCACTTAGTCCAGGTATGGTCACCACTGACATGGGTCAGGATGCATTCAAGAGAATTGCTGATCCAGTTGTTCTTCAATCCTTAAAGGATATGTCAATTACTCCAGAAGTAAGCGCCACTAGTCAAATTGAGGTATATGATAAGTTGACCAGAGAGTCCAATGGGAAGTTTTTGAGTTTTGATGGTACTGAGTTAGTTTGGTAAGATACAAAATAGATGTTTTATTGAAGAAATGTGAAGTGTAGCTTAAATCAAATAGAAATAGATGTTTTTTTGAGGTCTCATGAAGCGTAGGTTAGCAGAATGGCTTGTATTGGTGGTTTGGTAGTCCAATGCACAAGTTTTAGTGGCTAGTTCAGATGGAACGAGATCAGGCTGAGAAATGTATTCTCTAGATATCTTCAATTGAGAGGATATGGGGCTTACTTAAGTGAAGAAGATCCAGCAGTATCTCATAAAAAAAGGGCAAGGGCAAGGAAGAGAGTAAGTAGTTTGGCCCATGTAGCATTGTTTTGATTTGCAGCCATTCTTTCTTTTTTTTTTTTTACTCATCACTTATTTTTTTGCTGTTCAACTTTCTCATGAGCCTTGCAATTTCGGGAGTCTTTTTTGTGAGACATCAATTGACTTGACAGCCTAAATTGTCAATAGCGATTTTTCCGTGTACATAAGGCTTTCTTTTCTTCTTTCATTAGAAGCGGGTCTACAAGCACACAGCAAATTGAATTCTAATGATTTCGAGGTTTCGCAAGTATATCATAGTATTCTACACTACTTCAGTGTTAGTAGGTTCTACTTTGGACCAATTTGTTACCCAGTACCAAAGTGCAATTAGCTCTAATAAGCTCGAAGCTTTCTTGAATAGATTATTAGTGTCACCCTTTGGATACTTCTTGTTTACATTAATTTTTTTGGGAAATGCTTTAACAAACTTAAATCAGTACAAATTAGTTAAGAAATTTGTGCTATATTATTTCAGCTACACGATATCGAGTTGTATATTGGTTATGTGGTTCTTTGGCCCTCTGCTTTTCGACATTGTAAATAGATTGACTGGCGGCTATTGCAAAATTAGCACATCTCAATTCAAATGCATGCAGGATAAAGATAGCTGGGTCAATGGTTTTGATACTTCGGGTCATGTTTTCATGCTTGTAGGCATGAGTGTATCATTACTAATACTATTGGAAGCTTGTAAATGTAGCAATAAGCCCGTGTATCAATCTTTGGAAGAGCAGATTCCAGCAGAAGAACTCGAGGTTCCAGCTCCAAGTTCAAGTCCGAGCCCAAGCCGTTTTGCTTCATTGTACATAATACCAAATTCTGATTTCCTCGATTTGATAACCTATTTATTTTTATTTTTCTGGTATGTGGTACTTATGGTGACAGCTTTATTCTTCCACACCTTCGTTGAGAAGTGCTTCGGGCTTTTATTCGGAATGACCCTTCCGTTAACCATAGAGTATGTTATCGATAAGAAAAGATCTGCTACAGCTGAAACTTGAGCGTTTTTCGCTCTCTATCAGCCGCATCAGAGGTAAATTTCACATTTTATAGAGAAATTCATTTTAGATTTTATTGATTACTGAGATTTTTCGTAGAGCGTGCGGCGTTGCCATCAGCGTAGCGTAAATATCGCAGAAGTATAAGAAGAACCAAAAGGAAGAACTTTGGTTCATTTTGATATCTATATAGTTTACTTATATCATTCTAGAAGACTTGGAATTATCTGTGAATAAGTGATACAGGAATATTCTGAAGTTTGAAGGTGCGATATATATATTTAGGTTTTAGTACATAACTCATCGCAAACATATACGAAATATTTATAGAAATAAAAAAATGGAGAAACTAAAGATCAGAGTTTCCAATATCCATTGCGATAAGTGTGAAGTGACTATATCCAAATCATTGGCTGGATTTGGAATCAAAGCTCGAATCGAGGAGAATGGTGAAATCTCACCTCTGTCGTATTCAATAGCCAACAATGATATTACCGTGTACGGACATGATTTACTCCACAAGAAAATAGTAAAAGATATCGCAAAATCTGGTTTCAAGGTTCTTTCGTGGGATTTAGTTAAGGAAGGAGATGAAGCATCTCCTATTGAAGAATCCAGTGAGTTACTGGAAGGTATGGAGGAAAGTGTAGATTCACATGTAATATTTTCAAATCTTTTCAACTTCTGGTCCAAGTATCAGAAAACTAGGCAGAGAAAGAATCATTTCAAAAATTGTCTTAAGTGCCAAGAAGAGGAAAAGAGTAAGTCGAAAGAGTCTGATGAGAGGCTTTCCTCTTCGTCATTCGCAGACTCAGATTCTACTGTGAATCAAGTTGTGATTGGGGGCAAGGAAGAAAAAGAATACAGAGTGGTGCTTACGGTGGAAGGAATGACATGTGCTAGTTGTGTCAAGGCAGTTGAGGAACAAATTGCTAGGGTACTTCAAGAAAATGGAATCAAGCTGGCGCATGATTCGTCCAGTGGTAATTTATCTGTTAATTTACTACTGCATAGTGCTGTTGTAATTCTTCCAAACAAGCAGATCATAAACAAAATAATCGACTCCGTTGAAGAAGCTGGTTTTGAATGTCGCCTAATTGAAGCATTACCTGTTGAAAGGACAATCAATTCTAAAGTTACTGCTGCTTTGGGTGGTATAACGTGCGCAGCTTGTGCTGTTGCGATACAAACTGCAGTCAATGACTTGTCATTCATCTTAGACTGTGGAATTAATGTTGTCAGTAAGACAGGTACCTTTGTGATGGAGGGAGGACAAGAAAATCTCAAGAAATTACAAGATACTATTGAAGATATTGGATATGAATTTGAATTGATTTCTGATGAGCTCATTAATTATACGTCTTCGAAAAAGAAGTCGAGAACTATTAACGTGAGCGTGGAAGGAATGTTCTGTGGTCATTGCCCAGAACTTATCACCGATTACCTCTCTTCGTTTGGAGAGGCTTTAGTTATTGAAGATCCTATTACTTTAAAGCACCCTTTCATTAAATTTACATATTTACCTAACCCAGAAAACAACATCACAGTAAGGAGGTTTCTTCACGATATAAATCATTTGAATGCAACTATGGAGAATGGTTATACTATAAGCGAAAATGCGGGCTCCTTCAAAGCAACGCTAGTTGAAGTAGTATCGATGGACGAGCATTTGAGAAAACTCTCTCGGAGAGAAGTTATGAAAATTGTAAGAAGATTGATCATTGCAGTCGTATTTGTAATTCCGACTTTTATTTTCGGAATAGTTGCCATGTCATTGCTTCCCAAGAAGCACAAGTTTAGAATGTGGGTTGAAGAACCATTATGGGTGGGAAATGTTTCCAGGAATACTTGGATTCTCTTAATTTTAAGTACACCTGTTTATCTATTTGCTGCTGATATCTTCCATGTAAAGGCTTATAAAGAAATTAAGCTGCTTTGGTTATACAAAAATTCGTGGACCAAGCGTTTTTTCAAATTTGGGTCTATGAATCTATTAATGTGCTTAGGTACAACCGTGGCCTACTTTGCTAGTATCGCTCTTTTGATTTTATCTTCGAGGCAAACTCCTGGGGCTATGCAGGGTGACACTACAACTTACTTTGATCTGGTAGTCTTCCTCACATTTTTTTTGCTTATTGGTAGGTTGTTAGAAAGTTTTTCAAAGAGTAGAACTGCAGACGCAATTTCTAATCTCAGTAACTTAAAGGTGAATCTGGCCCACTTGATTGACAATAAAACGACAAACGGTGAAGAGACTATTGATGTGAAGTTTTTAGAAATTGGGGATGTCATTAAAATAGTTCCAGGGGACTCACCTCCTGTCGACTGTACGATTGTAGAAGGTTCCGCTGAATTTGACGAATCTGCACTTACGGGAGAGTCTAAACCTGTAAAGCATGTTAGAGGTCACCAGATATTTTCTGGTACGGTAAATGTTGGTAATGAGGCGGTAACTGCTAGAATTACTGGCTTACAAGGAGATTCTTTAATCGACCAAATTGTTAGTACAGTAAGGGATGGTCAATTGAGAAAAGCGCCAATTGCAAGGACAGCAGATACCTTGACCAGTTTCTTTGTTCCAGTAATTGTTGTATTAGCAGTACTAACTTGGGTGATTTGGCTATCTCTCGGTTACAGTGGTAGACTCCCTGACAGCTACTTGGATATAGAAATTGGAGGGTGGGCTGTATGGTCACTTCAGTTTAGTATAGCAGTATTTGTCATTGCCTGTCCTTGTGGAATTGGTTTGGCTGCTCCGACTGCTATGTTTGTTGGATCTGGTTTAGCTGCAAAATATGGTATATTAGCGAAGGGAGGTGGTGTAGCTTTTCAAGATGGTGCAAACACTAACGTAATATGTTTTGACAAGACAGGTACTTTAACCAAGGGAGAATTGAGAGTGACTGACTACTCATATTTCAATAAATCGTTGAAACTGGTGTCTTTGCAGGCTACGAGAGATCTTGAATCTATTTCTAAACACCCTATTGCAAGGGCCATAAAAGAATTCTTAAATTCTGATTTTGGATTTTCAAACCTCAATGCAACTCCAGAGAAGAATAAGATTCCTCAAGTGGAACTGATAGCTGGAAAGGGTTTGAGGGGAGAATTTGTCATTAATTCTGCTGATATTGGATGGGAGCATTTTGAGAACAATTGTGAGGCAATCTTGGGTAATGAGAAATTGATGAAAGATTATGCAGTAGAATTTACTCAAAGCAATACAGATCTTATCACTAAATGGAAGCTGGAGAGTAAATCGATAGTCCTTGTTGCAATAAAGTCCGAATCATTCTTTGATGATGATAAGTTTCACCTTACTTTTGGACTAGGATGCAGAGATCAAGTAAGACCTGAAGCCAAAACTGTACTTTCTTACCTTCAAAAGAAGAAGATTGAATGTTGGATGATAACAGGTGACAATAAACTCACTGCAGAAGCAATTGGAAAAGAGATTGAAATTCCCCCAGAAAGAATTATTAGTGAAGTATTACCGGATGAAAAGCAACTTCAAATTCAAATAATTCAAAAGAAAGATAACAGGAATGTTGTGGCCATGGTTGGTGATGGTATTAATGATGCACCCGCTCTTGCGGCTGCAAATGTGGGAATTGCGTTATCATCAGGTGCCGATCTAGCTGTTACCTCCAGTGACTTTATTATTCTTGACAACCCTAACCCTTTGGTCACACTTGTCACTTTATTCGACTTGTCCAGAGCAGTTTTCCGCAGAGTGAAATTCAACTTTGGCTGGAGTTTAGTTTATAACTTGATTGGTATCCCAATTGCTGCGGGGGTTATTTACCCATATAAGAATTCAAGGTTGAGTCCAGTTTGGGCAAGTGCAGCAATGGCTCTTTCGTCCATAAGTGTTGTTACTAGTAGTTTAGCTCTTAGATTGTACAGACCAAAGATCAAAACTATAACTGAATTAACAGTTGAAGAAATAGAACCAAAGGAGGCGGAATAGGTTGGTACATTCTTTCAATAGTATGAACATTTATATTTCTATAAACTTTGTAAGTACTTACGCAAATAAGCAAAAATCCTATAATTGTAGTAATTGCCTGAATGTGACATACATATATTTCATTAACTATACCTTCAAATTCTTAACTGCTTCTCCCAATGCAAATACACTACGATCGAACAAAACGATCATAATGGTAACGTTATCAGTAGTAGAAGAATCCATTGCTAACTGACATAATTTTTTTGCAATGGTCGATGGATTATCCTCTTGTTCTAAAAGTTTAGCAACAAACTGAACGGCCTTTAAATCTGAAATCACGTCCCATAAACCATCGCACGCCAATATCATAAATTCGTCATCTTCACATATCTCTGTTGCCGTTGTGTATGGCTTCCCAATCACCAAATCTTTCATATATGAATCACCGAGGGATCTTGACACGGCTAAAACACCATTTACTCTATTTTTCATTATTAAACCTCCAGACTCTTTTATCCGATTGATTTCATTCACGTCTGTAGCCTTGTGGTCATATGAAAGTCGATATGGTTTGCCCTTACGGCTGAGTATAATTCTCAGGTCTCCTACATTAGAAGTGTATAGCATACGCTTATGGTTTGCCTGGGGCACAAAGTCAAATGTAGAGGTGGATGGCTTCTGCAGTTTTGTGGGTTTATCCTTAGTTGGTAGCTGTTCAGCCCCACTCTTCGAGTTATCGGTTTCCCATCTTAACACCGCAACTGCCGCTGTACTTCCTGATGAGCCGGTGGGCTCCTTCAGAATTAACTCATCCGCCTTCACGAACGCGTTATGCATATGCTCTCTCATGTCAGATTCATTGCTCAATGGTGCGGAGGAATCAATGCTGCACGGAGTTTTCTTATTGGAGTCGTCAGAACTTGAAGTTTTGGCACCGACAGCAGATTCCGAGTCTACTGAAGATGGCTCCTTTGGTGGTGATGTAGTTGATGTGGATGAGGATGTTCCGGAAGATGTCTTTTCTGGAGAAGCTGCTGTTGGCTCAGGTGCACACGCTTTCTCTGCCTTGATAATTTCCTTCTCTAAAAGAGTATGAAGATTATTCCCACACCATCTGGCAGTTTGCTTGCCTGCGTGGCCATCAAAGATCGCAAAGTACCCCCAATCGAGTCTCTCGGCGAAGTTCGCCACATAAGTATGTACGTCCTCCATGGTCGCCCTGTAGTTGACATTCTTGTTCTCCGCAACCCCGACCGTGAACGAGAGCCCATAGAATGGATCCTTGGTCGATTCCGACGATTTTTCTTTCAGTTTTCGATTATTGTTCGATGTAGGTGAAAGTTTGGATGATTCAGGGCTAGTTGAAGAGGGCTTCGATGAAGAATTATCCGTATCCTTGGGTCTCTCTTCAATCATGCTGGTTTACGTGCTGTGAAATGATGACTTTAGCTTTATGGGAATTCTTAACAAAGTGATGGGAAAAAATATATTATTACACCCCTAGTCACGCGTTTATGGTAATTGAACAGTCTGCTAATCAATTTTGGTCCGGTTTTCCTATATTTTCGTGCCGTTACGTATCACTTTAGACAGATCATTAAGAGGAAGTTTCTGTTTTATCTTGTGTTTTTTGATGCGAAGTTGGTGTCCTGCATGTAGTCGTGGGTTTTCTTTTTCTTTTTAAGGTTGCCAGTGTCTATATGCAGGATTTAGGCACTAAGAGAAGCTGCAACTTAAAGCTTGTTAGTAGAAGGTAATAGGGGAAGAGTATGAACTCGGGGAAAGGACCAGTTGAAGGTTGATACTCAACTTCCAAGGTGCCTATTAAGCTTTATAGTTTTAAAGTATAGGTATATTGGTTTGAAATTCGTAATACATCTTATTTCATATTCATTCTGAATATCGTAATGTGTATTGTGCAGTGCAGAGAAGAGGAGAGCAGACTATTCCGTGTTACGGTTTCTTTCAGGTGAAAAGGTGTCGAGGTAGTTACGTTAACATGGCTACTTTTAACGAGAGGAGCTATTCCCGTTTAGGTCAATTAGGTCAATTGGGTGGGATTTATATTTGTATTCGTTTGTAGTGTTCATTCTCGATAGTCAACCGTTCATGTCTTTGTTCTGTGACTTATGTCCGCACACATATTTGTTAAGCTCCTCTAGCTTCAGTATTCGGGAAAATCTCAGTAGTTAAGCTATTAACATAATATTAATCGATATGATACCAGCGAAGACGAGACGGAATTAAACAGAAGAGGACTTAGAGGCGCTGATTATCGAGGCTCATATGCAAATTGGCTTCTTTCGTACCTAGCTTCAACACACTACCTAGGTAACCTACAAAAAGTACCGAAATGGTGTTGCATTTTGCGACAAAAATGTAGTCAATTCAACATCCAAATTGGTCTTACGATAACAGGAATAGAATGTGTCCGGGTCTCTCGTATGCCCGAATTTCCTTAAAGATCCATATTTAGAAGTAAATGTTGATGTTGTGGGGGTCTGGAGCAGATTGGCAGTGTTCTATTCAATTTCTGGTACAGTACTGTTCCCAACTGAGCCATGACTTCCCTCGCATGGGAGAGGTGTTCCATCGTCTAAGATTGCAGCCTTTTTTTTACTTATTACTAAATTTTCCGGATCATTCCACATTCTGCAACTGCACTGAAGAGGTACAGTGGTGCTTAGCATTACATTGCATATTCAGAAGTAAAATAAGACGAAGAGCGTAATGAGACATCGGGCCTACTTTTCAGGGCGTAGAAACCTAAAAAGGTTATTTCACCGCAGTACCTGGGCGCCAAGATATGTATGGAAAAAGGATACTGCAAGAAAATATTCAAGAGATTGGGACTTTAATTAGATAAGAATGTTAAGGCAAGGAATGGCTATCCGTGTACACTGGTGTTATCTTTAATTCAAAAGCTATTCTGCCTATTGTCTAACTATAGAGTTTGAGTTTGAGTTTGAGATTCAAACTCGAGAAGTTGTACGGTTCAGAGAGATAATATCTACTATTCCATCTATTTATCACTTTAACGACCTAATGTCAGTGTTTGGTTGGGTAATTATAGAAGTGGGCATCTCCGAGTCAACATCTTATACATCACGTCATACTTTATCTATGCCCGTCCATTGCCTTCTCGTGGTTGGTTATTCTTTATTTTTTGGCTATGAGTCGTCGTAACTCACGTACATAGTTGCCCAATATTTTTCTGGCTCGTTTAAGCTAGACTGTGCGGCTGAGACAAGGAGAGTTGGGCTCTGGATATTCTTCCTTTTTTTACATGCAGTCCACTACCAATCGGATTACTTCTGCAACGAAAGTCTATGCATCTAAGACCGGTCTCAGAATATGGACTGTCTCTCTTTTGTTCTTTGTCATAGCGTATTCAAAAACTGTGCAGCCAGTTCGCCGTATTTTTATCCATAGAGACATAAATATGCGTAACTTAGTTCCAACTACCGTCTAATCTTACACGAAGAAAAGCAAACTTAATTACGCAAAATTCATCTCCACAATTCAAGAAAAAAGAATTTTGGATGACACGGGAGCGCGAAAAGAAAGGAACACAAGGTGTACTTTTGCCACATCAAACACCTCATCGTCGTACTCATTTGACTCAATTGTGGTATAAAATATGTCATCAAACGCAACCGCCGAACCTGTAAGTGCAGCTACTGCTGCAGAGGTAACTAATAAGAATATTCCAGTGCCTTACACTCCAACTGGTAAGCCATCCACCACAACTTTTGTTAAGCACAATGGCGCTAACTTCAAGACTGTTGAATTCGAGCACTCTGGTGAATACAAGGGTACTATTATTTTTGTTCATGGTTTTGCTGAACAATCAGATCTTTACGTAGAGTTCTTTGATAAGCTCGCTCAGCAGGGATTTGACATTTTTTTCTTCGATCAAAGAGGTGCAGGTGAAACATCTCCAGGTAAAGAATACGGTAAGACAGACGAGAAGTTCCAAATGGGAGACTTGGATTTTTTTATCGATTACAATTCTAAGAAATCCGGTAAAGAGAGTGAAAGGTTTTTCCTTATGGGACATTCAATGGGTGGAGCCATAATCCTTAACTATGGAATTATTGGTAAGCATAGAGATAAGATCAGAGGTATAGTTAGTAACGGGCCCATGATTGCATCGCATCCAAACACTGCTCCATCTGCTGTTGTAATGTTCCTTAGTCCAGTTATTAACAAATTGGTTCCAAATTTGAAGGTGGACTCTAAATTGGATATCACTTACATCACTTCAAACAAAAAATGGCAAGATTATATTAGGGCCCATGATGCCAAACTTATTGGTACCATTAGACTTTTCAACGATATGTTTGCTCGTGGAGATTTATTAAAAAAGCCAGCTCACATTAAAAAATGGTCACCTAGTATCCCGCTTTTGTTAATCCATGGTAATGATGATAGCATCAATGACTATAAGTACTCGAAGAAATTCTATGAGTACTTACCTAAGGATATCGACAAGGAATACTACGAAATTGAAGGCGGTAGACACAGCACCTTCATTGAAACTGATGATATCACCGAAAAGGTCTTGGACAAGGTGGTTTCGTTTTTGGATGCACACAAATAACGTGTTTGATGTTCTTTGAATTATTATAAATGTGATATATATTTTAAAATACATGAACGAAAGATGAGGAGATTAACGTAGTATACTTATATTTAGATGGTCATTTAGTATGTCAAGATTAGATAGCAGAGCTCGGAAACGGGAAGATGCAACTTACCTCCGCATTTTGCAGCAAGCGCACTTCTCTGTGCCTTTCTGCAAGGGAGAATTGTCACTAACAGCAATCATTCTGGTACATCATTCAAGTTCACATTCAAGCGAAATTCATTAGATTTGTTCTATTATTCTACAAAGGATGCACACGTAACCACATAATGGTCAAATTCGTATCCTCTTCCAATTCCCGAATACTCGCTTTCAACTTTGCACCCAACATTCCCCTGAGCATTCTAGGTGAGACATGAAAACTAGCATCTATTGCCGAAACCGATGCTATCCCAATTGAAACATTTGATGCATCTTTATCAATTATTAGAGTTTTCTGTTTATATTCATGGTCAATATACTTTAGGTGGGGTTTATGTGAGGGGTATGAGCAAATAGTCAAAAATATCTTGCATGAAAATTAGCTGATCATCAACATTTCTGGTTGTTACTATTTCTCATTTAAAAATACGAGGTAACTAAAACCGGATGGAAGCTCGGTGATGGGCAGTACTCAATAAATTATTTATCAGCCATGTTGGGAAAGGGCTACACATTTTGATATTGCTTTCTATGCTATCAAAATAATAATATTTTGCAAGCCTTTTTCTTTTCTTTTAAAGTTGCTGTTCTTTTTGTTACTCTTTTCATCTAGCTACCGCCTTTTAGGACATTACCTGTACGATGATACATCGGAAAATATACCATTTATTATCAACTCTACGTAATTATTCTCCGTCAAGTGCATTGTACTTATGCAGAGGACCCTTGACCTCTTATTTGATAATAGAATACAGCAGCCGTATCAGCGAAATGTAGGGGGTGCATTCGGCTATTTCTGTAGATAACAATGATTACTTAGTAGAGTGTAGCAATGTTTCTATTTCCAAGAAACAACTTCGGACTGAGAGCTGTAGTGTTTTTTTATCCACAATTCCGTATTAGACTCATAACCAGCGTCATCTAGCAGCATCGTTGTATAATAATACTAATGCAAGTTCCCTCACACAAAAAGAAGTTCATGTACAATTATCTGAAAAGGGAAAAACAACAAAATAAAAAAAAGAAAAAAAAGGTGTAAAAAATAAAATATTAAACTTCCCAAGTCACAATTTTCGGTTGCAGTCTCTTGCGTAGTACAATTATACAAGATAAAAAGTGGAGTCCTGCACTGACGATATGGAAACTTGGAAATATGTTCGGAGCTACTTCCCAGCACACGTAGACATAAAAAATAATAGCTTAAAATAGAAAACGCATTGAAAAGGCGCAGAATTTGTGTGGAAGCAAAGAAAAAAAAAAAAAAAAACTATGTATAAAAACTATAAACCAAAATATAGATAAATAAATGGGGAACTAATTTCTTTAGAGTACTTTATTATATAAGAAAAGAATATTGCTCCTATTTCTGACTGTAAAAAGGTGTTTTAAATTGCATCTGTACACTAGTTGTTTTTTTTTTTATTTTTTTTTCGACTGCTGCAAAGGTTGCTGTTCTGGAAGGACCCTGCTTGAAATTGCAACTGATACTTCTAAAGAAAACTGTACCTATCGCGAATAGACTTCCCCCACTTTTCCGCCATCTAAGACTTATCCTAGATTCGGTAAACTTATTTAAATAAATAAATAGTTTGAGCTATACTCTTTCTTAGCGTTTTTTATCGTTGTCACACCCTAATAACTATATAGATTGGTATTCACTGTAACTGAGAACATAATGTCAGTAATGTCTTCCAATTTCCCCACATCCCCAATGACTACGTCAACATCGCCATCCTTCGTCTCGGCTACTACTCACAAGACCACACAATCCCACGTTCACTCGAAGAAGTTTACCAAAGATATACCTATAACTTCGCATCCACCATATGTGCCAGTGGGAAGACCAGTGAACTATAAGCTTGACTATAAAGATATTTCTTTCAATGTCATTGAATGGCCACATTCAGGAAAGTACCGTGGGAAAATTATCTACTTACATGCATTCGGTGAGCATGCTGGGGTTTATACTGAATTTCATGATAAACTTTCATTATCAGGCTACGAGGTGTTCTATTACGAACAGAGAGGCTCTGCTGATACCTCATGGGGTAACAAGGACTATGGAAAGACTGATGCTATTCGTCAAATTGATGACTTGAATTTTATCGTAAAGTACAATATGGATAGAAGATTCATTGACGAAAAATTTTATTTGATGGGTTCAGCAATGGGGGGTGCCATTTGCATCGATTATGCGATAAAGGGTAAGTATAAGGACAGTATCAAATGTATTATTGCAGCATGTCCTACGACTATACTTCACCCTGAAGCGGCATTACTGCCGGTACTTGCATTTTTAACTCCAATGATTAGTACGTGCGCTCCAAATTACAAAGTGTTGACGAATAGAATTCCTCCTGAGAGACTTACATCTAGTGTTAGATGGCAAGAGTATCTAAGGACATACGAAAGACACACACATATAGGAACTACAAAATTTTTCCATGATTTGTTTCAGCGTGGGAGTATGTTACTTACAAAAAATTACATGAAGAAGTTCCCTAGTAACTTATCGATTATGATTTTACATGGGGAAGATGACGTAGTAAATTTTATTGAAGGAAGTAAAAAGGCTTATAGTTTGATCAACACCAAAGCTGGGAAGGAGTTTGTTACAGTGCCAGGTGCCAGACATGCTTTGTTTATAGAAAGAGAAGAGTTGTTTGAGTTAGTATTCAATAAGGTTGTCTCATTTATGCATCAACACATTTAGCAAGACCGTAAAGGCAAGAGAAAGAAAATGAAGATGAAGATGAAGATGATAACTCAGGTTGGATTTCCCTGGTATAAATTCTCGAAATCTGCAAGCGTAGTTGCTTCAACTAATACCCTCAAATAAACTAATACTCAAGTTAGGAAGATGAAACCAGAAAGATAATGAATAGTTTGTATTTTAGTGCGCCAAAACATTGTATAATATCACCTTAAATCAACTACTGTAGATCATCTTAGAACAAGCTGGAGTTACACTAATACAAATAGTATCTCGAGAAAAAAAATGAATTTAAGATTTCAGCATAATAAGAAAATGTGTAAGAAACTCATTGCCATTCTTGTATCAAGTTTGAATGCCCACTTTAATTTAACTTCATCAATCGAACTAATGGCATCGGTGTAGATTTGAACATTCCAAACCAAACTGTTTCGATATAATATGGGTGTTCGGATGTGTCTCCAAATGCAATTACTCGTTCCTGCACATACTGTAGTACCACGTAAATCGTTTACTGAAAAATCGAAACACCTACGTACGGAGAATGGTTCAGTTCTTCTCCATCATTCTCCATCCAGTATCATGACCAAGGCAACTGAAACCATTCTCACCTTATTTACGCTTTCAGCAATCTATTTTGCTCTCTACAGCGGAGTAATTCCAAGTACAGAAAAGATCCATTCCGAAATCTTACCATACCTCCCATGGTGGTGCTTAGTTACGTTTGGTGCCTACGCGTTAGGAACCTTAGGATGGGGTGTATACACTTTCAAAGATAAAGAGGATAAGTACAAGGAGTTATTGGTCCAAATTGAAGAAGCCAAGGCATTTTATAAGAAGGAAGGTGTTAGTTTAGATTAAATTGTATGATACATTGATTAAGGATAGGATGAGGTCATCTTGTAGTACTCTCTGTAGGAATTAGATTCTATATCTGTCTATTGTTATTATCTACATATCTAAATGAAAACACTGAAGTAAGGATAAGTGCCTATATGAACTTCTGTCCGACTGTGACTTCATGAGAGTTTAACGAAAAGCTAATGGATCTATGTGAGGGGACATGGATCTATGCGAGGGGACCTAGTAGGTGTGATGAAATCTGTAATATAGATCAGATTCAAAAGAATTTGATCACCAGTCATGAGAAATAGGGAGAGTGTGGACTCTCGTGGAAAACTAGGCACTGTTGTACTCGGAACCTGAGTGCTTGTGGGATCCTTGGAACCTAAGCGCTTATGCAGTGCTTTCAACCCAAGGGTGCATTGACCACGAAGGTATAAGTCAATAAGTATACTATAGCTCGTCTTTCGTTGTGTACTATATCGTGGTAGTATGGGATGGGGTAAAATAGTTCACCCCATCTCCAAGAATGCTGATTCTGCTGAAGCTAGCTTTATTTCTTGTTTAGCTCTGCAGGGTTTGCTGTTGTTGCTGTTGCTGTTGTTGCTCCTGCCTCTTCAACTTCAATTTCTTCTCTGTCTCGGCAAAGACTCGAATACTCATTGGGACATCTCCCCAGCCTCCGCTCTTATCCTGGCGACTCTTAGATATCTTCTCAGGGTCGTCCAATAAACTCTTCGGTAAGTTGGAGGACTTCAAGAATTTCACTGGAGCATCGAAATCCTCTGGCCATCTCCCGCCTGTTTTCCTCAAGTTGACGGCCGCCTCCTTCCTCTTTGAGTTCCAATCCTTCAAATCATCGTTGAACAACTCCCACACACAATTAATACAGCCACTCATGCAACAGTTGTCAGGCTCATTGGGCCGAGCTGGAACCTTGACACCAGCAATTACCTTCGGCTCTCCCCGGATAACCCTACTGGATGATCTTGGAGGCTCACCCTTGATCCTCCCTCCGAAAATTCGCTTAATCCTCTCCTCGGCTGTTTGTTTGTCTAGCTTGTAGTTCCCTTCAAAGGTGGTAGATCCATCTTTCCTTGCTTTGGTTTGTGACTTCTTGATTTTCTCCATTAGCTCTTCAGACTCGATGGGCTGTGTGGGGCGAGAAGGCGTAGCCAACACGAGATCATAAAAGGCATATTTGTTATGCAAAACTGATCTTCGAAGCATGGTATCAATATAGTCTAGATGCTAGCAGGGGACTGTAAGGAATTTAACGACAACAAGTTCCAAATTAGTCCAGCAAATTTTTGGTTTAATTTAAAGCTTTGCCGCTGTTATATTGAATAGCGCGAAATGGAGTGTCTTGCTTTGCTATTAGTGGCCACTGATCCACTATTCGTCGTTTGCTCTCCAGAAGAAAGAGAGTCCATCGATTACGTAAAATACTTGTATGGAGGAAGAGTAGTCATGGGTTCTAGCTATGTGCAGTACCATAAATCATGGTTGGGGTAGGCTGGGACATGGCAAAAGGTATGTGGCAGAGGTTTCACTGGTTTAGAGTTAGCTGGTGGAGTTTAAAGGTCGTTCATGTTGAAGTGAATACTCAGTTTCCTTATCTTGTTAACTTGGGAGTCTTTTTGTCTTACTTTGAGAGTCTTATATGATGGGTTGTGGCTAGCCAATCCTCTTGTTCCTGGCGCTCCTAGTGGAACTTCAAATGTTAGAGTGCGTGGAAGAATAATGGCTGCGAATATCTCGGCCAATCGAATCCAAGATACACATAAGCAGCACCGCATATCAGTAGCGATGTTATAATGACCTGGTTGGTCTACTAAGCTGCCCAAAAGTGGTACATGTTCCTATATACTATGTATGCTAAAAACTCCTTATACATCTAGATGCTTCTCTCCAGCCTTTAATGCTTCGTCAATGCTTCTAAAAAACCCGTTCCCCATTCCCACAGCACTTCCAAATGGATTGTCCCTATGTTTAAAATTGTCGTTTACTAATTTGGTGAGTCCTGACTTTGAAAGAGTTGCTCTAATGTCAATTGGAACTCGACAGAAACAAATGCTAATGCCCTCTGATATGTATCTCTTCACTATTTCATACAAGACCTGCGTAGCCAGTGAATCTATTGCGGACATCCCCTTACAATCAATAATGATAAATTGAACGTTTGCAATATCTCTTGTTTGTGGCTGTGATGGATGAATCAAGAGAGACCCATACTTTTCAATTCTACTAAGTCTGTTTTGTAAATCTCCAACATTTGCAAAGTTTAAGGGCTCTGGAACTTTAATGATTAAAACACCTTCTATATCTTCGATTTCGGATATTAAACTTGATAACTTATCGCTTGAAGGTTTAAATGAGCTGAAACTCTCTTCAATTAATTCATCTGCATTTCTGAAAATTGTAGAATTGGGGATTCTACCAAGAATTTGTATTCTCGACTTACTGCTTTTCTTGATAATTCTAATGACTGCAATTCCAACTCCTAGAGTGACACCCGCTTCAGCACTCCAAAAGAATGTTGCAAGGAAAACAATCATGAAAATAAATATTTCATCGTAACCACCAATACTCCAAAAGAATTTCAAATCTGTAGGGACTTCTTCAAGGACTGTAATCCCAATAATAGTCGTCAGCAAAGCCAAAACACACTCAGGCAAGTAGAACAAGAAAGGCAACAAATAAAGAACTGCCAATATGGTCATAGCCCCCATCAACACTGCAGCCATTGGGGTAGTAGCTCCAGCCATTACATTAATTTTGGACCTACCCAACGCTCCAAATGCCGGGATTCCTCCTAGTATACTGACAACTATATTTGTTGCTCCTAATGCTACTAACTCTCTATTTGCTGAGACATTGTAGTTAAATCTGGATCCAAGGTTTTTCTTAGCTATCACAGAGTCAAAATACCCCAATATTGTGCAAAGGAACACTGTTGAAAAGGTTTTCTTGAAAAGACTAAGCTTTCTCCACTCCAATGGATTTATGGGTAATTTAGGAGAAGGAATTTCATTTAATCCACCCTTCCCTCCTGATTTCAAATCTCCTACAATTGAAACACCTCCTTTAGAGTGCCATTCGAATTTCCAACTTAAAATCGTTGCAACGGATACCATTAGCAATAATTCGGGGATATAAATGGCTCTCTTATACCCTCTGGCAACTAGTTTGAGTTTAACTATTCTAATTATCATCACCAATCCTAATGTGATTACCGATATTTTTAATGTCAATCCATGAGCTTGGTCATAATTCTTTATTGCGTAAAGCAACTTTTCAGCGGTGCTTAAACCTTTTGGAGTGTTTTCCATGCCCAGCTCAGGACCTAATTCACTTATAATCATAATTAACCCCATTGCTCCCAAAAAACCCTTCAATAAAGCTCTTGATAAAACATTATCTAAGAAACCAAACCGGAATATACCCGCTGCAAGTAATATTGCAGCCACCGAAGCAGTCATGGCAGACGCAATTTCCACCGAAGAGAATATCTTAGAATCCTTACCTAGGTTTGTCATCAACTGGCCATATAATAATGCCAGAGATGGTGCCGGTCCCACAATCAAAACAGGAACGCTGCCAAGTAAGGAATATATAAACGCACCAGTTATCATGCTATACAATCCTGTTATCGGTGGAAGGTGTGCCAAAGAAGTCGCAAAGGACATAACCAATGGTATTTGAAAGCTCGCAATCGAAACTCCAGCTAGGAAGTCCCCAGTGAAAGATTCCTTGAAAGAATAATTTGGTAGCCAGCGAAGTACTGGCAAATAGTATGAAATGTATGAGAAACGATTAAAAACGGGCTCTGGGAAGATTATGTCATCGGTAAGTCTGTCCACCATGGGATCATTAAGGCTCTTCAATGATTTGATAGAAGAGGAAGATGGAACCGTGAAAAGCGGTGGCCTTCTTAACCCTTGACCAGATCCTGAACCAGGTCCTGACCCTGATATATTTCCATTTCCAGTTCCATATCCTAAGCTTGATCCCGGTCTTGAAGGTTGATTTCCGGGCTGAAGAAGTTTTGAAGTTTCCAGAAATTGGACTGTGAGATCGGGCTGATCTGGCATAACTGTATATTGTTATGATGTGTTGCGTTTTATTATTCGCTTAATTCACTTTTTGTTTTTCTTGATGTGTCCACTTTCTGTTTTCGTTCGCTTGCTGAAAACCTTATTCTATAATCGCTGGTACCAGTTGGTGATGCGACCAAAGATCGGGAATAAAATTAGAAACATTTCTCTGTTTTCTTCGCTAAGTTATTCTAAATTAGGATCAAATAAGGCGGAACTTGCTGATGCATTTCCGCTCTCCACAAAAAAATTACTGGAACCTGAAAAAAAATTGATGCTATCACGGGCTTAGCGAATGTGAAATATTTAGCTTTAGAATCCGGAGTACTTCTCGTTTCTTGTACTTTAGATAATTTGATGCTATATACTATTCGGCAATAATCTAATTTCATGCTCATTTGGTTAATCCCGGCGTTACTCCGACCCTCCCCGCTTGTTTACGGAAAAGGAGCAGTACAGAGTGTTAGATAATCACCGCCTTTATGTCAATTTCTTTAACTGAGAAGTCATGTAATGCAGCCTTCCGCAAGCTTGGGTTAAAGTTTTATTAGCACAATGCAGCACAGGATAAATTGGAATTGGTCATTTCCACCATTCACAACAGGAAAGGTACATCAAGTCAAGAATATTCTAGTCAAAAAAAAAAAAAAGAAAAAAAAAAGTAAAAGACTTGTATAAACGTGTTGCTCCACTATGCCCTACGAACTCTCTATTATCAGATAAGTCATCTATAAGTCGAGCTGGTTATGAAAGTTGTAAGGCAAGTTTTAATTTAGACTTTCACCGGTACGGCGTCACATATATTGTGTAAGTAAGTATGCTTTTATTTTGATCTATTCCCTTTGTTCTCCTTAGCCTTTTCATTGATCTGCAACAAGTACAAAAAGATTGAAAAGCTGCCCTGCTAGTTTTTGTTAAAAATTCTGCTAGCCGTATCTTTACACTGGAAATTTAGAATCATTTTCTTGTTTCTCTCCATCGAGACAAACGAACTGCTTACCTTATGATCAGCTTTGTTTCTTAAGATTCATAGGCACTCTTAAGCTTCGCCTTCTCTTTGATATTAACTTATACGTCTCGTAATTATACAGCATATGTCAAGAGGTTGTGCGGCTCATGAAAAATAACTCTTACAGTTGTGTACCCTACATATGGCCATACCCAATGGCCAATACAAGCTTACGCTGAAGCTGAAGCCTGAAGAGGGGCGGAGGGGGAACCACGTGGGTTCAGCCCTTTGTATACGATGTGTGAATCAATCTCAGTTCCTCTTTAGTATAATGGTCGTACTATACAATAGCTTAATTTTTAACGTTCCAAAAGAGTTTATGACGGGATCTCACTTTCATTCACATAATTTATTTCTCTCCCTCTTCATAAACCATCCTACTCTTTCTCATCCCAATAAGCAATATATCTTGCTTAGCTTCAAGAAGTTCATTAGTCGCATCCTAGCAGCTTTTGGCCCACGTTTTTCCAAGATAAACTTCTAATACTATTTCTGCCAAGATAAGAATCAAAAAACCAAGTTTTTTTTTTCTTATTTCTAACAAGAATTCAATTAATCGCAACTTGACACTTCTTGGCTTTTCTGCTAATTAAAGTAGAATTTTCAGCTTCAGTATTGAGAATGAGCTGTAAAGGTTGAACCATACTCTATTATAAAAAGAAAGGTAAATTCTCTTTGTTGTTGTGTGACATGTAATAAGTTCTCTTTTCATCTACTTATTAAACAAGAGCTTAGCTTATAAATATTATATTGCTGCAATTTGAATTTCTTTTTTAGGTTAGTTTGTCGTATTAAATTTTTTGCACCCAATTTTATAACGCGAAGTAAATAGTACACTACGATGGTTCTTGCACAATTTGACTACATCTTCGCTATTGCGATGTTATTCGCATTCCTTGATGCGTGGAATATTGGTGCCAATGATGTGGCCAATTCATTTGCATCCTCGGTTTCCTCGAGGTCTCTTAAATATTGGCAGGCCATGGTTCTTGCAGGGATCTGTGAGTTCTTGGGAGCCGTTCTTGTGGGAAGTAGAGTTTCAGATACTATAAGATCTAAAATTGTTGATGTTCAAGTCTTTCTGGACGAGCCAGCAGTACTTATGTTAACTATGACATGTGCTCTTGTTGGATCTTCCACTTGGTTGACTATTGCTACCAGTATCGGTATGCCTGTTTCTACTACACATTCTATTGTCGGTGCGGTCATTGGTTCGTCCATTGCAGCAAGAGGTGCAAAGAATATCCGCTGGGGTTGGGATGGTGTTTCTCAGATCATCGCTTCCTGGTTTATTGCCCCTCTTATTGCTGGTGCCTTCTCTTCCATTATTTTCCTTATCTCAAAGTACGGTGTTTTGGAAGTTAAGGATATTAACAAATCCATTCGTAATGCATTACTTTTAGTTCCTGTTATGGTTTTCGCTACCTTTTCCATCTTAACTATGTTGATTGTATGGAAGGGTTCCCCATCGTTGCACCTCGACGATTTATCTACTGGTGCCACCGTAGGTGCTATCTTCGGTGTTGGTGGTGTCGCACTCATACTTTACATGCTATTCTTCTACCCTGTTTTCGCTAGAAAAATCCAACATAATGATTGGACTTTGAAATGGTACTCAGTCCTTTGGGGACCAATCTATTGGTTCAAGCCTGTCTCAGACATCCCACCAATGCCTGCCGGACATCAATTGGTTATCGACTATTATGAAGGTAGAAGATATGGAGTCACAGACTCAGGGGCTGCACCTGTTGAAACTTCTTCAGTCGATTCTCAGACCAAGGAACACCCTATTGATGTTGAAAATGTCGCAGTCGAAGTTCAAAGTAACTCTGTTCTTGCTACTGAAGAAAAATCAGAACAATCTACTAGGCAACTTTGGTGGTCCTTGTTTAAGCAAGGTCCAAAGCAATGGCCATATTTATTTTGGTTAGTTATTTCTCATGGATTCACAAAAGATATCATTAACAGTCAAGTCATGGATAAAGATATGCTCACTGGTGACCTTCAAGGAATGCATTCCAAATCCAAGTACTACGATAACAGAGTTGAGTTTTTATATTCTTTATTGCAAGCTATCACCGCCTCTACTATGTCTTTCGCACATGGTGCCAATGATATCGCAAATGCTACTGGTCCATTAGCCACTGTCTACCTTGTTTGGCGCTCAAACACTATTTCATCAAAAGCAGATGTTCCTGTATGGGTTCTCTGTTACGCCGCTGGTGCTTTGGTCATTGGATGCTGGACTTATGGTTACAATATTATGAGAAACCTTGGTAATAAGTTAATCTTGCAATCGCCATCAAGAGGTTTTTCCATTGAAATTGGTGCTGCTGTAACTACTGTCATGGCTACTCAATTGGCTATCCCTATTTCCACAACACAGTCTGCAGTCGGTGCAACCGTTTTTGTTGGTTTAATGAATATGGATTTGAAGGGTGTCAACTGGAGAATGGTCATCTGGTGTTACTTAGGTTGGGTTGTCACATTACCAGTTGCTGGTATTATTGCTGGTCTCTTGAATGCAATTATCTTACATGCTCCAAGAGACGGTGGAGACTATACCATGCGAATCTGATTTCAAAATGAGACTTCATTGTTAGCCGAATAAGTCAGTATACTTACACATACATCGTATTCTTTAATTCTTTTTGCTTTTGCCTCCTCGGTGAAAGTTTATCCAGTTTATTTATGAGAAAATTTTATAAAAAAGTTTTATTTACACTAAAACTAATGTAGTATGTTGGAGAGTAGACGATTAAGTTGTTGACTTAGCCACCTACCCTTCTGTTTCTTGTACTGCTGCATTTGTCTAATTGGGTGCAAATAGGGTCTGTTGGTCCTGTATATAGTACTATTTCTCTGTGGTCATTGTGCAGGATGTATCGCTCTGGCAAAGGGACCTTAAAGGAAACAGCTCAGTACTAACAACCACACTCCTTTATCTCTTGCTAGACCCATAATATCGTCCTCAATTATGTCGTACGACAAGAAATTCGATGCTTCACTTGACCTCCTCAGGCGCTTGAATCCACAAAAGGTCTCCGCGCACTTGAATGACATCTGTACCATAGTCAATGACGAGGAGCTCACGCAAGACCTCTTGTCGTCGGTTGATGTCCCATTAGAATCACGTACTTGTCCTGATACTGGTAAGGAATTTCTCTGCTGCGATTATAATCGTGATGGAGACCTGTATAGATCACCATGGCTGAATAAATACGTGCCAGCACCATCAGTCAACGAAGACGACCCACCCCCATTCCCATCTGATTCCCTTAGACAGCTTGAGACTAAGGCCAACGAAAGTTTCGATATATACCGTGATCTCTACTATGAGGGAAGTGGGATCCTGTCTGTTTACCTCTGGGATACAGAGGATGAGGAAACCTTGGACTCCTTTGCTGGTGTGGTGCTCCTCAAAAAACAAACTGACGATAAGTCAGGAAGCTGGGACAGTATCCACGTCTTTGAGGTTATAGCTGAAGGAAGCGGATCAGCACTCTATAAAGTGACCTCGTCGGTCATTTTAGATTTGTCTAAAACCAATTTGAACCTCTCAGGTCTGCTCACAAGACAGCTTGAACAATCGCTGGCGTTTGGCTCTGTAAACTTGGAAACCTCTCATTTGGTCAACTTGGGTACGCTCATCGAGAAGAGTGAATACAACTTAAGAAATTTGCTTCAGGATGTTTACTTTGATAAATTGAAGGATATTGTGATGAAGGACTTAAGGTCAGATGTGTCCAGTCAAAGAGAAGACGACGAAAGACAAAGCGAGGTCATCAAGAGTTTAAAAGAGTTATAAACACAGTTTGCACAGATGCATGATGTATTAAAAGGATTCTTCACCTTATACTCCTGCCCCTTATCCCGGAATCTATATATATATATAAATAAATAGTCACAGAGTTTTCTTATGATTTCTTAGTTATCAGTAGAAGAATCAACTAGTTTTGAGCTTGCGTTCAACCAACAGCCCTTTATCTCGGAATTCTCTTATCTTGTCAACTTCTGCCTCCTTTATAATATGAGTATCAACATTCTGAGTCTCATTCAAGCTTATGGTGGAGCCTGTGTCTATATTATACATGACCTCAGTGCCTTCGTCAGCCAACGAAGACATCACATTGGTCCTTACATCGCTCACAAACGACCAGATGGACAGTGAAACTGTCTGGATTTTCTCCTCATACGATGATCCGACTTGGGACACAGCTGGGTGCTTGTCCTTAAGTGGCGAAGATGCTGCAGTCATACCACTTGAAGTCGAATCTTCAGACGTTCGAACACTCTCATTGCTATCGCTGTACTTGTGGTCGCGTCTCGGGAGGTTGGTATTGTCTTCCTGGTGTGGGTGCTGGTTCTGCTTCGGAATCTGGTGTTCTTGTGGAATCAACGACTTTTCGAACTCATTCTGAAGCATAGTGTCGAACTGCTGAATTAGATTTAATGGCTTTGAAAGGTTACTCCATATACTACTTGATCTATCGGGCTTGGTTTGTGGCGGTTGCTTAGTCACAACATTGTTCTTCTTCGATGGTGTTTGAATAGAATTGGTTCTACTAATTGGCGCTTCCGTTAGATCATTTTCTTCCGATATTGTTGAACCCGTGAGAGACAATGTCCTGCTTCGTCTCTTTGTCGACCTGACAGCAGCATCTCGTGGTTCTGACAGTCCGTTGTTGTTAGTGGTATTGTTATTTGTGGTATTGATAATATTGTTACTGGTATTGGAGCTACTACCCATTTCCTTGTATAATGTTCTCTGTATCACTTCTCTAAGTCTATGTAATTCACCCTCATGCTTCTTCAACTTAGTCTGTAGCGTTCCAATGTGGTCTTTTATTTCCACCACACTCATTTCCTTTAGGGCCAAGAGTCGTAATTGCTCATCGATGTCCATATTCATCAATGAGTCCGTTTCTGGTAGCGGTAAATCATACTTGAGCTCCTCCCATGGAGACTCGGAAAGCTGGGGAAGGGTATTGGCCAGACTATTCCTTCGATGATGCAGGTAACCGTTGGCTGTGGTACCACTACCATTGCTATTATGATTATTATGACTATTATGACTATTGTTGTGATTATGACTGCTATTATTGGGGCCCATGAAGCTGCTGTTGCTTAACTGGGGCGATGCGGGCGATACAGCTATGTTTAAGCTGATACCTCGACTTCGTTGCTTCATGGGTGTGATGGTCGATGAAGTTGAAGAAGGCGCCATACTGGATGAAAAATGTGAAGTGGGGTTGGTGTAAACCTTTACGGGAGACGGTGTGGACACTTCTTCGTTCATATGCTCTCTGATTATTGATCTGCTGCCAAACTACTATCAAATACGTGACTTGACTTCTCGAGTCGCTTCTTTTTTTATCAGTGATTCTCTTTCGTTATGTAAGGGGGATAACCTAGTCTGATGGGGTTATATGTAGGACATATGCAAATTGAACCTGTGATATAATAAACCTTAATTAGTACCAAACGCGTAACTTGAAATTGCTAACAAAAGGCGTTCACTTGACACCAAGTAGAAAAAAGTCCATGCCGGTGTTCAAAATGCACCCAGGGAAAAGGTGAGCATCTTGAGGCGTAGGCAAGTTTGTATTCTGCAGTCGCCCAGGCAGAAAAAATATTTCGCAGCAGGACTCGCAGCTATGCAAGCCAGTTAATTGTGTGTAGTGTAGGTAGAGAGTAGGAGAATAGGTAGAGGGCACGGTAGTATGTCTGAGATCAGACATCAATGTATGAATAGATGGATTAAAACAAAAGGGTTCAAGTTTTGCTGGGCTGTTTACGAAATTTCGGAGTATCAAAGAAGAAAATGTCTACACCTCTACTCAGCTTACTCAAGGTACTCAGTATACTCAGTGCACTCAGTTACTATGATGGCAGATTCAGAGGTGGTTGGGCAAGCGGGGCTTTGTTTATCCGCCGAATCACTTCGTGCGCCCTAATTCCTCAGAGTACATGAATATCTTATTATAAACGGTTTCTTTTGTACGAGAATGGAGCTATTTTCATTGGGATAAGAGCTGAATAGTAGTATACCGAAGAAATAGACCAGTAAATTCAAAAAACTTAGTCAAATAGGCAATAACATGTACTAAGAAGTAAACAGCTCAAGAGTATCTCTCTCCATTTCACTCTGTATTTTTCCTCTGCTGTTCTCTGTACTAGGCGTTCGCGATGTTCCCGTACCCTCGCTGGAGCAGCAACCCCGCGATTGCGAAATGATTTAGCCGGAGTTTGATTGAAATATATTTGGGGACCCATCGGACCCGGAATTCTATAATTTGAACTGATTTCTTCCTTCTCTTCCTTGCTTTCTAATTCTCTTTCTTTTCCCATAGCTTATACTTTGAAAGTTACTCGATATGGACGCTACTCAACTCAAATCCACTGGATTAAAATTCGCAGGCATTGCTGGTGCCTTGCATGTCCTCAAGGCGAAAAGACCCTTCCTCTGGGCTGCCTTCTTAGCACTCCACCCAGCCATTAAGGCCTCGTTATCTGCGCTGGTATTGAGTGGAGAATGCTCTGATACAGCCTCCAATGGAATCAGTTCAATTTTGTTGTATGTTGCTTCGGTCGACAGCGTTGTGCCAAAGGACTACGTCCTGGTGTACATTTGGATGAGTTACGTGATAATGTGGGGTAGTAAGAGAGCTAAGAAGTTAAAGGAAGAACAAGCCGAAAAAATCAAGGGTAAGGCTGATAGTATCCTTGCGTGTGCCTTAAAGAAGTATGAGTCTTTGAACCTCTCATCTCAAACTTTCAATAAGCTTGCCTTTTCGGCCATCTTTGCTCAGTTGATATCCCATTATCTCTCCCATGGAAGTAATCACAACAATAAGCATCTTGCCGATTTTGTGAGAACTAAAGTTTTCAACCCAGTCTGGTTACATTATTCCGTAACCTCACATAAACATTCTTTACAATGGAAAGCAATTCTTAAGTCATATGTCAAGGCTAATCTCTTGTTATTGGCTGTTTCTGCTGCTTTTACATACAAGGGGTTCAAAGAGAAATTAGACCAAAAGAAAAATGGAATTTACTTGAATTTGACTGAAAGACCATCCACGTACGAATTGGTCACGAAATGGCTTAAGGGAGCTGCTATTAACGCAAGGTCAATTATCAACTTGATCTACTTGCCAAACATTTTATCAATGATATTGTTTTACTATACTCTGCCTATTGGCGCCATAGTAGGATCGAGGGAGCCTACACTTAAAAATTATACCAAGTTGATTGGGTTCATACTGAGTTACATCGCTGTAACTTTCAATTACCCAGTAAACCCAAAGGTATTTGGGGCCATTAACTTGTACTTATTCAGATTAATTGTCTTGAGTAAATGGAGAATTGCCAAAGAAACGAGACTTCAACTCCCATATTGGCATAAGCTTGAGGCAATTGTTATGAGTTACGGTGTTTTTACATTAATGAACTTGAAGAATAAGGGTGTCCAAGAGACTTTGGTTAATGCTATTGGTAAAATTATGTAGATTAGTGTCTAGTTTAATTATCACTATAATAATTTATACAGCAGGAGAGTATGTTATTAGTATCGTAGTTCATATATGGTACCATTTCTCGATACTCGGCTTAGCTTCGCGGTGGTATCTGAATATACAGACCTTTAGCACTCAGCATGGAGCTGATAAGTAGTTCTTTAGTATCTCTCCTTAAAGATAGAAAAAATTTAGCACACATGAAAAAAAAAAAAAAAAAAAAACATAAAAGCAAACTAAATCGAGACATTATATGTTTATCGTTATATTTTATTTTTAGTAATACATAATATTATATATACTTTTTAAATCCCTTAGTAGCCACCTGCACCTGGAACGTTCTCATTGCCCTTTAACTTTGTCAATAAGCCCTTAAATCTAGTCTTGTCTTTCTCACCACCGACTTCTCCAACTTCGCCAACCAATTCGTTTACTCTATCCCATAAGGTACCTCTCTTCAAGAAACCATCACGTTTTTCCAAAAAGTCCTCTTGTTCTTTCAATACATCCTTCGAGTGCTTTTCCTTCTTGGAATTGTAATTGTCATAAAAGTCGTCAATGGTTTCTCTAGCCTTATTTACGATTTCTTCCTTCTTCTTAGAGTTTGCTGTTTCCCTCTCGCTGATTTCCAAATCGCGACGTTCCTTCCATTCCTCAAGATGCTTGGAGACACCGGAAGTGCCAGTTGAGTTAGAAGCAGAATTCCCAAATCCTTCAAATTCCTCTTCCTTTTCATTTCCATTAGAAACTGGTTCCGGATCATCTCCAACTTCTGGATATTGCTCTTTAAAATCATTAATTTCATCGTCCTCACTTTCAGCTATGCCTTCTTTATCGTTCGCAGTTTGAAATTCGTTCCCTAACAATTCCTGTTCACGAGCGAGAAAGTCACTATCGGTCTCGGCTGCGGCAGCATCGTTAAATTCTTGATCTAAAGCAGGGAATTTATCGGCCATTTTGTTTATAAGTTAAGTTTGTGGGAATTGTCACCTACTCTAAGTTCATTATCTTTCAGGTTGACCTGTTATTAACGAAGTTTGTTGGTGGTCGTGGTTTGTGGTCGTGTGAGGGAGAAAAGGTGATTGCCAAAGTGCGCACTCCAAAGTGCCTGAGCACCATTTTGCCTTACTGCGTATCGCTAAGAAAACCTTTTAGATAGCTGCAAATAAGAGAGTCTTCGAAGTGTGGTGCTATTTGTAGTACACTGTTCTTCTAGTTTAAATTTCTAGTACTTAGTTTGCTGCAGTGAAAAATTGAACAGTTAAAGAAAATATCAAGAAAAGAGCAGAAGAAGTTATCGAGTTATTATGTTGGTTTGTTGTCTATTTATTCTCTATTTCTCTCTCTCTCTAGATCGTTATATTATATACTCTTACAGACGAATCGTTACTTCCAACACTCAATACTCTTTTTCCACTGTCTATCTCATCTCCCCATGCCAATTTAGAAATTCTTCCTGATGGAGTTATAGTATTGTCGAATTTAATAGATTCAATCAATGTTCCAGCTTCTATATCTACTGAAACAATTTGTATTCCATTTTCCATTCCAATTGCAACATAGTACTTCTTTCCATCCCCTTCGGGGGTGCTTGCAACGGAGCTTACAGGCAGCTCAAATTTTTGAGTTGCAAGCAATTCAAATTGTTCTCCGCCATCGGCAACTTTCCACAACTTGATCAGCTTATCTCTAGAACCTGTGACGAAATGTCTGTTTCCTAACCAGCAGCAATCCCAGATAATTCTGCTGTGACCTTGCTTAATTTCAATAAGCTTAAAGCCTGCATCAACATCCCACAAACTCAATTGTCTATCTCTTGAAACAGCTACGAGATATTTCCCGTTTGGTGAAAATTCCATGCTGGTAATAGTCAAGTTGTGGCCCTCAAGAACGTGGCACATCTGGTAATCTTTAGTATCGAAAACTCTAATAACTGCATGTCTTGCACTGTTCGATCTACAAGCAGATGCAATATATCCAGATGTTGTAGTGCAACAGGTAAGTTCATACCCATGACCATAAAGCTTTTCAATTTCTGGAAATAAAGTAGTTCTCTGAAGCTGATCTTCCATGGGAACCTCGATTTTATCATCGTCGAGGGCAGCGGCATCTGCTTTGCTTTCGTCTTCCTTGTCGTTTTCGTCGTCGTCCTTCTCTTCATTCATTTCGCCTACTATACCTTCTTTTACGGTGGCTTCATTATCTGCCTTGTTCGAAAGCCCTAATACCGGTAAGCTCGCTATCACAGGAAGCTCATGTACCTTCACCACGTCGACATTGTTGGCTCCTAATAACTCTGCTGTATTGTTGGTCATCTCGAAAACTCTTAATATCTTTTCATCTCCTCCAGAAACAAACTTGGTATCGTCTATATTATCGATACATATCATGTCATAACCATGTATTTGTGGTCTAGCGAATTCTCTCCAACTATCCATCTCCTTGGAGAAAGCAAAAAGTCTTGTTGTTTGATCTAATGAGGTTGTGTAGAAGAACTTCTTATTTGGTGACCATATCAAATCTGTAACTTCCTTGGTAGGACCAGTTATCCCCAATTTAGTTTGCCAAGAGGTTTCATCCTGTTTTCTTTCATAAACTCTGTAAGAACCAGTTTTACCATTAGCCAAAATGTATTCCAGGTCCCCCTGCTGTATCCACTGACATGACCAAAATCCCCCCGAGGAACCAGTTGCAGTGGAGGCACCCTTGATAGACATTTCACCTAATCTGGACACACAAACCCAAATTCCGGATAATGTATCCATTTCCCAGATCATTAATCCTGTGTCAGCACTACAAGAAAGAAGATGTTTTTGGTCTGAATTCCAAACCAAGCCAGTGACCCAGTCGTCGTGTCCCATAATAAGGGCTTCGAAGAACACTTCAATGGTTGTCGAGGAACTTGGGGACAACTTGACAACTTCCTTCTTGTTTGCCAATAGCACCAAATTGTTTGCGTCCTCTTCGGACTTGGGAACCTCCTTTCTGATTCTCCATAATCTGATGTATCTGTCTTGAGATCCAGATGCTAAGAGATAACCACTCTCATCTTTAGTCCAAGCTAAACATTTCATCCAATCTTCGTGCCCTCTTAAAGTAACCAATGCGCCCGTCAATTCATGTTCGGTTGAGTATATATAGACGTCTTTGGTGGTACCACCTACAGCGAGCAAGTATTCACCATAGACGTTTTCCAAAGCCAAACATGTTGGGTAGAACCCTGTTTTAACTACAAAACTTGTCTTGAGGGTCCACTTATCTTCCTGCAATGTCCATATAGCAACTTTACCATCTACACCCCCGGTTGCAATAATTCCTGGAGCAGTTCCGACAGCAGTAACTGAACCTTCATGCAACACTAGCTGTTGAAACTCGGTGAATGTCCTTTTGTCATCATTTACACTCCATACCACTACGTGCCCATCTTCTGAGCAACTTACCAAAAATCTGGAACCTGGAACGAATTTTACTCCGGTAACTTCTTTGCTATGAGCTTTCAATGTAGAATACACACCCTGCGAAGAAAAGGGTTTCCAGAGTGCAACCGTGCTAGAGGCCCCAAATGCAGTCACTTCGAGTTCTGCATTATAGTCCAGCGAGTTGGCCTGCTTATTGGCTCCGATAAATACTGCTTCAAGTGATGCGCCCATGTTTCTATAACACTATGACTAGCAGGAGTATAAGTCTCTTCAGCGTTGTCTGTACACTTTTTTTTCTGCATCATCGCAGGCTGAATCTTTTCGAGATGCACTCTCACAAAATTGAGAGTGAAAAATGCAGCACTTTGGCTAGTGAGAGAAGAACCAAGGAATGGCAAGAGAAACAAAATAATAGTCTTTGGCTTAGTGAAAATATTTGGAAGATCGTTATTTCGATTGAATAGGCGCCCATGGGCATAACTGTGTTGTTTTCAGGACGAAAAGCTGATTTTCTGCCATTCAGTACTGGACTTCATGGCTTACCATTCTTATTCCTTCGACCATTTGGGCTCGGAATTTTCGTTTTCGGTGGGCCTCAGTTCTCAATTTGGAATTTTCTCCACGCTTGACATTTCGCAGGCTAGAGTGAAATGGAAAGTGCCCTGGTTAGGACATATTGTCGGATATCTACATCATCTTGCACTGACTTAACTTGCACAATATCAATATGGTTTCAGCGTAAGTACAGGAGCGCGAACTGGAAGGTTCAAATAAGATAGCCTTTATACTAACTCGATTTAGAATCCTCTTGGTTGATGCATCTCCGGATACTATACTTCAGTTCCACGATCAACTTTCTAATGAACTCCCAACGCTCCGAGGCAAGTGGAGCTTTTCGCTAAAGGTATTCCGGTCCAACCCTTATTCATACACAAACAATAACCAATCTGAATCGAAATTTCTTCACACGTTGACCTTATCGTACCTTCCAGAGACCACAGTGACTCTCGTAGATAAGAATTCCTCGGGCATATTCACTAACGCACTAGAGGAGAATCTGTATCGAGCCACTGCATTGAAATTCCCTGAATCTCACCTACACAAGGGAGCGACTTCGGGGTTTAATGACCCTTTTGACAGCATTGTCAATTCAAAATTGCAATCGTTGTGGTTGCAGAAGCAAAATATCAAAGGCGATGGTGGACACATCTATGAACTTGAAGGTGGCTCGCTCATTATCAGGACGTCAAACATATTCCTTCATGGTATTTTTAAGGGTCTTTTAATCCAAATGGAATCTACCAGCATCACCAATCCTGATGATATCCACAGAGTCTTACAAAAATACGCAATACCAGCTGGCAACTTGTGCAACAAGGTGCTAGACAAGACCAATTTGGACCAATATGGAGATCTCTGTTTGCAATATGCCGAAATACTAAACTTTTGATCTTCTAATGTACATTATAAAGGGTAAGAAGAGACTAACTATATATACATAAACATATACTAGAATTATTGAAACGTAGCCATTTGTCATTCATAACTTGTGAAGCCATTTTCTATCAGCGCCATTTTTTTTAATAGAGGTATCTCTAGTGGGCCATTCTGGTCAGTGTTTCGCCCTTTTTCGCTTAACTTCCTTCAACAAACTCAGTGGGGCATTTCTAATTAAAATAAGTGTGCACCATCAAATGTGCTACGTTCAACCTAAAGCAGATGCTCAAGAACCAAAGCACTGCCAATACTGGAAGAACACCGGCCAATATAATCATCTGCAACTTCTTAGCACCCTGGCCACCCGATACAAACGGGAGCGAATTGAATCCATAGAAGGTTATTACGAAGTAATAGCCAATTGCTCCAAAATACAAGGTATTGCCCAATACCAAAGCGATGATCAGCTTGATGTTGAGCAAGGGCAAAAGGAAGAACTGGAGCAAATATAACAAGCACCAGATGACAACAAAGGAGTTACAATGTACATCGAAACAGAACCCCCAGTCTATGTAATTGACTCTGTACCTCAGAGACAGGGACCCAAACAAGTCGAATGAGCCATTGAACAATCTGTTGGTTAACATCCAAGAGCAGGTGGCTATTATGGCTCCTGTTATGTAGAAATCGACCACCACCACGTACACGATAAGCTTCAATATATCTACTACGCTCGGAGAGTACGCAAGTCCCCACGCTACTGCTGAAATAGAAAGAAATCCAGTGAGTAGGATCAAGAAGGACGGATCGTCTCGCGAGTACGAAGCCCTACCTTGCAACTTGTAGTAGTGAGATCTATACATCTTCTTTGGGTTCACTGCCAAGTTGAAGATATCCCACACAGCACTCTCGAAATCAAGCGAATTGGGGCGGAAGATCCTCCTAATATACCGCTGAAACTTCCTAATTGTGGACTTGTTTACGGTGGAGTTACTACTGTGCACTGCAGTGAATGCCGAGCTAGTGTTCCCCAAACCTGCAGTACCAGAAGGACCACCAGCAACAGTAGATGACGAGCCAATGCCCATTCCTATTCCCAGAATCAGGGGAGGAGCCTTGGGGAAAAGATCTGCTGCTGAGTACGGTAATGACGACCTGTTCATAACGGATATGGACGTATGAATTCGAATGGGAAGTAGTCCACAGCTTGTTTCTTTCGAAAGGGCCGATTTTTGGTTAACCTTTGCGCTGTCACTGGCACGTCGTATATTATAAGTTCTGTATGCAGGTTGCGAGGGTGGTGGGGACTGACAAAGGTGTAGCAGGCTAGGCTACTAGGGGTGGCGATTCATGGAGGTTAATTCGTGAATGGTGGGTGTTGAGCTTCTTTCGGTCAGACGTGGTGCGCATACTGTTGATTATAATTGTATTTAGGCGGTTGTACCATAGTTTGGTGGTAGTTTCTGGTAGGTTGTATTGGTGCATCCTTTCTCTGCAGCATGGGTGCAAAATAATTTTTCTGGTAGAGCTAGCAATTCTTAGGGTATAAATTTTTAGCAGGTGCAAGCCAAAACCAGAACCAACTTAGTATATGGGCTAGGACGACTAGTTAGGCAAACCGCAAGTGAAACGTGAATTTGTATAGGTCCAGGCATCTTTAACGTGACCTAGTGCCCTTATTTCACAAGTTCAAGATGAAAATACCCTAATTAGTGTGAGTATTCTGTCCCTCATTGAACGACTATTGCCTTTTAGGTGAAATTGAAGTGCAGCATCCCATCCCCCAATTAGGCGCTACTTGGTGGGGAGGTGGTGCAAAACGAAGAAAAAAAAAAAAAAAAAAAAAGAGTGCTGCACTTCGAAGAACCAGAGCCTTCGTGTTGTTTAGACAGGGCCCTCCAGACTGAAGCAGAGTCTCTCGTTCGACTGAAACAGAGTCGCTCTGAAACTTTTCCAATGGAACAGACTCCTTCAGAATCAAGTTGCCTATTTTGAACAGCTTTGTTCTCAAACTGGTTTGTTCCAAGGAAACTCACTGTTTCTACATCTCAGTTAGATCTTGCCTTATCCTACTGTATTCCACTCATTTCACTCACTTTACTACATTTCACTTCTTTTTGATGTTACTATTGCTCTATAAATATCTCAATTATCGTCCTCTGTCCCCTTAATATTATTAAAATGGATGTTCTTTGCCATCTCGGACAAGCTACTGTTGCTCTTCTGCATTGGTGCTTCTTCATCTTCGTTTACATTCACGTGTAAGTTAATGTTTGAGTTCTCCTTCTCCTCCATGCTGTTATTGTGGCTCTCGCCCATGCTGATATCAAAATGCTGTTGCATCTTCGAATTGTTGCTGTTTCCATAGCTGTCACTAGTCCCAACTGGAAAGTTTACTGAGCTACTGTTGGCTGTAGTGTACATTGTTGAATTAGCACCATTCTCATCAAATGATGACCTTGAATTAGACCTTGATGTGGAGCTGAACGACATGTTTTTAAATGCTTTCATCTCACTTCTCCATAGTTCATCTAGATATTTGTCCTTGTCAACTTTCGAGATTTGATTCTCATTCATTTCTGATGGTTCCCACTTACGCTCGTTTAAAAACCCTAGTACTCCTACTTTGTTCCCACTGTTGAACCTCAATCGTATTAATGTATACTGTGAATTAAGAGTTTCGTTCTGAATCTTCATATTATAGTCAAGTGAGTTGACACTACCACTTTCCCCTGGTGAGTTATACTGGCGAAGCTCTTTGTAGTCCAAAATTTTCTTCTGCACTCTGGAAATAGGGACAGCATCAGGGCTAGCCACTTCAGAATTGTACTTCTGTACAAAGTTGTTTTGGAATTCGGATATCTCGTTCATTGCATCTTGAATATCGTTTACTGTATTTCCTGCCGATGTGGCCCCATCACCTACATCCACATCTCCCACCGCTCCGATTGCACCCATGCTGTTACTAATGGAAGAACCCTTTGTGGAATTGTCAACTGTTGGGATAAACATATAAGTTTCCTCATCTGAAGCATCCAGTTCGCTCTGATGATATATTACATTCTTAGCATGGTATGCTTCCATAGGCACTAGGGAGTGCATGCTATCATGTGCTACGCTGGATAAGGGAGTATTTTCGGAGTGTCTCAAGGATTTCTTGCTGCTACTACTATCATAGAGCCCATCTGTTTTCATCTTTGTGATGTTATCATGAGAATTGGAGGTGTTCCATCTCTTGAGCAGATCCACCATCGGTATGTTTTTATTTCTTGGGATCACTCCGTCATGGTACACTGTGTTAGAGGAAATTGATCTCGTTAACAACAAATTGTTTCCACGCGATGCACCCAGATGCGGGTGTTGATGCTGATGCTGATGCTGGTGGTGCATGACTGCTTGTATTAAAGGTTCTTGTGTGTGGGAAGATCTGGTTTGTATAGCGCTAGAGCTTCTGGCCCGATCTACACTCTGGTTGCTCCTTAGGGAGCGGCTTCGTTGCATCTTAGATCATATGTATATATACATATAAGTATATATATATATATATTATGTGTGTGTGTGTGTGTGTGTCCGAGAATAAACAAATTTGCAAAAAAATGTCAACGGCGATCCAACAATAATCCAGTCTACAGTATCAGGATTATTATTTAAATGGCCGTTGTTGGTGGATAGTTAAACGCCAGGCAAGCCCACAAAATTGTTTTTCTATCAATCCAGATATGGAAATCTGCACGATAAGGAACTGCCAATCATTTTTTGTTCCGTCGCATATTGGGAGACAAGGGAAAAGTTTAAATTTAAGTAGAGGTTACTGGACCCGTCTTGTGGTATATAGCGGGCAGCTTAAAGTTAAGTCACGCAGGTGTCAAAGCTGCTCGTATTTAGTGCCTTTGGCTGGCGTGTAACTGCTTGGTTACAGTTGGGCCGCTGATGCACTACGAGCGAAGTCCACGCTAATCTTCTTATCGCAACTGACGTGTAGACACCGAGTGCCGCAGGTTGGAACCAAAAAAAAAAAAAAAAAAAAAAAAAAAAAAAAAAAATATTTAAGTTTGAGAAGCCCAGTCAAATGCAACCAATGCCGAAGAAGTTGCAAATTATTCCACTTACTAGTTGCATTGTTGAAGTGCATGGCATGGATTGGTATCTTCTTCCTTGTTCTCTACCTCTGCTTTCTCTTGGTCTGTCCCTGTGTTTGTGTCTGTACTGGTTCGAGACTTGACTCAGGTTTCTCCTCCTCTAATCTCAATAACTTCTGTTCTAGTCCAGTAAATGCAAATTCAATCATCTTCTCTTGACGTTGCGCAACAAGGTTGCTTAAATTGATAATGTCTAGCTTGTTTTGCATAATTAGATTGCTGCTATCCTTCTTCTTGGCATATATTTCTTCAAAGATCTTTGACAAATCCTCAACCGTCTTATTCAAATAATCTTGCATCTGTTCAAAGATCTCAGAGAAATTAGACTTGGAAAGGTAAAATGCAAATACGTATGTCCACTTCAAAGTTTTTCTTCCATTCGTCAATTGCCTTATGGCATCGTGTAAAAACTGAACATCGATCCAGGAGAGTGAGTTGGTGGAAGACACTTCTGCATTATTTCTCCTCTTCAGCTCCTCATTCATATACTTCGTCATCTTCTCGTTAACTTTCTTCAACGTCTTCAGATCTCCTTCCATCGAGGTCTCATGCACCGAAAATCTCAGATAAAAGAATATATACCTTTTTAATGTAAGACGCTTCAGCTTTTTATATTTTTGTGCCGCATTAACGGTATCAGGATCAAACCTATTGCATGCATAGTATTGATGGCCATGCTTTGCCCATTCTTCCAAACAAATCCAGCAAAAGTGATATGCACAGGTGGAGCATGTCATGTGGTTGCACCCCCCATTCTTTTCAATTTGTGAATCACATTTAGGGCATGATTGAGTATGAGCGTCTATCCAATTTGCAGTTTCTGAGTCGTCGTTGCATTTTTTGATCCATGCTTTCACAAGCCAACATGGTAATGGTAAATGATTTTCAAATTGACAGGAGTAACAAAATTCATGAGACTTTGGGCACGTCACTATGGGAACTTTATATATATTTTCTTCATCCATGGTTTTACCATTCTCTGATTCAGTTCTACCGTCCTTTGCAGGTGATAGTAATTCCACTAAATGCATACAGTCAGGAGCTGGACAATATTTGAAGTTTCCCGGATTCAGATCAATATTTCTCTTTGCTGCGTATTTTAGTAGCTCAAAGCTTGAAAGGTCAATTGTTGTTTTAATCGGGGACCCTTTCACAAATGCCTTCAGAGCATCATCAACTACAAACTTGAAAGGAGAATTCAAGACAGAAGACCCGCTTTGTTGCTGTTCATTATATACGTTCACAAATTTCTGCACATCACCGTGGGGTATAGACAACTTGCATTCAGGACAAGTTATTAACTTACCTTCGTGTACCAACCCCACGACGTATCTTGTGTAACAGGCAACGCAAAATTTATGGTTACATGTTAGTGAGTACGTTTCAGTTTGTATATCATCATCACTACAGCAAATTGGACATAAAAAGTTCTTAACGACCTCAAACGTATTGTTCCTTTTGCGTAGTGGCAATCCACAATCCTCAAAGAACTTGGTGGGGTTATCGTAGCAGCCATTTATTACAGATTCCTCTCCCCAATTCTTAGCATGGAGCATGATCAAAATATCATCAAAATCACAATTAGGCAATTTCATCAGTTGCAACTTTTTGCACTTGGAAATAAAAAAATGATTGATATACTCTTCTAAGCTCCATGCCTTATACTTTGCTCGAGCTTGAAGACGATTTGCGCTAGGAGCTTCTTTCTTAAGATCTTTCTTTATATAAACTTCTTCCTCAAATTTGTTTACCAAGTCTATTTCATTCTCATCCGCAGTGAATTCCGAGAATGAAACCTCTTCATCATCGTCATAGTCGAACTCGAGGTCCTCGCTTATATTACCATCTGAATCGGACATATGTTTTGAGTAAATATTTTACTATTATAAAATGATTCTTTTTGCTAACTTCGAAAGGAAATTGGCAAATTGATATGATTTAGCAAAATATCAACGGGTGTTATATACAAGTTTCGAAATTATTGCTAATGAAAGTCACTACGTGCTGTTGGCAAGTTCACTTTCTTGCCTCACTTTCAAGTGCCGTTGATATTCCTGCATATGGGATTCGGGAACCCTAAGGCTAGCCCCCACTTGAGTCCAGAGTTAGGCACTTACAAGCTTTAAAGTAATACGTGATGATTATTTATTGATATCATTAAAGATCTGAAGAGTACATGATTTTCTTCAGTTTCTATAGGTTGATTAATCTAAAAAGTAGGTTACATTTTCTAGTTGAGCTTATTCTTCTGAATATTGAGCATCGTGATCTTTTGCTGAGAAGACACATCCTCTTGCTAATATTTCCTTTTCCAGTTTCAATAATCTAAAAATTGTCCTTCTTTGGCTCGAAAGGGAAGAATCTTGTAATAGGTGGTTGTAATCGCCAGTTGATAGCCCATCGCTGTATCTGTTTAATCTATTTTTACACCATAAATTGAACACTTTGAAAACCTCCTCATGTTCCCTCTTCACTCTAGGGTGTAAAATTGGCATTGAATTTGGTAGAAGTAGCTTTAAAATCCTTCTGCATAGTTTACTCTCACTCTGACAATGGAGGAATTTAGCCTGAAAGAGATTAAAAGGCATAAGTATAAGTCTGAGCAAAGCGTAAGTCTGGGGTGTCGGTGAACCATCCAAAGTGACTTTTGGCGAAAGCTCCCACGAAATTGGTTCCTCTTCCTGTTCAGTATCTTCATCATCAGAATCACAACACTGACTCTCCTCGCAATCTTCACCTTCATGATCGTGGTCGTGGTTGTGTTCATGTTCGTGATCATGATCATGATCATGTCCGCTGGACTGTAATCCTATAGTTAACAAATCGTTAACTAGTTCAAATCCCATTTCGTCATACCATTGAAGCTTTATATTGAGCTGAGTACCTTTTCTTCCCGTTATCTTCTTTAAATAGGCAAACATCTGCACGGTAAGCATGCAAGAATCACTGATATTTTCCTCTTCGATGAACCCATATCTCTGAAGCAAAATCGGATTAGAAAATTCTCCGTAAAAGTTATACAACTCTTCACCATTCTTTGAATTAAGTAAGAATATATCGCAGCATTGATCTGTAGCCAATTGTTTACCAAGTTCATCTGCATCTGCACTTTCGCTTCCTGCTTCATCTTCATCTTCGGAAAGTTCAAGTAATGATTCGTTATCGTCTGTCCCTTCACTATTACTTTCCTCATCTTCGTTTTCCTCTTCCTCCAATTCCGTCTCCATTATTTTGATATACTCAGCAGTTATTTCTTCAACTACATCTTCTCCCTCTTCATCTTCGTCAACTTCTTCGGTTTCAGTGGCAGTCTCATCTTCTGAGCTAACCAATTCAGTTTCGGATTCAAATTCATCCTCCGAGCTTTCTAGTTCCTCATCCAGAGCCATGGCTTCTTCTTCAACATCTTCATTCTTCTTCGCCAAATTATCTACTTCTATGCTTTCTGACTCTATGTTATTTTCACCTTCTTCGCTCTCTATGTCATCGTCATTATTCAAGATCTCCTCAATTTCCTCTTCATCAAAACCGTCAACTTCGTCATCTTCATCTATTTCTTCAAAGTCTTCTTCTTCATCCTGCACGTCTTCTTGGTCATGTTCACAATCTCTTTCCCCACATTGATCACATACGTCTTCATCTCTTACGAACTTTACATCAGCAAGATCACTATGGTTGAACATATCGGCTCCTGGAACCAATGAAAGTCCATGGAATCCATCTATTGGAAAGCTTCTAGATAAAACTGCTTGCAAGAATGTTCCAAACTTTTCCAATTGGCTTCTGCTTTTTACAAGTTCATGCTGGAAGTCATCACCTTCCCAATTTAAGACTGATGGAATACTTATGTAACTAGAGTTGGATCTTGCAAAGCGAATACACTCAGCAAATAGTTCTACTAACTCGGAAATGTCCAACATGTGAAGTAAATCACATTCAGTATTTTGCAACAACTTCTTATCTTCTTCGTCCCATAAGCAAAGCGGTAAGTCGCCGCTTTCCAAGTCTATACTATTTATGTATTCAAACCACGGAGATTTTGGTCCCATGGAGTGTTCATAAATGAAACATAAAAGCAAACTATGCAACTCAATGGATAAGTCAACGCGATCTTCTTCTTCTTTTGCATCATCTGTGTCTTCTTCATCATCTTCGTTTTCTTCACCATTGTTTACTAGCTCACGTTGAATCTGCTCTTCTACATAATCTTCTAAGAGATTAGCTATACACGAATTCTTGACTGAAAGAATGTTACTCTTCGGAATTCTGAGTAATAAGCGATCATCATCTTCTACATCGCACTTGCGTTGGAATACTCCGAGTCCATTAAACTTCTCTGACTTCTTGATTTCAAGGATATCGGTGTTCCAAAATGAGTTTAAATGAAGCCATTGTTCAAGATCTGAAAGCTTAGTTGCCGAATACATGTCTACAGGTAAGATGTTCCTACAGTTGCACGCAGTAGTGGTATACTTAGTTGAAATGCCTTGCCAAAATCAGTGTCTTCTAGACGGTGTTCTCTCATCTCTCATCGCGCCTGCATACAGGGTGCATCTGTGCTGCAATGCCAATGATGGAGTGGGCTTTCAGCAGAGCATTTACATAGACGAAATAGTTACACAGTCTTGCTTGGAGTGGGTGCTATGTAATTTTTGAGCTGAAAAATGTTAGAATGAATAAAATACTAACTCAGTTAGAGAGAAAGAGGATTGAATATAATTACTGTTTCCATCAAATTGCTTGCTAGATGGTATACAGAAGGCATATGCTTACGCTACAAGAGTCTTCTTTCCAGCATAAAAATATGATATCTCTGATGAATACAAATATATTAGGTAGCCTGGATTAAAGCGTGCTCTAGAACGGTAAAAATGATCCCCTGAGAACCCATTTACCAGGCCGTGAGCCCTTAGTAGTATTCACATCTATGCATAGTGGTTAGGCTCCACCTTGGCCTGCACACGAACCCTAAGTGCATACTCTTCTCGAAATTTTCAAAATTTTTCATTACCCGGACACAGCGCGAGCACTATAAATACTAGACCTTCCCCTATGCTCCCTTATTCTGAACCCCAATCATCAGTAGTGGTTATACTATCTCTTAATAGATATATAACTTGTACTTTATTGTACAACTACATAGAGACCTTAGCGTGATCTTAAGTACAACACATTAGTGAGTGTGATCTGGGTCTCGTGTCAGCTAAGTGTTTTTTGACCTTTTTAACAGATTGGCCACAATCAACACTTCGTTTCCGGTCTTTTAGATTTATATGCATTTATGTTTTAGGAAAGTTCTACAAATAATTTTTAAATGATTGTTAGATTGAAACATAATGCTACATACAAATCGAAGTAGTTCCTTTTTATATTTAATTTTCTTTTATTTTGTCTCGTAAATCGTGCCTTTCTTTTTTTTCATATTAGCCGCTACTACAATACACCTTTGGTTTTGACCCTAGTGTTTTTTTTAGCAAACTCTTCACAGCTTCTTTCACCGCCCTAGCTGGAGTGTTCGAGATATTTGGTACTGCATATAATCGACCTATATAATTTTTTTTATTTTCGTTCCAAATTTTCGTCTTCAGTCAGTCTTGATTCATCCAGAAGTTCTACGAAAGTAACGTCCATTTGCATTCTTATTTACAGTCATCCATACGCTCTCATAATCATGGCCCATAGACTTATTGTAAATGTGATATTTACCGGTGCTACTGTGTTCGGTAAAGCATTCACTGAAGCATACAAACAAGCGGCAAAAGCTACTGCTGCCTCATCTCAAGCTAAGGCAGCTGGTGCCACAAAATCTGCATCAGTAGGAGGAATTCAACTTGATGAAGCCTGTAAGATCTTAAATTTAGAAAAGAATGAAATAAGTCTTGACAAGGTTAACGAAAAGTATAATTATTTGTTTGATGTGAATAGTAAGGAGAAGGGTAATTCGTTTTATTTACAGAGTAAGGTGTACTATGCCATGGATACATTGAAGAAGGAGTTGGAGTTTGCAGAGAAGGTGCGGAAAATGAAAGAGTCTAACCTGGAAGGAGGGAAGGAAGATGGTGGCACGGCGGCCAATTGATGAGGTGATGAAAAATAGCACAATGCATGCATAAGCTGATAGGCATGGAGAGTGGGGGAGATACAAGGGATAAAATCAAGCATTAACCTGAGACTAGAACTGACCGTCGTGAAGTAATGGAGAGTAATCCAAGCGAAAGAAGAATGACGAAGTGAAAGGAAAGATTTTACCTGGTAGGTGCGACTAAGAAAAAAAAAAAATTTGTAGTGGTAGGCCACTAATTTATTGCAATACACTGGGAAGTGTACATATATGTGTGTTTCAATAGCGTGGACTAGCCTCAGACCTTTCTTGCTCGTATCAGCAAAGTAATGCTCTCGATACCTCTTATGAACAGTCCTATATTTATACACAACAATGGAAAAGAAAAACCCCAAAAAAAAAGACAAGACAAGAAAAGAAAGAATCAATGTACATATTACTAATTATTCACTGCGAATGCAGCATAACCGTAGGAATAGTGTAACGAAAACAATGAACCTGAAAGTCGAAAGATCCCTCCAGGTACTCAAATAAGGTGATTCTCCCTGGAACGTACTACTTTTCCATATTGTTGGGCCACTACCTCTCTCATCCTTTGCACTATACCTGCCTACCTTCCTAACCTCTCTCTCTACTCTTCCTAGCATAAACGATCGTTTATGCTAGGCTCTAGTTACACAAAACCGAAACTATTGTAAACAGTATCGTTTTCGTTTTCGTAAATTTTTTAGACTTTTCAAAACATGGAATTTGGTTCAGGAGCCACTTCTTCATTACTATTTATTCTTTTTTTATTGCATACTGTATTATTAATATAACCTTCTTCTTGCCATCAACTTTTCCATTAACTGCGAGGCGAAACGGCAAACCGACAGAAGAACTTTTGAAGACAAAACTTTTACATCCCTGTGAAAAGATTAGAAATTTATACATCAGCCAGAGAGGGAAACTTGTTCACAGAAACGTAGTATATTCACTAGTATGAACAAAGCAGAAGAGGAGCAGTTGTTACAGGATGCGTCTACGTTGTTGATGTTTGCAAATGTTGCAGCAAAACAGCAGATACAGCACGCCCCACTGGCCACATCGTATCTGCCAGAAAGCCTGGTGCAGGAGCAGCAGCAACAGCAGAGCCTGAATAACCCCCTGATCAAGTCTTCCTCACGGTCCCCGATTGAAAATCTGCCTATATCTTATCCAAACTTCCACAACATCCACTCAAGAACCCCCTCCGGGTCCGGCCCTGTCCAACCTACACATCCTAGTCCTGCGACGAACGAGCAGAGAATACCTGAGGTCAAGCACGAGGCATCGGCAAGTAAGGGGTACTACTTTCCTGTGGCAAGCACCGAGCTGGAGCAACAACTGCAACAGCCACAGAATCAGCCACCCCAACACCAACAGCAGCAGCAACTGCAACAACCGCTGGATAAATTACCACCCCAGGCGTCGTTCAAATCTCATAAAAGGGTAGCCTCTTCGGGCAGCTCGGGTTCCTTTAGGCACTCCCCTGGCCCAGCTAATATTGCGTCAGCAGGAGGCATAATAGAAAGCGGCAACAATAGAAACTCTTCCAATAATGCCATGATTGTAGCAGCAGCGTTGGCTGACGCTGCCAGCATTCCCTTACCATTGTTGAAGAAAACTGAGGACACCAAGAGAATAGCTGAAGTAGTTGACAGCGCCAGCTCAAAACCAGATGAGACTGAAGTTGAAGAGGATGCAACTGAAGATGAGAAGGAGAGCAAAAATGTAGATGAGAGAAGCACCAATACCACCCTAGAGGATAGTTCGCCGCAGGCACAGAATGAGGAGATCGATCGAAAGCATCAACCCAGTCAAGACCATAATAATAATGAGGTATTACCTCCTGCTTCACCGAAAGTCGCTCCAACTCAAATCAATGTAGAAATACAAAAGGTGAGCCCTGTTTTGCAACTGGCACTGGTCGTTACTCAAGTGAAACCTTTAAGTGATTCTGACATTTCTAGTAGTGCTGACCAAGTAGCACTCGAAAGTAATCAAGTGAAGATCGAACCTTCCGTTCAGAACCCTCCTGAAGGACCTAAAATTGCAGGGTCTGAACCTGAAGCTGTACCCATTCCTCCCCTCACATCCTACAAAGTTGACCCAGATGCTGGAACAATCGGGTGCATTTGTGGAATTGACGATGATGATGGATTCACAGTGCAGTGTGATATATGCTTCAGGTGGCAACATTGTCTTTGTATGAACCTCATGACTAACGAAGAAGTTCCAGATATTTATAAATGTTACTTCTGTGACGAACATAAATGGGGTAAATTTGATCCTGAGGACTGTAGGAAGCAAACTTTAGCAAGGCTTGAGAATGAAAGATTGGGCGACGAGAATGAACCTGAGTTCAAAAAGGAATTGAAAAGGAAACATCTGAACTCAGAAAAGGGTGACAAAAAAAGAAAGACTCTGGAAAGTAAGAAGAGGAAAGATGACGAGGATGTGAAAAAGGGTGAACTTGGAACTGGTTTAGAACTAGGTAAGACTGACGAGAAGTTTGCAAATGAAACTAAACTTCTTAATAACACTTCTGAAAGCAACGGTGGAAATTCTGGTAATGGTAGTAGCGGTGGTAGTTTATCCAACTCCCAAGCTCAAGCTCAAGCTCAAGCTGAGATACTTTCGTTACCAAACAAGGACAACGACTTATTGGAAGGAGGCATTGCAGCTGAATCGTATCAAGGGACATACTATAAACTAAGAGACAACGATTATAAGACCCAATCAATAAAACTTGCCTTTGAAGAACTTGCTCAGATGAATCTAAAGAATAAAGCAGTTGAATCGCTTTCAAAAGTGGAATTCAAGAATATTAGATTCAGCAAAATCATTCTTCCAAATTACGAAAGAAAACTACAACAGATGAAAAAGAAATCGTCAACTTCGTTTAATGATACATCAATTCAAGTGAAGCAGTATTCGGATAACCAAAAACAGAAATTCAACGGAATCTCAAGGTTAGGACTATTTATTTCAAAGAGGAAGCAAGGGAGTGGAGGAATAATTCCTGAAAATACTCCTGTGATAGAGTACTTAGGTGAATTGAGCCTTTTTCAACAATATATTGATGACAAAACAAACCAATATAATTTATGGGGGGTTCCTAAACCACGGGTCCTCAAAACTGAGTTGCCATTTGCAGGAAATGAAAGTAGTTCTGGAGCATCGGTTGGTATAATCTCTGATGCGAGATTCGTTGGTAATGAATCGAGGTTTATCAGAAACTCTTGCCCAGCTAATGCTAATTGTATAATCAAGCCAGTCTTCATCAAAGAACAAAAGATTTTCAAACTTTTAGTTGTCACTTCAAAGCCAATCATATTTGGGCCTGATCAATCTGAAGAAGAATTGAGGATAGAGTGGCAATGGGATGAAAAGCATCCAATTCGCAGAATGTATGAGAAAATTGAAGAACCAGGCACTGGTACAAATAATACTCCAGGTGGAGGTAATAAGCAAGAAGCAATTAAGTTTGATCAATTTTCCGAGACCGATAAGGGTCTATTAATATCAGGTGTTGATAACGTCTTGAATTTTGCTGAGTGTGCTTGTGGAACAGCCTCTCCAGTTGCAAATAGCAATTGTGTACTTTTCAAGATCAAGAAGGCAACTGCATACTTGTTAAGATCTACACGAAAGGCTCTAAGCGTTGGCAGTTTAGGTTTGGGGAAGTCCAGAGAATTGTTAATCATTAATAAGAACCCAAAAAAGTATATTTCATGGCAAGAAAGATTAGATGAAAGAGATAGAACTATTACTATGGATCTATTATGCGAAGTTGGCCAAGAAGATATCAAAGATCGTCAAGATGGTGGTGCTGCAGAAGCTGCCGAATCAGAAGAAAAATCACTTCATGAGTCAGGAAGTGCTACGGATGACGTATCTATGAATGGAACTGCAGAGGATGAAAAGGCTGACGCAGATGACATGGAAATCGATACCGAGGCAAAATCCACTGAGGGTTCAAATCAAACTAAGTCAATTGTAGAAGCGAGAGTCCCATATAGGGAGCAATTAATTGCTAAGAGCCGAAAACTCAAAGACGTGACTGTTGAACTCAATAAGGCGGCAAACGGAGCAAGCAAAAATCTCTGTGCCCCAATAGTTCCAGAGTTGATAATAAAGATTCAAAAAGAAGTTAGTGAAAAGATTGCTCTTCCAGTGAATATTGTGCGTATAACGAACGAAAAATTCAAAATTGAACCAGTTGTTGAAAGCAGCATAGCGTCAAAGGCCGTGCCTGGGGTTCTTGAAAGAAAGTTTTCTTCAGCATCTATAGCTGCAAATACTGCTGTGGATAACGTGGCTGTTGTTGACCTGGTAAAGGCAGCTGCGAGCGTAAACCCTGGTATTCCGGCAGCCTCTGAAAAGCCTTCTGCTCCTTTAGAAGTGAAAAATGAGACAGTTGCACCCAAACCACCGGTGGTTAAAAAGCTTTCGTTTGCAGATTACAAGAAGAAAATGAAATAGTGATTTCGAATTGTATATATACTGGGAATGTATAGAGATTATGAAGATAATAATAATAATAATAATAATAATAATAATAATAATAGCATTGATTACTTTTGGGCGTACGAGTCTCTACAATACTGCTCTTCGATCAAATCGTCACCCTCGTACCAAAAATTCTCTAGTGGAGGGCCAAACATTAGCTCTATATGGCCACCAGGCACTCATTCACTGCCAAACGTCATAGCCGTTTATTCCTGTATGTAACCGCTCAAATAAAAGAAAAGATTAAAATAAAATATGACTTAATTTTTTTTTGACGCAAGAACAAAACAAAGAGAAAACCCCCGTCTGCCGTCACTCTTTACACAACGTCAATCATATACATACACTATGTCGTCTAGAAAGAAGACTCTCTTAAAGGTAATCATTTTGGGTGATTCCGGTGTTGGTAAAACATCATTAATGCAACAATTTGTTAACTCCAAATTCTCCCATCAGTACAAGGCCACCATAGGTGCCGACTTTTTAACTAAAGAGATTACAATTGATAATGGTAAGCAAGTTACCTTACAAATTTGGGATACTGCGGGCCAGGAAAGATTTCAGTCCCTTGGGGTGGCCTTCTATAGAGGTGCGGATTGTTGCGTCTTGTGTTACGATGTAACAAATGAGAAATCCCTTAACAACTTGGCCTCCTGGAAAGATGAATTTTTAATTCAGTCAAATGCATCGAATCCTGCCGATTTTCCATTTATCATTATAGGTAATAAGATTGATGTTGACGAACTGAAGAAAATCCCTTCTTTACAAAAGAAATTAAATAATATCACCAACAACCAATTGGGAGGGTTAAATTATCCCGTTTTTGAAACAAGTGCGAAGGATGCGATAAACGTTGAACCTGCCTTTGAAGTGGTTGCTAAAATGGCCTTACAGCAAGAAGAATTGAATGATGCAGGTAATGATGTCAATGACGACTACAATGATGCAATTAATATCCATTTAGAAAGCGAGGGAAGTGGATGTGCATGTTAGGATTCCCCTCCCCATTTCGACCTTTAAAGTCTTTGATTTTATTTATCTTAAGTTCACTTCCCCAATAGTCATCATTTCCTTTTTTTTTTGTATTTTATATATACATATATACACTTATATTAATGATCCCTTTTAGATTTTGTTATCCATGAACGACCACTCATATTGCTTATTAGCCCCTTGTTCCTATTTCTCTTGGTATATAAGTTTCCGCTTCAGTCAATGAATGTAAAAGCCTTAGCTGTTTTGTTTTTTATACTACCTACATTAGACGTTTGATTAATAGATACACCTACATCATACATGGGTCCAAATGTGTAAGAAACTCTGTTTCACATTTCTAATGTGTAAATTTTTGATATTTTATTTTCTCGAAGTACCCTATACATATTACACATTTTACTTTGAGTTGATACAAGAGCAAAGAAGTTTAACCAAAACTCCGACCAAACCGTTTGAATCGTTATTGTTGTTATACTGTTGTTGCTGTTGTGGCTGTTGTTGATAATGTGGTTGTTGTTGGTATTGTGGTTGCTGTTGCTGTTGGTTATTACCTGGAACTGTCCACTTGTGAGGAATTTGAGACAATTGAGCACCTTGTAAGTCGATAATTAACACACCAGTGTTTTTAGAATCAATTCTATGTCTTAAGCCAGATTCATCGCATAATTGATCAATGGCTGGTTTCAACTTAGCAATCCCTCCCTGGGAATGTAATCCCTTTCCAACAATCACATTAAGGTGTGTTTGATTGCTACCAATTGCAGCTACCAATCTATTTTGTAAGATGTACTCAGCTTCCTTAACATATAATCCATGCAAGTCTATCTCATCACCTGCACTATCCGCATTGTTTTCTCTGAACACATATTCTGCAGCCTGTCTGTTGTAGCCTTCTGCCTCGGCCAATATTTTCTTCGCTTGCTCACTAAGCTCGTGCGCCTTTTGCTTGTCGCCAGATTTGTACGCCTGTTGAGACTGCAGTGAAAGCTTTTGTCTCTTCTGGTAAAGTTGATCTGCTTGAGAGCGAAGTCTTTTATAGTCAGAATCAGTAGCATGGTTGTAATCATCACCACCAAGGTGAACACCTCTATCGAAAGTTGTAGCCATCAGGTCGAATGTATCGTAATTAATGAGTAAGAAGAGAAGGATATAGCAATATAGCCAGGGTAAGTAGAAGGAACAATACAAAAATTAAAAAAACCAGAGATGGAAACAAATTTCACGAACAATATCAATGAAATTACTACATTAGTGTATTGGTGTTCGGATGTTAAGTGGAGATTATGAAATTTTTGAGGTGTGAAAAGCTTCGATGCAGGGTCCACGTTTAAGGAGAAAGGCTTTAAGGTACCGGAAGAATAAATGTTTGTGTTTAGACTTTTGGAAACAAATCAACTCACCTAATATTCATGAGGGTCTGCTTCTTTCCCCATATCTGATCGACACCTTCTCTTGGACTTCCTCCGTCTCCTTCTGTAACTACCAAATTATTAGCACCCCCAGTCCTGAATTTTAGCTCTGACCTTGAGTAAGGCTCATCTATGGAAATAACCCAATTCCCTTCCATTTCTGCCTGTATTCTCTTGAATGAATTCACTGGTATCCCAAGCCTTGCCTTTTCTGCAGAATCGGACGTTATTCGTATTGCCTTGTGTGTTGAAATATGTGACAAGGTTATCATATCGCTTATTTCATGTGCCGTTTGCTTTTTCTTTCTAAAGATGACTCTTGCTATCAGTTTTTTGGAATTGATCTTAGTTTTGCAACAGGTGCAATCCGAATAGTGTTCTTTAAACCTTGTGAAGAACAATTGTGCCGTGTCTTGAAAGTGGAAAAAGAGTCTAGATTCTTCAATTTTGTCGTAGTGGTCTATAACACAGTCTGCTTTACTTTCTTTGCAGAAGGAAAAGTAGTTGTACAAAGAAAGTAAATGGGTCTTCCAGAAAAGATCTATATCTATAGTCGGAATAAGTATTCTATATCTGGTTGTCACATAAAGCTCCATAAATTTCTTGTATCTATCTTCTGCCAGCAGTAGACTGTTGATTAGTTGAGAAGAGCGTAGCCAATTTAAGGATATAACTTCTTGGATATACCTCTGCTGCCGTACAACCATGCCTACTAAGTCATCAGAAAGTTCTATTCGATCTGGTGACGATATCAACAAGTGGATCGGATTCAATTGTGCATAAGTTCTTAGAATGTAAGTTATCACTTCTATATTTCGTATTTCCTTTTGATTGGTTATTAGTTTTGATATCAAATTAGGAATATTCATTGAGGTCTCTATGATGTCTGGTTGCGCTTGTATTAGATCTTTTACCTGTTTCGTGACCATTTGAGGTTTATCCACACGATAAAGGGTGTTGGATACAACGGATGAGAAATATTTATAACAATTCGGTAATATTGTATTCCTGATGATATCCGCCTGAAGTTGACGCTTTCTGAGTTCTTCATGGGTTACAGTTGATCTTTTGTTGCAGACTGGACACCCTTTGTTTTGAATTCCAGGAGCTAGGAGTCCAGCGTCTGCGAAGCCAGTATGCTCTTCATTGGTGTATGGAACTGGGGAAGCAATCACCTTGAAACATAGGGAGCAATGTACATCCATGGCGTTCTCTATTTTAGAAACATCGTATTCCAAATCAGTGCCGTAGTCTTTTATCAAGTTCTGGAATCCAGCGTATTGCAGAAGACTAGGTTTGAACTCGAATGATGCCTTATCAATTGCAGAAACCACCTCTATTAGTGGGAACGGTGTGAAAGCAAAATCGAGCACTTTATTACGAGCACAGAAATCATAATATGACTTGGGGTTCAAGAGGTAAGCATGCCAAATCATGAGAATATCTAATGGTGGTAATAAAGTGTAGAGCACATTGGTTTTCCAAGCCTTATTGCCATATGAAAAGAAGATATTAATATCCAGTTCATCATCTACATCCAATACCCTCAGTGATCTGTAGGCACCGAGGAATATTAAGAACCTTCTAATGGCATTCGTTACATATACTTTCCAGCTAAATCGTTGCAGTGCGTCCTTGTATAGTTTGTGAAAAGCATGCAATAATATCAAATGCGACCCAGCTTCGACTGCAGTAGGCATCTTCGTTGCTAGACGCCCACTCTCGTCGACATGAGAAAAGCTAGCGAACTGAGAAACGTCTGGGTTCTTCAAGTATTCTTCGTACGCATAATTCATGCTTGTTGGACCATTTCTTCAATGGCTATGAAGATGAATTGCCATTCTGATAAAATTGAAATTAAACTCTGCGCTTCCCCACATTTCGTTTAGCTTTTTCGTGGTCGAGTGATGAAGAGCAGAGCTTCAACTAGTCACGAATTATTCAAGAGCTTATCTTTATGTTGCCCAGCAATACATATATTGCGTACACTGTAGTCCTGTTGAAGATGATCTCTTCCTCTGAACGTTTTCCTGCCTTCTATTAAACCACTTTTTGGATCTCTTACTCTGTTTGCTTTACATCCTGTAGTCTCACTACGATACGTTACTAATCTAAAAAATAGTACAACCAGACATACACTTACATTTTAGTATTTACGATGATTCCTACAATAGTTTGAATTATTTATAACTCATACATTAATCCTATTTAAAATAAAATCAAGATGCTTATTTCTTAGCAGCCTTTTGAGCAGCCTTGGTAACCTTACCAGCCTTTTCGGACTTGTCAACAGACTTGATGAC